CTTGATTATTCTTGGAATAAATAAAGAATAAAAATTTTAGGAAAATGGAAACTGTTTTTTAGGTTGCATTTCAAGTTGGAAAAAAGGAATTTCAGGAATAAGTTTATTTTTAAATTTGCAATTAATTTTTAAAGGGAAAATCAATGGGGTCAAATAAATTTTTAATTAAGAAGAACCGTATGTGTAAGGAGCGAAGGAGATTGAACATAAATATCAATAATAATAAGAAGGTATGCAAATTTCAAATAAATTACAACCGACTTAATTATCAAAGGAACATGAATTTTAGTTATAATACGAACAAAAACCTTAAAATTAAGATTGACACAAAGTTGTAATGTTAATAGGGAGTACAATTATTGCTAATAAAATAGAAGAGTAGAGGAAAGAAGAGAAGAATATTAAAAAAGATTAGAATAAGAAATTTGAGGTATCAATTTAATCAGAATAAAATGCTCTCAGTAAAAATGACTTTTTAGTTGAAACTAATTTACAATTAGAAAGTAATAAGAAAGTTTAAAATTAGAAACCTAAATCATCAAGCTCATCATCGTCATCGTCAAGTGATGATGAAAAATAAAATTTCCAAAAGAAAAAGGAAAAAAATGTCAAAGCTGTAATTACTGAGACAATAATTCAAGAAAAATAGAAAACAAATTACAATTAACCATTATAATAGCCTATTATTTAAGAATAAGATAATGAATAGTTAAAGAATTAATTTTAAACTTAATAAGTAGAAACATCTTAAAGTATCAATAGATAAGAAAACTATGTATTTGAATTAGCAAGTGCTAACACAGTTTATAATTAACCAGAAAATGCAAACACTGAATTTTAACCTCAATAAGAAGTTAGTACCTTTTATTAATTTGAAAGCCAAAGAAATAATAATTTATAATAGTTTGAAGATTAGCAACCAAAAATTACTTTGTAAACTGAGTTAATTTAGGATAGTTAACGAACAGCAGCATTTAATTTAGAATTTTAAGAACCAAATCAATAGATAGAAGTAGAATATGTAGTATAGGAAAAACAAGGGGAATTGTAGGAAGTAAAAAATCAAATGATAGAATTAAATAGCTAGCAAACTGCTGATATTCAATCATTTTAACAAACCTAATAAATTTAAGAATAACTAGAGCAAAGGGTTCAATAAAGGAATGAATTCGAAGATAATTACTACAGCAGCTAAGTGGTCTAAAATGATCAATCTTCTTTAAATTAGTAGCCTATTTTATAAAATTAATAACCAAATGTTGGGAGATGGTAAATAAGTGCAATAGCTGATCTTCTATAGGCTTTATAATTAATTTTGCAAAATGAGTAAAATTAAAGTCGACTTCCAGGAGTCCTCAAATAGTTTAGATAATTAATTTAGAGTGAAAAAGATGCGAAGGATTGTCACTAATTGGATATTACAAACTAACTCCTATTTATTTATTCATAATCAAGCTATTAAGCATATTAAATAGATGTGGAAGAAAGTTTATTGGCAATTTTGTAATACCATTAAATTTTAAATGATTATGAAACATTAATAAAATGGTCAGATTTGTAAATAGCAAGGGTGAGCATAAATTTAGTAAGAATTTTAATAAAAGCAAAAGAAACTAAATTTATGAGAAATAGAATGATTAATCAAAAAGATATCATCATTCTTGTGAATTATTTAGAAGATTGTTGGGATGAAGAATTAGTGTCTGTAATTTTAACATGTTTAGAAGGATATTGCTAAAATTCAAAGTGTGCACAATTACTCTATTAATATGAAGTTATAAATCATATTAAAAAGTGGATTTAAAGATTGTAGAAAGAATGTTTTTTGCTTATTGGTTCTTTGTGTTTATACAACTTTGCATAAAAAGACTTAAATGATCAATCCATATATTTAATTATCAATAAGTCAATCAATGATTAAAGTATTGAAATTAAGTAGAATGCTTATTATGCGCTATCATGCTTATGTTATTAAAATAAGGAAGTTTAATAGCAATTATTAGATTCAGATTTGTTGTTTATCATTTTAATAGACTTAGAATAAAAGTCTGAACCAAAGTTGATTGAAGTCACAGCCTAACTATTAACAAATGTCCTGTATAAGATAGAATAATAGAAAGTTGAATCTAGAATTTTAATTTCTTTGTTGATAAGATAATTATAGACATAGAATACTCTCAACACCTTAAAATGGATTCTAAGGTGCCTTTAATCTTTGTGTCTATTAAGATCAAATTCATTAATATCAATATCAGAATCAATATTTGATATACTTAAGAAACTGCTATAAAACAAGGCTTTATTGAGAGACCTCTTGTAGTTGTATTCAACATATTCTGCCTAATAACTATTACCTTCTGAATAAGTAACTGTTATTAAACAAATAATATAAAATAATAAGGATGACTCTGTGATTATTGAAAAGAGTATCACTGTATTAAATTTATCTGTCAAATAATATTCAAAAAAGATTTGTACTTTAGATAACTTATAAATATTCACTTAACTTATAGAATAGTATAAATAAAATGAGAAGGTCATCAGCTTAATCTTAATTCTAATATAAAATTTAGCTTGCGATAAAGATAATCATTCTACAATAAATAAAAGCGTAGTGTATAATGCCCTGGAATTTTTCTAGGATAATTAACAGATTAATCATTTTTCTTAGAAAATCAAAACTATAATTTCAAATTAATAAATTTAACCTGAATAGATTTAGGTTTAGATGAAATAAATAATCCTAGATAACCCTGCAGATAAATTAGCAAGAGGATTTCCTCTATTAGTCTTTACTTCAAGTTCTGATACGAAAACAGGAAATTTAAAGGTATTGCCTTCAAATGAGCTTTTCTTTTAAGAGAACTCTGGAGATATTAAGGAGAAATTTAGGATAAGGTAAGTAGTTGATATGAATTTTAAACCAAACTCAAATTCTAGTGAATATAGATTATATCAAGGGTCTAGATTTTTCAATAAAGATTTATTCTTTACAATAAGAGGGAAGTATAATAATAAATTCAACACCATATCAGGTCAAGCTCTATTAATCGAATAAAAATAAGAACTTGTATCAATTTTAGAAATTTTATATGACAAAGCATCTTGATAAATTTTTAATTTTTAACCAAAAAATAATTATATTTGTTTCATATTAAGTTTAATAATCATCTTTTAGGAACGTGAGTTCATTCAGTTGAAATGATAAATTTTCAGATTACCAAAAAATAATGATAAATTTCATTTAACAAATTAATATTGATATATAAAAATAATGAATTCATCACTTTAAATTAGCAGAAATACATACTATAAATAACATCGAAATTATTCAATGAGGCCTATTTCCTCTTTGGCAGAAGAAAATTAAGTTAGAAACCTTAGAATGTTCTCTTAATCTAAAGGTTGTGCAATAACGACCAACTAACCTCAAAGAATAGAATTACCATGTTTTTTTAACACTCCAGCCAGATTTAAGAGCATGAATGTATTATTTAATATTAGTTAAAGAGAAAAATAAAGTTCAATTGTCAGAAAAACAAAACGATCCTAAAAGTCTTTAGACTCCTGAATTATGTATTTATCTACAATCTCAAAGAAGATTGAAAGATTATGAAATGCTGGCTTTTGCATGTAAAAGAGCTGGCAAGATCAAAGATGAAGGAAGGGCGTATTATAGTATGGGAGTGCTTTTGGACAATATGGGTAAATGGAGTTAAGCTATATAATAATATGAGAGATTTCTAAAAATATGCATTAAATTAAATGATTAGCATGGATGTGGTTTAGCTTACAATTGTATAGGAGTAGACTATCAATTTATGGCTGAAACAAATCCAAAGTTTATTGAAAAAGCAATTGAATTCCATAAAAAACATGAAGAAGTTTCAGATAGTAATGGTAAATTCTTGGCATCAATAAATATGGGTCTATGTTATGATGCCGATTCTTAGTTATCTATGTTCTACTTTTAGTAAGCTCTCAAACACGCAATAAACATGTCTAGCAAATTAGGATAAACAATTGCAATTGCTAATATTGGAAGGATAGGACAAAAAGGTTTATATGATAATGCTGAAAAAATGAAAGTAAATATATACTCAAAAGTTTTAGTTATTCATAGAGAAGTTTCTCTAATTGGCAAGTGAGTTAAAAGATAAAGAAAGTATCATAAAAGGACATATGAAACTAGGGGCAGTGTCTGCTTAATTGGGATCATATACGGAAGGAAAGAATAGCTTTTTGAAGGCCCTGGAAATGGTTGAGAATGATCGTTACTTATATTAAGAGGCAAAATGCGGATTTGCTATTTCGAATGCTGAAATGAATATGGATTAATACCTAAGAGAATAGGCTTAATTATTAAAACAGTGATACTAATTCAATCAAATAATTATTCATATCCAATAAACCTTATATCCTTATTTTAGTTTAACACATAGTTAATACAATTTTCAAAGAAAAAAGATAGATTATAAATTTAATATTTTGTGTGTTACATGATTGTTTTATTATATCATATTCTCCAAAAGTTAATAATACCATTAACATCACTTGTAGATATTAAGTTATCACTAACTTTGTTTACACTATTGATGGCTGTCTAATGTCCAAATTTATCATCATCTGTCTTCTGTCCTATTATAATAGTTAATATTTTGTACCTTTTCCAGAAAAAATTTACTTTGCAGCAGCAATACTTCCAGATTTCTACACTTCTCCTTCTGCAGCCAAGCATTTTTCAATAATTGATGTAAACTTCAATGTTGGATCACAATTCAACAGAACTGGCTTTCTATCATATCCAACTCCCACTAATGTGGAATCATTTAAATATAGTATTTTATTAAATGGTTTTGTCTCTTTTATATAAGATGCCTAAATGATATATATTGAGAATGTACATTTTTATCTTCATCATCAACAATCAAACTTCCATCATTATTGAACGAATATTATTTAATTAATCCTGTATGTGCTGCGACTGCAAATTTATTGCCTGATTGATTAAAATCAATCGAATTAACCCAACCATTTAAATTTATTGTAACAAGGATTTCTCCAAATGTTTTAATGTCCTTGAATAGACCAGTGTATGACTAATCCTCAGAATTTTGATTTTCTTATATAACACATGAAACTAATTTAAATGTCTGATCAGTTGATCCTAATCCTAATACTCTTCCACTTGGATGGAATCTGCATGCTGTTACACTTGAATAGAAACAATTGATCTATTGATTATGCCACCAATTATTTTTTTCTTCAAAAAATAAAACAAATGCTTTATGGCATGCAGTCCCAACTACACATTTTTATCCATTAGGAGCCCATTCTCCTGACAAAATGGCTTTCTCATTTGTGATAATGACTAAATCTTTGCTCCAAGTATTATTGATATTTCTATATACATAAACCTATCATCATCTTAAAATTTACGCTTCTGTCATCACTTCCAATTAAAATTTTGTTATCTACTGACCAAGATAACACATTAATTTATTAAGATGCATCTTTCAACGTAGATACTTTTTACCATGTTCCAATCTTCTCTAATTAACCAACTTTATAAATATCTGCATTGCTGGTATTCTTAATAGAAAGAGCAACAAATTAGCCATCTGGTGACCAAGTATGAGTTACTAACTTTTGTTATTTCAGATATGATTCTGTCATTTTGTTAATAATATTTATATTGTAAAATATAATTGAAATCCATAATTTTATAGGATAATCATAATATTAAATTTTATATATCTATGTAATATCCTATTACATCCTCTCATTGTTATAAATAAGCTGCTTTGTTATAATTTATAAATATTATTATTTTTCATTCTATATTTCGATTATTATATTCAAACAATAATTATCAAAACTTTTATAGAGCTAATTTTTAACTAAAATGTTCACTCTGATTAAATTAGTTTATAAGGGTATACCTTTAGTTTATTTACTATAATTAAAATGTCAATAATCAAAGCACCTCATTCTCCTTAGATAATTAATTATTTGAAAGGTCGAACATAAGATAATAATAAAATATCACAATCCCTTAAAGTGGAAAAATCAAGAAATTCAATTATTGAAGATTAGGACGAATAAGTAACAGTGATTAAATAGAAAATCTATTAAGGAGACTTTTCAGAATTTGATAATACATTATAATAAAAGGTGTCTCCCAATGAAACCAAAATATTAATAAATAATAATGACTAATCAAATTCATTACAAATTAGAAATCATACTGAAGATGCTATGATATCTGTTTCACCTAAGGATTGCTGTTTTTGTGGGGAAGCATAAAATATATTTCCCATTTGCTAATGTTCATAAGCCCATCAAAAGTGTGCTAATGAATTTCTGCAATAAGGACCATATTTAGAATAAATCTAATGCAAAAATTGTAATCACTATAGACATGTCAATGGTGTTATTAATTTCGATTTTAGTTAATGGAAAAAAAACAAATCATCCCTACTTTTGGAACTCTTATTTTTAGTTATAATTTTGGCTATTTTTGGAGCTTTAACCTACTTTTCCTTCTTTGTAGTATATGATAAGATAGCTACAGATAGGATATTAATATCTTGTCTGGTGTTTTCATATACTATTTGGTTTATCTTGCTTATATGTTTGGTATCTAGAATGCTTACTCATTTTAAAAAAGTTAGGTTAATGATCAAAAGATTCGATGCTAAAAATGTTTAATATAATTAAAATTACGTAAATTTAATGATGAGATTATGAAATTTGACTCACATATGACAATATTATTATGAAATAACTAATTGTTGTTTCTTTTATTAAAATATATTTTTTATTATGATTTTTGAGATTTCAAATTACTGTAAAGAAATCAATAATTGCTTCATAGACTCTAAAATAAGCTAAGGCTAGAATGAAAAATATTTGTTAGGAAGAATTTAATCTTTGCAAGTATATCACTAAATTTACAATTTGATAGGATAGCTTGAAAGAATTTGATTTTTGGTTTAAAACTTAATTCAATAATGAGGAACTTCTAGTCAATTATATTTACACTGAATTACTAGAAGTTAGAAAAATAAATAAAGTTGTGTAATTCAAAAAGATTGATGAAAAATCATCAGAAATAAAAGGCTTAAGTATGGATTCATAAAAGAGTGCAGAGACATAATCCAGCATTTGTAGTGCAATGTAATAAAGCTAAACATAGTTTTAGATCTTATTATAAACAGTGCACTAAAAAATTATAGAAAAAAGGATCATTATTGATGGAACTTCTCAATAATAATAAAGAAGAACAAATAGATCAATCCAATATCTAAACTCCTCCAAAGCCTTATTCACTTGAGAAAATCTAATATGTGATTAATTTTGAGATTAATTGTTTGAAACAATATGAAATTAGTGGTGAGGAAGAAAATTAATTGCAAGTTATCCAAGATAAAGAAGTGTTAAGATGGATTCTTGATACGATCTAAACCAAGAATCATTACAAACAAATTCTTTAGTGTTTAATTAACTCTGCATAGGAATTAGCTAATTATTAGATAGAAGACTTTACTTAAGCCATTGAGAAAATGAACAGTCAAAGCTCCTTTTAGACTAATGATGAAAATCTTAAGTCTATGAGCAATTAATCATTCTAAATTAATTAAGATGCTTTCAAATTATTGATAGAGAATAAAATAAAATAAAGTATGGCTGAACAGAATGAAAAAAAGAAAAATAAAACTAAATCAAAAAAGTCTATTGCATCAAATAAATATGATAATTCTGATACGAAAGTCTGCATGTGTTCAATATTTTGATAAACCAAAATTGATTTTTATTTGTTTATTGTTACTTAACAAAAGTTTCAATTCTTATTTAGTCATTTCAGATTAGATATATGCTTATTATTGTATATGTTCTAATATTAGATTGATTTTTAATTATTTAAACTAATAGGCTAGATGTATAAGTCGTGTTTGATGACAAAGAATTAAATTATTTAAAGAAAAAAAGACAGAACTTATAAAATTATTCAAGTAAAATATTATAAATAAAATTCTTGATTTATTTTAAATATATCTAATAGCAATTTATATTACAAAATATGATAAAAAGACTCTTTTTGGTTGTTTTTGAAATAAATTTGAGAAAAATGGTTCAAATAAAAAATCTAAAAATAGGCAAAAAAGATTTATGTATTATATCCTAACAAAAATATCATTTAATTTAATATTTTCGACTGTTGCTTAAAGTATGATTTTTTTTTCAACAAAATTTGAATCATGATTTATAATTTGCCCATAAATTCTAAGTACCCTAATGAAGAAGATTATATTTAGAGTTAAAAATGTATTTTTATTTTATCATTCGATTGAATATAATCAATTATAATGGGTAGTGTCTGTTGTCGAGATGACTCTAGATAATAAAAAGGTTGTCTTATCATTAGTATTGTAGATGAGTTAGATACATCGCCTAATCCTGATGCAGCAAAGCCTCCAGAATAAAAAGTCTCACTTTCCCAACAAGGAAGCAAAAAATCATAAGTTGAAGAAATTCAAGTTTAAGTTGAGAATAAATAAAATGAATATGTTTTGGAAAGTGAACCCCATAATGAACTTGAGTAAAAATAACCTGTAACTAACAAAGAAGAAATACCTAAAAATTCAGAGATTGTTTAATCACAAAAAAGGACTACTGAACAAAGTAGAAATGAGTTACTATTATTTAGATAAAGGCGAGGTAATGAAAGCTAGTTTGGAGGCAGATTCAAAATCTAAAAAAATGATTAAATTGGGGTTTGATATATTTGTGAAATAGAAGGAGGGCTCAATAGGATCACATTACAATTTTGGTAAGGTTTTGGGTTAAGGTGCATTTGGTAAGGTATGGAAGGTGACTCATAAAACTACTGGGTTGATAAGAGCAATTAAATAGATCAAGAAAAGTTCAATAATTAAAGAAGAAGAGCAGAGATTGTTCTCCGAAATGAATATTTTAAAAAACTTAGATCATCCTCACATCGTTAAATTATTTGAACTATATTAAGATGAGAATAATTATTATTTAGTAACTGAGTAATTTTATTGTAATATATAGATATTTATCAGGAGGAGAACTATTTGATCGGATAAAAAAGATGTCTTCATTTAGTGAGAGTATAGCTGCAGATTATATTCGATAAATATTATTGGCCACATTATATTGTCATGAGTAAAATATAGTACATAGAGATTTGAAACCTGAAAATATCATTTTTATAAGTGAAGATCCCCAATCTTAACTGAAAGTAATTGATTTTGGGACCTCACGGAAATTCGACAATTAAAAGGCAATGAGCAAAAGACTAGGAACAGTATCTCAAAAAATCATCCTATTTATAGCCATATTATATTGCACCAGAAGTTCTTGGACATTCTTATACTGAAAAATGTGACATTTGGTCTTGTGGAGTGATCCTGTATATTTTGTTATGTGGTTATCCACCATTTGTGGGGAAAACCGAGAATTAAATATTAGAGAGAGTTAAATTAGGCAAATTTACTTTTGATCGTAAGTTAAATTAAGTAATTAATATAGCTGAGGATTGGGATACAGTTTCTAAAGAGGCCAAGGAGTTTATCACCAAATTGCTTAGAATGGATCCAACTAAGCGATTATCCGCCAAATAGGCTTTAGAAGATCCTTGGCTGATTAAGTATGCCCCATCAACTTAAATCAACAAAAAAGTCTTAAATAATCTCAGATAATTCTAAGTACATTCAAGGATGATTTATTGATAGGCAGAAACCATATTAAAGTAAGCTCTAATGTCATACATGATTACACAAATGTCAACTCAAAAGGAATTGTAAGATTTGCAAGAGGAATTTCAAAGATTAGATGAAAATAATGATGGTTTTTTATCCAAAGATGAACTATTAAAAGGATATATCCAAATCTAAACTGATTCGAAATTGGCAGAGGATGAGGTTGAAAGAATACTTTAGATGATTGACATTAATAGATCAGGTTAGATTGATTTTTCAGAATTTTGCATGGCTGCTATGAATCAAGAGAAATTATTATCAGTCTAAAGAGTTGAATAAGCATTTAAGATCTTTGATTAAGTTAATTATTGTCATAATATAGAATGGAGATGGTTTTATTTCTAAAAAGGAATTAGAGGCAATTATGGGGGATTTGGGTGATGATGTTTGGAATCAGATACTAACTGATTGTGACAACAATGGAGATGGGCAAATATCCTATGAAGAATTTGTTAAAATGCTAAAGAATAAAAAACTTTGATTTTTAATATATATTATTATATTAATCTATAATTTATAGATGCAATAAACAGTAGTCACAATAGATCCATCTGTAATTCTTAAATTAATATTAAGGTCTGCCATGCAAAATTAAAGAGTGATAAAACTTTGTGTGGCTTAGCCTACTTTGATGATTAATAGTCTTAAAGAGGAATCGTCTCTGAATCTTTAGAATATTTCAGGTTGATGACATTCTTCAAAAATTATAACTATGAAGGTTTTAAATCAATATAATTTCTAGGACCTTCTGATATTTTATTAATCTACCTATGGGTTGTGGCCGCACACATGATAAAAACTATAGAGAATGACTAGGATCAATAAGCTGCTGCCAAGAAGCTTGATGAAATCGCCAGAGAGGCTATCCCAACAAGAAGTGGAGATAAAAAAAACTTTCTTGGTGGACTTCTCAAAGAAACACCAGGAGAAACTGATAAAATATAGGGATATTTGAAGGGACTTAAAGATATTCTTGGAAAAGAAATAATAGCAAAGTAATTATTGTACTAATATTTTAAGGTTCTTCAAAGAAGGCAAAAGAACATTTGATGCTAAGTTTTGGATTGGAATTGCAAAAAGAAAGTTTATGGGATTAAGTTATACAGGATTATGAATTGAATTTGCATTAATATATAGAATTGATCAAATGAAATATTTATAAATCAATTACCTTATAATCTTAATTCCTTTAATTTTCTAATTCCTTGCTAAATTCAAGTTTGACAGATTTTAAGTGTGTTATAGAATAATCTTAATGATGAAAAAGGATTTAGGAATTTTTGAAAGTAAATATTAAATGTACATTCGAGAAATTCATTAACTTAGACAATTAAATATTTATTAATTTTATAAAATCATAATCAATAAGCTAAAAGAATTATTTATCATATTCAATACATAGTTCATTGGAATTACTCAAAAATATAGAACTAAATATAAATCTCGATCATCCCAGAAAAACTATGAAAAATACTGGTATATTTCATTTAAGGAATTTGTAAATGAATAAAAGGATAATACTTTATAGAAATCGTATTTTGTATTAAATTTAATTTAGATAATAGATTATACTCTTTTATATTATATTAATGATGCATTTTCATAATAAATGGTTTTAATAGTAGGTGCTATTTATAAACCAATATTCAATAAAAAATTCAATAAAATTTATATAACAAAAAGTTGAAAAACTGAAGTAATGATGATGTATGCATTTGAAAAATTGAAATAAATATATTTTTAATATTTTTCACTATATATTTAGTAGATCTTGAATTAAAGCTTTATTTAGTTTGCGCCTAGAATTATTTTAATAAATTACTTCTTTGTAATACCACAGTTTACAAAATCAAATTTAACGATGTTTTCACTTATTTTAATTTCCATTTAATCTTCAATGAGTTAAGGTCTGCTTGATTATAATTTCTTATCATGATTTCTTTATGAAAAGTTTTGAAGTGATTGCCAAGTTCCGTTGGCTGACTCTCTTACTCCTTCTCCATCATGAATGAACCATCTTAAAATAGTATATAAATAGTACTCATTATTTTTATAAATAATTTAAGCTTGTTTTCTTGAGACAGTATTAATATTAACTAACACGTCACATTCTTGGGATCTACCAATTTTATATACAGATTCTTAATTGTAGTTAGCAACAAAAATATGAGTAATTATTTAATGAATTGCTTAGTTATCGAATGTAATTTTTAAATAGGGTCTATCATATTCGCTTAGCTTTTATGAAGTTCTTTGTTTTTATTTGGTTGTTTTAATTTCATTCATAGCAACATTAAACATTTCTGTTTCTTCCAATGTCAATCCATGAATTTTAGATCCTCTTCTTATATGTTCCTTTGCAAGTGCATTATAGAAAAAGCTTTAGTCTTTTTTTACTTTTTTTGATTTATTTTGCTTTGGCTATGATTTCTTTTCTAAAACATGGAAAAATGTGTCTGCTCCAATCAAATAAGTATTTTCTTATTCAATAGTTCTTATTTTGTCCTTTTTAATCTTCATAAAAGTACCAGCTCTGGTTCCATTATCGCAAATATAAAATTAAGGTTTATTTCTAAGAATAATTATAAGAAATACTTGATAAAAGAATAAATATGCTTTATAACTGAAAAAGGTAGTTTTGATGCATGTTGATTATTCCTTATAAGAGAAAAAAATAGTATAAGAGGTTTAGTAAGAGTATTTGAGAAGACGAATCCTTGATCAGTCAAAATTTTGCAGTGAACTTTTTCAACGTTTTTATCCCCATGTGGTAAATCTTAAATGAATTTAAAGAATAAATACAGATATCACATGTGTCTTGCTTTTCTTCTTACTGCTTTTTTCTACCAATAATTATTTCTTTTTTTTAATCGGACCCCAAGATTCTAAATTAGTATACAATTTATTACCTATCATTTTGAAGGATAAATTCTTAGTCAGTTTAACTTGAGTGTTATTTAAAGACAGTAATTCGAATGTGAGGTTGATTTTCATTCAAATTGTTATTTTAATGTGTTATATTTTATACTGGTTATTCCTATTGCATAACATCATCTTAAAGGGAATTTTATTCTCTATTGGTTTACGATTACAAAATCATAGAATGAATTTAGTTCAGTGGGTGCTGAATCTAATTGGAAATTATTGATGATTAGCTTACATTATCATCCTCTATAACAATACAATTATCTTATGAAGTCCCTGGGACTACTGGCTAGTAAATTGGACTCACTTATTATGGAAAATTGCAGATTGGATATTAAGGGACCATTGGTATGGCTAGTTGATGAATATAAGGTAAATAGTAAACTACAAAATTAATTGCATATAATTACATAATTAGAGAGGCTTTGGTTAAAGTTGGTAACTCATTCTCAGCTATTTTTTTGAATAAATTAATTATTTTTTATAATTCCTAGCTATAATTAGCTTATAAATGACTGAAAATTAGAAACTTATTGATATTATTATGCGTTTTATAACTATCATTCTATTTGTCATTAACATATTCAATTGCTTTGTATTCCAGTCCAGTTTAAATGTTATTTAAAACCAATGAAGATATCATAATTATATATATATATATATTATAAAACCTATGTTTTACGATTAACTTCTATAACATTTAAAAATATTATTTGTATGTAATATTAGAAGGAAAAAATAAATTTAGTTGGTTAAATAGTAATTGAAACACTTATCAATAGCTATTAATCCTTAACTATAATAGTTTAGTTGCATATCAAAATGAATAATAATCTTAAAATTTTTCAATTTCTTAAAGTTAAGTACCCAGCTATTCCATCAATATCTTACAAGTTTGAATTGTATTAAAAAAGACTTCTTTTCTTTTCCTACAGAATTAGACAACATAGTATTATATAATTTTATATTAATTAAATAGAACAATATGTTCCTTATATATGTTCATATTTTATATAAATGGATATTTTAATCCCAACTGCAAGTGGCAATAATCTTTCCAGTGCCGTGAAATTCAATTGCAGTAACTCTTTGTTTATGACCGATTAGATTATACAATGGATTATAAAATTATCCCTTCCTTTCAGTTTACCAAACCCTCGCGGCACCATCTCTAGCACCAGTTCCAAATCTTCTTTTATCTTTATCAAAATTTAAACAATGAACCTAATTTTTTTTAAAACTTTCATACGCTATCACAATGAACTGGTGATTAATTAATTTTTGTTAATTCTTTCTTCTTCCCATCAAAATTATACTCGCTAATACTTTGATTCTTTGAAAATATATGATTTATTTACCTTAGAAGCTACAAATAATTTATAGTTATCTTCTGATATTTTTAATGACTAAATTGCATAACATTTATTCTTTTATGTGGCCTTTGTATTTTAAATTTCTTCTATTTTTTAACTATCATATGCTTTGATAACTCCCATTGAGTCTCCAGTAAAAAAGTATTTGCTTTATTGACTGAAATTAATGTTGTAAACAATATCCATGGATACTAAATTCTTCATAGATTTAATTACTTTGAAGATCTTTTATAAGCTTCAACTTTCGTAAGTCCCATAGTATGAGATGCCCATCTTATCCTCCACTTGCTAAATATAATCCATTATCACTCGCTTGAATCCAGTATATCTAATTGTTTAATCAATAGTGTACTCTATTTTTGTGCTCTTTTAAAGCTTAAACAGTCTTACCGCTTTTAGCATCCCAGACTAAAATTGATTTATCTGGAGATCCGCTAAAAATTTATTTTCCATCAAGAGAATAACTAATTGACCAAATTCCTTCTCTAAAATAAAATAAATTATAAATACTTATGTCCTGAAAACTTAGCTGATTCTTTTTACTTCGTAACATCCCATATTTTTATTAATTTGTCATGTGAGCCTGTCGCCAACTCTGATTGATTAGAAGGATTAAATTACAAGCATTCAATGGAATTAGAATGTGCCTATATTTAATTATATATTTTACTTATTCAAACTTTTGAAATGGTTCTATAGAGTTATCCAACCAATTTTCTTAGGATTACATTTATTAATATTGTAAAATATTGAAAATCAAATAAAATAAGTATTATTTTCTTTTTATTTTAATCCTTACGCTGTTGACTATCTATTTTCTATGTGATTCTAGAGTTGCATCTATGGTTTTTAATTTTAGAATTCTAAAGATATTTGAGTAATTATTTAGAAATGTAAATTAGTTTTTTATATGTACTATGTTTAATTTATTAAAGAGTATAATAATATATATATTTGCGCTTTATTTCTGAACATTTAAAAATTATTTTATAATAAAAAATTACTTCGAAATAGATGGAATTAGAATTTCAAAGAAGTTCAAAATAATACCCTGTTGAAAGTTCTAAAGAAAAATAAAAATAAAGTAACCATGTTTCAAAGTATGGAAATAAAAACACACCAAGTAATAAATGTGCAATATTTGTTTTTAAAGATTAGAAAATAAAATTTAGATTTCCTCTTATAGATGAAAAAAGTTGTGATTTTAGATCAGTACAATAAGAAACATTAGGAGGTCACCCATAAATTAAACATGCTTAGAAACCAAATTTGCAATAGAATAATTCCATAAAAATGGAAGAAGAAAATAAAGAGAATGTAAATATCCTTTTAGAGACCCCTTTTTATGAAGTAAATAAAATTGACACATTCAAAATATTTAATCAAAATTACTAAAATAAATTGCATGAACAATGATTTAACTTATAACTTATTTAATCTTTATATTCAAGTATTTTTATAATATATGTTCAAATAGTGTTAGTACTATTCAGAAATCATTTACTCCAATTTTCTCCTATATTAATTATGCCAATTATATTAAAAGCTGTTTATATTCATTTGGTAATTCTCTAATATCCTCATCTTAAATCTATTAAAGAGTAAAGCAAAAATTATTTAATTAGGTGTAACTCAATATTCTATCAGTGATATTCTACTTTTTCTTATTTGTAAATTTTGATGATTTGAGTGATTGCATATTTGGTTGCTGAGAATTCAATTTTTCATGAGTTATACATTAGAATAAAGGATTGTAAATCTAAGAATAATAGTTTTAATTTTAGGTTGATGACATTGTATTACATCTCTCCTGTAATTGGCTTTTGTGTTTTGAGAAATTAATTTTTTATTTGAAACCTGAATTTGTCTTTTAAGGTGAACTCTGTGTTTTAGTATAATTTTTTGATGGACTTTTAGAAAAATCAGTTTTTTAAATATCAGCTTTTAGTTTTCGCCTAAAATCAGTAAATTCTTGGAGAAGGTCATTGGGTTTCATGTGGCAGTTAATAATAAATATAATTTGTTAATAATTTTAATATAAATTATTAGATTTAGATGGCCGACCCAGCGTAATAAATAAATATTAAATTATGTGACATGTCAAGTGATTTATTAAAGGATGCTCAATATATAATTCTTGAAAATCTGAAAAAACACAGCCATGAAAGAGATATTGCATATTACATTAAGAGGGAGTAAAATATTTGAACAAATAATAGATTGGATAAGAGACACACAGGTCCTTGGCATTGTGTGGTTGGGAAGAATTTTGGGATTTTCGTAACACATGAAGAAGGGTATTATTTGTAAGCAATCAAGGGATAAATCACTATAGTGGTTTGGAAATGAATAATATGAAACTTCTTTATTTTATAGTTTAAATTATAGATGTGTAAATATATTTTCAAATTAATTTACGACAAACGGGACATTACTATTTAATAATAACCCATTGTTGAAGACAATGATCATGGAAATGATGTCTATAATTTAAAATAGTAAATTTACTTAACACTGCATGGTAATTGTACAATTAAATCATTATCTTCATAATCGCACATACAAATATTGCATTGTTAGATGGCTGAGAACTCAGGACCACTTTTGTATTAAAACTTTTTCATTTTTTTGAACTTATTCTAAAAATGAATTAGGATTATTACTTTTGTTTGAAGTCTCTTGAAAATTTTACCTATAGTTTTAAATATAAATAGAAAGAGGATAATAGGCATGTATAAGGCCATTGATATTATGGCCAATCCAAATCCAATAATCAGAAAAGCAGAAAACAAATACCCTATCAGAAGTAGAACAAAGGTAACATTGTTTAAACCTAGTATTAAATTAATTGAAAGAATTACTATCATCACAATCATTGGAATCTGATTGGAAGTATGCAATATTACCTCCTGTAAATATAAGGTAGAAAATGAATTAATTGTAGACTTTCATAAGACGAGTGTATTTATTCAAAGCCTCTGCTTAGTGTATTATTTCATATTGAGTAAATGGTGGTTCAGCTATTAATTCTTCTTATCTTATGTCTCTCGTTGATAATTTCATTTTGATCAGAGTTTTTATTTGATTTCGTCTAAAGTTTATTTTAGAATTATTTTTTTACTTATTTTTTTCTTCCATTCCTTAGAGATTCATTTATTCTTCAGAATCCTTTGTCAACATCTCTGCCATGACCAATAAGAAGATATCTTTTGAATTCATTTATAATGAATATAGCACAGCCAAATACCTAGAATATGTAAGGAATAAATACCTGATCGAATTGAAAAATTCATACATGCCAACAATCGTCAACCAAACAAATAATGGATTAACATCGCATTGTTGATCACGTTGCTATAAACTATAAAAACAAACTAAGTACTTTCCAAAACTGAAAAGTAAATTAAAACCTAATGCGCTATACAATAATTTTACCTATATATTTATATGATTCTTTGAATTAAACTCTAAAATGCTCTTTAAGTAATTTGAACTTCTTTTCATCTTCATCTTTTGAAATTTTATTTTCTTGGTTTTAAGAAGTTTCCTCGAGTTCTCGATTCATTAATATAATTATAGTTATAATAATAATAAGTCAATTATTTAAATAATGAGTTCTTTCGTAATTATTATTATAAATTCAATTATAAAATATTTAAATAATTCTTATGTATGTTTTGAATTACAGAATTCCTCATTCTAAATTAGATAAACGTTAAGCTAAAAACAACACAAATCTGCTATTAATTAAGAAACATAAATGGTTTACAATAATCTGGATTTTTTAGCTGTTTAATTGGAGTAGGATTGACTAAAAATGATCATTCCTATTTAAGATTATTTCATGGAATTTAGAAATTTTCAGTTTAATCAAGCTAATCCACATCAGCTAATCATTCAAAATATCTTCAATATCAAAGCCAAATTTAACACAATAATTCCCTTTCTAAATTATTTTATGTTTAAAAAGAAATTGAAGATTATAAATATCAGCAAATTACTTAACATCAATAATGACACCCTTCAACTTAATAAAATAACTAATTTATCCCAGATCTAAAATATGTTTTAATTTTATTCATGTTATTGATGTCGGTTGATTTAATAAAATTGGAAAGTAGAATAAAAAATTGATTCAACTAACGCACTTAAAGAGATGTCAAAATCATTTAAACATTTCATTTATTATTGTAATGAATATTATGAAAATTGAAAAGTATATAAATTTGTTATACTACAATTATTGCAAGAAAAAGTATAATATAGTGATGATTGAAAAGAACATTTGGAGTAACCAAAACATTTTTAATAATAAGTCATTAATGATACCTATATTGATTAATATCTATTATTCATTTTAAGATAATGACATTTCTTTTTGGTTTCAGATAAAGGACCTAAGATATCACATAGGAAGAATGCATAGATTTAGTTAGGATCAAACTAGTATTTCATTTGATATATGAAGAGGTTTGTATAGCCTACATATTTTATATTAGACACATGCATTCCTAAAATCTTCATTAGAAAAATATGCTTGAAAATTCGGGAGTCAATAAAAGTAGAAAAATACTTAAAAATGTAGTTTACGTTAGAATTACTGATTTGGGTGTGTCTAGATACATAGCCATGATAATGCTCAAGATAAAGAACGGTATATCGTATGTATATACATCATAGGTGAAGTGTAGATAGAATCATACATTTTTGCGTTGATTACTTTGTAAACCTTTATTACTTATGTATAAAATAATAAATTGAATTTGTAGCGATCTTAAGATAAATCTGATTCTAGATACATATCTATTTAAATTAAGAAAATAAGGAGTTAATCGAATAGAACCCTCTGTTTTTTAGAAGAAACTCAATGGAGAGTATTAATTTACTAATATGATGCATAATTTAATGGATGTGATCTTAATAACTTTACTTATACAAGCGAGCCAATCAAATAACAACTTAATTATATTAATTATTGAATAATCTAATTTATTTTATTTAATTTTTTATTCTAATGGATGAAGAAGTTTTAGATAATTTAGAAGCAGTAGAAGATGATAATGAAACTTCTAATTTTCCTTTATTTTAATAAAAACAAATTGCTGAATTCATCAAAAAGATACTTGGTGATAATATAACAGCATAAAAAGCATTTCGAGATAAGTTTAATAGATGTCTAAGTCTTTTCGTATTTTATTTGAGTCATATGTATGAAAATTAATAATTCCAGGGTAACAGTCATTAAAGAGGACACTAGAAAGAAAAAAAATGAAAAAAAGAGAATGCAAATAACAAAAGATGATATTATAATGACTTTAAAAGCAATTGATTTTTAGGAAATAGCTGAATCAATACAAAGTATGAAATAGCTGATCGTAATTAGATCTTCATATATTGCAATCTTCTTTAGAAAATGGCATTTAATAAGAGAATTAACTGGATTAAGGAGAGGAACATGAGGAAATGCGGGAAATATAAAATTTTGAAAATATAGAAGATGAATAAAAAGAGGAAGAGATTGATGATAATAATGAATAGATATAGGATAATCAGGATTAAGGCAATGAAGAAATTGAGGATGAAAATAATTAAGATATTGAGAATGAAAATGGATAGGATGTTGAGAATGAAAATGATTAGTAATGAGAGTTTGAATTCTTGATGATAAATACTTTTTTGTGTTTTATTAATAATATATATTTTAAAATGAAAAAGAAAAATTTATTTCTTGCCAAGAAAGCAGAAGATAGTACTTTGAATTAGTATTGGTTTTCAGAATAAACAATTGAATTCTTGGTTGATCATATTGAGTCAATTTATTAGAATGGATAAAAGATTGCATTCCTATCAACTCCATCGATTTATTGCAGTTTAAAGAATTAGGAAGTTAAATAGAATTCAGCACTTTTTGAATTTGATCTTAAATTGAATAAAGAGAAGGGGTTTGTGTTTTATGATTTCAACAAGCCTATAGAAGGATTGGAATAATTCAAAAACACTTTTGATATAATTTTGATTGATCCTCCATTTATAACAGAGGAAGTGTGGGGTAAATATGCTCAGACAATAAATTATATAAAGAAGGAGGATGCTAAGATTTTATGTTGTTCAATAAAGGAAAATGCTAAAATGCTATATGAGTTGATAAAGGTTGTGCCTTAGCAATACAAACCATCGATTCCTCATTTAATATATCAATATGACTTTTATTGCAACTATGAACACGAGATCTTAAAAAAGGTAAACGATGAAATAGGATTTTGAATAATATATTCGAATTAAATTATGAGATAATATAATACTAATATACCTATATTACTATTGATATATATATCATCAAGCTTTTTGTTTTTACTCTAAATGTCTTTTTTTTTGGGAATCCTTGTCCATAGGTAACTAAAATGGTAGAATAGCATAATATACCTTTAATAATTCTTTAAGTGCTGCATCATTAAGATCATGAACAGGTTTGAATTTGGTTTCATCTAATTTGAGTCCAGAAACTTAAAGAGTGCTGTTTGCTAAGACAGCAACAGTTATTGTGAATTATGCAACAATGCTATTTGGACTGACTAAAACTGGATATGGGTTTAATAATTCATGTTTGGCACATTCTTAGACAGCCAACTTAGCTGTGATTTCATCTTCAAAGACTCTCAATGAGAAGCATAAAGATGGGTATTTGTCATAAACTTCTTACATGAATGCTCTTCCATGTTTAGTCTTTAATTGATATTGTCTATCCAAAGCTCTTTTGTAAACTGTGGTTCTTACGTCAGACTAAATGAATGAAATGATTAAATACTTCTTTGGTCTTTCCATCTCCTGTTGTGATATATACATCTAACACAAAAACATCGTTGACTTGGATTTCTTCCTCATCGACTCTTTATTCTTGTGTTTCTCTATTGATTATGACTTTGTTTCCATCAATGAAGTGTCTCTTAACATCATGACTCAAAACACCTTCTAATGGTGTGCATTTGTGATCGTCTGCTATTTATTAGATAATTCTAGTCAAAGCAGTATTAGTGACTCCTGGTTTTATTGATCTGAATAAAGCTTAGACTGATTAATAGGCTGCCAATATGACATCTGCCTTTTAGCCTTCCACTTGATCTTCACCTACGACAACTGTGTGTGCTGCAATGGCAATATATCCATCAATATGAACTCCCAATTCACTATGACATTATTATTAACATTTACATTTTGGCTACATCACCCTTGGCAAGTTAACTGGATTCACTCTTTAATGGAGAATAATGACCGCAAATTTAATTTACAGAAATTGTTGTTGGGAATGCTAAGCCTTTTTCAATTCCTTTCTTGTTATACACTTTTTGCAATTCTCCATTGATTTCTTAGTCACCGAAGGCACAAATTGAAGCGATATCAGCTTCTGGCTTTAATTTAGTGATCACTTTTTCGAGTACAACTATTTAATAATCAATTTAAAAACTTACCATTTGCAATCTTACCGGCGTTTTAATATTTATCCAAGACTCCTGGAGTAGCTATCGATTCAAGCTTGTCTTACTCTGTTTATTAATCCATAATTAATTTAAATATTTATTTAAATCTTTATATATATTATAATCATATAAATATACTTATTTTAGCTAATTTATTCATCCACACACTCCTAATGATTCCCACATATTCTCTGAGTCCTCATACTCATCTACTTTGAATTTCGGTTGCTGCATCCCAAAATCTACATCTGGAGTAAATACCTTGTCAACAGTAAGTTTGAAAGCATCGTCTAACATTCTTGGGATCAGTATTTTCAATAGATTCGAGCTTTCCTCAATACAAGGATTAGCATTAACTTCAATGAGCCACAACTTAAGATTTTCATCAATCATAAAGTCGTAACCCAATATTTGCATCCCATACTTTCTATTCCTCTTATTCATTCTAGTTGAACTCAAAGTGAGTTTCACAACCTCCTTTATTTTTGGCCACCCCTCCTTTCTAAAATCGTATTTGGTTTCTTATTAACTATTGATTATGAATGAGACCTTACTCCAATTGCTTCTGAAATCGTTTTAAGGATAATTAATTCCCATCTTCAAATTATCCATAATTCTAAGCATTTTTTTGAACTGCATTATTCGTCAAATGAATGTATCTATCTTTCTAATATGGTTTAATCAATATATACATTCTCTAAAGAAAAGGTTGTTCCACTTGTCCTTATATACGCTTCCCTAAATAAGTAGTAGTGCATTTCATGAGTGATCAATACCCAACATCTTATATCGAATTTCCTTCCTCCCAATAGCAAAGGCCTTTCTATGTACTTCTAAATCACAAATTCCTTGCATTCATAATTACCCTTGCCATAATAGTATGATTTTATGAGCGTTTCAACTTCCTCCAATGTGTTGAACACATGGACTCCTTCTCCTCTATTCCAATCTGCTGGCTTTAGTAGCCATAAATATTGAGTCTTGTTTGTTAAAGTTTCTTGCATTTTATATGTTTTAATTCCATTATAATTTACTTTGTTTGCAGGAAGATTGGATACATAAAAGTCAAAGTCTAAATTAGTTTTCATGGAGGTTTAAGTTAGTGGATTATTATTACAATAAAATTCAGTAAATTATTATACGTCCTTCACCCAATCTGAGTTCTTAAAATTTATGATGAACACCAAGGGAATGACGTCAAATGTTTTCTCTATATTATTGTAGTATTGTAGTAAAGATATTGACAACCCTATCTTATTTGATATATTTAGTACCAGATTTAGATGTGATATTTTTATGGAATTCAAAAAAGTTGTACATCACTCTTGTGAATAGACTGTCTGAAGCTGAGAGTCTATTGAAATCCATACCAAAGTAGGATTGCTGCCATATAAAGTGCTTATATTGAAATTATTAGGGTACAGAACTCCAATATTATTCTCTTTTTTATAAAATACGTTTTACCAATTCTCCATTATTTCCAGGTCCTATATAATAATTAAACTATGTAAGATTTTATTTCTTTACTTTAAGTTTTGGCAACTCTTTTTCTCTGTTTATTTTTTAGGGAGGATTTTAGGTTTAAATGATGTTTACTTTTTACCGATTTGCGAAAGGTGTGTAATTGTTAGAATGATACTATCTTTTGTTTGCTTTTTCTAAGCTTTCCGATAGTTTTTATGCGTTCAATGGGTCTTGTTTAAATTATCTAACTATTTAACGATTTGAGATAGAGGGTAAAACAGGGATTTACACTTGCTCCTCCGTTACGTCAGCTAAGGGAGACTCTTTTCCAGCCAGTAATTTGTCTCGCTATTGCTAACGTGCTAAGTAGTATTTGACCCCATCAGCATAAATATTTAAACTTTTTGCTAGATCAGGTTTTTATTTGATTATTTTCTACAGTGTTTTTTTTTATCTGTCATCTGCTTTACATAATAACTCTAAATTGTGAAAATTTCCTAATGATTTGCTTTATATTTGCTCCTCCTTTTCTTTTTTCTTTATTCTCTTTTCTTTTGATGCCGATGCCATATTCGATTTATATATTAATCAATAATATTATAAAAAATTTCGTTGTTTATTAACATACTCTCTATGCAAGTTTAAACTTAATTATGAAAATTTTAGATTGTTAGAATAATTCTGGTTTATATTTATAATTTTATTTGCAATATCAGATTAATAAATAAAATATATTAAATATATAAATGTACGATTTTACAAGAATGCAAAAATTAGTTGATAGAATGTAAAAACTATAACCTCCCAATCCTCCCCCCGATAATAGGTTTTTGCCTGAAGAATTAAAGAAAGATAAAATTGTAGAAGATCCCCAGAAGGATGTAAAGAAGGCAAAAAGATAACTCCTAATTAAGAATTAAAAGGCTTAAAATGGGTTGAAGCCCATCGAAGATGAAAGACTTTTTTTGATTTAAAAAGAGAATTACTTAAAGAAAAAGTAAAGAGAATTGGAGATGGAGCAAGTCAAAAAAGAATTAGCAGAATAAAAAAAGTAGGAAAAATTAAAATTGGAATAAGCAACCTAAAGGGCACTCGTCGTTGTCAAAGAAAAAAAAGAGTAAAAAAGCAAATTTATTGTATTAGGATGACATAAGTTGAGAAGGAAGAAAAAATAAAAAAGCGAAATGATAATGAATTTTATAAGAGAAAACAAAAAGCTAATAATTCAATATAAATGTCCTCAATCGACGCATCCTATGTGTCACAAAATTTAAATTCCTCTTTAATTAAGAAATAAATTTTGGATTACCATACTCTACCAAAAGAACAATATAATCGCATTTATCGTCAACCAGTAAGCCCACCAAAATGAATTAAGCAATATATTATTCATTAAAATATATATTAAACAAATTATAGTTCTCAAAATCTTCAATAAATAGTTCATCTCAGAAATTATTGTCTTTAAAGATTGCCACTATTGCGATAAAATCTTTATAAGCACTCTCATGAAATTCACTATAAAAGTCTAATCAGTGCCGTTATTATTCTGTCTGATCTGTAAAAAGATTTAACTAGCCTTGATATTATTAACATCAATAATTTTATTAAGATTAATTTAAAAAAATTTCATCATTTTTATATCTTATAACTCAGGTTAAAACATTATCATTAAAATTGGTTAAGTCATTTTTAAATGAAATTTTAATTTTATTGATTTACAATTTCTTTGATATAATTATCTCAAAAATTTACATAAACCATTTGAAGAAATGCATATATCCACTACAAAAATAAGTAAACTTTCTAGATTAGTATTAATTTATGAATATATTTAAGTACCTTTAGATATATATTGATTCATATAATTTTAAGAAATTGAAAATAGTGAAAATTAATTATTCCTTGAATATATATTGATAATGTTCTACCAATTAACAATAATTTTATGGTTGAATATAAACTATTTTTTTAATTAATATTTTATTGCAAAGAAGCACAACAGAGTTTTAAATGATTTTATGGATAGAAATTAGATTTTAATCTTAATTTAAATTTAATAGTATGGTATGATATAAATATTATTCATTTACTAATTAATGCTTATAGTAAGTTTGTATGTATTTCAGAAAGAGTGTTTTACATATCATCTTAAAAATAGGGCCTTTTTTGGAAAAATTATTGAAATTTCTATTCTTCATATACTCCAATGATGTATCTGTCATCTTCAAGATTTTCAACTTTTTATAATTTCGCTTAGAATTTTCCACTCACTTCTTTTACATTTAATTAGATTAGTCTATAATCTGGATTTGGATTTACAATTGGAAGGTCAAAATATTTCATAAAATGAATTTAAACTAATGATACCATGCATTTAATAAGAAATTAAGATCCTGAAATATCAAATAAAGCTGGTAAAATATGTACTATAATAACAAGATCGCCTATGATCATTTATTATTGAATTTTAGTCATTGCTAATTGATTTTCCTTCCAAAATTATACTCGTTTGGATATAAATAGGCCTCTGTCTATATTGGGTTCTTCGAAGAACTACAAATAGGATAAATATTTAATTTCTGGGATCAGAAAATCACTTGTACAATATGTTAGTAAACTTGTCATTAAATATTTAGTTGAAATAGTAAGTTACATAAATGATTAATCAATTTCTGTTTCTGTCAGTAATTTTTCTGGATTCTAAGGATATGATATAATAATTACAATAAAATCGATTTCCTTGATTTTGCTCAAATAATTATCCACTTTAGCCAATACCATTTTACACCAATCTCTAATTCGTTTCATTAATACTGGATATGATGTTTTTGAGATAAGAGATTTGCATTCAACTGATCGTTTCATTAGCTTTCTCCATAAGATTTTATTGGGTCTACAGTAGATTTTCCATCTCATTGCAAATCTTACAGCATTGAATATATTTTTCAATTTAGATTTTTCAACTTTCTTTTATTCTTGGCATTCTGGTTCCTATAAAACTATAATGTAAGAATACTTTCATGAAAATCTTTTATTTGGGTTTTTAGTTTACTCTTTTAGAAACGTAAGGGATGGATTGACTACTACTTCTTTCTGAATCAGTAATTTAAGAGACAGAATTTTAGGTTTTGTTTTAATTTTTTTTCTTATTTTTGCCTTTTAGGTTTGTGTATTTGTCTTTGGTGTAGGATTTAACCCTATGTGAATGGGGGTTATAGGGATTTTAATAGGGATTCATTAAATGTTGTAAGGGATGATAGCCTCTTTAAGGAAGGGATGCTTATAAAAATTATTGTTACGAAATAGGTTAGGGCAACTGTTGATAGATGATCTAAGGGGGTTAGACAAATGGTTTTCGTGGGGAGTTCTGGAAAAAGGAATACCGTAGTGAATTGATTTCATGTTTGATTTCATACAATTAGTCATATTGGGGAAGCTTTGGCAATTTAAGATGAAGGTTTTGCACTTGAGTTTTGAGATAATCAAGTTTTTACTTTAGAGCTTGATTTTTATTGATCTTGATTATCCATTTATAATGTTACTTCTTGTTGTTCTTTCAAGAGTAGTTTAAGAGTTTGGCTTTATTGATCTAATGCTTATTACATTTGAGCCACTTCTTCATTTAGTTTATCTTCAGGAAACACAACTACTTTAGGAATCTGAAAAGATTTATCGATTTTATTTTTTTGTCTTATTCCACTTTTTTGACTAGGTTGTTGATTAATGGGATTTTCAAATGAAGGATTAATGAATTTATCAATTAAGTCGAGTTGAATTTTGGTATCCTCATAATCTTGATATGATTTGTTATTGGATAAAGCTCTCCTTTCCTTAAAGAACATAATTAAATTAATTTTTATAGAGTGATAAAATTTGTTATTAAACCTGATCATAGTTACTTTCTACGAACTATTAAATTAACACTACATTAATTATATTTGATTACAATTATTATATATTTTATTCAATGTCTGACGATCAACTAAGAGCTTTGATCTAAAAGAATAACCTCAAAATTGAATAACACCAAAATAGAATGATGATTAAATTCCCTCAGACTCCTCAAGTTCGAGATTCTCAATAATTAGTAAATTAATATTCCATCTTAGTCCTAAATGTTTATGAAGTCAAACAATAAAAGCAGCAGTATAGATAGGAGTTATTTCAGTTGTGTTCCAACTAGAAAGTCAACCAAGCAAAGCTTTTTTGTTCCAAAATCTGTCGCCACATCATAGTATTTGGATTCATAGGCTTTTCAAGTATACTAACCAGAGGATATTCAAAATACTCATATCTAAGAATATGTGCAATAAATCTAGCACTCTTAAATGAATATTAGTGATAACATGGATAGCTCACCTATGAATTCATCAATTCTTAATTAATTAAAAAGAGAAAAGGAGATCATCCAACAACAACATCAACTATTAATATCATAAATGTCAAGAGAAATTGAAAATAATAAAAGACAATACCAGAAATCTGAATAGTCATTATAACAGTAAATAATTCAATTATAAAATGAACTAAATACTTACAAGTAATATCAAACCAGAAGCCTAGATTTAGAAGCAAGTCTATAATAAATTATCATTGAAAATAATGAGTTTAAATCTAAATTACAAGAACAAAATAAATGGCTCTTTGAATTACAAGAGTAATTCGACTTAGTTCATACCAAAATGATTGAAATCAAACAGAAAATTCAAGACACCAAACATTTTTCAGCACAATTATCCTAAATTGCCTAATATTTATTGAATAAACAAACACCCCCTTTAGATTTCTTGGTTTTCATGAACAACCAGTCTAAATAATTATAACATGAATAACAATAAGAAACTGAATTTAGAAATAGAAAATAGTAAATTAAACAACAGCATTTCCAATCCAATCCATTCCCTATTGCAAAGGAGTCTTTTGCCTAAATTTATTAATTTTAGATTGAAAACTCTATGGTCCTTAATTAAATAGTCAAAGATTTGAGAAATAACGTCGATCGATACTCATAATAATACATTGCCGAAGTTGGACTTCATTTAATATGAATTCTTTATATAACTCGTTTTAATATCGTAAATTAGAAATAGCTATAAATTTTTATTTAGCAAAAATTAGATTAAATTTAAAATTTTAATTATAAAAGCTTACAAAATTTTATTTCATCATTCTACCAACACCAAACTTCTTTGATAATTTAAATGTTAAAAAGCATTTTGAGTATTGGGTCCATTTAGACGAGATAATGAATTTAAGGATATTATAGTCTGTTTATTGTTACCTAATTGTGATTTACTAGAGATTTATTCTATTAATGTCTAAGATTTAAGAGGAATCATTGAAGACAGAGTTTTCTCATCTAAAGGTGCTCTACATAAAGGACATATCTAAATATTGATCAAATGATACTTTGATTTTCTTCATCCACAATTACAAGCATTATGAATGGTAAATATGTTTGCAATAAGCCATCTTAACATCATTCTCTAAAGTGAATATTTCTAAACATATTGAACAGTACGATTCCTATTCACTAATTTCCTCTTAAATTATTTCCTTAGCTTAGGAGTATTTAAGAGTTGGAAGATATAAATTTAGAATGCTTGTTTCAGCATCTTTCTCTACTTTTTTTTCATTTTAAATCAATTCTAGTTTTTTTTTGTAAAATTTCACACAACAGCAAGCAAAGAGGAGAAAGAATATCACACTAAGTGGAATAAATATCATCATCATTATACTTTATAACCCATTATCCTAGTTATTGTTTATAAGAATGTTCACATCATATTAGCTATAGATTTTAAAAGTGAAGTAAGCATCTTATTTGATTTTAATTTCATCTTATAATGCTTTTGTTAGATTTCTACAATTGTAAATTTAATCATAGTTTAATTAAAGTAGATTCGTTATTAATAGGGAGCCTTCTTCTATATAGGGCTTTTCTGCATAATATTTTTACTTTAAAGGTATCTGATTTGATAAAATTCTTTAGAATGTTGTTCCTATTGAGGACAAGCTCAAATAATATAATTTATCTGGAGACAATTTCACTTAATCATTAATGTCTATGGCTGCTATACTACAATCATCGCCAAAAGTCCCTTCTAAGCATTCACATATTCCATAAAAACAACTTCCTCCATTTTTACAATCTCTAATTTAATTATTATAAATACTTTCCACAATTATATAATGATTATAAAATAGCAGACATTAAATATTTTTATTGGGATTTTGAGTATGCTCCAACAAACATGTTCTAATTTTCAATTTAATAAATATTAAAATGTTTTTAAAATGCTTAGGATTTTACATTCTTTGTTAAAGAAATTGATTATATTTAGAACTTTTATTCATAAGCATTTATATCGCTCATACAATTATAACTAAAATAACAAATAATAATACTCTTAAATTGTCTCATAATTAGTCAATGTATTATTTTTTGGCTAATCTTCACAAATTATTAAAATTGGAACTTCTCCATCTTTATAAGTAAGGGTAAGCGTAAGCTTTTATTTATCAGAAACATTCTGAGGGAAAATGTCTTTAATGTCAAAATTTTGTAATCCAGTCACTTCAAAGTATTATTAATCTTTTTTTTAACTTAAACATGCATCCAATAAGCAAATTAAAATCAAAATAGGCATTTATAAAAAATTCAATAATTTAAAATACTCAATAATGATAAATTTCAGTAACTTTAAATTAATTCGAAATAAATCTGCTTAATCAGTTCTCGAATTAACTGAATTTTCATTTTCAGATATTGGAGAACAAAGAAATTATTTAAACTAAAAAATTAAATTCATTTCCTTAAATGTTTCTTATTAACTTGAACTGTTATTTAGCATATATGAAATAGGACGAAGAATAGTCGAGAATTTTAACTAAGTAACGACAATAGAATGATATTGCTTTCATATAAGTATTGAAAGAATAATTGTTGAATTGCATTGTTTAACAGCTGTACCAAATTGATTTATTAGATTAAAGAACACCTCCTTTTTCAATAATAATTATAATATGATATTTTCAACGAATTTTCAATTAGAATGAATAATAGTAGCTCCAAATAATTTAATTATAGAACAAATAAATAGAATAAATAATTCAATATTCTATAAAGAAATGTTGATTTTTTTGGTTTTGTAACAAAACGTTTTCATTGGCTGGATAGGAGAAAGCTAGCAAATATTAGTGAGTATTTTTGATTTTAGAGTATTTGGTTTATTGAATTTGGCTAAGTTATTTAGGCATAACCTAAAAAAAATTAAAAAATGGATTAATAATAGGGTAACTAAATATGAATGAAAATTTAGGTTAAGAATAGATACTAAATAGTCCATAAAATTTAGAGTTGAATAATAATTAAGAGGGCAGCTAGAAAAATGAGTTTCTGGAGTAAATACTAAAAGCTAAAGTGAATGAAGATTTGATATAATGCCTGATTATTTAGTTGAATCAAGCAAAAATGCATTGTTCTGAGTTAATCAAAGAAAATGTAGTTTTAGATTATAATCTTAGAGCAAAAATGAAGAAACACACTTAAAGAATATAATGCAAATAATTGAAAATTCATTAGAAAGAATCAAAACTTCTAAAAATAATTTAGAAAATGATATTAGCAGTAATTCGGTTTCTTAAGAATCCTATTTTAATCAAGGGACCTCAATATCTAATTAAGACAATTTTTTAACAAATATTAATTATGTTAGTGATTTGAACAAATAAATAGCGTTCGTTAGTTAGGCAATCCTGCAGTCTCCTTGTATTATATTCTTAATAGATATTAGAGGAAGAAGAGCAATATGAATTGTAGAGAGGATCCGAATAATTTAGACACTCTGAATAATATTCAGATTATTATTAAATGCATAATCATTAATAATAATAAAAATAAATACAATAAATCATGAGTTAAGAGGAAGATCAACAATCTCCTATTTCACATAGGTAAACCTGTATTTAAATTTTTAGAATAAATGAAGAATTGACAGAATCTAAATTAGTAAAGTATAGAGCAATCGCAAAATAAATCTACAATTTCAACTTAGAACTCAGAGAATTACAAGTTAAGGTTAAAGAAGACTACAAGTAGATTTTTTCCGATTAAATCTAATAAACCGCCTAATATTTTGATACATTAATTGATAAATATTAAGACAAAAAATAAGAATTACAATAAAAAGAAAATTAAGAATTATAATAATTTTATTAAACTGAATCAGTAGTTAAAGATGACACCAAACTCAATTAGCTTTTAACTTAATATTTAAATAAGATAAAGGATTATTTTATAAGTGTAAATTTAGAAGTGAAAGGAGTGAAAGAATAAATATTAAAATTCGTGGAAAATTAATTTCATGCATTTTCTGAGGCTGCTTAAAAGTTACTTCTCTCATAATCTAAAATAACGAGCACAGAAAAAAATAAACAAATAGAATAGTTAAAAAAGAATCATTAAATAGAAATAAAGTAAAAAGAATAAGAAATAATAGATTTAAATAAAAAATTGAACGAAGCATAAGAGTATCTAAACCTTACTGCTTTTAATGATAACAATATCTGCTCAAAGATTACATAAATAAATAGACTTTTAGAATAAACATCCTAAAGTATTAACTAAACTACCTAGAAATTGGATTACAATAATCTAGAGGAAATGATATCATAAATCAGACAAATTAATCAAACTTTTACAGGAGAAACCTAAGATGATATCAAGAATTTGAAAACCGAATTGAATAAAAGAGATGAGAAAATATAATAATTAGAAGCATAAAAATAACAATATGAAAATCAAATAAAAAATAATAATCATTCGGCTATTTTAGAGAAAAAGATTGAAGATATTTAATCTAAATACAATTAATAATTCAATCAAACCGATCAAATTTACTAGAAAACTACTAAAATAGAAGAAATACGAGAAGAATTGCGAGCACTCAATTCTTATATTCAAGGTGAATAAGATAAATTAAAAAATAAGTATGAAGAAGAAAAAAAGAAAGCAATTTAGACTTGGCTTGAAGGATCTTTTAAATTGTAGGATCGATCTCTCTTATATATACAATTGGGTCTTAAAATATTTCAATAATATTACAATTCTCATAATTAGAATGGCCAAAAAATAAAATCGTAAACAGATAAACTCATTAAATTTCATGAAAACTACCAAAAGAAAGAATACTTCAAATTAACAGATCTACAATAAATTTAATAATTTTATACAAATTAAGAAAAGGAACTTAAGGCATTATTTGATGATTCTTTCAATGAATATAAAAATTTCATAGCTGAAATAACAAAGAGAAGGTATTAATGAAATATTTCATGTTATTAATATTAATAATTTATCTATTTTATTAAATATTATAAAATGATGGATATTGAGATTTCAAAGGAGGATATTTTAAAACCTGTAACAAACAATTAAGATATTAGGATAATGTTGAATTACGCACACCAATAAAATCAAAATAGCAATAATTAGTGAATCAAACCAAGAAAAATTAAACTTCTCCATATTAAATGCATCAAATTTAGGAATTTATTTTAATGTGGATGGAATAGATTAAAAAATATAATGATGGTATGTTCGATTTTGATTTAGATCCTGATGTGATTCTGATGATGCATTAAATGAATGAAGTACTACAGACTAGTGACTAAGCATCAAGTTAAAAATAATTTAATTATACTCCAAAATAATAAAATAATGATGAGAGTAGTTTTAATTCCAATTTCAAATAAGACATGCTTTAAAAAATGAATGATCGTGTAATGTGGGTATCAGAGGAAATATAAAATTAAGTGTGCTAATCTCCAAAAACAGTTGAACATGGTAAATATTTTAATGAAACTTGTAGTGAAATAACCTAACAAGTAAATAAGAAAGAGCTTGAATTTTAAAGTAACCTAATTAGAATTATTTAGATAAAAATGATGATGAGTTTTGTAAAGAGTTTGATTAATGTAAATCCAAATTTTCAGGATCTCCTTTAAATTTATAATCGCACAAAAAATCTGGTAAATTTGATGACGCGAATATAAATCAAGTACTTTCATTTAGGAAAAAACAGCAAAAGCAAATAAAGGAATTTAAAAATAGTCTGACAGAAATGAAGAAAGTTGTTGGATATGAGTTACAAAAAGAAATCACTATATTCAAAGAAGACTTCTTAAGTGAGCATAGCAAATTTAGTAAAAGTTATTCAGAGTTATAAGACTAAGTTAACACTTACTAAGAAATGTTTTCCTAATCTACATTAAAGATTCAAAAATTAGAACAAATAATCTAAGACTTAAAACAATAACTTGAGGCTTAATAATCAGATTCGAATTCAGAATAGTTTATTTTTTAATTGGCAGGTTTCATTCAAAGCGATAAAATCGAAAATAATAACATTGAAGATGCAAAAACTAAAATTATGGAGTATATTATGACTTAATCACAATAAGTTCAAGGTTTGACTAAGTAATTATAAATGACTTAGCAGAATAATCAAATCATGATATAGCGTCTTGAAAATGATAATCAATTAAATAAGAATAGGTTAGGAACAGAAAAGTAGATGTTAGAATTTTAGATCATGACACTCAATAATACGATCTAACAATAAGATAGGAATTACTAACAATTAAATTAAGAATTGGAGTAGTTAAGATTATGTGATTAGATGGCTACAAATCAAGAATTAGTTAAAAAAGGTTATATTCAAATGAAATAATAACAGCAACTCATTTATATTGCTGCAACAATATTATAATAATTTATTAATTCTACAGTATTTTAATTGAATGTTGCAGAAACTTTATAAGAATAAATTAAGCAGTTAAAATTAAATGAAGAAGAAGTCTTGAAATAAATTACAACTTAAAAAGAATTTTAAGAGACTACAATGGATTATTTTAATAATAATTAAGAAACCATTTAGCATGTAATTTAAATTCTGTGTACAGAATACACAAAAGTGATAAATAATATTATTAATTAAAGAATAGAGTTGTAAAAACAATTATGTTGAATATTTTTTATTTTATACATTTTTTAAATATAATCTCATTATTAGACATTTACAGTCCCTTGATTGTCAGTGGGATTTCTTTGTTACCTATTCCTGTTATCATGATGTCTATTAGCTCCTCGACTTGGCTAATATTGGGGTTTTTTTGTTCTAGAAATATACACAAAATCTTAACCTACGTTCGATTGTGATGTATTCCTCATCTGAGCTATTTTGATCTTAGTGATCATTATTTTAATCATGTTCTTAAACTTCCTTCTTCTCTTACCATTCTTCTCTCTATTGTCTATCTTTATTATGATATCTGTTTCCTCTATATTATTTATTGTTATCTCCATTATTGTTATTTCTTCTGTCATTATGATAATTCTTTTTGTATCCTTTTCTTTGATCATCATGATGATTGTGTTTATGTCCATCTCTTGGGTGTTGATGATTACGCCTTTAATCATGTTATTACTCTTCTGGTGCCTATTATTATTGTGGAACTTCTTATTGAGGATGATTCTATTCCTATTATTATTCATTATGTTAATTTGCAAGCTAATCGATAGGTTAATGAACTTATGAATGATTTTCTTCTTAGAATGTTTTCTTTGGACTGGCTTTAATCAATACATATTATTCTTATTAAACTGGGTGTTCCTTATGAGTTTCAACTGTTTCTGGTTATTAAGTAGTCTCTTAATGCTACTATTAGATTTATTAGGTTGGTTCTTCATGGTGATGGTGGTGGTGATGATGATGAACTTCTTGTTATTATTATTAATGTTTTAACTAATTTAATATTAATTAATAAATACTTTCAAACCCTTCCATTATTGATCCTTCTTCTTCTATTGATTATTGACTCTATTTTGAAGCTATTTAGCCAATTCATATAAAGATTAATGATCTTAAGAGAGCAGTTCTAGGGTGTCTTAATTCTCAGATAGATGTTCCAATATGAGGATGAAGGCTTCTTAGGTGATGATTGAACCACTTTATTCTGCTTCTTTCTTAGCTTACAACCAATTTGAGACTTAGGCTTCTAATTCTTTAATTCTTTCATTATTCTCATCTTTGTTTTGGATCTTCTAAATTTATTCAGGTTTCAATTCTTTTGTTTTTTACAATTCTTCTAAATCAGCAATGTCTTTAAGTTTTTTTTGGAGATTTCTATATTTTTTGGTGAGGAAGTTGAAATAGAAGTCTTTTTCTTCATTCTTAACTTAATCCCAAATTGTCTTATTCTTTGATTGTTTTCCACCCTTCATAAAAAATGTATTTTTTTAAAAATTTAAATAAAAAGTCAAATAATAACTAGTAATCAAATTATACTTGATTATTAAGTTAATCAAAGCACTTTTAGTTCATTATAAGTTGAAGTACTTCAAAACAATACTCAAGCACGAATCTACAATAAATTGTGAATCCAAAACAAACAATGTGATAATTTAATATTGAATTATTTTATTTGAATTCAAACATTTAAGGAACATCCTCATAAGTGTTAATTACTCTATTTACTATTGAATTCTAATTCTCAAACAGGGATTGTCTTTGTGAGTTAAATTCTAATAAAAAATTTAGAAATATTTATTAATGATATAAAATAAAATAAACTAGAATGATACATAAAAGAACTATACATTTCATAGTTTTAAATATGGAACTCTAAACAATTCATTTTTAAATCTTCTCATATCAGATCTATAAGACCGATAAGGTAATTTGTTGAGCAATTCTACACTCTCAAAAAGTCAATATAATAATAAGATTATGATTATAATTTGAAACTATTTATTTTGAAGAAACACTATTCCAAGATTACAGTATCTCATTAAACTAGATTATTAATTATCTATGATTCATATTTAATTGAGACTTTAAGGGATAGCCTTAACTTTATATTGCAGCAATAAATCCAAAAAATTTCAGTTATGCCAATCGATGAAAAAAGTTCTATAGCTATCAATATATGTTCTAATCAGAGCAGGATTATCTATTCAGATGAGATATTCTAGAAATAATAATTAGAATTAAATTAAATTAAAAATGTATTATGATGCTTAAAGCTACTTGATATGTTCAAGAATATTTTGAATTGACTAATTAAATAACTATAAGAGTAGGATTTCAAAGATATTTTCAAAAATAAGAAAAAAAATTTCATAGAAATAATTCTATGAAAATCTAAATCTCATTAAATATTAAGTCATATAATCCTTATGAATAAGAAGATATATTTTGTGGCATTTGGTTCTGCGTATGTTAGAGCATTTTATCATGTTTAGCAGCTTTATCAGTAAATTAAGTATAAAGGTTTGAATATATTGAAATAGAGTCAAATCTAATATAGAATAATTCATACTAATTACAAGACTGTTTTCAAAGAGAATTAACATTTCTTATCAAGAACACAGAACCTTAATCCAGTATTGAAATCAAAATTAGCCTAATTTATTTTCCAAAATGAATTATCCTCTAAATATATTAAGATTTGTTTCCTTCAAAGAGAGGTATTGATTTGATTATATTCTTGCTTAGTGCAGAAAAAAATACTTTTAAAATCAAAAAATGGATGAATCTGAAACCAAAAATTTACACAGCTTAAGATTTTCAATGCAATAATTAAATGGAACTAAAATGACTCTAGGTATTTAAGTGAAATCAAATTTGTGGAGAAAAATGAGAATATATTAATTAATATTATATGTAACCTTATAAAAGGGTTTGTGTTTAAGAATCGAAAAACCCCTCCTCATTTAGTGAACAAGATGAGAAAATTGGAATAGATTATTCCAACTTCATCCAATAAATGGAAGGACCTTACCATTAGCTTTATGAACCAATAGATAAATAATGCATAGGAGCAGGGGGTTAGGGTTGTGTAATCAAAGTGAAATGCAAATTGAATAATGAGATTCGGGCTATGAAAGTGATTAAGAAAACCAGCGAAGATAAGAATGAAAATTTTCGAAAAGAATTCCAAAACCTTAAGCTGTATCTCATTGTCCTAATTTAGATTAGATCATCCAAATATATTGAAGCTTTACCATAGTTTTGAAGATGATCAGAGATTTTACATAATTTCGGAACTATGCGAAGGAGGAACCTTAGCTCAATATATCGATGATCATTATCCTCTTAAGGAAGCTGAAGTGCTTAAAATTATGAAGTAATTAATCAGTTCCATTAATTTTGCTCATAAGAAAAATATAGTTCATAGAGACATTAAGCCTGACAATATCTTGATTGACGATGAAGTTACAACATCCATTAAACTGATTGATTGGGGGTTCTCAGGGATGATTTAATAATAATAAAAATTGAGTCTTAAATGTGGCACAATTCACTTTGTGGCTCCGGAAGTGATGGAGGAATCATACGACTAAAAGTGTGACATATGGTCATGCGGAGTTGTCCTCTATATACTATTGTGCAATGATCCTCCATTCCAAGGGACAGATTCAAATGAAATTTTATTTAACATCAAAAATCAAAGCATAGAGTTCAGGTAATTAATCAATTTGAATGAAGATATTAATCTTGGAAATAATACAGTACTCTCGTTAAGGATTTATTGAAAAGAATGCTGGAGAAAAACCCAGAATTGAGACCAAATGCTTAATAGGTTCTTGAAGATCCGTGGTTTGAAAGGTAGAATTCTTAGATTATAATTAGTCATTCATCTGAATAAATACCTTCTCAAGATTTCAAGGAGAGTATGATATAATTTAATGGTTACACTGAGGATCAGGACAATAGTTTAAAATAAAGCAGATTTTTATAGGCAATAGTGTTATTCATTGCCACTGAATTAGTGCATAAGGACGATAAAAAAGTATTGAATCGTATCTTCCGTAAAATTGATAAGGACAACAATGGTATTAATGATTATATGAGACAATTAGGAACAATCTCAAAAGAGGAACTGAAATGCGCTTTATAATAAATATATTCAAAAAATCAATTAGACGATAAAGTTGATAAAATATTCGATTTCTTGGATGTCAACTAAAGTGGTTCACTAGATTTTAGTGAATTTGTAGCTGCAACCTGTAAATTATCAGATGTAGAAGGTATATCTTAATATATAAAACAATGCAGAAAAAATTAGAGTTGCATTTGATGTATTGGACAAGAATAAGGATGGGTGTATAACTCTAGATGAATTATTTAAATTTATTGGGAGAGAAGACTATGATAATGATTGTAAGGAGATCTTCAATCAATTTGATCAGAATGGAGATGATAAAATAAGTTTTGCCGAGTTTTCTCAAGCAGTTTAAAAATACGTGAATATATGTAAATAGATTTAATATTGATTATTTATAAGAGTTTGGCATTTAGTTACACAAATTATATATATAATATATATATATAGGTAGATAAACATAAAATCAAAAATATTTACCAAGAAGTGTGATTAGTTTAGTTCTGATTTCTAATTACTCACATTTTATCATCTCCACAAATGTTAAATAAAATTCTTTCAAATCATTTTTGTCTAGTCTACTTAAATAATCCAACATAAGTTCAATATTAAATTGTTTCTCACGTGAAGCATTTTCTTCATTCAAAAACACTTTTAAATTGTCATGAATGCTATTTAAAAGAGGAACCCGAATAGATAATGAAAATTTTTCTACGATTGAATTATCCATCTCTAAAAATCCAACTAAACTAATAATTATCATTTCTTTTGTTTCCATCTCTGATGCACTTAATTTGTTTATGTAATAATTAGTAAAGAGTTAAACGACAACGTGTTATTGTTCAATATTTAAATATTGTGCATCATTTATGAAAAATGTAATCCAATCTTGCGTTCTTTTATTAGATACTACAAATTAGTTATAATATTATACCAGTTAATTAGGATGAAATAAGAGGTTCAAACAACTATTGAATCGAATTTTAATCTAAAAAGGGGATCATTATGGTTATGATATTTTTTAGTTTTGTAATCAGAATTAATTGTAATTTTTCAGAATTGTCATTCATAAATCTTTAACATTTCTAATTAATAAATTAATGTTTACATTCAAAAAACCATTCAAAACACCCACAAATTTATTTGCTTCATTCAAATCATTTTGATTTAATTATCTCTTACTAATTATTCCTTCAAAACTATTTATTAAGAACTCAATGAAGTAGTGATGCTTTACAATAATCCCTAATTAAGAAATTTGTTAATTTATAAAGTGCAACCATTCAGCGACTACTTCTTCTTCAAGATTATCAATTGAAAAGCATTATTTATAATAGTATTTGAACACATTATTGTCATCATTTAATAGTTGAATTACATGATCCTGACATAAAAAATTGAAAAGCAACTATAATGCATGCAATCCTTTCTTATGATTTATTGGTATGGTTAATTTAATCACATCACAAAAGATTTGGAATGTTCTATTTTCTAGATAGTATTAGATATCCTCCATGTCCAAAGTTTATTCATGATTAATTAATGTTACTAAGAAATCAATAGATCCAATGAGTAATTGCTTCTCTTAATTTGACTATATAATTCTTTGACAAGCCATTACTATTTCATGCTTCACATAAACACATTATGCTTAGTTAAATAATTGTAAATAATAGTAGAATTTAGGATATTATTATTTGCTAATGATCACATCTATTATTTTTGAAATGCACAACTTTACTAATTCAAACTGTTGCTTAAACAATTACAACGAAGTAGATTTGTCAAAAATCATCTACTTAATTGATCCTTAGAACTTAGGAGTTTCCATTGGTAATTAAGTGAATCTAGGGGTCTATTAAATGAGAGATAGTTGATGCTATTCTACTTTAAGATAATATTCCATCGAATGTTATATCAACTCTTCTAGTAATGCAAACAAGTCTGTAAATTAAGAATCCTTAGCAATAGAACAAATTTAACTAGAAATATGAATAGATGCATATTTTAGGTCATCTTGATTGTCTAAACAATTTTTAAATAGCTTTAAGGTAATTTACCATAACTCATAGTCCTTTATATCTAGTTTTACTAGTTTCTCCTGAACTCGCCAAGTCATACAGATGATCTTATTTGTAATTTCATAATTAACTAATCTAATAATTATATATTTACATTCATCCTGCTTATTCAAAGACACTAATAGTTTGACTAATTTGCTAATTGATTAATTGTCCAAATTATCGATATGATTGAATATTATATCAGACATGCATTCAATTGATAATTGAGTTCTGAAAATTAACGATTTATGTTCTTATTAGCTTATTTCCTATTGAATCAGGTCTTTACTTAAAAAATCATGTAACACAGTATCAATCAATGAAACAAAGACTGCAAAAGCTTACTGAGGCAAATACTTAGCATGCTCCTTAATTAGAATAGTTAATAATGATAAAATATTTTCAGTGACATCCTCATAAGGTAGAAGTATTAATTCAGCAAGAGGATTTAATAAATATTAGATCCAATTTTCACCCCATTTGAATTTATTATTCTTACTATACTCAATCCCTGAAAATATTGTGTCCTTATATGTATTTATAGCATTTAGTCTCATTTCCATTACTTTAGAACTACAAAGACATAAGTATAAAGCATCTACGATAGTCCATAACAAATCTATCCTTTGCCAGTTATTTTTGATTATGAGTAATAGTTTGTCTATTGCAAATGATTTATAAATGGAATCAAAATTCTTCTTTTAACTAATTTGAAGTCGCTCCGAAACCTAAAGCGCTAACTAATTTAAACCATCAACCATTTAAAAAACAGTTGAATCATGATATTAAGAACTGAGAATAAAGATCTCAGTAGTCATCTTTATCTCTGTTGACTTTGTGACCACCTATTCGATTCTTTGTAAAGTTTAGAATATGAGATTCCATGTTTTTGCAGTTAATAAATTGGCATTATTATAAAGGATTTCTTCAAATACTTTACAAGCAATTAACCATTTATCTGATTCAATATACTTTAAAGATAATGGTGCAGATTAAGCAGCCAAAAACCTGATTAACAATTGAAAACTACTAATTTAATCTTACTATAGACTACATTAGATCCAAGATTATAGATATTCTAACAAGCTTGTATATTATTAATTATTAGCTATTTTTAGAATCTGCTTCATAATTCGTAGAAGAGGTCTCCATAGTTTATCGAATAAAGTTCTGAATTTTATATCATCGCTTTCAGTTTCTTGTATCTCTGTAATTTAATCATCAACTTCCCCATTAAATAATTAAGATTGGAGAAGACGACTTTGATTTTTGATTTCCTGCAATAACCCACTCCCTTCCTTCTAATATTCATCCTACTATAGAAATTTAAGGATATTATCAGTAATTAGCTAAATTAAAGTTTCTAACTTTTAATGTATTTTATATTACTTATCTATTATATGAAAATATTAGGTAGCATTTGTAAATTGCAATCAATGTAGGAGGCTGTCAATTTGTTTATTAAAATATTCTGTTTTGGGGATTATTGAGTCTAGAATTCTTTTATTCCGAATAGACAATATTGGTAGATTGACTTCAATATTAAATCATTATAGTCTAAATATGATGAAGGTTAATGAATACCATTGTAGACATTACCAGAAGGCTGCCTTATCAGTAGATTTTTGAATATTGAGAGATTTGAATAGAGACACAAAATGCCGTCATGAATAGCAATCTTACTCTAATCAAGTGGTTGTAATTTGCTATATACATTCATCAACTGGGTGATCAATTCAAATTTGTCTTCTATGGTCAAGATGTAATTGAATATTAATCTAATTATGTTGATTTCTAAGATATATATTCAAGTAGATTTACTATTCATAATGTTTGACTCCTATGCTAGATCTATGCTTTTTAGGTATGCATATAGAGTTTCATAGTAGAAAGAATGAAATTACTCGATGGACTGTAAATATTTTCCACATTTAAGAAGTATGATAAATATATCTTTGCCTATTTTGATTGAAATGAGATATGATAAATACATAATATTAGGTTATTTGACACATTAATTAACGATTGCTCCTTATCTTGAAATATGTTAAAAAATAATTCCAATAATTCAAAATAGGATTGCAATATTACATTCTTTTACTGGTTCTATAATAGCTCCTCCAAAACATTACTAAGTGTAAGAATGCCTTAAATCGATGATTATGCTATTATTGGGTTGTCTGAGGATGAAAAGTATATTAACAAATTCACGACCTTCAGAATGTGATTTAAATTAGAAAAATCAATGACATCAGGACCAATGATGTGTATTAAGGTGGAAACCAGTCTGATATCTATTGTTTCATCTTACTGCGATTTTGAATTATTAAAATATTCAATTATGATATCAAGATCGTTCTAATGATAAATTAATAGTACTATTGTTAACATGAGCAAATGCTGCAATTTTTGGATTAGTCCTATTCCTTATGAAATTAATTTTGTATTTTTTGAGCTTACAATCGAAGGCAATAATTGTTATAATAAGGTGTGCGTATCCAATTCCAATATATTTGCCTCTAACACCTTTATATATATCGATTAGGATTGTTTACCTTACACAATTAAGGATATTTCCGACTCTGATCCTTAATTAATAATAATTCATTTTCTACTACTTCCTTTGTATTCATATTTAGAATATATTTATAATATTTTAATCTGAAGGTATTGAAGTCATAATTAATATTTATAATCATGTTTTCCTTTCACTGGTCTAAAAATTCTCTTTTTAGCACAGTTGATTGAAAATACTATAGAATAGGATTTAAATAATAAAAATTATCATTCTATCAGATTAAGTCATCTAAATTAAACTCATTGTCTTCTTAAGCAAATTCATCATCATACATAACTAATCGAACCTTATTTTTTATTTATTTTTCATCATCAATGGTTTCATTGGTTTCCTCCTGCTATTAAGTTTGCACTTTCAGATCTGAGTTGATTTTAATCAATTTAACGGATTTCCTTTGCACTTAAGGCGATAAAGGGTTAAACTTTTGATGATGAGATCTATTAATGTATTGAACAATCACCTGCATTAACTAGGAGAACGAGTTCCAATGATTTCTGACATTGGTTTGAAAATTTTGTTGTTTTTCTTTAGATGAGCATGATCTTCCAAAAACTACAAGTATTTTTCATGCTCTTCCTTTGTCCAATGACCATTATTCTTTCTTGGAGAAAGAGAATCACTTTTTTTTATTTTTTTAGACTTAGGAGATCTGCTACAAGTAAGTAATGCAACTTCGTCCTCTAAATTACAGTATTCCTCTTCCATTTAAGACATTTTTTTAATAATTATTAAAAAAATAAAATTTTGATATTTATACATACTATGCTTATTAGATCATTTCCTCAATGAATTCTCAACTCTATTGCATGTTTAATCAATAAGATTTATAATGCTCTCTTCTGTGGCTTCCCTTTCATTTTTTTCCGCATTCAACTCTCCGTTCAAATATGAATTCATCTCATCTAGCATTCTGAACATCTAAGACTATGCTGATACTCTCTATTTTTTCTCTGTTGTTAAAATTTCTTGCAATTTCAATATAGAATCTCCCAATCGTTTGATAACCTATTGATTTCCCTCTTCCCTAAAATACAGTTAAACAATTACCTCTATCTTCTTTCTTCATCAACTTCCTCCTATAATTATAAAATTCTATCTCCAATTTCTTGAGCATTCTTTTCTTCTGTTTCTTCTCTATATTTTTTTTATCTTGCTAAATCCAATTTCAGACTATAGACCCTATCATCTGTAGTCTTAGTTATTTTTTATTCATAATCTTTTCTATTGACTTTTTCTGCTTATAGTTCTTTTCCTAAATTGACTTCCAAGAGTTTCAAATCTTTATTTCTTAATTTTTCATCTCCACTCTATAGAATAATTAAATTTTCATATTACTTCTCTAATAATCTTTTCATTTTAAGCTCCTTCCTCCACTTTTTATAATTATTCTCTTAACAACTTAAATTTTGATTCATCCCCTTATTGCTGCTTTATGGCTTTATCTTCTAAAACTTTAACCTTTTATTCAAAGGTTTCTTTTTTAAACTATTCAGTATGAATAGACTATATACTGCCTGATCTTCGTCGATTGAATGCTAGAGATTTGAGAGTTTTTCTGATAATTAAGATATCTTTGCCCTACTAGGTGAAAGAGCTCGATCTCTGTCACCTGCATATGATATTGCAGACTAATTTTTTGGTCCTGGTGAAGAATACATTAATTTAGAAGCAGACATAATTGTTTTTTAATAATTTTATTTGTTAATGTTTAGACACTCTTTAAAATAAATAAATTTATTGAATAAACTCATAAACATGATAATTATACTTACATTTTTAATCATCTGTTAGATATTATTACATTTTTTTAAAGTTTTTTGTAATCATTAATATGAATATGAATTATATAAGAAATTATTAGTTAAGCAACTTAATTTATTAAAATAATAAAGAAGAAATGTATAAATAATATTATTGCAATTATCAATAAATATAATATTTCTAAGTTATATATCAATATTTAGAGATTAAAAAATTTTAATTTTTTAATAGTTGTTTAACGTTTACTGCATCTCCTTCGCTTGTTGTTCGATTTCCACTTTTGATTCTCATTTATTATATATTTTCCAATCTTACTAAGGGAGATTACTTTTAGAAATTCTAATTCGTTAGATTTCCATATTGAGTTACACCTAATTTATTCTCCTATTATTTTTCTAATTGAGTCTTCAAATCTAATATGAAATATCTAGATATCGAATACTTTCAATCTTTTTTTGTACTATTCTTTGATTAGCCATTGGCATGATCATATTCATATTTCCCAACTCTGCTTTCAATTTAGAAAGTGTTTTTTGTTTGGCCTTAAGCAATTTTTAATTATTGGCAATTTCATTACAGAACTCGGTGTTAGGTGCAATATTCTTAGATCTAATAGTTTTACTCATAAATAGTTAATTAATTAATGTTAAATTGAAACAACCAAAATCGATAATTTTTCATAAAAAATAATCTGGTGTTTTTTTGGTCAAATGGGGTTCTCCTCTTCTTGGAGCAGGATCAAATTGCAAATAATTTTGATTCATATGTTCATCCACTTCTAGAATGGCAGCCTAATTCCCGCATCTATAACAATAATTAGGAGCAGAGAATAAAGTAACACAATTTTTATCATGGGTTTCTTAAAATCCTTCCATAACTAATTAATGTGCTCTGGCAATCATAGTTAATCCATTAGTATGATTGTATTTTTCAGAAATATCTGCTCCAAAAGTAAACCCAGCTCCCCTAGGCGAAGTATTGAATCCATTTCGATCTTAGATAGTAAGATTGATATTTACCATCAGGATCACTCCACAATAAATCACATAAAGGACCTTCATGAGGCACTTCTTGTATTCTATCCAATCTTCTTATTTCGTCGAGAGTAGTAACATCGGGAGATAATCCTCCATGTAAACCAAAGATCTTTTGTAATAATTAAAATTTACTGAGTTTTCAACTACTGCAGTGATTGGGAGATAATCAAATAAATCAGTGAAATACTTCCATGGATTAGCATTGCCGTACTTTCTTACGCATTCTTCGTAGAACCCATAGACTTATGTGATTTATCTGGATTCGTGATTCCCTCTTAAAATAGTTATTCTATCCTAATTGGAATTTAAGTTATTCTTACTTTATATCTGACCTTCAAAGCCAACAGAAGTGATACAGTTTCCACACTATAATAGCCACGATCAACGTAATCCCCCAAGAAAAGATAATTTGTATCGGGTACATTACCTTGATAAATAATTCTTAAATTTTACCTCCAATTTTAAATAATTCCATTAAGTCATGATATTATCCATGAACATCACCGCAAATAGTAACTGGAGCTCTAACTGGTTGAACATTACTCTCATCTTACAAGATTTCCTTAGCCTTTTCACAAAGCCATTTGACATCCATCTCTGTCAATGGTTTGCATTTATTGAGTTGTTCAATAAATCCATCTAAACAGTTATTGGGATTATCGTATTATGACATATTTATTTTCAAATTTTTAATATTAATATTGTGAATCTTAATATATATACATAATATATAAAAGTGATATCAAAATTAATTAGGGATCAATAAAAATAATGAGTTTTCTTGTTAGCATATTTTGTAGTTCCTGGTAATTATTGAATGAAATTCATTTGCTGTTTATTGCTGTTTTTACTAGAATGAAAAGATTAAGACATTTTCTTATTATTCGGAGTAGGATTCTATGAAACATTGATCAAAAGTTCTTTCTCCCTTGAAATTGTTCTAATCTGATTAGGTTTCTACAGAATATATTATATATTTTTACTACTTTATTCTCTTAATTCATTTCTGGTTCTGAAATGTGATGGTTCTACAATTTTTATTATCCTTGTTGACCCTATTTTAAATTGGTTTCTTATTTTCCATCATTAAGCTCAAGATATTGTTATTAACTTTCCAAATATTACACATGCTAGACTCTTATTTGACTAGGTAGTCCTTCAAGAATCCAAACATGCATAAGGGCATCAATTGGAGTGATTCTGTTTTTAGGATTCCACACTAGACATTATTTCAAGAAATCGATGAAATTATGGTCGTTGCATTTTAACACCTCTGATAATGTCTTACTTCCAGGTATCCTCAATTTTCCACTTTTATTTTACATACACAAAGGCTAAAAAGGCAGAGAGTCAGCAAAGAAAACCTTTCTTCTTTACGCAATCTCAAATATTTAAATCTATTTACCTATAACAATTCATTATCTGGCATACCCAGGATTTCTAGTATGTATGCAATTTGTTCTTGTTCATCATCCCCTGGAAATATTGGGAATCCCAAATATAGTTCTGCCATAATGCATCCAAAACTCCACATATCTATGCTTGTATCATAGGGGATACCAAACATAACTTCAGGTGCTCTATAATACCGTGACTAAATATAAGAGTAAATCTTCTAGTTTTCAAAGCAACTACTTCCAAAGTCTATGATTTTAATCCCACTTTTATTTGCCTGCTTTAATAAAATGTTCTCAGGTTTTAAGTCACAATGGATGATTTTATGTTTGCTTAAGAAGTTCAATGCATTCAAAATTTGAATTGCAAATCTTCTAATTAGTTCTAAAGATAAACTCTAAAAGTTATTGTTCTTTATCAATTAATACAAATTTATAGATAAGAATTCAAAAGAAATACACTAAAGATAGTTGTGAATATACATACCACGTGATTTCTAAATATTACAAAGTCTTTTATTTTTACTATATTTGTTACATTCTCTTCATCCTTCTCCTTTACATAGGTCAAAATATTTAGTTCTACTAATGCTTGATTTGTGAATTTCTTTTTATTCCTTATAATTTTTAAGCATTGCACTTATTGTCTTTTATGATCAAATACTTTGAATGCTTATCCAAAACTACCTTTACCAACTATTTCTAATATCTCATATCTGTATCCAATATGATCATTAGGAGAATACAAATACTCACCTTTTGAATCATCAAAGCCGTCGTTGTAGTTTGATAATTTCTAATCAATTTTTTTAGCCTTTAATCCTATACAATAAATCTAAAATTCGTGAATATATATACTCTACTAAATCCATGGATCTCTTGTTTCTCAAATTCACTCAAGTGTTATCCAAACTATTGTATGCAGTCTTTTGGAGTTAAGGGCAATTTGATCTTGGACCAATCAACCTTTTTGATAGGCGATGTAGATTTTTCTTAATCCATTATCTTTGAGAACACTTTCTATTGATCAATGATGTTTCGTTACTTATAATGAAGTTCTGTCTTTGGATACTGATTTATTAGTAGTTGTTTTAACACCCTGTTGATTTAACTACTAGAAATGCTTATTGAATCTATTGTCAAATCCAAATTCACTTGAGTTACTCTTTTTTGTTTCTATGAATTATATTTCTTTTGCATTCTTAAATTTATCTGTATTTATTTGTAATAGTTATTTGAAGTAACCTACTTATTTTAGACATTTACTTTTTCCCATTAATTCTTTCAGTGCTTCAATTGATGATCCAGTCTTAACAGTTAAATTAGTTCTCTAATTGGATGATGATTTTTTCTATCTATTTTAAATTTTATTGTTTGAGTTATTATGAGAACAATTTGCCTTTTGCTGAGTCTAAATTAGAATTAAGAATACTAACTCTTTTGCCAGAGACAAGTCTTTTTCTTGGAGTTGATGTTTCAACAACCATTGGTGACATATTGCTGCAATTAAAAAACTTTTAGTTATCTTTGTGACATGTTGTGTTCGATATATAATATTTTGGTTTGTTATTAGAATTCAAATCAAAAGAAATATTCTAATTATTCTCATTGATTATTACCGTAAGTTTTTTATCTTGAGGATTACACTTAGATTTCATTATCTAGGTTGTTAAAATAATTAATTTTTTATTTATTCACTTAAACTAATGATCAATTACTTGATTATTATTATATAATGGTAATCATACCATTTCTATCTTTTAACAAATCGAAAACAACTTTCAAGGGTCCAAACATACCTAAAAGAAAATCATTTTTGTTTAATTAAAAATATAAATCAAAAACTCTTTCGCTTTTCTTACATTTAAGTCAGACATTAAAATCAAGTCCTTGATAAGCTGACTTGACAAATGGTCTCTACTTTGACAATATCTCCGTTTTTTAATTTATTTTTTAATTATCCTCTTCTTTTTATTACTATTGTTATTCTGTCTTTATTCTTCGAGATTAATCATAACCTTTAGCAAATATCTACTTAAAAAAATTAAGATTCTCTTCTTATCTCTTTTACATTCCTATCATCTAATCCAATTTATTCATAAGTAAGTTACGTTCCTATTAAATTTAATGATATCTTTATACATCTGCATTGCAATCTGATTCCTTCTAAAACTTTGTTAAATTATCAAATAGAAATCTATTTTATTGCTCCAATTCCTCAGACTTTTTCTTTAGTATCTACACTTGAAATACTAGTTAATCAATTTTGCTCTCTAACTTTTTCTAATTTAGATAACTCTAAGTTTTTATGATAAAATCCCCCTAAGCGTTGTTTTGCTGATGATTTACTTTATGTTAATTCTGAAAATCCTTAGAATATTTTGAATTCTCCAATCGAGATCTAGATGAAGAGGAATCAACTGATTTGCTTCTTTAAGAAATTTCTTATCTGAATTGTTTTTGACTATCTTCTTGATCGTATTAATCACAGAGATGTTACTACTTTTTTAGAGTTTTCTACAATTCTTCTTCAACTTGATTTTTGTTCTATTTTATATCCTTACTTAAATTGCTTAATTTGTTTTTAAATTCCTACAATGTAATTTATTGTGAATAGATGTTCATGGGAGATGGGAAGTGCTTCATTGAGTATGAGCCTTTGGAATTCATTAGTTTCTACTAAGGGTTATTTTATACAAGTTGATCTGCTGATTAACATTCAGTCAATCCTCCTCTTTAAGAAAAATAAACTTGATCATTTAGATTGCCATAAGAATTGAACTTCTTCTTGACATTATTTTTCAAGAGTCGATTTTCCTATTTTTGTTGTTATTATGCTAACAATTATTGAAAATCCGCGCTTTGATTTCTTTAATCTCTAGATATTCGTTTGTATTCCGTGTGAGTCATATTTGAATTTAACAAGTTTGTGATTACATCAACTTAAGAATTAGTATTTCTTTAGGGAGGAGATGCTGATTATTCTTAATCTTTATCTTTTGTAGGAGATGCAGAAGTATGAGCTTTAAATTGCTTTTCATTCCCTTCTGTACGTATTCTTGTCTTTAAAGTGTTCTTATTGAGTGATTTAGAAGATCCTGATACTAATATTTTTAGCATTTACAAACATGATAATTATTATGCTATTTGAATATTAGATTGTCTTAATTAATATTAGTTACAACTTTTTTTATGGGTTTCATTGCTTTTTGCATTTGATATAGTTTTTCTATGAATTTGATTTTTTGTACTTAACATTTAATAATTCACAACAGTTGATAATAAGATAATTATTGAAATTTTGAATATATGCAATAATTTTTGTAATTTATGAATTCAATTATTTAATTTAATGAGTAATTATAATCACATAATATGATTCTTCATTCACTTTTATTGAATTTGAAATTAAAATTAAAGGTTAATGAAGAGTCTAAAATAGGTTAACCCCTGAATTCACTACAAATTTGAATTTATTTTATGTTAATTTAATTTTATATAGAGATTTCAAATAATTATATTGAAAAGATTCAAATACATTTTATCATATTTTAATCATAAAAGAATATGAATTTAAAATACTGAAGCATAAATAGGTTTACAAAATAACTAGTCTCTTGTTCTCAATCCTTTAAGGCAAAGTACATTGAAATATAAAAAAATTAATGCATATGAGTTGAGAAAAGTGAATTTAAATTATTTAATGATTAAATTTGGTTTATTTCATTTGAGAAATCCCTTTATTCATCGAATAAATTTCTCAAGCTCAACAGCAAAAGCAAAATAACGAGTGCTAACAAAATAATAAGAGCAGTTTGTTAATGAGCTTAAAAATACTTATAAGTCTTTGGCAGATAATTTATAAAGTATGCTATTACAATAATAATTTAGGCGAGGAATCCGTGCTTAATTTATTTAAGAAGGATTCAGAAGAAGAAAAGTAAGAGTAAAAAGGGTCTGCTAGTGAGAAAGCCATAATTGCTTAATATATGAACATTCTTAACTATAGGTATGTTGGATTGAAAATATGATTAGTTTTGGTTAATATTATTAAAGTTTGAGTCCAGAAGAGTAATTGAAAAGAAGTAAAGATCTTATAAAGTCTGATGTATTAAAAAAAGACTGGGATACATTTCTGAAGGAAAATAGAGACTATTAAGATTATTCACTTTTTGATAAAAATCTTCTAGCAATTAAATATAGTCATAAAGACTATGATCCTAGAGATGCTAAATATAAAAACTAATTAAACTTTTATGGTGACTTAGATGAAAATGTATATGAAAGACAACAAAAGGAAAACATATATAGTTTCATTTATTAAAATCCTGAAAATAAGAAAGTTGCTAGGAAGATGCCAGAAAGAAGAAAAATAAGACTTGCATTTAGATTTCGAAAGGCAAGAAGAGCAATGAGAGCAAGAGAGTTAATTTCTAGGAAAATAAAGGATAATTAAAGATGGTTATTAAATAAGGAGAAAATTTCTAAAAGAAGACGTAGAAAAATTGTTACTGCTCCTAAATTATCATTCAGAGCTAAATTTTAATTGTTTGGATTATTTAATGAGGGTTGGACAGTTAGAGATTTGTCAATTAAATATGGAATAATGCCATATAGAGTAAAGGCTATCATATATTAAAAACGATACTTTTTTGATGAAGTATTCCCTCATCTCCCTTTTGAGTATGTAAGAGACTTGATTGCAATTGAATTATATTTTGAGAAATAATTTGGAGCCGTTGATTATGGTGTTGATTTACAGCAAATGAGAAAAGCAGAGTCAGGATACTTGTAGACAAAGTAAATAATTAAATATATCATTATGTTAGTTTCAAGACTCCTGATAGGAATGTGGATATTGCCAAATTGTCAGAGACAGAATAAGAAAGAATAAAGAAATTGTTTGAGGAAAAGAAATCAAAGAAATATGATATTGTAACAGAGAAATTCTAAGGTTAAGGAAATAAAGGGTATGAAGATCAAACTATTTAAGGTATTATTTGAAATCGTGGATCATGCATAAAACACGTTCCAGACATAGTGTCAATAGAATATTTGAAAGAATTATTAAGGATAGTGACAAACCTTTCAAGTTACCAGTGACTGCATAGGCTAGATTAAAATTAGGTCCTCGTATTGCAAGCGCTCAATTTGGTCATAAATGAGATTAGTATTTTAAGAAATATAAATTTAATTATGTTAACATACACTGACTTTTGTTTAAAATTAGCAACCATAGTTAAGGAAGAAAAGATAGAATCTCTGAAGGTTTAAGAGTTAGTTAATTATACACTTGATTTATTAGAAAGTACTTAATCACCTGTTGATACTTATGTATATTTTGTGATTTATTAAAAGGAAGAAGTGATTAGCAAAGAATTGAGATTTTATAAAAGTGAATGCTAATACTTGTCCCAATTACGGACAACCTTACAATTGTAGGTCAAAGTATTTATCAATATAAATTAGCAAGCAATTACAAACCCAATTATTCGAAGTAAAAGAAACAAATGCACGTCTTATTGAGATTCTAAAAACATAAAAAAAGTAAAAACTTCAAAGCAACTTGAAAACTGAAACTAACACCAACACTCAAACATAAACTTAAACTCAAAAATTGGAAATACAAAGATTGTCTTCTCGGTTAAACAAAGAATGTATTTTATTATATTTATATAGAATTTACTACTATGTCTCGATAACCCATTTTACCTATCACTCAAAAATAGTCCCAATTGGCTCCACATCTAACAATAGAGATCAAAAACATTAGAACTCCTTTGATGGAAAGCCAAGCACCCAAGAATTTAAAGGAACTGTTTGATCAATGTGTTGCTTAATTGTATCGAGAAAACAAGATCAAGGGGAACTTCTAGAAACAAAATAAATAAAATTGCAATAGAGACCATTAAGGTTAGTTTTTATTGACTTAAGAATCAAATGATATTTCATTTTCAAAACTGGATATCAAGACTCTAACCGAAAGGTATACCAAAGTCAATCAAATAATTTAGATTCTTTTTGAATCCTCATTTTATTAAGATGGTTGAAGCTTAGATATTTGATATTAAGTGTTGCAATTTCAAGGCTTGTATCTATAATTAAAGATAAATCTAATAATAAATCGATTCAGGCCTTTATAAAGAGGAAATTCAATAAACTCAACTGCCTAAAAGAAGTCTCACCTTTAGATAGGATAATAGAAGTAAAAGTGTTGGTAAAAATGAGGGTATTGTGATTGTCAATTAAGATAGATTACAAACTTTAATATTAGTATTTATATTAGGAAATTTAAAGACTTGAAAAAGAGATTGTCTCTACATCTACAAATAGATTTACAGTCTAAGAACTGAAATTGCAATTGAGGGAGGCAAAGGAAAAACTTGTAGAAATATAATCTAAGATTTTAAATTGAATAATATTATTATTCACATTAAATTCAACAATTTTTTGAACTCCTTGGTGTATTTATCTGATGTATCGTATTAGTCCCAAATCTGAAAATCTAAGTCTATAATTTGATAATTATCTAATTGTTTCAGATGTCTTTTTGTTAAGTATTATCTATTACCTTTGCTACATTAACCAATTTGGAGATTTTCTTAAGACTTCCTTATCTAAATTTTATATAAAATGAGTTGGCCCATTGCAATTTATTAAAAATTTGTCTTCAACAAAAAAGTCGATTTCATAAATGGCCACTTTCTGCTGATATTTATATTTCAAATTCAATTTTTTTATTAGTTGTTCGATATTCGATTCGAAAGACGAGATCTTTTTTTCAATAACATCATCCTTGGTTCTAATTAAATTAGGGAAGTTGTCATTCTCGAAGTAATCTACCGTCATGTTATTTTCCTTTCTATCCAAAAGCATCCTACATATTTAATAGTCTTTGCAAAAGTAATCAAAAAAGGCTCTATATTTATTGTCCTTATTGCACTAGGGATAATCATACTTCTGCATGATGAGTTCTGGATATAAATTAAACATTAGCTATGTAAACTAATACTAGAATTTCGATAAATAGATATGTTTTTTCGAACTCATGAACTTATTTTGCAATATTTCCAATAATTAGAATAGCTTCTCCTCTTAAAAATCACTTAATAAGACTTGATTACTAGCAATGTGAATATGCTATACTAAATCTTGGATCCCAAAAACTTAAGAGCAGATAATGACATTTTTATGCATAAGCTCTGGCCAAAATTGATCTTTTATTCCTAATTTATATAGACAATGAGAAATTGACTACAATTGCTTAATTTAAATTTGATCTTATTTACTCTTTAATTGATTGAGAATAAAACAAATTAACTTATCATCGTATAACAGAACGTTGCTTAGGGTTAAGAATAGTTAAACTAAATTTGAAATATCTAAGGCAGGTTCAAAATTTCTATATTGTCTAAAGCAATTAGCAATCATTTCTTTGATAATGACTCCACAATTTCTTCTTTCGTGGAACCCTCCTAAAAATATTATTTTATTAAATAATTCTTAATGAGTTTCCTTCTTCAACATTTCGTTTGAACACAAAAATGGAGATTTTAAGAAGTGTTTATACATTAAAATGGGATCTTCAATTTTCAACTATTTGGTTAAAGCTGCTTTGGCGGCATTAAAAATCGGATTCTACATTTGATTATTATTTGATAAAATTTATTTTAACTTGATAACAAAATTTAATATAATATTAATTCATACATTTAGATTTGATATAGGATGGTAAAACTTGGCTTTTAAAGGGGAGATAAATTTTGGAGAAAAAACAGGCACATATAAATGGGGATCTTCTTACACTATGGTCCTTTGACTAATAAGTGAAAATGATCTTTAAAAACTATTATTGACTGAGGATGGTTAACCTGAAAGCTATGATTCATTTTCCTCCATAATTATAGATTATTGTAGTTACTCTTAAATATTTTGATGTTCTTTCTAAGCCTGCTTTCGTTTCCACTCTTCATAATAAGGGTTTACTTTTTTTTGTTATTTTTAAATTATTACAGATTAAGATAATTTTTGTTGATAATTTTAAGTATCATTTTAGAAGGTACTTTCATCATCTTGCCTATTACTTTAAGTTAAATATGATGGTAAGATATTGTTAGTGCTTGTTTCATTTAATTAATTTTTTTTCTTATCTAACCAGGCTTAATAAAAAGGACTAATTGATTTTTTTTATGTAGATATAATTTCACTTTAAACTTTCCTATCATCTTTCATTTAGTTTTTTTCTTACTATAGTTTCAATACTTCAGCCTATTATCTCTTGAGTTCATCAATTTCTGTTTATTTCCAAGTTTAGATCAATTATTTTTGTTTCTATTTCTATAATTGTATTATTTCCATTTGACTTGGAATATGTAAAAAATGAGATTTAACACTGCTGGTCATTGATTAATTCAAATTATTCATCGATTGATTAAGTCTGTCTTCATTATGAGATGGTTTAGGTTTTACAGATTACGACTTTAAAGGTGTTTTTTTGATTGGTTGTGTTTTTGTGTCATTTTAAATTTGTGGTTTTTTGGACACAAAAGATGTGGTGAAATTGGTTGATTTAGAATTGAAGATGGATGACTGTTACTTAATTTCTATTATACCACACTTATATTACTATAGAACTTGAAGAGCATGTGTACTATGCTTATGTATGGAAGAATTGAAGAATATCTAAAGATTTAATTGAATTTTACATTCTCAAGATCTCTTCCTTTGTAAATATTAAGAGCTGCTCTCCCCCCAGGATGTCGATCAGCAAAATCTGTCAAATCATAAACTGAGTTGCGATACACATAGAGCAATCTTATTACATCTTTTATAATAATTTATGTTACCTATTTGAAGCTTATTGTTCCTTCTAAAAACTTTAAAATGAAGAGAATTTTTAGAGATGTTTGCTCATAAATTTAATTTAATAATGATAAATTTTATAAATCTTAATATAATTCAATTATAACTTCATTGTTATTTCTATAGTGCTAATCTTCTTCATTATTAATTCCTTGTTTTTGTTCTCATCTTATCATTTTAATAACAACCTTTATATTTTTATATTACTAAATCGAATTTTTTATTTGAATTAATATTATCTTTTTACTTCTAAGTTAAAAGAGACCTTGAATTTTACGACGTTCAGTTTATAATTATATAATAAACCACTAAATAAATTGAACATGAATTATTATATTAAACCATTTGGTACAATCAAAAGAAAATTATCTCAAATTTGATTTTATTCATATTTTATAGATAAGTTATTTTTATTCTAAAAATCATTTAAGATTTGAAATAAAATAATCTTGAGATTAGTATTTAGTCAATTTTTTTAATTAATTTACCAAATATATCAAACTTGAAACAAGTCTGATGATAAAAAATGTCAGATGTATTAGTATTATCAAATTTAATAAATAATAATCATATTTATTCTTTAATTTTACTTAGTTCCTCGATGATAGAGATGAAAAAATTATAAAATCAACTTTAAATTTAAAAACATGATTGTTGAATCATATTATATTTTAAGTTTATATAAAATGATTACACAATATATATTACATTATAGAAATAGGAATCTCTTAGTTGAATTTTATAGATTTTGTAGTCTTAATTGAGATGGAAATTTATTATTTATTAATTTATAAAGAAATGGATTATAATAAAATTAATAATACATCATGTAATTATATTAGTGATCAATAGCAAATATATTTAATGAGTCCTCTTAATTCGATTAATCCAGATAAGAAGATGTATAGATTGCTTTAATTTTAAGGTTGTTAATTTTTTAAGAGAACCAAAAGCGTCCAAGAAATTATCATACTAGTATCCAGTTGTAGAGGAAGCATCTTCATACTGGGATCGATTACTAGCAGGAAGATTAGATTCAATCTCATTAATACCAACAACTAAATGTGCAGTGTTTACTTTGTTCCTGATATCATTTTATATGGGTTTGTTCGGATTAATTTTGTTTGGAGTCTCTACCAACATAGTAGAAATAAGGATACCTTACGGTGAAGAATGTGATCAATAAAGCTTTTGCAACATTACATTCTTTGTAGATGAACTAATGGCCACACCGGTTTATGTGTATTACGAGCTCTCCAACTTCTATTCTAATGATCTAAAGTTTCTATATATTCTTACTTTTAAGTTTCATTAAGTCTATCAATAAGGATTAGTTAATGGGCTATGACATTGATTAGGAGAAGTATTGTCCCAATGCTTACTTGCAATCTCAGATGATTAGATAAAATATCAGTGCTAGTGGCCATCACCTGTATTTTGATAAGGCAAATCCCTGTGGTTTGGCAGCCAAGTACATTTTCAATGGTAATGTGAATTGTGATATTCTAAGACACCTTCTATATAATGAACACAGACAAATTGACAATCAATGTAACCAACCTGTTGTTGCCCATGTATAAGAAGCAATTTAAAAGACATGAATATTACTTCAAGCAGTGGTTAGATGTAGAGAATGGTACAAAAATTAAATTAATTAACTAGAGTAGGTTGAAAGTTGGTTCATACCCTAAGTGCATTCAAGTAGATTTATTCTATATGGCATAATAAATGGTAATTTAAATCAAGGAAGTTATAAATTCTATGTGAACAATTAGTATCCAATATCAGTTTTTGGAGGAGAGAAGACACTCATACTTTAGAGTGCATCAGAATTGGGAACCAAAGGTTTAACTATAGGTTTAGTGCTTCTTGGAGGTAGTGGATTAAGTGCATTATCCTCTCTAATGTTGTTCATGCTAAAGAGAAGTAAATCTAAAACATAGGTATAACAAGAATAAATTTGAATAATATGTTTCATAATTTATATTTTGTATTCAATATTCATTAAGTAAATATGTAGATCAATATCAATATTCTTGAAAGATGCTGCAGTGGGGCATGATTATTCAAAATATCGCATTACTCTTATAAACAATCGACCAAGAGTTTTGCATCATCATTTTACAATTTTGCATATTAAGTACTCACACATTCCCCCAAATATTGGTCAGTATCGTATTTGAAATCGTCTAAACAAAGAGTCTTACCCTGAACATACAGTCCTAAGCAAATGTCTTTTAATAGGCAATCCTGATATTATTAATAGCATTATTAATTGTACCCCAGAACATATGTCAAACACTAAATAATAATTAGAGTTAAGAATACTTCTTTCATTTTTGCAACTGACTTAGTTTAACTTAAATTGGTCAATAATCCGATCAGCAATAAAACGAAGATTATTTTCATATATTAATTTATAAATACATCATGACTATTCTTAAAATTCTGCATCATCCATCGCTTAGAGTCTTTGAAATATATAAACTTGATTGTAGTTCTAATTTATTGGTTGTATAGGATTGTAATTAAAAATGAGTTTGTTTAAATCTAGACTAAATTTATTAGAATTCATTCTGCAAGATTGAATAAATTAATAACTATGGATTCTACTAAATTGAATGGCATGAACTGAATGATTGGCAGGGATAGTCCATTCAAATGGGTTTTTCTCTGGGTGATATTAAAACGAGTAAAATGGCATGTTAATCCCATCTGTAGAAGTAATGAATAGTTATCCATCTTCATCAGTTTGTGTTGAAGTGATTCTCAAATATTGCTGTAAAACAGGAGCAATTTCATATAAACTTGGTGATACTGCATGAATGTGATGATAATAGGCTAAGTTCTCATTTAATGTAGCTTTATATAATTCCTCATTCATTTAAGAGTAAAAGTAAGCCTGTCTATAGTTGATATTTACAGGTCTAGTAACTTTGTCATTGCCCTTCACATCAATCAAAAAACTCTATAATTAATATCTATATATAAATGTACTTCAGAATAGTTGGACAAGATGTAATGCATCACTTCATGTCCTAGACAGATTCCAATGATTGGAAACCATCCACCTTCTTTGTTTATTTTCAAAGCTTTGTTTACAAGATAGGCTACTCTCTGTGTATAGAAAGAAGGTCCTTTCAATCCTGTGGACCCTCCTGGTATCAGAATCCCATTGATGTTTTTAAATATCTCGTCTAATGTTGTGTAATTTGCTTCATAGGGAATGGGAATCACTCTTGCACCTCCTGATTCCAAAAATTTGACATATGACGCAGCTATGTAAGTATAGTTTTCACGACCATATTCAGAAAATGTAGAAGGTTGTGTGAAAATTCCAATTACTGGCTATTCTTGAAGTTATTGGCTTGTTGATTACAACTAATTATAGGCAATAAGCAAGGCAGAAACTAGAATTGCGATTTTTGTAATCATTTATAATAATTAATAATAATCTAAGGATTTGTTCAGAATGTAAATATATAAAAATATAAATGAATTAGAAATAATCTGATTTCCTCTCTGTTACGCCCAAAATCTTATCTAGTCGTAGTAGCCAGCCTAGTAAGTATTGATGCGAAATTTAGATGAGTAGTTACTTGAGGAGACCTCTCGGAAACCCTCAATATTATTTACTAAATTAGAGAAAGTTCAAGTCTCACATGAACCAAGTGAAAGTGGGCAATCCAATGAGTCTCAAGATATGCCCCAACGATTTGAACAGGGATTCAAAAATCAGATTTGGAAAGAACGAGCTTTGAATGTCATTGTGTTAGTAGCCAGATTTGTTACTTACTTGTTGACTAATTCAGACAAATTCAAACTCCGATACTTGGAATTAAGATAATTCAAAGTTATCGGAGATTAGGCATCTGATTATAATTATTATTTGACAAGAAGATTAATTAGAGCTAAATCCAAATAGCATTTATGTGTAAGTATGGCTTAGTATTTTATGAGTTTCATCTTAAGCTCTTCTTTAAGAAGATAGTTTACATCTTTCGCCGGATTGGGATTAGTATCTCGCCTATTACTCCAGATCACACTGTAAAATTGCTTTGGGATCTGTTCGTGTTTACAATACTAATTATCAACATTATATACATTCCACTGAAAATTTCATTTGATATTCAGGGATCAAATGACGGCATTGACTTTTTCCTTGAAACCTTGCCACAATATGTATTTATTTGTGAGATTTTATTGAATTTTAATGTTGCTTATTATAGTAGAGGAATTTTGGTGTTAAATTAAGTTCAGATAATAAAACATTATTTAAAAGGGAAATTCATAACTGATTTTATAGTTTTGATTCCTTTTTTGATTGGGAGATCCAATGTTCCTTACATAGAATTCGTGTTATTGTTGAGAGTTTCAAGAGTAACTTCACAACTTATTAAAATTTTAGATTATGTTCATTTTTGAAAATTTGGTTGAAACCTTAAATTTGAGAGTCAATTTTGCTGCTGTCATTGATTTAATATCTTTGCTTGCAACCTTTTTGTTTGCGTCTCATCTAATAGCTTGTGTTTGGCATTTCATTGCTGTTCAAGAACACCTTTATCACAATTCAATATACACTTGGGCAGACAAGGCTCAACTAGATTCTGATTGGGTTAGTAGATATATCACCTCCTTTTATTGGGCTTGTATAACTACCTTAACAATAGGTTATGGTGACATAACCCCAGTAATATTCATAACTATTTATTAGGTCACTCAAGTAGAAAAATTGTTTGTGATTTTTGTAACCCTACTAAGTTCAATAATATTTGGTTATACAATCTCAAGTATTGGGGCAATATTCACATAAATCTCTGAGAATAAAAACTATCTGAGAGATAAAATGACTATGATTGATTCCTTTATCAAAAGAAGAGGATTAAATAAGGAACTCCAAGTAAGAGTAAAGAAATTCTTTGAATACTATTTAAAGACTCAAAAGAACACAGATTTTGAATGTGAAAAACTTATGGAACATTTATCAGGAACTTTAATCAGAGAAGTCAAAATTGACTTTTACAAATCCCTATTCTTTTAATCAAAACTATTTAGATAAAATTTCTCCGATGAATTTATTTCAAATCTATGTCTTTTGGTTAAAGAATAAAGTTTTGTACCTGAAGAAGTCATTTTTCAGGAAGGACAACAAGTAGATCGAATGTATTTTATTCTAAAAGGGGAGGTTGAAGCCAATGTTAGACATAATAAATTAGTTAAGATTTATAAAAGAAGACAAGCAATAGATGAGAAAGGATTCATTTCTTAAAATTGTGCTTAATTTACTTCCAGAGCAGTCAAATTCTCCAAACTTGCTTATGTGACCTTTGAAGATGTGTTAAGTTTGCTATAATTAAATAAGGAAGATCTGGAAAAATATTATAGAATTAAACATTAAATACAATTTGGAGGAAGGATTAAATTTAGTGGATGCGAACTTTGTTATCAAAATCACATTTTTACAAAGTGTCCTTTTGTCTTTTACACACCCAACAATATGAGATTATACAAAAAAAAGCATAATTAGGATTAGTAGAACCGATTATTTTAATAAAGAAGAATATCCTAAAAGTTATTTACTCATAAATCTATAATTAATTTAAGACTACTTTAAAAGAATGTCTTAGAATATGGAAATTCTACATTTCTGTATTCTGATCTTCTACCTGATTGTGATTTCTTTTAAATTAATAAAAATGATGAAATTAATTGTTATGGTGATGGTTAATCAATTTCTGAAGAGTCATTGGTTTCACCTGATAACTCAGGAACTTAATTTAAACACTAATTTTCATCCTAATCGTAATAGGGTAATTACATGGCTCAATCAATTCAAAAAAATTTGAATAGAATTCAGTAAGAACCTGGAATATCTTCCATGCGTGTCAAAATTACCAAAAGCACTAAAAAATAGACTGTTAATACATCAAACTAAAAAATTGCTTGTGATGGTGAAGATTTAAAGGAACCTACTTAAGATCTCAAATTCATTTTAAAGAGATAAAATAGTAGTAGATAATTATTCGATTAATAATTAAAACCCAATAAAGGTATAAACCTTGAACCCACGTAAATTTAATTAATCGAAATGGAAATTGTTAAAAATATTTTTGAGGAACATGAACATTAGATAGATTCTATAAAAGAGTTTGAATTTTATGACATAAAATTTAATCTTAGCAATATTATCAAAGATCTATTCACAAAAAAAAGGAAAAAAATGATGTTTTAAATTAGTAGAAAACGATAAAAGAAATAATTATTTTGTGTTTTAAACAAAAAAGATTAAAATTAAAATGCTATCAATAATAGTTTTTGCCAAGCGGATTCATGATTATAAATTAAGATAAGATATGATTTCATTATATAACATTTTCATGAACTCAATCTTGTAGATATATTATTTATAAAGAATTTGGGACATATATTTTGATCTTATTTAACAATCATATCAGAATAATCAAACCTAAATCAAAATAAAATCATTTAGCAGAACTAGCCAAGATGGTTTGTACATCTTCTCTACCAAGCAGGGTTTAAAGACGAGTGACATATTATTTATAATCTTCATCTGAAAATGCTGAATAATACTCAATAGCCTAAATATTATAAAAACTAAGTTACTTATTAATATGAACTCATTAGATTGTTTAAAGAGTTTTTATTGAGATTCTTAGATAGCTCTATTTCATTTAAACTCATTTATTGCAAAAGGTCATTAATTTAAATGGTCTCAAATTTTTATAACGTAACATCATCTTAATTAAATTTTTTTACGTTTTAGCCTAATTTATATGAAGTAATTGTGTTTTAAAGTTAATCTAAGTTTGCAGAAGTCAATGTTTAGACAATTAAGCTACCATCGTTCATTTGCCAATTTAATAATAAGTTTTTTTAAACTCTCTCAATTTTCTACAAGTTTGCTATGCTATAATAATTTAACAAAATGGATTCTTTGTTTTGGTATTCAAGGTTTAGTAAATGACTATCACTAATCAAGATAGTTCTTGGGAATTATTTCCCATTTATTATTTATTTACATTGCAAATATTCGACATTCTCTAAACCAATATTTAAATCAAATTCTGAATTCTCTTAATATTTTCCTAATTGTAGCAGATAATCTTTATTATTTCGATTATTAATAATTGCTTCCTAATATTACAATAAACAAAATTACTAGAAATGGTGGGAACATTTTAACAATTTCATAAAGCAATATTGAAGGACTCCATGGCCCAGAAATAATGTTTTCTAGATAATCTCGACCATCAGACAAGGTTGGTTTAGTAACCTTAGATTTATTTTTAAAGCTACTTAGCTTAATATATGAACTTTTGGAAAAACAAATGGAAATCTACTATCTAAGTATAATGCAAAAATGATGGGTTTTTTTGAATTTAATTAATGAATTGGAGGCATCTCAACCTACTTTAATGAGACAGTTTACAATTATTTATAAATTAGGACTTAATGTTTTTAGTGTTATTTTAAAATCTTCATTTTTCAATTATGCCAAAGATTGAATTTCTATTATGTTAAATTTGATTACCTTTTTTAATTCGTTTGACTTGTATTTCATTTTTGAAGATTTCTGTAATTATACCCTCGGCATTATCCATATTATTAAATATTAAATATAAAAATAAAAATCATAGAATTGATTTTAAAGATGAATAATTAAAGTTCTCTTTTAAGTTTAAGCCCTCATTTTGATCTATAAATCAAATAAACATACTGAAAATCAATATAATATTTAAATGAATGATACTCAGATTATGAACAAATTGTTTCTATAACCAGTGTATAGTTATATATATATATGATATTATAAATAATTACAAAGAGGAATTGGCTTTAAAATAGAAATTTATTTATGAATTAAAAAAGATAGCACCAGGAATTTATTGAAAAATTACCTTGGGATGATTATATGCATCATATTCCTATTGTTGGAGCTAGTTTAACTATTATATCAATGATATTTGAGTATAACATAGTAGTGGTTACAAATTTGTTGACATCTGGATTATGGATTTACTATTTAGAGAGATCAAAAAGAGATATGTTGAAATATTATAAATCTGAGATGCAGGATATTGTGGGTAAAATAATGGAAACTGAGCCTAGAGTTTAAGTGGAGATCAAAAAGTTCAATTCCATTTAAAGAAATACCTAAGCATATTTCTAACTTTTTATTTTTACTTTCATCTTTTAGATTTTAGCATTATACATAGCCTATTCAGGAGTCTTAACTTATAAAGTAATTTAATGTTATATACTTATAAGAATCCCCTGGATTTAGCATGTTATTCATTGCTTTGTTTATTCATATTTTTATCGAATCGACACTTTGAAAGTAGATACCAATCAGAATACAATAGAGAGTTGATGCTTTAGATAAGAGTGTTATAGGGAGGATTGATAGTGTTATCAATTGTGATGTCAAGATATGCAATTCAAAAAATGGATGATTTTTACAATTAATTTGTAGCCTTTGGACTATTGCTATGTTCAGCTCTATTTAGTTCTTACACCTTCCATCGATATGGTAAGACGAGCAAAAAATCATTTACTTTACTTTTGGTAGGGGCAGTGTTTCTTTTTCTTAGTGATGCTTTGAACATTGTCTTGAAAGTGCAGAGGAAGGAATTGTTTGAATTGACAGTAATAAATATATCAATAAATAATAGGCTAGTGCAAATGTATTGTACCACGTCGGTTACTATTTTTTGGTGTGGAGCCTCTTTCTTCATGCAAAAGCATATAATGATCATTTTTTATTATTACTGAGAATGAAGATGAATATTTGAATTAAAATCTTTATTTAATTAAAAATGGTTGTCAAATCACTTGCTCACAAAAAAATTGTACATAAGAGAACAAAGAGATTTGTTAGATTTGAATCTGAGGACTATCCACACAAATTGAGACCAAGTTGGAGAAGACCAAGAGGTATTGATAACAGAGTCAGAAGAAGATTCAGAGGTAATAGACCTATGCCAAAATCAGGATATAGAAGCGATAAAAAAACAAGGTATATAAACATAAAATCAATATAGATATTTAGACTAATCTGGTTTCAGAAAATTATTAATCACTAACGAAAAGGATCTTGAATTATTGCTTACTAATAACAGAACATTTGCAGGTGAATTGGCTCATAATCTCTCTGCCAGAAAAAGAGCAACTCTTGTTAGAAGAGCTGCTGAACTCAATGTAAGATTGACAAATGGCAAAGGTAAGGTAAGAGCAGAAGAAAAGAAAGAATGATTTCATTTGCCCAATATAAGAAACATATATATTAAATTATATATATAAATAATATAATTATTTAAAGTCAAGACCTATTGCTGTCAATAAGAATCTAGTTGCCATCATTCTATTTTATTTGATTGTTATAATTAATTATTTCAATTTACACAAAATTATCAAAATAAAATATCTCTGATTCCACAACGTAAGTCTAATCCTTTTTTATATTTCACACTTGAAAATTTATTTAAATCTAGCATTTCTTGTGAGCAATACTTGTATGTTTTGTCAAAATTTAAAGCACTAATTATATTTCATAATATTTACTCTTCATAAAATTATTAAAACACTTTATAATGCTTTTTATTTGACACCTTTTTTCCTTACTTTTTTTCCAAATATTCTTATCTATAAATATCGATATCTACATCATTCTTTTCAATATTTCGTTAGGCGACACTTCTGAGAGTTTCCAAAAATAATTATTATTGCACAATTACTAGAAATTGCTTTTTACCACTACTACCAATATATTTGTTTGTTAATTCTCCAAGAAAGTCAGCCTATATCTTTTTCATTTTTGGTGATTCATTAAGGATTTTAGAAGGAGGTATTACACCATTTGGTTATGAATTGCATAAGATGCATCCAGTTTATTAAATATCAGAGAAATTAGCTAACAATTGATTCAACCATTGAAATCTAAGACTAGATAATTCTTAAGCCATTTTACCAATAGGGATGCCTTGTAGGTACATTTTGATTTAATCTTCAAAACTTAACCCTCCCAGTAAAATGATAGGCTATTTTTAGTCTCTTTTTTATTATGAAAACTAATAAAGCAAAGACTCCATAGTAAATGGAACTTAGAATCCTTATTAATATCCGGTTATAATTTTCTTTTAATCATTTACCTAAAACTTCTTTGTTAATTCTTCAATAAGAGGATCAAAATTAGTTACAAAAACTTATTCTATTTTTTTTGTTTCTTCGTCTTCATATTCTTTTTCTTCTTCTTTTTTTTCCTTTACTTCTTCATCCTTTTCTTCTCCTTTTACTTTCTCTGGTTCATTATAGGAATCCACAGTTTTTTGAATATCCAATTCATTATCCTTCTTATTTTCATTTATAGCTATTGGAGCCATATTTAATATTATAATATCAGGTTTCTTCTCTGATATCAATTTTTAAGTATCGATAATACTTTCATAATTATTTTAAAATACTCCTTAGATTCTTAAGACAATGCCATTCTTGTGAGTTAATATTGCAGAACTGGTCTATGATTGAGGATCCTCTTTAATCATGATACTCCAATCTTCTTACTATTTAAGTTAATAGATATCTGATTGAATATAATTAAATTTTTCAGTATGCTTGGCAACTGAAGTTTTTTCATCAATTTAAATTAAATCATTAAATTCAATTTACCTGGCCAAATGATAATAGCACTTTTAGAGAGTTTCTACTTGTTGATGAGTAAAATACTAAGCATGTTTTTTATAAAATTTATATATTTCTCTATACAATCTTACATCTTTGGCTGAGATATTTTGAACTAACACCTATATTAAATCTACGGCACTTTGAGGGGAATCCAATTTAGATATGTTATAGTTGTGAAATATTTATCTAGAAATATTTACTATTTATGTAGTATTAGCAGCTTAGATTAATTTGATATTTTCTAAAGTTGATATTGTGTATTAAAGATCATTAGCATATAGCAAACTCTCTTCAACCTATTAAATTTTTGAGACATAGACATTCTTTATGAACTTATAGAGCTTCGTTTTTTCTCTGCATACCTTATAAAAAGTAAAATATTTATTGAGCATAATTATAAATTATATAGTATAGTTTAATTAATTTAGAAAACACAAAAATAATTTATACAAATGATTAGATGAAATACTCTTATAATGGATATACAATTATAATAATGTTAATTAAATATATTCATTATTTAATGATTTTATGTTTAATTAGTATCTCTCTATAAAAGTCTAAGTCTTCCTCTTATTTTTCAGTTATCTTTTTTTATTATAAACTTAAGTTCCTGAAATAATCTACTTCTTCCTATAATTAATCATTTTATAGCTTTAATTCATTGATAGTCGAAACTTTTATTTTTATTTCTTCTTAATAAAATGAAGTATCAACTGGTTCTATTTTAGACTGACTTATGTTGCTTTGATTATGCCTACATTAGATTAAACAATTACGTGTTTCTATATCTTTCAAATTCGTCTGTTAATTTTGATAGAACCTCCCTAAATTATTTAAGTTCTTCAACTAAACGCTAATTTTCCTCTGTTTTTTAGGAAGCCATTGCTTAATATTTGACTTTATCGTCTCTCTCTTTTTTCAATTCCAAATCTAATTAGCGAACGCTCTTAAATTTATCTTAATTTATTATAATTGCCATTTCAGCATTTTCATTTCTTAATTTATTTAACATTTCATTTTTCACCTCCAATAATTTTACTACTTCACCAGTCTCCTTCTCATATTTCTTAATTGTTTCTTATGAACTTCTTTGTTGTAACTAGTTTTAGATATATTTATATACTTTTAATTATTGTAATTACTTAGTTAAATTAACAATTTCTCTAGTTAATGCTTCACTTTATGAATCTACCTATTTTGTATTTGTTGGTTTTGTTTCTTTTTTTTCTTGATTGTCCTTATCCTTATTCTCTTTATAGTTATCCCCACAAAATTTTAATTTTTTTACAGGGAGTCTTGAAGCAGATTACTTGACTAAGGATTTTGCTTGATCCAATAATTTGGAAGAATTTGATTAACCCTGTTATTAACTAAGGGATGTTTAATTAACAACTGAAACAGTGGAATTGCTTAATGAATAATCAGAGATGATTTCATCTTCTTGCGTTTGTACCTCAAAATGTTATCTTTCTTGTAATTCAGTTTGGGTGTGTTTTTCAATTTATAGAAACTGTTATCCAAGATACTTTTGCAACATTGTATTCAATTCTTTCAACTTTTCCCTAAGATTTAAATATCCACATTACTTCTATAAATTATTCTCTTTTTATAGTAACAGTCGCTCATCTTCTAGTCTTAATACCACATCCACTTAATATTCTAATGCTTCTTATAGCTCCAATACTTCTTTACTCATAATATTTTAAATTTGATTCTAAATTGATTTTAATTATATAACGAATAAATTCCTCACTTTTTTAAACTTCTTATTTAGATGTAATTTTATGATGCTGTTTACGAACCCCTTTTAATGAATCCAAAATCTAATTAGAATGAATGAAAATTAATGAGAATTACAAATTGTCTAGGAACAATAATTATAAAATTAATAAATGGCTAAATAGTTTTACTTGATTTTTTCTGATAAAAAAATAAAGTTGAAAAGGAAAGTATACATACTTGGAAGGAGTAAGGCTTAGGCTTCAATAGTAATTAAAAATGAATCAATCAGCAGACAACACGCTAAATTGATTGTGGGCAAATCTAGCATCACCATTTAAGACTTAGGATCTGTTAATGGAACAGAAATTAATGATAGAGCCATTAAATAGAATTAGTTGGTATTGTTAAGGGAAGGCATGAGGATTAAATTGGGGGAATATGAATAATAGCTTGAAATTTAATTCGAAACTATTGATAGTGATATAGAACTTTCAAGATCAAGAAGTAGATCTAATTCAAATTAAAAAACATAGTAAAGTAAGGGAAATCAAGAATTGTAGAAAAAATAAAAAATTTGGAATATGGGTGGATTGAGCAAAGAAAATTAGGATAAACTTAAGAAGTTGATGGGAGCAAAAAATGAATCAGATGATGATGAGTAGGAGAAGTAAAAGGAAGAAATTGAAAAGAGAAACAAAGAATTAGAATTACAATACAAAAGGGCAATGTAAAGATAAAAGTAAAAAGGTATTGGTTTATGAAATATGTTTATTTATTTATTATGAAAAACAGGTTCAAATACCCACAAATTCTTTAAAAACCATATTAGTTTTTACTGATTTATTTTAATACAAGGCATTTAAAAATTATGCTAAAGCTTCTTGTCTATAAGCTATAACATCTTACTATTTTTAAATTGGTTCGTTTGGTAGAACAGGGATTTAATATTGCCTTTCTAATAGCTAAAATTAATTTTAATCTAACCTTTTTATACAATTCTTTAAAATCATTATACCTTCTTTAAACAGTTGCGACAGTCTGATTATTTATTGATCCCTCAATTTTATAATACTATTTTATTATTGTTTAATACAGTAATTTATTAAAGGGTTTTAACTTCCTTAATAATAAATTTATGACCATTTCCCATCCCTGGTTATATGCTAGATTAATATCGATCAGGATTTCTTGAGAAATATGATGTTTAATCATACGAGGATGAGTTTAACCTACTTTTTGGATCAAGACTATCTTCATTAAAATCTTTATCTAGATAGCTTTGCTTAGAAGTAATGCTTGCCTTTCTTATTTCTAAGAAGTCATCAAATGATTTATCTTTCAACACTTGATCAATATTTGTTTCCTCTAGAATTTAATAATACAATTTACTTTCATCTTCAATAAGAACAGGTCCTGATGTTTCCTCTAAAAATTTATCTAAAGTTGGGCATTACATTTGATGTTAAACTATAAATTATAAGAACTTTTCAAGAGCCTCTCCTCTACTTGCAACATCTTTTCCTGTTAATCTTTCATTGGGTTTTTTTTCTGGTATTTCTGGGAATGAGTGATTTACATATATTTATGATAAAGCATATCTTAATTATTGAAATTCTTTCAAATTATGTTCAGTTCTGACTTGTCTTTATTTAGAATTTGAAAAATAGAATATCTTAAAATATATGAATCTTTTTCCTTATTTCTTAATCTCTTCAAATCCTTCAATCTTAATGCTCTGAATTTCATATTTTGAATTTACATTAGCCTCTGGTTATTTCTATGTATTTAATTAGTTTGAAAGCTCGGTTAACTCTTAATTACTATTCTTTTGCTCCTTATCCTTAACAGGTGATTACTATTATTCCTATTGATTAACTTCACTATCTTATTTGAATTTGTTTAGTTTTTCATCTAATTATTTATGCATGTCGAAAATTTAACTCATCAATTCCTTTTGTTCCTTCTCCTTTTAAATAGCTTCTTCTTCTTTCTTTAACCCATAAGTTAGATCAATCAATCCTGACTGTTCCTATTTTAATTTTTATATGCTTGAAGAACCCAGAGAATTTTAAGAGCCATCATCCTTTTTAAATTCATCTAATTAATCTATAAATGATTGATTCCTTTTTGGATTTTTAGATATAGATTGTCTTTAACTTGATGAATTTTATTAAGGATTCTATTTTTAAGTTTAAAGAGAGAATGAATCATCACTAATCAAATGATGTGAAAGATTATTAATGCTAATAAAATTATTATCATCGCTATTCTTGTTTATTTTTTGATATTCAAACTTTGGAAAGAATAAGCTTATTATATTAATAACAAGCACAATTATGAAATTACACAAATAGACTGATGCTTCTACGGTTAAATCATCAATTCCTTTATTTTCTTTTTCTAAATTTCTCTCTATTCCGAATACTAAACCTGATGTAAATTAAATAATCAAAATAATGGCTAACGCCAGACGTAATTATCTTAAATAAGAGGATTTCATACTTTGAAAACTTGAAAATAGAGCGATAATCAATGTAAAATAAGAAAGCGCAGGTAGTCCACAAAAACACATTAGAAACCTCCATTAACCCGAAACTAGAGTCCCACAGAATTATCTTTGATATATGAAAATATATACAGAAATTATGCTTGCTATTATTAGGATACAAAATCCTATTAACACACCTAAAAACTTTGCGAATATTGGAAAATTTCCAGCACTTCGATAATCTCTATGATAAACTAATTACTTATTCTTACATTGAGTAATCTTTAATGACTTGTCTTATTCTTTTCCATTCCTTTAAATAGGATTCCCGGCTTTTGAACAATATTCCCAGTACAAGAAGCAAGCCAAATATGTTCAAAGCATAAATAATTGTGCAACTTATTTAATTATCTGCACAATACATAATGTTTATAGATTAATTATTTATAATTTCACTTTTCTTCTAACCTGTATAAATGAAGTGGAATCTAAACCGATTCATTACCCAATTCTGCCTTGATAAATCCAAATTCATTGCTTAAAACCCATTGTTTAAACACTAGCGGGTCCATCGAATTCTTATTTTAAATTTATAGAATACACTCTATTAAGCAAACTTCATGAATATCTCCTAAACTTAGGTGTAGAGTTTGTTCAATTATCCTTAAGCCCAGGCATTAATTTTTGATTAGGTTAATTGATATTGATTCTGTCCTGAACAAACCTTTTCCCCCAATAATCTAAAAGCACTCAACCAGCTGTCCTTCACAAAATCGTAAAACTCTTAGAAATCTATCTTGTTATCCTTGTTTTTATCAATCATTTAAAAGGAATCTATTTTACATCATATAAATTACAAGTAATCCTTTTATCTTTATTATTAATCAATGTTGTAATGCCTTCTAAATATTCTCTTTCTGTTATGTATCCTTCTTCACCCTACAACCTATATTTACATCTTACCCTATCCAATAATTAAAATAGTCTATCAGCCAAAGGAGTGTCTCTCAGCCTTTTCAGTTGAATACTTTCAAATATTCCCAGTGCTTCATTAAACTTGTCTCTGGTCAATCTTCCTTATGGGGAAGCTTGTTTGAAGGCTCTCTTTATTTACTCTTCCACTTCCTAAGTAGTATTTTATCTCGAGTAATTGTAATTTTAATTTGGATCAATGACTGTGATCGATGATTATCCCATAATTATTAAATTATTTTTATAATATACTAACTCTCAATTAAATTCTTTTGCATTTCCTTATATAAAGGAAGTTGTTGAATCAACATTTCCTCCAATAGTTAATCTTATACTTGAAGCCTATATCAAAATGTATATCTATATGAAATTTGATGAATTAGAATTTAAACTTTTACATATGAAATAATTTTATGAGTAATAGTTCTCCTTAAAATACTTTACAATTAATCTTCATATAGAATTATTCCTTAATGTTAATAATATTATTGTTAATAAATTTAATAACTAACTTTTTATAATAAATAGATTTTAAACATTTATTAAGAAGATTATTAATCACCATTGGAATGAACGTAATATATCTTTCCTTTTGGTATTAGATTGCAAGGGAATCATAATTATTAACCAATCAAAGACTCATTTTTAAATTTTATCATTTATTAGATTTCTTTTTAAATCATTTTCATTACTAAAATGAAAAATTTTGTTTGATAAATTATATCACCCCTCTAAACTATTTTATATATAAAATAGTTTAGAGGGGTGAAATAAAAAGAAAAATATAAGTATAAATATTGAATGGATCTAAGACAATAATAGTACTTTTAGTAAAATAGTGTAATTATATTAACTTTGGGAGTATAGCTCAGTTGGGAGAGCGTAAGACTGAAGATCTTAATGTCATGGGTTCGATCCCCATTGTTCCCATTTTTATATTTTTTATATTTTAATCTAAATATCTAACACATACTACTTAATTTTTTCTTTAAAGGAATGTTAAAAATTTTTCTCTAAAATAGCTAGCAGTGATTGATTTGCTAGAATATTTATAGAGACTTAATATTAATAGTTAAAAAGAAAAATATAATATAAATATTTTTAAAAGCAAAACTTATGCTTTAATTCAAAAATAACCATCAAAATTAAGAAGCTCTTAGCTATTAATGCTTAACAATTATTATAGAATTCTATATGAAACCTAGCAACGAAGATTATGAAAAAATCGAATCATTTTGAATTTTGAAAGGAATTACCATTGCATTTTTTAATAGCATTTGGTATTCTTCTTAATTTATGAAGTTCTTTTCATATTTATTTTTTTATCTATTTCGATTAAACTATCCCATTTTTATGCACTCTATTAATATATTTTAATTCATGTTTCTAATAATATTTTGCCTCTGCTTGCAAAATAAAGTAATGACGTGTATATCCAATTGCATATTTATTCATATCCTAATTTGATTTTATTATTAATAAAATTATGTTAAAAGTCTTAATACTAACTATCGCCTTTACATCTGTTATTTGCACAGGAAGTTACGAAGCAATTGATGTCGATGAATATTTTTCAGAATAAAGAAATGATGAAATTTATGCAGCAGCCAGATTAAAGTTGGATTAAACTATTCCCTAGGATTTTCAATTTTTAAAGGTTGAATCTATAGAGAGATAAATTGTTGCCGGGTTCAATTATAAATTCTTTGTCACCTTCAAAAATGAATAAAGCATACATTTATATGTCGTTCGTATCTATTAAGAGTATAACTTTATTATAAAATAGCTTGTAAAACAATCTTTAGGTTTATGAACCAGAACTTATTAACCAGAAAGAGTATCTTTGAAATAAATATTAAATAAGTATATATTATATCAATATTGAAATTATTTTTTCGATATGGCTTGTCTTGAACTAGCTCTGAATATTTCCTCTGCTACTTCATCTAACATGGCTTCAAATACAATATCTGCTAATTCTACTGCAACTTCTGCTTGTTCCTCATCATAATTAAGCCATTTCTCCTCAGATTCTTAAATCTTTAGAATAAATTGATTGCCTTACTTCGTACTCTAACATCTGTTACAATCGATCTTCTTTAATCTAGTTCAAGTAATCATCCTCTATTACTATAATTTCTCCTTAAGGGGTTTCAATTTTTTCGGGTATGAATCCACAAAGAAAAGATCCCCATTTAAGCATTTTGGCAATTGCAAATCCCATAGCTCTATCAATGGTTTCAGGAGTGGTCAAATTTTGATAAACTTTCAGGGGATTCGATTTCCAAGGATAAGGTTATCCTCTAATTCCATAAGGTCTTACAAAATTGATAGCCTCATTAAAAGCTTCATAAACCATTCTTAAATGGAACATTTCCAATTCCTTAAACTAATCGCTAATATTTAAGTCATTAAAATATTTCAGTTTGAGCGAGTAAGATTAATTAAATTTAGACCAAATATCTTCATCGATGAGAGGTTCCATCTAATGAATGTATTTAATTAATGGATATAATGGGCCAGATGTTGAATCATCCAAATTGTTTTATTACATATCACTTAAAGATATTGTCTTTAATAAATCTTATGGACTTATTCCTAAAGGTGTGTTAATTTACTATATAAAAGCACTCAAATGATGTTCTATTAATACAATTTTTAGTTACTTTAAATAAATTCTCCAAAAGAAACTAGGTAATCTTTTATGAAATTAAGAGTAGTTGGGAAACCAGGAGGAAATTAGTACTCAATCTATGATTCCTCATCCCACTCCATTAGCACCCCCAAAGATTAAAGAGGGAAATTATTTAATTCTTCAGCAAATTCAACTATTATATTTTAAACAATGTTTTCAGTAACACTGTCAATTTTACGATCATCAAAAGGTATTATTGACTTTCTATAATTGGGTTAAGGGTCTCTATTTTCAAGAATTTCGATAGCCTCAACTTATGCTATCTCTTATGAAGGGATTGATTTTTAGTTATTGGATGTTATTTGTTAAGATTTATGAATCGAATGCGACATAGATTCTGTATGAATATTGAATAATGTGCTAGTCTATATTTCTTCATTTTTCATTGAAATCTCATCCAAACTCATTTACTAATCAAAGCTGCGAACTTACTTTCTGTTTTTCTGATATTTTCTAAAATGATCATTTTCTACATTATTAATATAATAATAATACTTATTTTTTATAATAGCCCATAATGAGGGATAGCCTTTTTCTCAATATCACAATCAGATTGCTCAGTTTCAGATCTTAAAGAAAAAATTTACCTAATTGAAAGATTTTCTTCATCACACTGCATCTTAATCTTTTCCATAAATTATTGATCTTTCTAAGTAGATTTTATAGTTTCCTTAAACATCTACTAAAGTCTTTCAACTTCATTTTTCGATTATTATAACTTTGCTCTCTCTCTTTTATATTTCCTTTCTAGTTTGTCTTTGTTCTCGGAAAACATTTCATTAGTTACTTTCTTTTTTTCTAACATTTTATCCAACAAAGCAACTTATTTATCGAATTTCTATTATAGAGCTTCTTCGCGAGATTTCAATACTTAAATATAATAATCAGGGTCTTGATTGGATCCATTTTAATTGAGTCTACTTTTTTTAGGTGTAGAATCTTAGATTTGTTCAATTTCTGATTCTAGATTTTCAGATTATGATTAACAGGCTGATTATGATTAGGGTAAATTTTAATTATTTTTAATAGATTTTTATGCACTTGACAGCTATTATTGAGAGAATTAATCTAAGTTGAGATGAGGTATATTATTATTTCCTTTAGGACTTGATTAATGAGGAGATGACTATTGGATAGATTCAGAAGGAGGAGGAGCATACCCTTGTTAATGGGATATGGCAGAGTCATTTTATAAATATTCATAATTATTCTGCTTCCTATTTGATTCTGTAGCCTAATTAATAGATTGCTGATCATCTTATTTTAATAAATCTCTAAATAATACTTATTCTGAATTGTTCACTCCTTTATCTTATTTCTAAGCTTCCTCCTATTATTAAATTAAATAATTTAGATAAAAAAATACTAGTTATCTAGTTTTAAATCCTCTCCATACCTTTTAGATCATGGTTGCAGCTATATTTTGAATTAATTCCAATTGCTCTTCACTTATTTTATCAAATAATTCATCTTATAGGGCAGTATCTGGTTGTTCTTATATTTGTTTTTTACTTTTAGAGCTAGAAATGCTATGATGGGTATAATTTTATTATTATGATAATGATTATTATTGCTAGTATTACTAATATTACTATTATTAACTTTAGGATTATTATTAATTAGTAACCAATTAAAACCTACCTTGAAGTTCCTAAAATCTCTCCTTTATAGTTTATTTTGATTATTATTCAAACTTCTCCTTCAAAAATTATTCCAAAAATTAATATAATTCTTATTCACTTAATTTATATTGAAATCCTTAACTATTCATCTGCTCATTTATGACTTGCATCTACATTAATTATTCTTATAAATATGATTCAGGTAGATTAGACAACCATTCAATAAAAGTCAACTAACTATTTTTCCTTGTATGAGATTAAGTGCTGCTATAACTTGATTATCTAAGCGATCTCATTAATTCCTTATACTCTTTTTCTAATTTATTGAAATTTGGGGGTTCCGATGTCCGATAATGCTGTGATTGTGGTTCGACATGTTAAGAGTTTAGTTAAACGGTTAAATTGGATTTAATTGAGGCATTTCTTGATTTAGCAAATTGTTTTGCCTCTTAATTTAAAATCTATAGATTTTAAAGAACTTTTTCTTTTTTTAATTTTTAGAGTTGTTTTCTAAAATAAATAAAATTTATACTCTTCTATTTTCTATTATCTCCAGAGTTCTTTTTTGTACATCATATACAATTTCACATCCTATTCTACCTCCTTATGTTCGCAATTGTTTTTATTTTTTAGAGGAGACGATATTGATTCCAATACTTATTTCGATTTTTATTCTTGGGATATCTATAAATATACTTTAAATCATCTTTTAAATATCTTTTTCAGGTTTGGAATTCAAAAAATCTAATCCCAATTTATGTCTTCTTATTTTCTCCTTTATTGCTTATTCAGTAGAAGTCTTGCTTTAAACAATAGGCTTTTCTAGTTTATCATGGATTTCCAACATTTTAGTCCAATACTATTTTAACTTATTTTAATCGATGCCCCAAGGTAATACTGATGAGGGAGGAGACTTTTACTAAACATAATCTTAAAGTATCTAAATACCCTTGAAAATCTTTATTGATTGACTTATCGAATTTGTTGATCCATAATTTTTCTCATTTCGTTCAAACTAGCCACTCTTTATTTTTATATCTCTTCTTGTACTTACTACTCTTGCTTATCCTCTTTTGTGATATTGAATTAAATTACTTTAATGCTTACGCAGGTTTGATTTTAATAATTGTTAAACCCTCTACTCTGATTCCTGTTTATCTTATAGTTAAACTTTCTTTTTCTTTTGAGTTTTCTTCTTCTTTTTTTTCTTCTTTATTTAACTCTTTGATTTTAGTTCTACTTAGGTGTCCTTTATGGGCTCTCCTTACTAAATGATTATCTGTTGTTGTAAATTAATTATTGGGCCAGATGTGGTTCGTTTGAGACATTTTCCATTATGGGGACTTTTTTTTTCAGGGCTTTTCATTACATTGACTATCTCTTCTTCCAATTTATTGGTCTCAATAGGTCGTTACATAAGTCTAGCAGAATTCATAATAACATTCGGCTCTACTTTACGACACTGCATTATAAAATTATTAACGATAATTGAAATTTCAATACTAAAAAAATGTATTAGAAAATCAAATATTTTTAATTAGATTCAGTATCATGAGAACATTATCATTGATATCTTTTCAAAATGTTAATTACAGGATCACTTGTCAATTAAAAATGTGGGATCGCAATTAAGGCAAGCTTGATGTTTCTCATTTCTTTGACATTCTGATTTATCCAAATTGAGTAAAATATGTGAAAAAATATCAAATAAACCACTATTATTATGTCATAATATAAGAGCAACACATCAAGATGCTTTTCCTTAATCAGAGCAATGTTACCGTCAACTATTTCTAAAAATCGTATAAAGCAATAATAAGTGTCTCTAAAGTGAGACAAGACTATTGCATTAAACTCAGAACTATTGATCAATTAATGTATCTCTTATGTATTGTTTACATATTATCCATTTGATATTTCATTGGCAAAATTCTATTAATAAAACTATTAAATGGTTGTTACTAAAGTAAGTATGCCGTGAGCAAAATATTCAGAATTATCATCCTGATCTACATAATTACCATACTTTTAAATAAACTCAGCAGTGTTTTATGTTGCTTTTAATTAGCAAAATGGAAAATAATCACTTAAATATATGCAGATATCAGAACTCAATAATCCTTGAATTTCCTCTTGGGAATATTCTAACGATAGATCTTTTATAATATTTTCATACAACTTAACAAATGACAAATTAATATCAGCATAAAATTCATCAAACAGCTGTAAAATCACTCCTTCATCTATCAATTCAGTTTCTTAATAAATATTTAAAGACTTTAACTTTTCAAATAACATTGGTTTAGTTTTAATAATCAAAGCAGCACTAGCCAAATTGTCCAATTTTGAACTAAACAACGCAAAATCATTTAAAAGATTACTCAATGGCAAAAGTCTATTTTATTAATCATTAAATATTGCATAGCCTCCCCATAAATAAATTTAGTATATTGAAACAAATACCAATATTTTCAAAAGATGAGAAAACAGATTTATTTTTGTCTAAAAGTTTCTTGTATTTTTTTAGTTAGTTTACATTAATTATAGCTTCTAACTAATAGTGATTTTTTCTTTTGGTTAATAGTAAGTGACATCCTGTTGAAATCCAAAGTTATAATAGTTAAAACGCTTCCAAGAATCCTCTCCACCCTATACGCTAAGTGCAATATAAACTGTATGAGCTCTTACTTGAAAATATTTGATATATATTTACAAATTTCAGTTTCTATTTCACTATCTTTAATTCTTCCCACAAGCAATGCTAAATTTCTATTTTATTATTCAATATTATTCCATTAAATCAATTGCACCAACATTACAAGAAAGATAATTGCAGTGTGAATCAGATGTTCAATAACAAAGATTGTACTTTCAAATTACTAGAGGGATGTTGAATTCTCTTTTAATTAACTAAGAAGATTAGAGTCAATATCGATAATCTCTGGTAGATTTTATTCTATCAAAAACATTTTATCAATATATTATCTATTAATGTACTCCTTATAATTGCTGTAATCATATGTATTTATCTACACTAAATAATGAACGACTTCTTCCATAAAATAAAGTAATCTGGTGAATTCCACTTCCTCGAAATTATCAGCTGAGTATTTTAAATTTATATTCGATAAAGATCCGTCAGACTCCATTTGAATGAATATTGGATATAACTAAGTTAAATTGGCAAAAACAAACTGATTCAAAAGTGAAGTTTGGTATAAGCTTTACGATATTGAGTATTAACTATTATTGAGGATATCGTAATCATTTAATATGAATATCCAACTCAATGATAATGTCTTACAAAAATATCGATTAAATCTTAATGGTCCCATAAATTGTTAAGCTTATAATTGAGATTCACGATAATTGGTAATTAGATGATAGTTTGTAAATCCAAATCCTCCTATACTTATCAAATTTATACAATAGACTATACACCATAGAATTAGGATATTTTTTGGAAGTTAAGATTTTTGCTTAAATACAATTTGAAAGAAATAGGATTAATTATTAGATACTTTAGAAAGACTACTTGAATTTTGAGATTTATTGGGGTTTTACTCAGGATCTGAGAAATTATTAGTTTTGCTGAAAGATTTAATCTTTTTCTCACGCCTTTAATTTTATTTTTTTGAGTCCTCTTCAGACATAAATTCATCCAGAAACTGAGATTCTTCAGAACTCGAATTTCTGACTTCCTAAACTGATTCCATCTCAGAATTCAGCGCAATCTCTGGTTTAATAAAGCATGCCTTGGGAGTAAAATTTGTGGATGATAATTATTAAGTCATTAGGATCTCAGATTAATTCATAGAAACCAGTTATTTTGAATACATCTTCCTCTTAGTGAAAACACTTTATAGAGCTCGTTAATCCCCATATCTTCTTTTGGATACAATGAAATCTAAATTCAAAATAAATATTACCTTTGAGGTGTCTCAAAGTCGATTTCTTCATAGTTGAATCCACATCTTATAAAGCAAACAATTCCGTTGCTATTTCGCCTAAATCATGTTTTCTATAATCAGATATTTACATAATGAAAAATCCATCTGTATTGCCTTTTTAATAATATAAGGTAAATCTTAAAAAACTTGTTTTTTATTATGTGATCTTAGCATAAAAATTAATTTTATACATTTTGATTGACAAATTCAGATGCAAATTTAGCATACTCCTCATTTAATAAGTTAATATCTATTGATTAATTCATCTCTTTAGTATTTGATGATGTACTTTATCGATCTTTTATAATTAAATATATTATTACTTGAAAAAGACTATTTTTTTTTGAGATTCCAAATAGAATACAAATCTCTAAGATGATATTTCAACTGCTGTTAAAAATTTTCATGAAATTCCTTTATATCTGTTTAGGTTATAAATATAGCATCCTCTTATAAATTAACATTTTCTGATTAATCTTTCTGTCTTTGATAGCATTTCTTAGCAATTTCAAATAAATCTGGAATAAAGTAATACAAATAACAGAAACCATATAAAGATTTTAAATCCATTTATGATTCTTCACGGTCTGTAAATAAATCATAGTAAATTTACTTGGTTATCCCTAATACTCTTCCATTTTGATCAAATAAAATATAATCATATCTTTTTCCTCCTGAAAAGAAAATTCCTTTAATTACATAATCATCTTCATAGCTGAAATCATTTGCAAGTTTTAATTGTAAAGGGAAGATAAAATTTTCTTATGACTTTCCAAAAATCATTCTGAATTCTTGAAAGAAAGGAGAATCACCTTTAATTAAAAAGTTTGAGAGCATTTAATTATGTTTGGAGGCTATAAAATCAGGCATAAGTTAATTTAAATGAAATATATTTTGAAATTCCTCCACTTTTTTGTAATTGAATATCTAACCCAATTACTACTTATTCGAATTCAAAATGGTTCCTAGACTTTTCACTAAACTTACTGTAACAATAGCTACTTTATCATGTACAAGAGCAATTGAATTTAATTAGTCTTATTAAAGAGTTTATTCATAACAATAGATTAGATAATATTATTTTTCACATAAAAATGAATGAAGCTAATCATTCATAATGATTGAATAATATAATGACAACATTCTCAAGTGATATAAGTTATTAACTTAGGAAATATTTACTTCATAAACATCTCTATTTATAATAAGTTTAAATTTTCTTCTTAATTTTTCTAATTCATCAGCTAATTTAATAAGTTCTAATTGAAGTTATCTTATTGTCTTAAAGCCTTTAAGCTATTTTCTCCAAATATCTAATTTAGCAGATAAAGTCTTTCGTAGATTCAGAATCAATTTATCTGATTAAATATCCAAATGAACTAAATTTTCAGATGTTAAATTGGCACTTTAAGTATCTTGTGTGAAAACTTTTTAGGATTATTATTATTTCATTATTTCCTATCTTAATTTATTAGAGATGTCAATTTATATTAAATTAAAATACCATGACAATTCTGGTTTGTATTTAATTTAATAGTGTTTAAGTCTTGCTAAACTTTGTGAATATTGTTTATTTTGGAATCCTAGATATCGTACTTTAAATAAAAATAAGTGCTCATCTTCCTTGGTTTATACTTGATAGTTTACAATACATCGAATGACGTCTGAGCTATCCAATGACTATTAAATAGTAATTATATATACTTAACATTTCCGACCACAATGGATAATATGCTAATTAACCATTCCAATCTAAAGAAGCTATTCAGTCTGTGTTAGTTATGACTCAGCCTAAACTTAAAATTGCCTCAGTACTTTTATCTACAAATGTTGATCCTTTTCACTAGATTTAGTAAATGTATCCAATCCCTTAGCATAAAACAATCTTTAATAGCAAGTTTCTCCCAAATAGAAACATATGGATGAAAATATGAAGTAATAAATATATTGGGAATATGTCGTTTCTATTATGAGTGATAAATTATTCAAAATCAAATTAATCAAATTGCATCCAAATTTAATTTAATTTAATGTAAAAATCAATTTACTATCATAAAAACTGTAAGGCATGTATAAATAAATATCAATCTATTCTAAACCTATCCACATTAAGGCTGAGAGCTGTTTTAATATTAGTATTTCTTCCTAATCATGATAAAAGTAAAGAATTTGAGTTGCAAATTAAAATATTTGTGACACAATCTTCATTATACTTTAATCTCTGGTATAGGTTGATTAATTGAAGTTAATATTTCTAAACAAAATACAGGACATCAAAGATAGGGAAAATATTAAACTCACATCGAAGATAGCCCAAATGTAAATTACAGTATGTGTTTTTGAGTTCAATAGAAAGGAACGAAAAGTGGATGAAACAAATATAAAACACATAATTTAAGGTAAAAGTGCTAAATACCCATTTAAAATCTTCATCAAATTTCTAAATGTTCTTTTCAAATAAACTATTTACAGCATGAATAACAGAAATACTATGAAGTTAAAGAAAGTAGTAATATATCCAATGTAATCAGGCAACAAGTCGATATCTAAAATCGATAACTTAAGAATTTGAAAAAAAATTGAAAAGTGACCATCCTTCTTTTGATTATTGTTATTGATTTCTTGTAAGGTGATTGCGAGATATTATAGAAATTAAAGCATCCGAACAAACAATATGAAGGAGTATGATTAATCAAAGCAAACGCTTTCATCGTTTAATTGTTTGCTAAGATTATTTTTTATTTTTTACATATTATATTATTTTCATTAACTTTTTAATATATAGAAATGTTAATTAACGAACTTACACTCATAAGCAATGTTTCGATGATTATGAAATCTAGAAGATTTAGAATCAATTTATTACCATGATATATTTCATACACATAAAACCAAAAATTATGAAACTAATTATATAATAATTTATAGACATAATGAAAACAAAAGAAATAAGGAAAAGAGAGGATATTTTAATAAAGCTTAAAATCAAGTATACTAATATCGAAGATTTAAATAATCAAGTATTTGAGGAGTTTTTTTTTAATAAATTAAAAGAATTTTGTTTTTCAACACGCAATTATGAGTTGTGTCCAATGATTTAGCAAACTATCAAAAGAAACCCATTTTAATAACAACTAAATTATTTTAAAGAAGTGCATGATTAAAAAATTATTAAAAGAGAAACCAAAATCCAATATTTTTAAGATAAACTCATCTAACTTCTAAAATCCAATAGAGTTGTTCCCAAAATTTTGACTTCAATCAAAGTAAAAGATAATTCCATTAAATTAAAAAATCGCAATCCCCCTTTACTTGATGATATTCATAAAGCCTATGAAAATGATGAATATATAGTGGATGAAATCAATTAAGATATGCAAGAGAAGGATTATGACGATCTACCAATAGATAAATTGATTTTGTTATCCTTAAAAAAATTAGAATAAAACATTGATAAATATTGTAGCCCAAATTTCCTTTGCTATCAAGAAGTTGCATAAATTAAAGATACATATCAAAAAATGGGCAGTATTGATTTGAAATCAAATAAAAATTATGAGGAAATCTACATTACTTATGGCAAGTTTGTTAATAAATTGAATTAAATTGTAACTGGATTTGACAATGAAGACTTCTTCAGAGTGGTTGGACCATTAAAGAACATAATTTTAAGGAAGATTGGTAAAATAGTTTTGTCCGAATTGGTTAAAAGTTAAATAGCCTTGCCAAAAATATTAACTCAAATTTCATTATTACATGATAATGAGTAAAGTAATTTTGGATAAAAAAGAGCCTTTGAAATAAGATTTACCCATGATTTCTTAGATTAAATACTAACCATGCCTGAAGTTAAAGACTTTATAGAAGTCTTCAATTTCCCTTATTTGCAGAGATGCACAACTTGGAGAGCGATTAAAAATTACTACTTTTAAGTTATAGCTACTAATTTTAAAGAATAGGAGAATCAAACAGAAAATGAAATATTATCCTTTTAGCTTTAAGAAATCTATGAAAATATTCACGTCCATTCTGAAGAGCTTAGAAAACTATCCAGATTTAGTACAGTAGCCAAAATGTTTATACAGGTTGAACAAAGGTTAAATTATTTAGTAGACAAAAAAGTGATTATAGATGATTATGATGAGGAAACTAAGGAATTCTTATTGATTGCTTATTAATTGTTAAAGATCAAGGCAGCTATAAATGCAAAGGTAAATAAATAAAATGGAGATATAATATTAGATGAACCAATAAAAAAGAAAAAACCATACCAGAAAAGAGAAATCAAAGATAAAAAAGATTTAGATAAAATTAATTAAAAGTATAGAACTATGACATTAATGCTTGCTAATCAAAGAAGAAAGATCTCATATCTATTAAAATACTTTATACAAACCTTGAATTCTGGAAATTAACCTTATCCTTTCATCTTAGGAATAATGGAATGGAAGAGATTTAATATTAGAGCAACAATTAATTAATAATCATTAGACTTCTTAGTGATGGATGCTGTATTTATGAAATTTATGCATGATGAATACAAAATCGATATAAGTTCTGGAACCTCTTAAGAGAGAATTGATAAAATTATTAATGAACCTTATTCAGAGTATGTTAAGAAGACTGATTCCTAGACTTTGGGTAGTTGGACTCAATTACTAGCAAAATAGGCACGTTTAGTGAATGAACAAAAAGAATTAATCAGTTTGTAAATAAGGAAAATTCTGAATAGCAATAATTTTAATAAGGAAGTAGATAATCTTGTTTAATCAGGATAAACAAGTACAATTTACACATAATTAATTTCAGATTTAATCAAAATCAGAGAATTTGTAAATCAGCTATATTGAAAATGTTATATATATATATACATACATTTATGAAAGTAAAATACTTCATCATTTTTGTTATTTTTTATATAAATTCAAAATAAATAAAAATTAATATAAAAATCGTTAATGATTGGAAAAAAAGAGATATAAATTTCTAATGCCACTAGAGATAGAGTTGAAGCTTGCAGATTGTACATAGAACGTATTCATTCCTGATTATATTTTTACAGGCAAATACGCAAAATAAATACAAGAAGAAAAATAATAATTTGAAGGATGGCAGTAATTATCTAAATTAATGGATGCTTTACATATGAATCCAAAAGAGTAGGAAATTATTAAAAAAGAAATTCTAAAAAAAGAAGCAGAATAAATGAGAAAAAAGTATTCAAATTTCAAATTTTATAGGCGGACTAAATTGAGCATTGAAGATTTTCAACCTCTAGCCATTATAGGTAGAGGAGCCTTTGGTGAAGTTAGATTGTGTAGGCATGTGCCCTCTTAGTAAATAGTTGCAGTAAAGAAAATGAAAAAGCATGAAATGATATTTAAGAACTAAATTGGTCATGTGACTAATGAAAGAAAAGTCTTAGAAGAAGCTAAAGGAAATAATTGGATTGTTGAGATGAAATGTTCATTTTAAGATGAAAAAAATTTATATTTAGTGATGGAATATTTACCTGGAGGAGATTTAATGACATTGCTCATGAAAAAGGATATACTTTAAGAGGCAGAAGCTCGTTTTTATATGGCAGAATTAGTTTAAGCAGTTGCAGCTGTTCATAAATTAGGATTTATACATAGAGATTTAAAGCCAGACAATATTTTATTAGATAACAATGGACATATAAAACTATCTGACTTCGGTTTATGCAAAGATGCTGATCTTCATTTTGATAAACCTGTTTTCGCTTAAAAATTTAAGTCTAAACAGACGAGAAGAGAAGTAATAGAATTAAATATATTTTAGAAAGCATTTTCAACAGTTGGGACTCCTGATTACATAGCTCCTGAAGTGTTTTTGTAATAAGGTTATGATGGGTCAGTTGATTGGTGGAGTGTTGGAGTCATTTTATATGAAATGCTTGTTGGATATCCTCCATTTTATACGGATGATCCTTCAACAACATGTCAAAATATCATTCGATTTCAGTAATGTTTTGCATTTCCAGAAGAACCAAAAGTGTCTTAATTAGCCAAAGATTTAATTAGTAAGTTAGTTTGTGATGCAAATACTCGTTTAACATATGATTAAATTATAAGGCATCCTTGGTTTGGTGGGGTGTCTATTTTAAAAATAAGAGACATGAAGGCTCCTTACATTCCAACTATTCGAAGTGAATTGGATACTAGCAATTTTGATAAATATGAAGAGGAGGAGCCATGGATAAATAAGGGATAGAAAAGTGTCAAGAAAGAGATGACTTTTGTTGGATATACATATAAATAAGAAGACTTTGAGGAAAAGAGACCAATTTATAAGGCCCTGGAAGAATTAGAGTTATCAAGACCATCTAATTCTAGAGGAAATACAAAAACAACAAATTCTCCCTTCTAAAGTCCCAATTTATAATTTAAGAGCCAATTAAATAACAAAACTCCTTTAACCTAATAGATTAAAACAGTAAGTGCAACTTAATCACCGTTTACAAAATAATAAACAGTCTCTCCTATGCCGTTAAGTAAAAACCAAAATTATCAAAAATCTTTCTTAAATAATCGACTTCAAACAGAATAAAATGAAAGCTTTCACACTAACAATTAATAATAGAATCTAATAACATAAGGTAATTTAGGAAATTTCAACAATGAAAACACAAATCCCAATACAAATGTTCAAAACATTAAGAACTTTATTTTCTCTAAGATCTAGTAACATACAAATAACTAACCCCAAAGCATTAACGTTGGCAATATTCAAAAAACTGTGTAATTCAATGAACTTTAAAAACTTGTTTAAAATCAGAAACTTAGGCCAGATAAACCAGATTAGGAATAAACTAAGGTTTTTAGTAATACAAACAACAATATTAGTTTACTAAAATAAAACATTATTAATTAATTCAGAGCAGTCAGCCCTTTAACTAAACGATGAACTTATTTTATATTTATTATATTTCAAATTTTTATAAACACCATAATTAGATAGGTAGTAATAGGGATTCTTGTATTATCTTAAAGTGAATAAAGTGGTTGTTTTCCATGTTATAAGTATTTAAATTAAAAAGCTAGTTTTACTATAAATATATATATTTTCAAATTTTAATAATGTAGGAGTTAACAGAACTTAAGAACTTAGTTATACAATCTCTTGAGGCTAATGGATCTCTTGCCAAGATTAGAGCTTAGATAAGAGCTTCAGTCTTTAATGTAGTTGATTAACAGGAAGGCAATAATAAAAAACCATCTCCATTTTTTTGGGAAAATAATAAGGCTTAAACAATTTACGAATTAGGATGTGGAAGAGACATGCTAGAATTAATAAAAGAGTTTTTATTATTTTTTGAAATGCACTACACCACCTCCATTTTTTCAAGGTATTATCTAATCTATACAATAATAGCGAAAGCAATTTAAGAGAAGATATAAATCGTGATTAGATTGCCAAAAAGTTGAATATAGACGCTACTGATTCTACAAAGCCATTGCTATACTTTTTGTTAAAAAATAGATAACCTGAAAAAAAATCGTAATTTTAAATTTATTTTATTTTAGAGAAGAAAAGCAATAGCAATAAAAAATTGCATAGCCATCACCCAAAGAAATTTAAATATAGCAGTAATAATAATAATAATAATAATAATAATAATAATAAAAATTGCAAGATCAAAAGGTTCAAGAATAAAAAAGATAAGATGAAATTAAAAAATAAGAGGAATTAAAAAAGTAAGAAGAACAAAGAAAGCATGAAGAATATAGAAAATAAGATGAATTAAGAAGATAACAATAACAATAAGAAGAGTAGAAAAAACTTGAAGAATAAAAAAAAGAATAATAAAGAAAACAATAGGAGGACCAAAGAAAAATGGAAGAACTTAAGAAATAATAAGAACAATAAAAATTAGAATAATAGAAGTAAGAATAGCAAAGATAAGAATAATAAAAGTAAGATTAATAAAGAAAAGAATAAGAAAAGGTGAAAGAGTAATAAAAATAATAGGAATTACTTAAACAATAATAAGAAAGAGAAAAACAAGAAGCAGAACAAAGGAAAGGTTAAGCTAAGAAATTTGAACATAAAAATTATGAGGATGAAAAGTTTGATAATGATGATATGGAAGAATAATTAGAGGGAGACGTATCAATATTATATAATCAAAGGATTTAAGAGATTCTTAATTGTAATAAGATTAGTTTTAAGACTCCGATGAATACATGTAATAATCGCAATCATAAGGAATTGACATGACTATTGATTCTGCTGCATTAGAAGAGTTTGATTATTATGAAGATATCGAAGATATGGATTGAATTAAGATTGATTATCATAAATATAATAAATTCTTTGTAATTCCTTAGGATTAATATTCTCTTTTATCTCTACACATTTTTTTAGATAATTAAATGATGTTAATTGGAATTTAAACATATAAATTTCCCAATTTGATTGTTAATATTTTTCCCTATCATAATTCTATTAAAAATAGCAAAATATGATTTGAATGATATTATTCTAAATAAAATAAATACAAAATATTTACAGGTCTTTGTGAAAGTATAATGACTCATTTATGAGGTTATTAATATTTTTAAATTAGACTAATTTAAATAATTATATAGATTAAAATGTAGAAAATATAAAAATGGGAACAATGGGGATCGAACCCATGACATTAAGATCTTCAGTCTTACGCTCTCCCAACTGAGCTATACTCCCAAAGTTAATATAATTATACTATATTTCGAAAAGTACGATTTTTGTATTCAATCCATCCAATATTTTATGCAATATACTTCTTATTAATTATAATTATAATTAAGTTTATGTGTATTTACTTAACAAAAGAGGGAGTCTTCTTGATTCAACTTGAATGTACATTTTAATTCTGTTTCAAATTCCTTAAAGTTTTAATTTAATAATCAAATTATGCTTATTTAGAATTAGACAATCTTTTGATTTATAAAAAAATTCAAGTTTTAAAAATACAAAACAAAAATAAGTAAAATACAATATATGAAAAAAAAATAACATTAATTTTAATCACTTATCTAAATTTCTTTATAAGTATGGGTGAATGTAAATAAGAAGAATTTAGTTTAACCACATAAAAAATTTAATTTTTAGCCTTAATTTTAAGAATATATCAACTTGAATTACTTAAATATGAGTTTTAAGGATAATATTGTGTAAATTTGTCTAGCTTACTCTTTACTCAAAATTATAATGTTCCTTTGATTTTACGAAGAAATTCTTTAAAATCAAGTGATTGTGGTTCGAATGAGCATGATTTCATATAAAATGAGATTTATTTAAAAAGAACTCATTTATTTAAATTTGTTAAGCCTGTAATTTACAATTAATATATTTAGATTATGTCATTATTTTCATCTAATTTTAATTATTCAATATTTTAATTAAAAATTTAGGTAAATAAATAGATAATAATTATAGTATTTGAATTGGCAAATTCAAAAATAAATGATATAGATTTTATATATTATATATCGATAATGTAATCACGAATAATATAACACCATATATTTGGCAAATTTTATGTAAATTAAGTAATTATAATATAAATATTTCTCATATTTTTATGTTTACATTAGCAAATCTTTATATCTAAATTTGATGTAAAGTTATGAAGAATTATTATCAAAATTGTAAATTTATGAGATTTACTTTTTTAAATTTGGTTTAGTTTCTTTCACTTTAGATGAGAAGCAATATGAAATTTGTGAAGCTATTTGTTGGTATCGAATTTACATAAAATATTGCTCTATCTTTACCAAAACATGGCTGGGGATAATTATAATATGAGGACAAAATGCTTAAAGCAATTTCATAATTTACTAACTATACTCTATTTTTAGATTAAGCTGACAGTTAATATTCATTTGATGTTTTTATCATCTTCTTCTCCTTTTTATCATACATTGCTTTGCTTTTTTCTGTAATGTGTCATTAGAAAGATGCTATCAGATATTGTATAAACTACACTTTAACCATTTTGAATAAAGTACTCAAGCTCCCACTTATAGCTATTTATATTGAATTTTTGTTTTACCACTCAGAAAATGTAGGGTATTTTGTGATAGGATGTTTTACATTTGCAATATTTTTGGTGTTGTTAGGTTTGATTACATATTTTTAGAGAGACATTTAATGCAATTTTAACAGATTGAATGTTCCAATTTATCATTTTTATTCTCCTGTTTTATTTATCATACATCTTCTGGATATATTTAGAGTTTTAGTATTTACAATATTAAAAACAAACACTGGATAAATCGTATTTTAACTGTTAACTATAATGAGAATGATATTGAAACAACATCAAAATATATTTGAATAAAATGATTAAGATAAATCTAATTAAAGTCTAATATTATGCAATTTATTTATTTCTATATTTCTCCTTGTTGGAATAAGTACATAAATAAATGAAACATCTATTTTTAATATATTGCTTTATTCATCCACTCTCATATACCATTTATTTACTTAAATTAACTTCGCTTAGATATTTTACTCCAGTAGTTTACAATACTTAATTCATCAAAAAATGGTCGAAAAAAAAATATTTGTTTGTGCATTAAGTTGCAATCTTGATAACAATTATATATAAAACCTATTTGAGATCTGCTTGCAAGATGAGATTAATAATTATACATCCAACCTTATCTCACCTAAATATTAATCTATATTTTAAAAGGAGGACAATATATTAATATTATTTGACTTTTTAGTCAAACATTCATAAAGATATTACTTAGCATTAAATCTTCTTTATAAGTTTGAGAGCACCCAAACTAATTAATCCTATTTTTATAAGTAGATTAGTGCATTTTTGAAGTATAAAGTTTAAAAAGAAATGGTGCAATTCAATCAATTTACAAAAACAATTGAAAATTTAAATATGAATAAACTAATTGAAGCAGAATATGAAAAAAAGACTTTAGAGGTTTTTTAAAAATAAATAGAATTTCTTAAGTATCTAATATAGGGAGCTTAATCTTTTAATGAAATAGAGAAGCATATTATCGGCATATCTGAAACCATTTAGGGAATAAAATTATGGTTAAAGAAAAACAACATTTATAAAAACAGAGATAATTCTCTCTTTCTAAAGATTTCCATTAATTTCAATATTTAAATAATGTAAAATCTTATATAAGGGATTAAATTAAATAAAATTTTGAATTAATTATTGACAACAGACAGCAAAACTATTAGTTACACAGAAATTTCTAAAGAAGACTCTATTATAGTACCAGTAAGTATAATTAATAAAAGAGGCTCTATATTAAATTCTAACAGTCAAACAAACTAGTTTTTTGGTTTTTCCAGTAAGAATACTAAATTAGAAACTATTGAATAGCTTATGCCAAAAGCAATTAAGTCAATTCATAATGAATTTTTAGAAGGTTTTATTAATAGAGTGCATATCTTGTCAAATAGCTAATAATCTTAATTATAAGTACTATAAAAACAAGAAAACGAATATATTTAATGTCTATAAATTCACTTTATATTAAGTAATGATTTCTCAGATTTTATTTTATTATCATTAATAAAAAAAGTTAATAAAAATAAAGTTTTTATTGTATTTGATAATTCTGGATAAATTACAGGTATGAGTTAGCATTTAAAGAATTATTGGCCAGAAATCTTCTAATAAATGTAGTTCTATAATTTGATATAGTATTATTGTCCAAAATTATTTGAATTGCTTTCAAGTTAGAACTCTTCTCAGATATTTGATATAAATTTTATATAAAGATCTAAGATATAAAAAATAGATATGTCATTCAAAAGCTTTATAAGACAAGAAACCAATTTGTTAAAATCCTCTTATTACGTGGACAATATTTATTCAGAGAGATCTGATTAAATGCAGTTACTGAATTCGAAATATTAGAATATAGAGTAGGATACATTAAACTTTAATATATTAGATGTTTTTTATCAAAACTATTTAAATTCAATAATGAATATTCATGCAGTATTTATTTGATCTTAATTTTTAGACAGAAAGTGATGTAATCTTTCCTGCAAAAGGATTGATAAAGAAAGTTCAATTAAAAGATGAAATAATCTAATATCAATTAGAACTACACTTTAATGAGATATCATCAAAAAATGAAAAAGTTGAAACAATCAGTGATTCCAAGAGAAAGATGGAACCATAAAAAACTAAATCATTAATTGAAGGAAGTGAGTTTGGAACAGAATTAAAAGCTGCTTTCCTCCTTCATCAAGTATTGTTAAAATAAACTAGTAGTGTGCCGTTTATAAAAATATACTTTTACAAATTTATTGTAATTTTACTGATCATTATATTTTTAATTTTGCAAATCTATTAAAGTCAAAATGATGGCTAGACTAAAATTAAATTAACACAATACATTTATGCTCCTTAATTAATGGCTAAGGTATACAATGATGCATTTTAATTGGGATTTCATAAATTAATTTTTTAAAATTTGGAGACTTCATAATTTTTATAAAATGCTTTTATTACCTAATTAGATTATAAGTTATCTTAGATTAGAGAGGAATATGATTTTTTACACACTGAATTAATCAAGATCGATGCAATAAAACATGAAATTTCATATTCTTTAGATATATTATAAAGCAGAATACAACTTACTAGTATTGCTACTTTTTCAGAAAAAATTAGAGAAAATATGATACCTTTAATTACATATTCAGCAGATCAAATTCAGTTTATTAAGTCTATTCTCTTCTTTAGAATGAACATAGTATAGGCATACAATATCAGCATCGATATTTTAGACACATTTAGTATCTAATTGGCAACTTACTAAACTAATATTATGGAATTTTGGAATAGCATACTTGCTGTCTAACTTATCTTATTTATTATCCCTTTCCTAATAAATATCAATAATTGGTTTAAATTTGAAAAAAGACAGAAATGTATTATATAAATAATAACTAAAATAAATGAAGACTAAGCTTATCAATTAATTGATTAGAAGCTGTGTTTTATAAAGTCAGCCATATAAGAAAAAGGAAACATGATCAATACTCTCAAATAAAGCCTATTATCATTAAAAACTTCTAATTTAAAGGACTTTATACCTCAATCTTAAAATTCAATCAAACAAAGATAAACATAAACACTGTATGAAAAGATCTCCAATAAATAAATAAGTATTATACCAAAATTGAGTGTGAGCATTATTAGCTACCTATTAATAGCATTCTTAGTGGGCTTTGGATATTTGCAAACCAAATTAAGTGACTAAACATACTAACCTATAGAATAGTTAATTAAAACGTATGTTAAATTTCAAGCCCAATTAAGTTATTTAATTTCTTTTGCATCTATAATGAAAGGATAACAAGAATTGTTAAATATTATTCAAGACATACATGATGCTGAATTAGGAAATATAAATACATTATTTTAAGATGATTAAGTTCCTTAGAGTTTTCACAATTTATCTTAAACATATTCGAAAAAAGTTATAACCTTATTTTCTACCATCATTTTGACAAATCAAATAGATTAAAAAGATAAAGAAATTCTTTATGATCTTTACTAGGGCGATTTTTGTAATTATTTGCAAGAATCAATAAAGTTTTGTAATACAAATCTAACTTAATCAAAATTTGAAAAGGAATATGGGCAATTTTATGGATATGAAAATAATTCTGATGTTTTGAGAACAGGTATCATTGGTTTTATTAGCAAATTGGATTCATTATTGAAAAATAATTTTGATTTGGAAATCTCAAAATCTATTTACGATTAAAATCCATCTGGCCCTTTTTACTACTTTAAAGACTATAATAATCTCATAGTGTAATTTCCACTTAATATTTCTGAAGGTTTCAATCAATTTTATGAAGAAGTAAACTACATATCATCAAATCTAATAACAAAGACTATGGATAGTTTATTCATTTTTTACATTTGTTTTGGTATATTCATCTTGGTTATTTACTTGATAATATCTAGTATTCAAATTAGATACTCATAAAGAAGATATAAAAGATGTATTCTAGGCCTAGTCATGTTATCAGAGGATCTTTTGAATGACAAAACTAGTTTGTATTTGTTAAAGAAATTGATGAATTGAATCTATTTATGTGAAAAAATAAATAAATTTTAATATTATTATAAAATTTGAAGTATTACAATCTTTATAAGAAGGTATAATTAGATAATGAGTAAAATTTTATAAAGCAATAAAACGAGATTGGATTATAAAATATAATGATGAAAAAATTGTTTTTATTTTCATTTTTCATCCTCTTCTTCTATAGGATCCCCTTTTTAAAATCGTTTTTTTACATTATCCATTGATGGACTTTAAGTGGGATCAATATGATCAAATTCAGTAGTATTAAATTTTTAGATAATTTTCTATTGGTTTTATTAAATTGGTCTATATGTATTTTCTTATGTAACAAAGGATCCTTTATTTTCAATTCTATCTTAGGGACTTCCCTTTTGGTTTTCATTTTAAAATTCAGTAGTGAAAGCTTTTCCACAAGTTGAAAACATTTGCTTCTTTTGAAAGGTTGTTAATTTAGCAGGCCCTTGGATGCCACTCTCTTGATAACAAGGAATAAAGAATGGATCCTATAAACATTGAGATGAGGTTATTCTTTGAGTTGGCTCCTTTTCAAGCATTTTCTGGATTAGATTCTAAAATTGTATTTATAAAATACATTGAGTTATGGATCAATTTTTTTCATTTGCAAGGGAGTTAAATCAATTTTACACTACTTATTTAACTTCAATACTAAATTAAATCCAACTCCTGGGAAGAGGTCCTTTCCAGTTATTCTGAAATAAAGATTAAACTTACAATTTAAAAAATATCACTCCAGCACTAAATATATCACAAACTTTATCATATTTTAAAGTTTTGTCAACAAGATTAGCTATCTCAGGTGCAACGTATCCAGGAGTACCACATTTAGGAAATAAATATCTTCTTATTTAATTATTATTTTTACTTATTTGCATTGCAGTATGTAGCTAAACCAAAATCAACAATTTTAAGAGAATTCAAGTCATCTTTTCTCAATAACATTATGTTTTCTGGTTTCAAATCTCTATGCATAATTTATTTTTCATGCATGTATTCTATTCCAGTCAGGATTTACTATACAATCTAATGGATTTATTACCCACATAATGTTCCTTACTGTATCTTCTGGGAACCCATTTTTATGATTGTTTAATTCTTCATGCAAGCTTTTCCCTTCCAATAAATCCATAACCATATAGAATGTGTTATCTCCTTCATAAACTGCATGCAATTTTATAAAGGAAGGATGATCTAGTTCATTGTTAATGGCTATCTCTTAAAACATTGATTCCTATTTTATGTTTAAACTAATACTAGTCCATTTTCAGTTTCGTTTATGTAGGATTTGTCAACGCATTTTGCTGCATAATAATTTTCTGTGTTCTTGTGTCTCACCAATAAGACTCTGGAAGATGCTCCCTTGCCTAAAGTTTGGAGGGGAGTGTAAAAATCTTGAATTCTTTAAAAGATGATCTTATTTCTCAAGTGCTCTTTTAAAACGGCTAGAGTTTTATCATCGCTGCAAAATGTTGTTATTTTGGCAACTTGGTTTTCATTTATTTTTTTAACCTAATGAATGTTAGAATAAATTTGAGCACTTATTGAAATTTGAATGAGACTATTTTGTAATGCTTCTTCCCATCTAAATTGTCCTCCTCCACTTCCCACTTTATGTGCGTTTAGAGTTAAATTGGCAAAGAATACTTGAAATTTGGATGATTATCCTAAAATATCAATGTCTTCAACGAACGATACCTTACATAAATCCAACCTATCTTGTCTTAATATTCCCAAGTATTTCTTATTTCCATTCTTCCCTTTACGAAAACATTCGAATTGATATACAACTGGTACTTCAATTTACATTGACAGACAATATTTTTGAGGTATTAAAGTTAAAAAAAATTTAAAATAAATGATATTATGTGAAAGTAGGAGAAGATAAAGAAGGAATGGAGTTCATGCTGAATCTGAGCAAGAATACATATAAGTTTAATATAAGTTATGATTATCCGATAGAAATTGGCCAAAGAAGACCAAAGTCGATAAATGTCTTTGGAACACTAGTAGCCTTTCCCATAACTTGAAGGATTCATTATAAACTAAGATTTTTCATTTGATCCATTTCATTCCGAGCCCATCATTCTTCTTGAAAAGATCACTATATATAAATCTCACTTTCTATTGTTGATTTGTGAAGATTTTTCTATGAATATAAAAAAGTTGTAGTCTATTTTAGATTCCTGTAAGTTTAATATGATTAAATTTAGCAGAAATGTCAGATAATCTCACTGAGAGCACTACCGAAGAGTAAACATACTCAGGCTAATTAGTTTTTAAATAAGATTGCTATGTTCACACTCTTACTTTTGGAAATATAATTCATAAATTCCACATATGGATACTCAACCACTTAAACCCTTTAGAAATTTTTAAAGGTGTTTATTATGTTTAATTTAGAATTGTATTATCCTTTATTCAATGCGTTCGTCATTGTTACTAATGAAGGACACAGCAGCAAATAAAATTTATTTTAGGCAGAATTTACAAGAATGCGCTAATTTAATTAAGCAGTTAAATGTCATACTATTTCAGATTCCGATGATGTAATTATTTATTTTATTAAAGTTATTATTGGAAAAATAAAATAGTTTATTAAGCATATTAAAATCTTTAATTGAATGATCAGATAATTTATTTTACTTATACGTGCTAATTAATAAATTTAATAAAAATCTATATACTATTGTTTCACATTTATCCGAACTTCTTTATAATTGTATTTTCATAATAACAGATCATTAAATCAGTGCAAATTAAAATTAACATCATAATTCTTATTTGATCATATATGAATAGCTTGTAGTCTATATTTAGAGTGGGGAATTACTATAGAGAATTTAAATTAAATACAAAACTGAGTTAAAATTTTAGTCAAATAATTTAACTAGAATTTTAATTTTAATTTATAATGAAAGCAAACAATATTTCGAAGAGTATTCAATAAATAGATATTTCAAGATTGACATAATTCTATTATAAATTGAAGTAACTTTTACATCAATAATAATCAATATACATGGAAATGTTTTATTAATAATTTGCTGAAAAAAATTTTCAATTTAATTGGGCTTTGAATAATCTAGTCATTGATATAAATGATTAGATCAAATTTAACTTTAAGAACTTATAAATAAATCTGTTAAAATTCTTAAAACATAAAATCTATAATTGCTAACAATTAAATGTTCAATGTTCAGCAGATTGTTGTTCTTATTCTTAAAATGCCCCATATTTTTTCATTTCTTCAGCTTGTTACTTTAATTCTTATATTCTCTTAGCTAGTGCTCTACCTTTTCTACACAAAATGAAGACGATGATTACGAGAATTACCTAAAATATTAATGATATTAATTACTGCAACTGAAACACAAACCCCAATAATCAGGTAATTTGAATCCGATTCCAAAAGAGGTCCTGAAGCTTAGATTGATAATTATTATGTGATTTGACATTATTCAAATAAATCTGTAATCTGATGTCCTTCACATCTTGAAGTATTGGCTTTGAGGGTGTAATTTTACTCTCTTCCATATTAGAATTTACAAATAATAACTGGGTTGTAATCATTAAATTTCCAAATATGCAAAGATCCTTTAGAGAGACCTATATAATAGGATGTTTCCATAAATTAGGTCCTAATGGATTCATTCATATCAAAATATTGGAATCTAATTAATTCATCTTCAAAGAATGTTTTTACTAAATCTGTGTTATTCCTCATGAAACCATTGAAAATGGAATGTCTAAGTACCAAATGGACATCTTCGCCAATAATGATTGCATAGTCTTCATCAATTTAAATATCTCTAAAAGAGAAATCATCAACATATATTCTATTTATATAGTATTCCTTTGAGTCAGGTAGGAGGAATATCTCCATCATGTACTCTATATTATTTGGAGTTTCAGCCACAACCAAGTAAGTGTTCTAATAATGATCAAAGGCAACACATCTTGATTAGGATATTGTGAGATCTAAGGATAGTTGTCCATTTTGTATTTTAAAGATGTACAATCCTGTATGCTCATCTAAGATGCTTATCCTTTCTTAAGATAGTTTTACAGATATAATGTTGACTGCTGTTTAATTTAATTGTTCTGCTGAGATTGTGAGTAAATAGATTAGCTGCTTATTGATATATTAATAGAGATCGACTCCAGCAATGCCATTTGCAATAGCAAGATATTCTTCGAAAAGACTTACTTTATTGAGATCTTATCTTTTGTTTATCACTGGTTCTAGATTTAAATTGGGCTTCTCTATTTCAGAATTAGTATTCAACCAAAATCCTCCATAGTTCGATAGAATCAGACAGCGATCTTGATCACTCTGGAAGTGTGCAAAATAGGCATTTGTGTAGTTGACTTGCTCAGAAATCAAGGTTTAAAGATTGTAAGAAATATTTTTAATTTGTATATTCCATTGTGGGGATTGGGATTAATTAAACAGCAGTATGGCCTGCTTTAATTCTAGTTCATCTGTCAATAAAAATATTCTTAATAAAAGAATACTGCATACTTCTATTGTTATCCCAAAATCAAGAGGTCTGTATAGTAAATATCTTCAGTATTATCCAATAAATTAACACTAAATATTTCAGTCAACTTAGGATGTTTAGGCAAACCTATGCAATCTAAGAATAGAATATAGATTTTACCATTGTCTAATTATTAATCATCCAGGTATTGATTGTCCAAACTAAGGAAGGGTGTTTCAATGTAAGCACCTAATGAATTTGAATCATTTCTATAAACAATAATGTCATATATTGCAGGATTGCTATGAAATTCAATTTCTAATTAACCTTAGTAATTTCACATGAGCCTCTTAAGTAGAAAATTAGAATTCCAGAGATTCCTCATTTACCGTAAATGTTTAATTTGGATGACTGCGGATTCTATTAGTTTAGATTGAATTCTAAAAGAATAGTGCTGTTATTAAGCCTATTTATATTGAAAACATTAAATATCAATAATTAACAAAATTAAACATTCAAATAAATCATACTTCTTTAGTCTTCTATTCCTATTAGGCCAACTTTGCATTCAGAAGAGTGCAATATCTAAATTGATCCATCAATTCTATACACTGTTTCAAAGCATTATTATGTTTATTTTTTTATATACAAATATTATAGGCATCTAAATGCGTTTAACATTTATGGCCAACAGCATCATGAGCGATTTTCTCAAAAGGTGTAAGAAGTAATTATTTATCCATAAATAAAATTAATAATAATTAAAATAGACGAAAGACAACACTTTATAAATGATTGAATCCTCCATAGAATTGTCAAATAAATAACAATTAGATATGATACCTCAATGTAATAATTATATTCTGTCATGACAATATCTATGGTATTTTCTTATCATGAAGTCTGCATCAACTTTCTTTTTAGTTGGTGCTTCATTCAATAATTCTTGGTATTTCTATTCGCAATCATACTTCTTAATGAAATCTTCTTGACTCATTTTTAGATTATCCATTACATTCTCTAGATTATTCAAAATCACCAATCCTATTAGGAATGGAATGTTTACCTGGGACGTAACACTGTCCAATAATCAAACTCTAAAATGTGAGGAAAATATGGAGCATCCTTGATTTTAACATTCATATGCTTTTCAAAAAACTTCAATTTCAATTTCAATGTTTAAACACTCTTTAAGAATAAATTTGGACACATCTACAAGAGCTGTCCTACCTAGTTAATTGATAACCCAATTTCTTTGAATAAATTGATCTTCGGACTCAACATATAAGCTGGTGTTAAGAGTAATAATTTATGATTATTAATTAGCAATTGATGTTAGACTTCTTTATTTGGAATTAGAACATCATAATGATTTAATAATCTATCTAGATCATGATTTTTAAGGGCTAGAAACTCTGAAGTTTTTTGAATCTAATAAATCATACTGATATAATAATTACCAATTCCTAGATTTCCTTAGTTTTATATTCCCTGTTATACATAACTCTAAAATTAGGTGGTATTCTTTCAAGATTGAATGAAAATAGGAATGGAGTGTTGACCAATACTTATCCAAATTGTTTGTCACTCACATGAGCATAGGTATTGAAGACATTCCTGAAATTTTCATAATTAACTTCAAAGTTTCTCATTAATAGAGGGTATGCTGTCAACATGGATAAAATGTCTTCTTTGCTCATTTGTAGTTGCTTTTCAAAAAGGTCTAAGTAATTATTCATTTTATCAATAGGATGACTCAATATTTATGGATCTTTAAAGAGGATGGTTCGCATTTATCTTAATTAATGTGAGGAAGAATTACTTCGCTTCTGCATTCAATCTAGATTTGAATAGTTCGCTCAATTATTCAATGTCATTAGCAGTATTGCCCTTGACAAGAGAAAGACCTCTGTTCTTGAAAATTCTGAAGATCATTTATTCATTAAATCCCATGGATTCATAGATACTTAGGGCAGGCTTAACTTGAGTTTCATAATTGTAAATGGTAGCAAATTTGGTATTTTACAGTTTCTCTGCAAATTTTGAATAGGTACTGAATCTGAACAAGATGGCCCTCATTTAATAAATTAATATTTATTTATATTTTCATTGGTTATACACAACCACTCGAAATTTTGTTAAAGGAATCTAATTAATTGAAATTCCGCTTATTCCCAGTGTTAATTGTTTTAATTGAGTTATTAGATTAGCTTGATTAATAATATTTAAACAAGCAACATCATTAATAGAGCATTCTTTCGTATTGAATATAAGTTACTATAGATTCTTATATTCAATGATTATTAACATCATTTTATCAATGAACTCATCAGGAATCTGTTAGTGAGATAGATTGATGTATAATTGAGTCACATTTTCTCTTTTGATTCTTTCCAAATAAAACAAGAACATTTATTAGACAATAGGTTTGCTGACACTCATTTGAATGATGTATTTTCTTCTTTTCTTCTCTTTAAAAGACTTGTCCAATTCTTCAAGTTATTGTTGTGAAAGCGAAGTAATCTATTTAAATTAACATATAAACTTAAATTCTTTCGGTTTTCTCTTCATACTTTAAGTATTCCAATTTCATGGGCAGCAGATTTTGGGCAGCACAACCGACATCAATAAGAGAACATCTCTCAATGGGATTACGTAACAGCATATTCCTGATTAAACTCCCTAACATTTCCCTAATTTTAAAAATTACATACCCATATTGTAATGAAACAAATTTCAATTTATTTTCAATAGCATCTTGTGAAATCAAATCCATCGGCAATGTGAGTGAAGCCATTGACAAAATTACCATCCCAATTTACCAAACATCGGTCTTGACTGAAAGATTTAAATTGCTTTTGAAACCGAATTGATTTGCTTATGAATTACTTTCAGGTGCTTGTAGAGCTTAATAATCATTCCTTTCTTTATCATATTAAATGCGGTATTTCTTTTTGTAGGCAAGAATAGGAGATAATCCACCAACTTTAAATCCTTTTTTTTCATCATAAAACAAATAACTTACAGAGAACTATTTCTAGAATATCTATAAGAATTATAAATATTAAGCCACTGTCACCAAAGTTATAATGGCTTCCACAATTACTTCTAACTGAAACAAATTATGAGTTTAAGCTCTCAATTAAATTAGCTCATTCATGGGTTATTCCACCCATTCCTCAACTGCGTATATCGTATCATACTGCAAGTCTTCGATTTTGATAAATCTATTGTAGATCGTCTTCTTGATCTTCTTATTGAAGAAGGGCTTATTCTTATGGATGTGGCCTATTTCCAAACACTTGACAATGTAGGTGAAATCTGAAATGAGCAACTGCGATCGCTTGAAATGCTCGTATTCAACTTTAGCAACGTCACATTGAGGAATCAGATATTGATGCACCGTTAAGGCCACTTAGCTAACGCTTACTCTAAACACCTTATTGAATTAGCTCTTTTTAATTTAAGCAGATTTTATATAATTGCTATAGAGAATTTCCTTGGTTAATTTGCCAAAAGTCAAACACTTCAGTCTTTCAGGGTCAAAAGTGTTGCATACAAAATTATTTATAGCATCAGGCTTGTAGATTATGATTCTTTAAGTATAAATATCTTTTTCGTACTTATTAATATGAGACAAGTAGGTCTAAATAGATTTAAGATACTCTTGCAATTCTTCCTTACTTTCGCTGCTCTGAAACCATGAATTGAAAATGGATTTCTCTGGAAATAAAGGCAACTTATAATATTTCACTATAAACTCTTACATGAAGTTGATAATTATCAGCCTGAAGGTTTCGAGACAGTTAATTGAGATCTGAAAAGCGCACCCTCACGTCACGATAGCAAGTATAATAGTTATTCGTAATTCTAACATTGTAATACTATTTATTTTCATAGGACTATATGTCAATGATTTAAATCTAATATTACATTATTTTTTATATTGATCAATTATAAAATATATATATGCTTCTATCGATAGTTCATTATCTCTTATGTATATTTATCACAATAATCCCATTTGTTAAAATAATACTGTCATTCATCCAAAGCATTTAAATAATAACAATATCTATATTACTAATTAGCCAAGAAAATAAAGTATTTCATTTATTCTTTATAAACTATGTGTGACGATTGGAACTATCAGAGAAATGAAGATCTATAATGAGAATTGAGAATTTATTTTAAGAGTTTAATAACATTACATTTATAAGTTTTGATTATTTTTTTAATTGAGAAATCAAAATTGATAAAAAGACATCCAAATAATGAATGAATATCAATCTTATACGTCTGATAACCGTAAATCGAAATAAACCATAAATACTATGGAAGAGCTTAGCAAAAATCAATCATTCAGAATTCTCAAATTGTAAACATCTGGATTAGGCAAATTAAATAATAGTAGTAAAAGAAACCCTTAAAACTTTGATGTTTCTTAAGTGTCTACGTCTATGCCATTAAGGTAATCTGCTCTTTTATTATTCCCACAAGTTAGAAGAATATGTTATCATTTTTGGCTCATGAGGAGTAGTCCAAGCGTCCAAATTCCTATGAATAATTGTTTTATGATTTGTAATAATCAAAGCAATAAGTTAACAATCTTAAAGATGAGAACACCCGACTGAGAACCAAAGTGCAACACAATGAAGTACGTTCTATTGTCTATAATTTAGAGAGAATTCTAAAAGTATGAGAACTTGATAGAGGATTTAACTACTCAAAAGAAATCGAACAATCAAGATCTTCAGATTATTTCACTAAGGAAGCAAGTCAAGGATAAGAGCTCAGAATTGGAGGATAAAATGAAGGAAATGGAAATTTTAAAGAGGAATAGTAAAGTTTGCAAATTATAGGAATTGGAGGTACTGATGTTAATTGAATTGTAGGTTGAAAAAAAAGTGTATTTCGAATAAACCCTTATGATGAAGCATATGTTGTAAATGGCCTAAGATCAAATTTAATACCAAAAAAGCAAATTAGAATAAGTGTAACAATTAGAATCTCAATTAGATGTTTGTCACGAATAACTATTTAAATTATAATAATAAAACAATGAGTCACTAGATATCATTTCGAAAAGGGATTAAACTATCAAAGAAATGAAAATTCAATTAAAAAATCACTCTATTAAATAATAACAACTAGTTTAAAAATAGTAAACAATCTAATAAAAGTATGATAATTTGTAATTGCTCTATCAATCCATCAAAGGGAACAACAATAATAATACTCAGCCAAAGGACACTGTTATCAAATTTCCAAAAGATCTGGTTATATTGAAATTGCATCAGAAGAGAGTCACCATGAGTCAATTTAATGATGCAATTGAGACATTAAAAAAGGCAAAAAACAAACAAGAGTTTATTTCGCTGTTGCAATAGTAAGAATACTTATTATGATAAAATAGAGAACCATTTTAATTAAGCGAAAGTGAATCACAATAAGTTGTGGATAAGCTAACTGGGACATAGACATTATCTTAACAATTTATTACTCAATTAAGTTATCACTCCTTAGAGGGTCTGGATGAGTAAAAGGCACAATAATTAATCAATAAGGTATTCCAATAAGTAGCGTATAGTCTCTTTAATCTAAAAAAGACCGTGTACGATAGTATTGGATTTAATACAAATACAAAAAGGTTGGAAGGGACGATATTATAAAATTTATATAGGCCATGAATTTTAATTGGGATTAATAGATAACATCCTATTTTCTATTAGAAGTATTCAGTATGTTTATTTAGATATTTTAAAATACTATGTCAAATAACAATGTTACTGATAATAGTGAATAGAATTCTCAAAGTATGAGAGTATCTATAGACTTTGTAACAAATCCTTTTTCAAGGTAATCACATCATAAAAGCTCAAATGAAGTCTAATAATAGGATAGCTTTATTAGAGATCTGAATGAGTAATAGAGTAATTAATAGGTCATTGAGAATTTTAATCCAAATGATGAAGTCTTAATTAATTAATTTTTCCCTGCTGATGAAGAAGACAAATAGTTTGAGATAATCAGTAGTTGTCCTCAAGAGAAATTGACTTCAAAGTACTAACAATAGAATGAGATTCAAGAGGTGAATGAAGAGGATATGCTAAGTTCTAAGCCATAGGATGAGGATAACATTAATGATATGGCATATTTAGAAAGCAATCAATAAGAAGAAATAGTTTAGGAAGTAAAAAGCCTTGAAATTTTGAGTGATTATCAATAATGACTAACATTTATTATTTACACTATCCAGACAAAATTTAATAGCTTGTTTAATTATCAACTAAATTAAGTAGCAAAAATTCTTACTCTAAGACCTATAAGTATCCTTTTTTGGATGAATACATATCGCATATTTCATTTTTATATATGATTAGTCCAAATACGGTAGGTACTTCAATCTAATCAACTTCTTTCATATTATTTATTTTCTTATGTTATATTAATAGTTTAAGTAGATCTCAATTAAATATCAATTTCTAGTTATTGTCCATCCTTTTCTTCACCCTTCTTGGAATTAAGCAATACTCATTGATGAAAATCAAAATTTCATTATTTAAATTTAATGATTATACGTAAACCAACAACTATCACTTTGAAACCAGAGGATGATTATTAAGAATATGAGGATTTCAAGAAAAGATAAGATGAATAAAAGAAAAGCTAAATGCAATAAAAGAAAGAGATGTTTACTTGGTCACAGTAATAGCAAGCATAGGCAATATATTAAGTTTGAAATTCAAATTTTAAAATAGGCTCCCAAAAACACAAGAAGATCAATTCAAGTTGCTTAAGAACCGACAATTGAGTTTGAGCCTGATTCCTACTTCGATATCAACAATCAGATTCCTGTAAACTAATTATTCAGAATGATAAATCCATCTCCTGATGCCATGTAATAAGAGCCATAATGATAGCATATATATCTTATTTGATTCATTAAATTACTATTGATAATTCTCGATTTCTTTATTATGTAAAATATTGAACAATTCATAATATTAATTCATTTATAAAATTATTCATTTCTAATGTTACTCTTTCGTTAAAATTTAAGTTAAATGTTTATAAAAATTGAATATTTACAGTTATCAATTTATGAATTCCCTAATAGGAAGCTGTCAAGATCTAGAGTAAAGTGATTAAAATAGATTTACAATGTGAATTAATAAGTACTATTATTTGATATATTCATTTTTTTGATCTTAATTAATTTTAATTAGAAACTTAGGATTTGTTCAAAAAAAATAATTTATTTTCTAGAACAATAAACTTTGTGTATCTATTTTTATATACTTTCTTTATAATAAAGGAAGAGATTAACAGCATTTTAAGATCATAAAGGGTTGGATATTTTGTAAAATAATGTATTCTAAGCTAATTGTTATTCTTTTAGCTAGGTTGTTAAAATAGTCCTAAATAAAAAGGAATAGAGATATGCCAATCCAATCCCATGGTTGTGATTTCTGTATCCATTTATTTTTATCAATGTTAGTAAAGTCATCAAAGTAGTCCAATTTAGCAATTATCCATCTTCAATTATTGATGTTGATGTTGATTTTATTGTAATTTTGATTTGACAAGATTAATCAACTATTGGTAAAAGAATCCTTCAACAATTTGTCTACATTATCATTTTATAAACACAATATTTATATTTTCAAATCTTAGCATTTAACTTACATATCTCAGTTAAAATAAAGAAGAGCATTAATTAATCCCCCAATAATTCTATCGATATAAGATGGTGAATCACACCAAAAAAAATCACAATATTTAAAATAATGAATTAGAACACTTTCGACCTCATCGATAGGAAATACTAATGTATTAATACTGACTAGAGAATATCACTCCTGGTCGATATTTTAGTGGAAGGACTATCGATTAAAGAGGCTGCGACAAAGAATAATATTAAATTCTCTACGGCAAAAGTAATTCTGAAGCTATTTAAACAAGAGGGACGTATCGGAAAACTAAAAGAAATTTAATTAACTTAAGTGGAGATTTGTTAATAAAGAAGGCATAAAAGCTTACTATTGGATGATAATGCACAGTTGTGCCAGAACCTTTTGAAATAAATAGAAGATTGTAAGACTAGAAACAATTAGTTGCAGTAGACGCTGACAATTTATAAATAAGTTAATAATTAATTTAAATAAGAATGAAACTATTATAAATTTTATTATTTAATCAGCATTTTAATTAGGTAGAAGGAAACACTTTTATTTCCTCCTCCAATCCACTTGATCCTTATTTGTCTAATTCAACGAATTCAGCTAACAACTATTCTAATTAGTCATCACTCTATTCATACATTTTAGGGTGATAAAATATTAAACCTTTGTCTATGTTTTACTCGAATTATTAATAATTATTACTTATTTCAAAAAGTATCTAATTTCCTTCAAGAAAGCCTCTGTAACGAAGTGATCTTGCAACATACTATTCATCTCAGAAGCATCAGTAGGTAGTTACATTGCCATTCTTCTAAGAGTATAAAACGGAATGAATTCTTCTATTTTTTGTATGTCACCATTTGGCATTTTCTTTTTAAAAAGCGATTTTCGCAAAAGTTATAATCTTTCCATAATCGAATCAAATTTAAATTATTCTAAACAATATCCATATATCTGATGATAAATGGGTTACTATTTTTATTATGCTTCCAACAATTGAGTTTGCCAACTCTTTTATTTTACGTGAGGTTCAAATTTGAACTCGTCCAAATTAATTACTACTTCATCTTATTATGGTATCTGAAAACACTCTGGAGTTTATTTCTTTATTTAAATGATTGGATCAGCTTGCTTTTTATTCTTCTTCGCCTCTTGGAACTCTTTGATAGTCTTTAACGAAGTCTCATTCAAGTACACACCTAATTATTATTAAATTTAATTTCTTGCTTATTAAATATTCATATTTATGTTCAAAAAATAATTTACAAATAATTCTAATAGGTAAGAAAGTTGATCGGTAACTTTAATAACAAAACACTCAATTATAAATATACAAATTTAAGTTAAGATTAATATGTAGTTTAAGTATTATTATTTTATAGATTCAAGCATTCTGATTGATATTATTTCATTATAACAATATTCTATTCTTCTTTATCTACTACTCTAATCCTATAAGATTCTATTTATTAAATACTTATATAAGTGCTTATCCATATTTAAATCTAGTATTAATTTTAAAAATAAATTAGTTTTAGAGCTTAATTGAAATCTCCCATAAATCCTTTCAATTTTAATTCAATAGAACCATTTTCATTCATAACCAAAATAAGACAATATGAATTATGTTCATCACAATAATTATTAATACTCTTGCATATTAAAACAAAAAATCTACAGATCAAGGCAACCAAATATTTTCTAAATCTACTATCTACTTTAACATCAAAAGTATTTTGCTTGAATTAAACAAGAAAACTAAGGGAAATTGAGTCATTAAAGTGTCAATGTTTTATAGACTGCTATGCAATTATCTTATGCTGTATTCAAGATCAGATGATCTCTTAAATGGTTCAATTTATGCTAATACATCACAATTCCAAATCATCAGCTTTCTCTCTCTGGCATAATACTGCTTTATCTATAAAAATGCATTTAATGTGCATCTAAATACTCAATTCCAATAAAAGTGTAAAAACTCATAATTAAATTAAATGTTTTTGGGGCGAAGAATATTGAGTGCATTTTGCTCCTAAGCCTAATATAATATACCAATTTTCACATCGAGCAAGAGTCCGCATGCTAATAAACATCTTGATGATGTCCTTTTAGATCAGATGGTCAAAGGATTTAAGAAAGCATATACAGACAAATTTTTATTGGACTTTAAAAAAGTTATCATTAATAAATATTTAAGGTGGTCCTACCTGCAAAGAGAGTTAGATCGTTGGATGATCATATAATTGGTCTATGGAAATAACATGAAGTGGCGGTTGTGATTGAAGGAAGAGATGAATTTGAGGATATTGATATAGTTTTAGATTACTATTAAGTGGCAGCAGTGAAAAGAAGGATTTGTGCAAATGTAGCTCCAATTTACATCAGAATTCCTGGACATGATGGAGACATCCGTTGCACTCTGGGTGAAATCATTAAAGATCCTAGTAACATTGATAAGTTTAATTGATAGAAAGTGGTTGGCCTTTCAAAGTAACTCTGAGAAGATACATAGTAGGCAGACCAAATCTATTGTACGTACCAATTGCTATATTGCCTAATAACTCTAATGCAGCATTAGTAAGGGGAACAGATTATGATGTACATATTGAAGGAGTTTGGATAAATTCATATAATGCCACTTATCCCACTAAATTCTTTGTTGATGCTAAGAATCTTAAGACATACAGACCGTATAAATTGGGAGATTTATAAAATACATTCCCATAAGGAATATTATTGCATGAAAGATACAAGAAACTAATCCATTGGAATGTTGCAACTCTGGCCAGAGATGAAGATGATGTAAGAATATCATTGTTATCCTTAATAGAAATTCTTTGAAGAAGCTGAATTCTAAAGATCAAAAAAAGATGATGATTTATTGATCTATAGAAAACCAGATGATGAAGGTGAGGAAACATTGGAAGGAGTAATGTTGTATTAAAAGAAAAAAGTAACCGTGGAGAAGACTTAAAAAAAGAGAAAGGAAAAGTCTCTTAAAAAAAAAGTCAAATAAGCAAATCAAGAATTATAAAAAGAAGTAGCTGCAGCCAAAGAAGCTAAGGATGCTGCTGCTAAAGAAGCTGCGGCTAAAAAATGATCAGTTTATAGTATATATTCAGTATAATTATTATGGTTCATAGACTTATCAAATCCATTCAAAATTCTATGTTCAAATTCAAATTTATGTTATCAATACAATTAATATATCATATCAAACTAAAGGACTACTGATATGGTCTGATAGATCATGAAAGTAAGGAGTATGACAACTTTAATTTGAGATATACATAACTATTTCTATTTACTTAGAGCAATGCTCAATATTATGAATTATATCTTATATAAAATCTTGATTTATAAAAAAAATGGATTAAATATAAATAAAATCAATTAAGCTATTTTATAGAATTCATAATGTAAGGGTCATTCAAAATGGTTGATGGTAGGAGGGACAATCCAAACTTTATGAATCTAAACTAATAATAATTTATCTAAATCCATTTTGTGTAAACGATTATATACAATAACATTATTATTGATCCAGTTATGCAATAGTACAATTAGATTGTAATTAAATTATCTTCAGCAAAGTGTTGGTTGCTGTATTGGATAATATTTATGAAAATGTCAATTGTCTTTGTTGTGAATAGAAAGTGTTACAAAAAGGCTGTGTTGAATTCCTTTGAATTCATAAATTACTCATTCCCGTTTATGTCGCTCATATGTTGCTGTTAACTTATCTCATAATCGAAGTATTGTTTAATTATTGAGCTTATCTAACTAGCAATTCCCTTTATACCATTTTCATAGAAGTTTGAAATATCATCTGTCTAATTAGGAATTGAGTATAAGTTAATAAAAGTTTAATTTACCTCAGGATATCTACAAAATGGCACATAGTCTATTAATTTTAAACAGATATCATATTTGTATATGCTTTCTAAAGTAGTCTTATCACTATCGCTAATTTAATTTGAAAGAGTAATTTATTCGAAAATACTAATTAAGTTTGCATCAAAATTGACTTCACTTTCTTCGAATAATTGAAATACTTAATTATTTGCATCCTAAAGTTTTGCAATCATTTCCTCAGTAATTATGCTTTATTAGGTCAATCTTTTGTAAATCGAAGGCAGCGATTTAGTTATCATACCAGATCCAATCATTGCATCTAAATTGGTTGAAAAAGTAATAAATTGCAGAGTCATTCTTTAAAAAGGGATCATTTATTATATTTCTTTTCTAAATAAGATATATCCACAGATAATAAAAACAATTAAAATGATATATGTTAAAAGTAGAACTAAAATAATTAATTTCCTATTCATTGATGTGTCCTATATTCTTGTATTTAAAACAATTGGTTATCTATTTAATATCTTTGTTGTTTACTGAGATCCCCTTTAAGATCTCAATTCATTATTTTGATTATTATTGAATTCATAGGACGAGTAATTTATCTGTCTCCAATTATAGATATTTTCTTTATTTTCTAATATTTCCTTTATTCCCTATGATTTCAAAATTTACTCTCTAGCTTCCTTCTCTTTTAATCTTCCTATCATTAAAATAAGTTATCTTTAATAAATTGAACATGATTTCCAAAAGCAAAACTGTATTATAATTTCAAAGAGAAATATTATCATAATAGTTAAAGTAATTACAACAATTTTTAAGCTTTGATTATCCAAAGTGTTACCATATAATTCTTCATATGATGAAATTAGAGTCTTACTCATGTAAAACACATTATATAAATTAATCCTTAAGGTCATCAAAGTTGTAATATGATGATATTCAATTTCTAGCTCTTTGCTTTAATGAAATAACTCCTTTATGGTCCTCTCTAAATTTAATATAAAGTATGTATATCCTACAATTTGTCTATCTTCTCCAACAGATCTATAATTAATGTTTTCCAATAGCCCAGAGTCTTCAACTTCAATAAAAGAGGAATATAACTTATTTAATTCTTCGAAAGTGGATTCTGAGATATTTTTTAGCTTGTAATCAGTCTGGTTTAGAAGATAAGTACTGCAATCAATAATCTGTAATTTCTGTAGGAGAAGTATCCATTAAAGTGAGAATATTTGGAAAAATTATCTATTAAAAATGAGAGGAGCATTAATGTTTTTATTACTTTAGACAATTTAACTGGTGCTATCTTAGATGATGATTAAACTTGCAATTGTATAAATCAATTAAACTGCGACTATTAAGGCACTTAAAGCAATGACTACTTTTAATGGTTTTATTATTTTACTAGAATTAATAAAGATATGACACTCTTTGTTAGTATTTGATTTCGAAGAATCAAGAGATGTCTTGGATCCTTCAGATTATTAATTTTCATCGACACTTAAATCTTTTTATTTACAAGAATAATCTTCATGATCTAACAGATCCTCCTAATTATGAACCTATGCAAAAGACTATATGAATTGTTCAGATGATTAATCTAGTCTCTTGGAGTCATCACGAAATGAATCTTATTTAAATCTGGAAGATGTCTTTGGAATATAATTTTAATGCAATTTCATTACACTTACTTTCCTTCTTTTTGACAAGAGTTATTCCTTACTTCTAAAATCGACAATTTCCATAAGGAAAAATGATTTATGAAAGGATTCTGGACCCACAACTTTGAAAGTAAGGATAAATTTAACTGAATATGTGGCTTCTCCACCTTCATTTAGTTTTTTCATGACATCTTCTATTTATTTCTGATAGGTTATGGTTAAAATCTATAGTTCTTATTTCTATGCTACTTTAGGTACAGTTCTATTGAATGAACTTTAACATTCTGATTGAAGTCCACTAGTCTTTGATTTCTAAAAATGTTAACTACCTCTATGTTCATATTATAAATATTTATAATGAGAAGTTGAACTATAGATTTTTTAGTATTTAAGGATGAAATCCGATATGTTGAATCTAGTTATCAAAGTAGTTTAGTCTTCGATTTCAAGATTATGATAACTTTTATTGGTTATTTTGTGATTTGTAAAGATTTTCAGAATTTCAGGAAAAAAGAAAAAGATGTAACATTAATTTAATGTTTAAATTGCATGAGTGGCCTCTTGATCGATCCCTTAAATCATTAAATGATAGATAGATTCAGTGGCGCTCAAGATTTTACCACTCGAATCAAAAATGATGAATTCAGACCCCTCCTTTACTTTTGAGATGCACCCTGTAATTACATAATCGTCTTCATAGCTGAAATTGTTGTCTAATTTCAACTATTTAGCTTATAGTAGTCCATCCTATTAAACAGTGGTGATATAAATGAATTATCGAAAAAGTTAGGATTATGCACTCTCTAAATAAAGTTCTAATAAATGATTATGTACATCTATTAAAAAAGGAGGCATTAAATCATTTATATGCGAAATTAAATGGTAATCATCGTATGAAAAACCAAAGTGCTTGGCTAATTGCTTTTTATTTGCATTCAAAATCTTGCCTTTGTTCTTGACCATACTGATAGTCAATAAGCACACTTTATCATCGAGGAGACTAGCATTACATATTGTATCAAGAGGGAGGTTACTTTCATTTGCACAAATAGTCACAATTTATTATTCATACACTTGTGCTTGCTCGGTGTTGTTCAATATCAAAGAATATAATATAGCCATCAGCTTTAAGTGGATAACATTTTTCTATTCACTCTTCTTCAAGTTTAAACTTTGATGAAAATCCTAAAAGAATTCATTCATTACACTTTACAACATTTATCCATAATCGCTCACAACCTAGATGAGTTCTCCTATATTCTCAACACCCTTGATTTATAATTGCCAAATCTTTATTTTTTAATTTAAAAGCAAAATGTATTTTCTTAGATATTCTTCTTCTAAATGGAAACTTTAAATGATCTCTTTAATTTCTATCTATTAAAACGAGGTTTAATTAGACTTCACAGTTGAATGAGATTGTTTGTCTTCTATTTTCTCCTTTAATTTCAGTGCGAATTGATTTCTAATGAATTTGTAGTAAATTGAGAAGCGTTTTTTTCTGAATTCAAATTTCTTCACTTCAACATATGCCATTAAAGGTTGATTCATAGTGTTAGATAAGAAATTAACATACAAGATCATCAAATTTTCAGATTCTTTTGATTATTTGTTTTACCTGAATTTGTTTTAAATTAGACATTAAATCAGTTTAGGGATGGAATAATTGTATTCTGTGTTACAAGATTTGCATTGCTAACCATGTCTACTATATATTTGAAATTATTCTATCATCAGCTTTACAGATGTCTTATTAGAGTTCAATCGAAACATTAATTCATAAAGTTCCTCAATTTAAATAATTATGGGATATTTATAGGATTAATAAATCAAAATATCTAATCTCTTTCTATGATTGATAATTCTAATGATAACAAAGATGATAGGAATTCCAAATAAAATGTAAAATATTTGCATTTAATCTTCTTTATTAGGTGAAAATATGTAACAGATTAATTACACAAACGTAGTTAACTTTAGACAACCTATAATAATAGTTAATTATCTATTAATTGAGGGTTCAAATGTCGTTTCAATATACAATTCAATTAAACAAACAATAAATACTCCCATTCCTAAACATAGTTTGAGTAGATTAGCAGAATATGATGATTCAAATGAAATTATGATCACACATATTTTAAGAACGAATCTTAAAATGGTGAAATATGTAAATTTAGGAAATATTTTAGTATCGGAAATGATATTTTAGGCTCTTAAAAAGTATACTCTAAAGAATGCAATTATTGAAACAATAATAATAATAAAGATGCAAATAGGTGCAACATATGCAAATTTAAAAGATTGGAAGGCAACCTTCTTATTACTTTAATTAAGCAATCCAATTAAAAGATATAATTCTGGTATAGCAGTTGTCTATTGGAAGAATATTATTTCATAAAAGATAAGTTTTAATCCATACTTATTAACTATTTTGTATGTGGAATTTTCAATTGTACAGAATATTGCAAGAGTGACCTCTTTCAGTACTAATAGGATGAGACATAAAAGCATTAAAGAAAAATTAGATGAGTAAGGTATGATTAGTATTGATTTTAAGACATTTGTAGTAAATAGTAGAGAAGGTTCTTAAATTTGATCATAAGTTGGTTGTATGATAGCCAAAACTTAAAGGAATTTAATAGCTATTATAATTGTGGCAAATTTATCTGAAATCTTGAACGGAAGGCTTTAATGTGATAATTTCTAAATTAAATTATTCATAATAAATAATTGATCAAAATTAAACAACACCTTTAGTATTAATTTTAGTTGAATTTATTAATTATTGTTAACTACTATTTGATGTATCAATCATCACCTGAAAAACGGAAATAAATGCAGACTTAAGGAAGAATAATGGAAGATATCACATGCATTATTGATTGCGGGTACGTGGGTTCTCTTTTCCTGGGAAATATCGAGAGTGCAAGTAACGAGACTTAATAAATAAGATGACATTAGCCTCCTTAAGAAACATAGAATCACAGCTATTTTATCGGTTTGTATCTCTAAAATACCATACATTGTTAGTTCAAGAATGAAACAATATGAACATTATATTTTGGATGATTGTGAAAATGAGAATATTTATCGATATTTTAATCCATCTTTTTAATTTATTGAAAAAGCTAGACAATCAGGGAATGTATTAGTTCATTGCATGGCAGGTATATCCAGGAGTGCTTCAATAATTGCTGCTTATTTAATGAAAAAGCATAATATCACTTTTAAATAGGCCTTGCAACAATTGCAAAGAAAAAGATGGTAAATTTACCCTAATGATGGATTTGTCAAATAACTACTTCAATATGAAAAAGAATTAAATAATAAATAAGAAGAACTACCAAGTGACTGGAATGGCAGAAGAGTGTATGAATTTTAACTTTTATTTTTTAAGTAAAACAGATGTCTCAGATTCCTCAGTTACTAAAACTAATAAGTGTAATGATAGTGAATACTTATCGAATGAGTATTAAAAAATAAGAAAGAAATATATAGATAATGAAAAGTCATAGGATTTATTGCAGAAATCTAAATAATACACATTATAATAATAAAGGAAAACTAATTTTGATATATTAAATCATGGAATAAATCTTCAGATCAAAAGATTACAATAGTTTTCTGACGGTAAAACAATGCTGAATTCTATTGAATCTAGATAAGCCACTAATCTTGAGAATTAGTAAAAAAAGAAAGCCTTGGCAGATGCGGGTAATCTTTAGAAATATTTATATAAGTCAACATTCAGAATAAGAATTCAGCAGTTAATAGAGGAATTTAGATAGAGACAACCACATAAATACCCAAAAAACTAGAGTTTTTAAGCAAGTTTTAGTCGGCAACAACAAGAGATTCAACTTCAACTAATGATTATATGTTTCCAAATAGTTCATAGTAAAAATTAGATAACCTACTAAATTAATATGGCAAAAAGTCTAAATACTAATACAAATGAGTATATTAATATAGGAAAATAAAATATATCATTCTTATTCATTAGCATTTTTGATAAGCATTTCTGTAAATTCTTAAAAATTCACAATCCCATCTCCATTTAGATCTAATTCATTAAAAACATTATTCCATTCACCTTCACTTAATTATGCTCCTCCCATTATTTCTTATAATTCCTATTTACTGATTGATCCATTTCCATCCTTATCAAAAAGTCTGAATGCTTTTTCTAATTTATTCTAAGCTGTTAATTATTCTTTTTTTGCAAAGGCAACTATGAATTCAGTGTAATCAATTTAATTAGATCCATTAACATCTGCTTACTAAAATAGATTTTCAACAATTTCTTAGCACTTCATTTCATCATCATATATTTCCCTGTAACATTTAAGTAGTTCTTCTCGACTCAAAGTACCATCTTTATTAACATCAATTTTTTTAAACTAAGTTTAAATTTTCTTTTTCTCTTGATTGGACATAACTTAAGTTGTAATTAGTTGCATTATAGCTGCTTTCAATTTGCTTTAACTCTTAGATAAATAGTCTAATTTACATGAAACTTAGCTAGTTTTTCCAGGGATTTTGAATTAAGTTTTTTATCTTTTTAATTGATAAGCATCCAGTCATGTCTCAAAGCTTCAGAAGCTGATATTCTTTTTTCAGGATCGGTTACCAACATTTTCTTAATTAGATTTTTTGCATCTGCAGAAATATCTTCCCATTCAGGTTCTTTTAATGTAATAAATTATGTTACCATCAAATGAAAAAATACCACTCTATATTCTTTAATATAATTCTTGTTAATTTTATCCATTAAAAGGTGGATAACCACAAAGCATGATAAATAATATTACGCCGCAAGACCATACATCACATTTTTAATCATATCTTTTGTTTATTACCTCTGGGGCAATATAATATGGCTATATATGAGATAGTTTATAATATTACAGTTCCTATTCTTTAAGATAATTTGCTTTAATCGTCAATTTACTTTGCTGTCCCAAAATCAATAATCTTTAGACTAGAATGTGCCTTCTTAGATTCAAATAAGATATTTTCAGGCTTAAGATCTCTTGGGATTATAATTGTTAGAATAATACCTATGTACAATATTACGAGTATGACAATAATTTACAGCTTCTAGTATCTTTCTCATATATCCTGCAGCAATCGTCTCATTGAAATGATCAATCTCATTTATTTTCTCGAATAATTCGCCTCCACTCAAATATCTTAAAATCTATTGAAATAATACTGCTTACTCTGTAATAATATAAAAAAAACTTTCATCCTCATACAACTCGTAAATGTTTACAATATTAGGATGATCCAGTTCTTTTAGTATAGACACTTCCTAAATCATGTTATCCTTCCACTCAATTACTATTTTATCCTTCCTGATCTATTTTCATTGCTCTTTAAAGTCCTGTTGCTTTCTAAGTCACCAGATTTACTTTCCCATAAGTTCCTTTATAAGACATATATGATTTTAATACCTTCCCCTAAAACCTAATCTATTTTGTAATTTTTCAATAGATCTCCCTTCTTCAATGTAACAAATATAGATGGATCGACTTTGAAATCTGTTAATTGCTTTACGAACTTAGACTACTTTGAAGATCCTGGGTTCTCGTTATTTGAAGTAGTTCCAGTCTAATCCTTTGTTTATTCGAGATTTAGTTTAGTGAGTCTCTTATTCCCTTATCCTCCACATATTCCCATTAACAATACCTTGTAAAATTAATTTATAATTATATTATTATTCCCGAAGGCTTATTTTTTGCTATACATATCTCAGCTTGTGTTCAATAGCTCTCTTTTTAATAGATGAAGAATAGTAATTTCAATTAAACTCCCCTTACAATTAAAAGTGTCCCTTTGTGCCGTTTATATTCAAAATATATAGAGATTCTTAAAGATCAAGAAGAGTCGATCATGCAAAGAATCTTCGGAATCTAACTAGAATACTCTTAAATTTCTATTGCTATAGTAAATCATCAAGAAAATTTAGTACATTTTTGTAACATATTTGATTTATATGTAAAGAAATATATAATGCGAAAAAGAAAATAAAAAAATTATAGAATTTTCAAAAAGAAATACTAAGAATTCCTATTATATATTAATCATTTCACTTTTTGAGATTTCAAGATTTTTTGTGTTTATAAACAAAATTTATAGGTTTATTCATGATTAAGAAATCTATGGAGGCTTCATTAAATTTTATATGCAATTGAAACTTGATCAAATTAAAATATATCATTTCTTGACCTTTTTTCGTTTATTTTTTTTTTTTTAATCTTCATCGCTGCTTTCTTCATAATCATCAAAACTGGATTCACTTTCCTCTTCTGAGCTATAGAGCTACTATTTAGACTGAAACATACCATAAGGTCTTCACTTGTGTCTTACATAGAATCATCAACATCCGCATCATTATCTAAATTTTACAATTCAGGTAAATATTAAAAAATAGTTGATTTATAATCTTAAAACTGTTTAACTGGATTAAATGATAGATTTAGGTATTCTAAATTTTTTAATCGTTGTAAATGCACCAAATCCTAAAATATATTTTATTATTATACTTCTAAATTTGCTATTTAGTTATGCTTCAGATTTAAAGTAAGCAAATTGGGGAAATTCTATGCTATAAATTATAGTGAATCTCCTTTCAAACTGTTGTAATCTGCTCTCAAATGTTTAACTTATTTGCCATCAAATTTCAACCCTTCTAGAGAAGAAAGATTGCATTAAATAAAGCTTACAGTTGCTTTGAAATTATGCATATTCTTACTTTCTTTCTTGTATTTTTGGAGATACTGATTTATTTCTGGTGAAAATTTTTATATTGGAATTTTATAAAAGCTCATTCCAATAAGATTTTCAACATCTTTAGAACCTTTTTATTATTTTTACTTTTAGGCCGTCATCAGCTTGATTAATTGAGAGGAATCAAACTTTTTCTTTTCTTACTATTTGGCATTATTTTTTCTCTTTTAAATCTATTTCATTAATATAAAATTTAATTAATTATTATATAATAGAATCAATTATAAAATGAGGATTTCTTTATATGCTACTTAGAGGGTTATCGATAAAATGATTGACTTCGAGGTTTGTCTAGTAGCTGCAGGACTTCTTTCATAAATAGTTTATTTTATTCATTATATTCTTCTTAAGTTTATTCAATCTTTTTGAATAAATGCACCAATGGTTTTTCTTTTTCAAACTTATATTTAAAATCCTTTAATTCATAATGTAATCTTTCTGTTTTAATTTTCTCATCTTCGATTTCTGTTTTTAAGTTCTTAATATTGACTTGAGTATTTTGCGAAAGGATCTAGCGATATTAAGAAAGTTCATTTTGTTGTTTCATAATCTTAATTATATCGATATCAAATATTTACAATTTGTTATTTTTCTTATAGCATACTCTTTTATTATTCAAGAGTTTTTTCCATAAATTCAATAGTTGACATCAACTTCGCATTGAGTTTTTTTAGGGACTCAATTTTGTCTTAATACATTTTTTCAATGTCCTGAATTTCCTTGATTATAGAAATATTTGAATATTGAATAGGATCCTGATTCTCCTTAAAGTTTGAATTAATTCCAGATGACTTCATAAAGGACGGCATCTTGGAAGGCCTATCAGTGTGGAGATCAAATTAGGAATATGGTTTCTTATGAAATCGTTATTGTTAATTAAAATTCATTTTAATATTAAATTAATAATATGAGTTCGCATGTTACTAATAATAATTACTAGCACCTCTTAAAAAATGATTCTTAAAGAAGGATTAAGACTCTCAATTCAATCAATGATTCAAATTCGACTAAGATTAAGAAAGTTATAATTCCAAAAAATATTTGCCTTGACAAAGAGACATTATATGAACAACTTTATCATGAAAAGCTTAGATCAAAAAAATTATCAATTGAAAATTAATCATTAATAGGAGCAATTACTTAACTCGAAAATAATATTAATGTTATGAGTTCAAATGATTAAAGAAGAATGCTTTCATAAAGTTTTCTAAAAATAAAATAACAAGATTAAGAAATTCAAACACTCAAGGAATGTATATAATATAAAGTGCAAGCAGAACTGAAAAGATAAATCTAAGATTTGCAAATTTAACTGCTCAAATATTAATAATCCTCTAAGTTTGAGGGAGACTAAATTGAATTAATATAAGATAATGTTACTTTATTGCAAAAACTAGAATCTCAAAAACGCTATATTCTAGATTTAGAGAAAACTCGATCTGAATACATTCTCATTAAAGCCAAATTTAAATAATTATAATCAGTTTTAAAATTAAAAGAATAATAAATTTAAAGATTCAGAGATAGAGATCCACTGTCAGAAATGAACCTTTAAAGAAATCCATCAAAAACTGAAAATCTATTGATGAATGAACTTAATGTTAAAAAAGATGAAATCTAACTTTTAACATATAAGTTGGATCAAAGTTAAACAATAATTTAAGAAACATAAAATGCTTTAACCCAATTAAATCAAGAATCAATTCATAAAATATCAAATTTAGAAAATGAAAAAAGGATTTTAATTGAAAGATTCGAAAGACTATAATTAGATTATAATGGCATATTGGAAAAACAAAAATAAATGGATAAGTAAATATATCTTAAATAAATTAGGTATTTGTCCTAATTCTAGAAAAAAAAAATACAAACATCCCCTTTTATTTATGGTGAGGATTCACTTTTTCAATCCGCAACATAACTTCCGCTCTCTCCAACAGCAACTCCTAGTGACCAATTAATTGTTAAATAAGTGAGGAAATCGCAAATCGAACAAACAATCCTGGAACTCAAGTTAACTTTGAGAAAAAAAAGAGTTTCTTTACAAGATGCTGAAAATGTATAATAAATTTAGAGTTTTTAGATCTTATTTTCAAATGAAAGTGAAATATCTATTAATGAAATTGAAAAAAGGCTTAAAGAAGATCCTTTTAATATTTAAAACAGTATTTTATTAGCTAGATACCTAGTTGAGGATAATTCTGAAAAGTATATATTGATTTATAAATGAAATAGAGAATTCGTTTATGAGCCTGATTTAAAAGCTCCTTAAGCTTAACTTCGGAGCATTTTTAAAAATTTGTTACATAATTATAAATTAATTTTCGATGATTCAGTAATTGAAACAGTTAAAACTTTCATAAAGCATCAATTATAGGGATATTGCTAAAAGAAATCACTATCTGTAATAAATTAGGAGAGCATTTTTGATTTTATGTAATTCACTGAAGTAAAATGGAATGGGCAACATTCTGATTATCTTCAACAAGAGTATTATAATAAGTATAGTAAATTTTAAGAGTATGAAATTAACAATTTGTAAAAGTTGTTTGAAGATTAGCAATGAACAAAATATGAAAGAGTAAATTTATATCAAATTATATATGTGTATTTGATATAATCTATAAAAAGAATAAAATATTTAGCTAATATTTCTACAAATTTAATATTCAAAATGAAAGGATCTCAATTAAAATAACGATGAGATTACCTATAATAAGGAAGACTATTATATATCAAAGGGATTTATACTTTTCATCGATCTTGCAATCATTAACCAATTGACTATAATTCCTTAAATGTGTTAAGACCCTCCTTCATGTGCTCTTGTGTAATCAAGTTTATCGAAACCATCTAAAGGATTTTAGATTTAATACATTTCGATAAGACTCGCTTCTCGTTAAGAATGGCAAAACCATTACTTATTAAGACTATGGCTTCTAGAAGTGTAATTAAAATATGAAACCAAAGAAACAAGTGGATGCTAAAACAAAATCTTAAATATCAAACAGGATGAAATGAATTAGGACTACTCCTAAAGTGATAAGCAAATTAATAAACTGTTTACCAGTTGAAGAAGATGTCACCGTTCTATAAATTGATATTGGAAAGCATTGATGACTGTTTAGAATTTAGTGATATAGATAAGTATATTTATTTAAATTCTCCAATATTTATTTAATGAGAGTACATGATTATTTCATTGTGAACATGGAAATCGGATTTGGTATAGAATAAATGAGATATTCATTTTTTATTACTTATTATGTATTTTTTCTGCAATATAAACTTATCAAATTAAATTCATAAACAAAATATCTTTCTATATTAAATTTTACATTATCATAGTTGTTTAAAACAGAATTTCTCAGATAAATAAAAGATCTTGTGTTTAAATTGATAAAAAAATAATCATGCTCAATAGATAAATTAAAAAATTTAAATACCTATGGATAACTAGAACGATTAATTTTAGATTAGTTCCAATGAAGCAGTTGAAACCAGAACATAAGACCCTCAAAATCAGATGAATATTGCCGATTAGTATGAAAAAATACAATATTTAGATTTTAATAAGATACTTACTTGAATTAACATGTGTAAGGAGGAGTTAGAGAAGTATATATCCCTAAGGAGCCAAAAGCTATGCAGCCAAGTTCTATGACAAATGCTTTGAGAGCAGAACTTAAAGATTAATAGAGGGCATAATTATAAGGCTCTTATCAATAATATGAAGCATCTCTCTTTGGACAATAAGTCCCTGTTTAATAATAATAATAAATTTAATAATAACAACAATAGTAGTAGTTTATCTAGCAAATCCCATAAAACTAATAATATCCAAACAATATTAATAGGGTGAACATTTCCAAAAATAATGTCAAATAACAAGTATCTCAATAATAATAATAATAGCAATCAAGTTAAGGGCTATTTGGATAAGTTAAGGATTATTTTAGTAATTTATTTGGAGGTGATCCTCAGTATTAATATAAATACGAACCTAAATCATAATATGATGATGATGACGATATCTTATAGCAATATTAAAAACAAGGTGGATTGCCAGTGAATATTGAAGATATGATTGAGCTAAAAGTTGAAGCATAATATGATTATTGCAAACTAAAAAAGTCAGAAAAATAAATTATACCAGCGATGGTAAGCATCATTACTAAAGATATTGAATAATATGCCAAAAACAATTCTTCAATTGAGGCAGGCATTGATTTAATATGTGTTATTGATAAAAGTGGAAGTATGAGTGGATAAAAAATTGAAAGTGTCCAATAATCTCTTGTATAATTATTGAATTTCCTTAGTGAAAAGGATAGATTATGTCTCATAGTATTTGATGGAGGAGCAAAAAGACACACTCCATTAAAGACCTTGACGGAAGGAAATAAAAAATATTTTAAAGGTGCTATAGCTGCTATATCTGCTGGAGGATCAACTAATATTGCAGCAGGTACTGACATTGCATTTTAGCAAATCCAATAAAGAAAAATGAAGAATTAAGTCACTTCCATATTTCTATTGTCTGATGGTTAAGACTCTGGAGCAGCTGAGCGTATCCAAAAATAAAAGGATAGGATTAGTGATGTAGTAACTATCCATTCATTTGGCTATGGAAATGATCATGATGCTGATTTGATGTCCAAAATTTGCAAAGTAGGACAAGGAAGTTTTTATTATATTGAAAATGTGAAATTGTTAGATGAATTCTTTGCAGATGCTTTAGGTAGATTATCTTCAGCTTTGGCAGAGAAGGTTTAAATTGACATTAAATGTGCCCCACAAATACCCTATCAAGATGTATAAATCCAAAAAACATATGGTGATATGTGGAAATCATTTGAATAAGGCAGATTCTATTAGATTAATGTTCCTTAGATTGCTTCAGATTCTAGAAAAGATTATGTTTTTGAAATCGCACTCCCTCCTTTTACAGACTAAATCCTAGACGAATAAAGAGTTCCTTAAGTTGTTCAAGTTTATTTATAATTCAATAACACATTTTCAAAACAAACATACTAAAAGGTTTCATCCTTATAGCTCAAATTATATAATGAAGAGGAATAAATTGGTGAAAATGATCCGAATGCAGATGTCACCAGAGAATTCTTACGTGTTTAAGCCACAGAAGCCATTGAATAAGCTAGAATGAAATGTGATTAATTCAAAAACGAAGAAGCTGAAGATATGTTAGAAAAAATGAAGTAAAATATTCTAACTGATTAAAAAATGGCAAAAGTATCTGCTTAAGCCATTCTTGATATTGATTAAGCTAAAAATGCAAGTAAAAGAGCTAATTACTAAAATTTCGGAAAGAAATAAATGTTTTAGATGGAAGTGAACAATTATTAGTAAGAGGGATTGAATGCCCAATTTGATTAATTAGGTCAATAGATGTAATAAATTGATCAAGGAATGTTTTAGAATAGAAAACAACTCAAAATGGTGTAGGAAGTGTAGAAAAAGAAATATTGAAAATTTATTAAATTATTTTATTAAAACTTATTTTATACCATTCTCATTATATTTGAACACTTTTAAGTTTGGTTAACAAAGCTGATAATTTTTTATGCAAGTTTTACCAATCATCTTTGGCTAACAATTTTTTAAAGTTATCTCTAACATATTATATTTCATTACAAGATGAAAATTCTTTATTAAGATTAATCAATTTAAGCTGAAACATTTTACGATTGAATTGCATGAATAACCCAAATCTCCACCTCTTCTAATTTGATCTACAATTAATATATATTCAATTCATACATTCAAAGCATCAGCTATTTCTTAATAGGAGTAACTCTATTTTTAACTTGATAATTAAATAAATTTGGCAATCCTTGTCTAATTCAAATATTGCTCAACATTTAGATCTAATCTCACTTTATATTCATACTTAATGATTTGAAATAACCTTCTTCCTTCACTAAAAAGGCTGATGCTCCTGATAAATCACCTGCAAGCACTAGTTTTATAAGCTAGCCCAATTGTGTTTTTTCAATAACCTAAAAATTAGAGCATTAAGTGATTTCACATAATTTTAAGTAGGATTGCTTAACATATTAAAAATGAACTCAGTACATTGATGTTTTAGAAGCTAATAAATGTCTTAATGTATTATTCTTAAGAAGTGCTGATGTTTCTCAAAATGTATTCAGAAATTAGTATAACATATTGTTAGCTACAAGTATTAATGATGTTATATACTCTTGAGGATCTATCAAATCTGAGATTGCATTTAATATTTTCAAGACTTCAGGGCCACTGAGAGTCCATAAATTCAAGAATTCCTTAAGGTTTGAAATAATGGGTGATATAATTAGTTACTAAGTATTCCATTTCTTTGCACATTCAAGTAATTTCAAAAACAGATTCTATGACAATGATGATGAACTCAATGCATTGAACAATTGTGCTACACTTTTGAATAGTGATGCAGAGTTACATTTTCGTTTTAAAAATGGCTTCTTCATTAATCTATTCGATGTGCTTTAGAAAGAGATCAACGATGATTTATTATTCCTTCGACTCAAGTTTAGTCATCCAATATTGAATTGCAGAATAGATTGGTTGTAATACTAAAATATGATTTGCTGAATACAAGTTTTATCTGATGACAAATTGATAATCTCTAGAGTGGATACTATTAAATCTTTGTATTTCTCTGACTCCAATAATTCATCAAAAACAGCACCGAAATCAGCAATTTTGTTATGATGACTTGAGTTAAATTTCACAATTGTACTTAGACGAACAATGCTTTTGTAATAATTCCATAGTTTTTTGGCTGCTCAATCCTTAGCCTAGGTATTGGAAATGTAAAGACATGTCAATAATCAATTAATAAATTAATTTTACCACACATAATTACGAAATTCAATTATTTAATTATACAATAATAAAAGTTATATCATCTCTTCCAGGACTGTTCAACTTCCAAGAGTTAATCGCTTCCATCATTAATTTCTCCCCTGCCTAGTCAAGTTCTCCCTTCTCATAATAAGGAACCACGATATTCATGACCTATTGTGAGTAGATAATGCTATCCTTACTTCCTCATTTGATAAATACTCCCATACTCCATCAGAAGCAATAACTAGGAATTTATCATTTTGTGACAAGGTGAATTGAAATACTTCAGGAATGCTACTGACTCCAGCCTATGCTCCTATTTTATCTCCCATACTTCTAGTCATGGCCAAACCAGGAGCATCAATGTAAGAGAGCCAAACTCTTTCTGGACCCACATTATTTCCAAAGAAATCTATATAATATCTCATTATTTTTAGATCACCTCTTGAAGTTTGAATCCTCCCACCAGCTTAAAGAATTCTTTGCTTTTCAGACTCATCTGATGGTTTATGATCTCTTGTTATTGGTATTGATCTCCAACCATTGCAATTTCTACACAATATAGCTCTGGAATCCCCAACATTGGCTGTCCATAATTAGTTTTATTGAATCATAGCTATGACTGTAGTCGACCCAGAGAGTGCTGTATCAAATGAACTTTAAAGAATCTCTGAATTTGTTAATTCAAAGGCATTTTTAAAGCATTCTTCCATATCTGGATTTTATGATTATAATTAGAACTCCAAATAGACTAATTTGAGTCACTTCATATACTTGGTAATCTTTATTTGATAATATCTGAGACAAAATGTCCATTTACTCCGTGGCCATCACAAATTCCAATTAACCCACAATTTTAACTTTTCTAAATTACTGCTCATTTGTACCTCTCAATATTAGATGGAAAGACAATGGCTGCATCTTGATTTGTCTTTGTTTATTTATTGACTTAGCAACCAGCTTTAGTTTTATGAACAAATTTAAATCCTTGCCATTATTTTGCTCCTCCTTTCTTTTTATGATAAGTGATATTCTTTTCAGGACTTTCAGATATTCTTTATTCAGGTGTAAATGACGTTTTCTTTTGTTTCTGCTTTTGTTTCTTCTGCTCCTCATCTCTTGGAGTTTGGTTCAATTAAATTTCATATTTAGATTTAGAAATTTCATTTCTATTTTCCAGTTTAGGTAACCGATTTGGAATTCGTTACCCATTCCCTTAATTGAGTATTGAGATCGGTTATTCGACTAATTTAATTCCATAATTACTATTCTCCATAGAATTAAATTCTGCCTTTCTCATGTTTACTAATGATGGTAATGAAATTTTATGATTTCTCTAATCTGTCTCATCTGCGGTCATTTTATATCTTTTTTATAGGAGAGGCTTCTAGGTTCTTTACTATTTCAATTTATATACCTATGCAATTCCAGTTAATTTTCTCCTTAAGGATGTCTTGGTGGTTTTAACGAATTAAAATCTAAATAACAATAATCTATAATTTGGTTGAATTATAAAGATTTATGAATTAATTGAGGAGTAGAGTATAAGTACCTATGTGAGAAGTTTATCTGGTTTTAAAATCAAACTAGTGCTATTAGCTTTAAGTTAACATAATTTATATAATAATTTATAAAATGAGAGTCTCAGAGAGTGTTGGTCAAAAATTAAGGAGAGTAAATATTAATTATTCAGATTTGGAATTGACTGAGAATTCTCTTGAATATTACTTGAAACCCTTGAAACCCAAATTAAATTATTACAAGCTCTTACCAAAACAACAATCCCCTAAGAGAGATATAGCCCATACTATCTCATGCAGAATCAGATCTTAAATCATTGCTTAATAATAAACTGAACCAATCAATTAAAAGAGTTTATAGACTCTTACTCTTCGACATCTCATTCCACAAAATCCCAATCGCACTTTTATGCTAAGAAACAAGAAGCCCAGCATTTAGGATCGTTATAAATAGATTATGGTAAAATTAAATCAAAAATAGGAATATAATGTTGATGAGCAATTCACAGAATTAAGAAGATTAATAACTCGACAAAAAAAATCATCAAGTCTTGGAAAGAGAGTTAAATTTTTATCATGATTCTTTATTTATTTAATATTATTAATGTTTCTAGTTGATTTATCATGTAAAAATATCATAAATATATAATGTACTATTGTATAGATATAAGATTTTCTCAATCTATTTTTTAGATATTTGAAAAAATCTTTGGGCAGATTAGATTCTATAATTTTAATGACAATTAGGTAGTTATGCTAAAGTTGTAATAGTGATTTCAAAAGTGATCAATTTTTGTTTTATCCTAGTTCTTTAGTTCCAACTGCAATCTATTTTAATAAAAAAGATTTAACATCAAAGAATGAAAATAAGCCAAGCAGAAGGACCGATATATAAAATAAATTCATTTTAAAAAGCTAAATAAAATGATAATTCATAGATGTGTAATTCAGATATGAGGGTTGCTTAGGTTAAATAAGATAATATATGGAATGAATAATAGATGATAGCATTGTCGATTATTAAAAATGTATTGGCACAAAATTAGTAAAATTTTCTAACTACTTTAAAATGTATAGAATTAATTTTTAAATTGAAAAATTTTTAGTTGCTTTTGGATAAATATGAATAAAATTACTTAGCTTATTAAATTTGTAAATTTTAACTAATTTTTTTGATATATCATATAGATTGATGTCTCTTAAAATTATTTGGATAAAATTGAATGGTAATTACTTAAAATAAATAAAATAAAATAAAGGATATAATTATAATTAATTAAGTAATATGGTGATAAAGCAAATTAGTTTTATTGCAAATTCAATTTAGTTAACGAATAAAATTTCAAGAAAATAATGATAAAACTGATAGTTGAGAAATTAAAAAGATTTCTTTATGATTGAAAGATCACATCTAATAGACATTTTTTATTTATGTTAAAATATATAATATATTTTTTGAAATTTATCAAACTTAAGTGGATTCCTATAAATTACTATCAGAAACTTTGCAATTAAAGTTCTAAGTCAGAAATCAGCTCGATTGAAACCATAAAAATATAAAAATCAACAATAAGAAGAAAATAAGAAGTGTTAGTAAAATAAATGATAAATTATTACTTTATTTAATGTATAGAATTATTTTAATATTAAAGTGTTTGCTTTGGTATTTTGGAAAGTGGGATGTAGATTTGACTTGGCTACCTTATTTCTCAAATCCATATACGCAATATTCTAATATTAGGGAAGCAAAATATCTTATAGCTAATAACTACAATCCATATAATACGGATGGAATATTTTAGAAACCTTTGATTGTTTATGGATTGAATTTGATTGATAACGATATCATATTTCTAATAGCTGACATTTTAGTGTGCTTTTTGATTGTATAATTATTTGGGGCAAAGTAGGGATATAGGATGTCGATTTCACTATTTTATCATTTGAATCCAATCACTGTAAAAATGTTCTATAAAGTAGTTTGCGAATCTTATTTTAAAGAATACAAATGTATTTGACCACATATTTTTGTTGTTAACCATATTATCAGCACTTAAAATGAAAATTCTATCCCCTATTTTATTTGGAATTTTACTATATTTAAACCCATAATATTTTATTGTGCTAGCTGCAATTTCTGTAATCTTTAGAAGAGATTCTTCGAAAACCTCAAAATTTGCTTTTAAATTGATAATATTTTTATTAGTGAGCATTGCAACTATTTGCTTATTATTATACAACTCATATAAAATAACTGGGGATTGGTAATTTATAGAAAAAACCTACATAGATTATTATTTCCCTAAAGATCATAAGCCAACAATAGGATTTTTATGGGCATTATTTTCAGGAGTATGTTTAATAGTATATTTTAGTTATTCTCAAAGTATAAATCTTTATATCATGCATTTTTTATGTTGTTGCCTGCTTGCTATATTCTACCCTTGTATAATTTGTTTGTGAAATACGCTAAGAGAGAGAAAGAGTATCTTGGATTTATGATTGGAGTTTCTTTGTTTGTAATTATTGACACTTAATATTTAGTGTAGTTTCTTATACTTTCAGTATATAGCCATATCAGATCTTATAATAATATTTATACTTTTATTCTAAAGATATGATTGGCTATTCAATTCATTGCCAACAATAGTTATTGTTCATGCAGGATGCTTAATATTATTCTTAGGTGGTGGCTTATAACTAACTTGGACACATTCTTTTACAGGAAATCCAAATTTTACATTCTTTTAGGTGTTTGTGTCATATGTGTTTTATGTAATTTTGGTTTCTGAAGGAGTGAGAGAAATGTTAAAGTTTAGAACAATTTAAAAGAAGGAAGAGAAGGAAAATATTAAATAAGTTGAAGAGAATGAAAATTAATCGGATGAGTAGAATGAGAAGGAAACGAAGGAATAGACAAACAAAAAAGAAAAAGAAGATTGATACACAAAAAAGGTTGATCATTATTGTTTTATTAATTTATAACATTCAAGACTGCATGCTTTCTATTACATTTTTGGAATACGATATCTAGCTAGATTAGAACAATTTGAGCAATATTTATCATCTTCAACTATCATTTTTGAGGGATTAGGTAAAGATGAGTTCATATATTTTGGCATTATGATAAATGTACCTTCGCTATTAGATTTGTATTTGATGATGATATCATTTTGAGGTAGAGATCTATATTTGTGAGTGTCTTCTGTTTTTTTGTCTTCTTATTATTGTCTTTGCTTTTATTTTCTTCCTATTTCATTCAAGATTTTATCGACAGTCATTTACTTTTGTTCTTCTTGTTGCTTCTGTAATTTTTCTTTTCTTTGTAGTTCTTTCTAACTTTTGGATATCATCTCTTCTTCTGTGAAAGCCAAGTCTTTCTTAGATTTCGAATTTTTCGAAGGCAATTATAGGAATTCACTTCCATCCAAATTGCCCAAACTATACATATGCATTTGTCTTTTAGTAAACTTCTTTTCTTTTGAAGAGACAGATAAGTTAACATCATTTTCAAGATCCATTTCCTCTTCAAATTCATCATCAGGCACATCATCTTCGCCATTAGAAATTTCATCTTCAATGGATTCATCTATAATAGGTGATTTCTATTTTGGAGGTCTGCCACGACCCCTTTTTTCCATAACCATTGAAGCTTTTAATTTGATCTTGTTGCTTTCAAATAGATTACGATATCTATCTATCATTTCTTCGGAAGGTCTTTCAGCTTCTAACTCATTTAGGATGTCATTATTAAAAACAATTTGCACCCTAAACTCTTTTGGCAGATTGGCTTTCATAAAATATAAATATATTTATAAAGTTAATCAAGTTTCTACATAAATGAGTATAATTGTAATATCATCTCTTGCTGCTTCTAATTGATCCCACTTTGTATAAGTTTCTCCAAGTATTCTCTAAATCGCAGACTCTACATCTATTTAATTTAATGGAGGATAATAATTATGAAGTATCTTTTAAATACTTTCATAATCCATTTTGTCCCATAAACCATCACTGCCAATCAATACAAACCCGTTATTTGGAATCTTATACCTTAATATTTCAGGATCTGCTATCACTCCTACTTGTTTTGCTACCAAATCCCCAATTGATCTTGACATTGCCAAACCTGGGATATCTTCATGTGGCAACCAAACTCGATAAGCACCTTATCTTTTACCGTCAAAAAAACTTTATTCCACTCTTCCTCCTTAACCCAAAATTCTCTTTAGTTCAATGGATTTGTTAGGCTTGTGATCAAATGATAAGGCTCTATTGAACCATGCATCTCCTGATCTATAAAAGAAGACTGCTCTTGAATCACCTACGTTGGCACAGAATATTTTTGAACCCATAAAATATGTTACTATTGCTGTGGATCCACTAAAATTACAAGCGATATTTGAATTATCTACCTAAATTAAATTAGATTTTTACTAATTCATTTTCGATGTGTTGAAATGTATTAATTAAAATTTATTTTATATCATTAGCATTGCTGGTTCTATTTTCAAGTAATTTATTTTCTAATACTTTAGGCATCAATTATGAAATTAATTTAGAAATAAAATGGCCATTTTATCCATGACCATCAAACACTCCAAACAAATGCCAATCAATCTGATTACATAAGTACTTCTTAATTATTAGACTGTCTTAATTTATCTTCAATCTCTTTCTATTCGTCTACCCTGCTAGAGTTCTATAATATTTGACAATTAATCAAACTTGACAGTTATGTATTTCACACATTAATGTTCCTCCTACAACTCTGTCTGTATACGTTGTAAAGGTTCCGGATGAATTGGAGGCAATTTATCAACAATTGTTTGCATAGATTAATTGTTCAATTTCTTCATAGTAGCCTTCTAGTTGGTTGTACTTATAGAACGGGGAATTTTGACTTATTTTAAGATGTCTAATTTTTAATTCATATATATTATTAATAATTATAATATCATTAAAATGGTCCCACTCTTTATCCTTATAATTGCATTTAAGTGCTTCTTACATTAAACACACCCTCAATTACTGTTTGCTACAAATCTCCTGTCACTTGCTTCTCTCCTAAGTCTATATTGAAGTTTTTAACAAATAATGGATTTGGATTTGATAGCACATCATCATTGCATGACAAACCATCCAAATATTATTTTAGTAATGATTGTAGTTAATTGCTCTCATTCTATAAGGCCTCTTTTTGTTTCTGAATAGCTAAGATATCCAGCAAAACCTTAAATTGAATGTTATTTATATACCTTGTTGTATCTCTTATAGAAATTGTTTAGATAAGCAAATTCTTCATATTCCTCCTTTTGTATGGCTTCAAAATCATTCTTTAAATTCTCTGGGATTTAATCCATATCCACTGTATCCTCATAAAATGGCAGTACTTTCTCTCTTTCTGTTTCCAATCTCCTACATAACTCAGCTGTTTTTAAAATTTTCTCACCCAACTCCTTATATTCTGTCAATTTCAAAACAGCATTTCGACTATTATTTACTAATTCTTTCAACAATCTTTACTATTCCTCTCTAAATTTGTTCATTTTCTATTTTAAATCTTAGTAATTCTTGGCAATGTTTTCTTTTTCCTTTTTCAAAGCCTAATTCCTAGCATTGCATTCCTTAGTATGTTATAAGATTTTATATTTGGTTAGATCAATCTTTGCTTTTTTACTAGCTATCGATCTAACCAATCTCTCTATCTTTTTTGACATATCTTTATTGGCATCATAATATTTAGTGTGATCTTCTGTTTTCTTTGCAGTATCAGATTGATATTTTTAGTGCATCTACTCTAAATCATTATAAAATTTAGTTTGTTTATCTTCTAACTATTATTTCATCTGACTAGTGTCTTCAACATCCTTATTCTTTGTCTCCTCTCTATTTGTTTAATGTTAATTCTTAGCTAACTCTGCCTTCCTCTTCTCCTCCTCTTCGACTGTTTTAATCATGTCTTCCAACTCTTTAACCTACTATTTATGAGTCTTAGTCATATCATCAAATTCAATCTAAAATTCTTCTTACAGTATTTTGATATCTCTTTCAAACTCCTCCAACAAAGCCCTGTTTCTACTCTCCTATAATAAATGGAAATTTTCCAAATGAATAAGATGGTTCCTTAATGCAATTTGATATTGATCCTCAGCCTCATCTAAATTCTTATCAAGCATTTGAATGAATGCTTCTTTTGAATCTAATTCTCTTTTATTGTTTTATGAGTATAATTCGATATCTTGTTTCAATTATTCCGTTTTTACAGCCCTCATTGTCCTTCTCCAATAAGCCATTAGTTTCTTCGTATTGAAATTAACAATCTTCTACTCCTCCCTAATTTTACTCCGCAGTTACTCTTTTTTAAACTAGTTATAGGACACACTCTTACTTAGGCCTACTTTTGACTCTCTTCGAATTCCTGCTAAGACTTAGTTATCTGTCTTATTTTGATATTTCTCTTCTACTCTGTACCTCCAGGCTTGGTCGTACGACCTTTCAGGGTTTTACCTAATAATGCCATTTTATATATAATAAGAAAAATTAGAATTAACAGAATAACAACTCATCTTTTTGGAATAGGACTTCCTTTGTGAAATGTTCTAAAGTATGTTTACTCTTAATCCATTGATTTTTATCTGTCTGAATTTCTAGATCGCTTTGGATATCTACCATAATACTCAGCCAATATATAATTCCTACAAGCAGGAGTCTTCAATTTCAAAACCTTAACATCATTAGATTATTATAATAAACTAGATTCCAAAAGTGTTGTCTTCTAAAAATCTAAAGTCACTTTTCTCTTCACATCCACAGATTGATTCATTACTACTGTAGGGGATTACTATTATAATATTGTATTTTGAGTATTGAGAGAATTGTTTAATCTTGGCTTTGTGTCTACAGGTGAATCTTCCCTTTACTATGTGTGTCTTGCTAGAATGATGATTAATGTATATTAGTACACTTTCGTTATATTAATGGCAAAGGATTTATTTAATTAATTAATTTCCTATCAGTATAAGTAGATTATCTAGTAGATATTCTTTAAGCTTCAAATTATTCAGAGCTTATATCTAGGGATTTAATATAACATATAATTACCTGCAATTGATTTATTTCCGCCCAATATATATTTTTTTAATAAAAGATAATATGTAGTTGTTACATGATTGTGTCTATTTGTTTCGATACATTTTTCAGCATATTCACTAGAAATACCTAAAGAAATCATCTATTTAACTATTTCAGGATCTATTGGTATTCTATGTTAACCAACAATGAGGCCAGATGGTATTTTTTAATTGTCTTAATAAAACTTTATAAAATTGAATTTATACAAAAACTAAACCAATTATGTTTACGAATGTCTGCAATTGTATACCTTTTTTAAGGATCAACATTCAATATATTCTTTATTAAATCCTTTGCCTCTCCAGATATGTACTTGGGGAATTTAAATTCACCTGCCATTATTTTCTTGTATAACTAAGACGTATTGGGATCTTCAAAAGGAAGATAGCCTGCCATCATAGCAAATAGGATTACACCGGAGCTCCAGATATCAATATGGAGTCCATTGTATTTCTTCCCTGCTATCATTTCTGGAGCGGCATAACAAGGTGATCCACATGCTGTCTTTAATAATTCATCTTGATGATAAAAGTTAGATAAGCCGAAATCTATTATTTTAATTTTGCCTCTCCCTTCAAGAATAAGATTTTCAGGCTTGAGATCCCTATGAACTATTTGCAGTTTGTGGAGATATTCAATGCCTGAAATTAATTAACTGTAAAATCTGATTGCTTCGACATCTTTAATGCGTTGGTTTTGGACGATATAATCAAAGAGTTCCCCCCCATTCACGTATTCCATAACTAAAAACAACTGTTTGGGTGTCTCTATTATCTGGTTAGAACTCAAAAATATTACCTCATACAATTAGACTAAATTTGGATGGCGAACTTTCTTCAGGATTTGAATTTCTCTGGTTACACGTTCAATGTCTGATTAATCGCTGATCTTCTACTTTTCCAGGATTTTAATTGCAACTTTCTCTCCTGTCAAGATGTGGGTGGCCAATTTGACTTTTCCAAAGGTGCCTTGTCCCAAAGTCTTACCTGAAAACTATCAAATATATGAAATACTAAAGATATATTGGCCTATCGACTTATTATTTGCTATTTCATTTGACATCTTTTTTATATGTTTAATATTAATATTCTAAGTTTCCCCCCATATTGTATATTTAAATTAAATGAATTTTCATTTCCCTGGAACCTATGCGGAATTGCGGGACAACCACTTTTCAGGAAATTATAGAGTGAAATCCAAAAATCAAGTGAGCCATATGGATGAAAGACTAATTTTGATGCGCCTCAATTAATTCGAAGATGGTTTCAATCAACTCGCAACTCTAATTGAAGACCCTTAATACTTTGATTTCCTCTACTATTTAGTCGAGTAATCATTTGCACTAACCCTAGACATCTAGATGCACATCCGAATCAAAAAGTATAATTATAATTGGTTGAGATCCTTTCATTTCAAATTCAAAAATTATACCCTGATCATGCTCAGGCATTTAAGATGACTCTCTTCTTATTACTCAATTTATTGCAACAGAAGCAACTATAAGGTTAATAAGTGAGAAGAGCATTAAAGACTCTGTAATAATTATTTAATCTGAACGCCTTCCATGATTTCGGTAGAGAAGGCAGCAGATACATATTTGATCTAGTTAAGATGGCTGTGGAAATTAAGGACGCTCAAATAAGAGAATTGTGGATCGATGTTTTGGTTTAAGCAATTGCAATGTGGCAGACCTATGATCTAAACCTCAAAAACAGGATAGTTCATTTGATGTATGAATAAGAGAGTGTTGTCCTGAACATCTCCAAATTTCTATTGGGATGCAGCAAGAATGACAGATTGAAGTAGTACACCGTAGATCAAATTATTCTACTTGTCAATTACATTACTGAGAAATCTACTAATCAAACTGAGAGTCTGGCAGTGAAAAATCTCAAAGAACTCCTGTCTTAAACCTCTAAGGACATGCCTAAGGTGTATTATCAATAACTCTCGGCTTTCATTGGTTTATATGATAATGAGAACTACCATATAAGAAATGGATTGTCAGAATTAATAACAAATGTCATCGAATATCTGATCAAGGAATCCAAAGATTAAGATAGCGATGAATTCTAGTTAACTAATGCCAACAACCTGATCAAATAGCTCTTGGATCGTCATATGGATAAGACAGCCTTGTGTAGATCAAATGTGCTTCATTGCTTGTCCTAACTGTTGAATTCCAATTGTGTACCAAAACAACATCTATAAACTATTTTCGCAATTTCATCCTCCAGGCTGAGAGATATCTCTGGCTATGTTAGAAAGTCCTCTCTACAATTATTGAAATCAATTGTGCGCTATTATAGATTCTTGTATGTCCAGAGTTAAGGAAGATAAAATTTCTGGTCTTCTGCCGATATTGAAGATCAAATAGGTAGAAATAAGGAAGAATTATAAAACATCCATAAAGATTTCGAGGATATTGATAAACAATTTTAAAAAGGATAAATCTCATAAGAAGAAGTTAATGAATCCATTAAATTTATTAAGAAGAAGGCACAGGAAAAGATTAAGATCTAAGAATATTTAGAAGAATATCAAAAGTTTTTGGAAGGGATGAAAACAGTAATTACTCAAGTTTTGTAATTATGCTAAAGTAAAAATTAAGCAGATGTCATTCATTCTATCAAACTATTTTCTTATCTATAGAAGTACAATTATGAGTCAGCAAATTTAGGATTAAGAAGAATGATCTTGCTTGTATGGTCATAAGATAAAACTATATAATAAGAAGTAATCAAGAAGTTTTGGAAATTATTCCTAAGAGATACCAAAAAAACTAGACAAATTATTCTATAAATCATTGATCTAATTAGTAAATCAAATCTAAAAGAACTTATTTCATTAGAAAAGATAATCTTATCTTATGAAACTGAATTGGCTCCTAACTATAAATTTCCATCAAAAATCTTCCATACTCTTTGGGAGTATTTCGGTAATTAAGAAATTGATTAACGTTCAATGCTCATTTTTGTTAGAATTATGTTGACTAGGAATTCTTCCTTACTTAATTTAGAGAAGGTTGCCTAAATTTATAATCAGTTGTAAAAATATAGTAAAAAAGATCCCGATTGGATCATTATTAAGGAACTTGCAACCATATTGTCTAAATTAGATAGAACTCATGGTAAGAATTAAATTAACTTTAATAAATCCATAGATCTATTAATTATTTTATTGATTAAATATTAAAATTCATCGGATATGAACTACTTTTGTGCCTGTGATTCAATTATATAATTAGTACCAAATGCAGAGAATCCAGAATTGATTTTTGAAACTCTTTTATAGGATTTGGGATTTTAATCTACTAAAATGGATTTAGAAGCAGAGGAGATAAAGTAAATGGAAGAAATTCACTTGGCTCATGCCATCTATATAGCTGGTTCTGTGTCTTTATAATTACTCATCTTCATTGATGCAACACACAACTCATTAAAGAATTTGAAAAATGAAAGAGAAAAACAAATTGGAAAAGAGCAAGAAATAGATAAAATTCAAGGAGGAATAGAAGGAGAATTTGAAAAATTGCATGGCATAGTTGACCAAATTCAAGATCTAAAATTGATTTAATTGAATTTACTATCAGTTTTTTCTCCAATGGTAAAGCAAATATTGTCAGATTGTCTAAATTAAATGGAGACTGAAGAAAATGCCACCAAATAATAACCACCTATTGTGCAAGTGAGTTTAATCACAATGTGTAAATTTATGTGTCTATCAGAATCCTATTGCAGAGAGAATATTTAGATTTTGTTCAATATAATGAAGTAAGAATGTATTAGTATTTAGATCTCCTCTTGTTGATTAGGTTATGAAGAATAATGTAATTATTAGTATTGGAGATTTGTTACATAGATGGCCTAATTCAATTTAAAAGTTCCATAAATAAATATACTCAAATTTAGCTGATACAAGTGCTGCAGTTCGAAGAGTGACACTTCTTGTATTGACACATTTGATTTTGAATGATATGGTCAAGAGCAAAACATCATTGTCTCATATTCCAATTTTATTGACTGATCCTCATCCTTAAATACCAGCTATGGCAAGATACTTTTTGAATGAGTTACAGAAAAAAGAACAAAGAGCCATTACTAATGCTATTCCTGATATCATCTCAAATGTTTAAGATCAAAATGAGAACATTCTTTCATAAATCTCTTAATATATAGACAAATCTCAGATTGAATCCATTGTTGATAAATTAATTACTATCTTAGGAACTAGCACAAGTATTTATTTAACCTTATGTACTTTTAGATTAATACGAAGTTAAGAATATATCTATACTGTTTAATCACATAAATTTGTCCTAAAACTCTCTATAGAAACTATTGGATGGTTGGGAAGAATACAGAGAATAATTGAGAGACCAATTTGTCTACAATTAATTTATGATTTTAATTAAAAAGGTAGTATTCAGTGAAATCTATAATTTAGTTGAAAAGAACTTTGCCTTAAGATGCAAAACCTTTAATTGAAGATTATGAGATGAAGGTAGAACATCATGATAAGGAAACATTTGAAAATAGAAGGAGGGAGAAGGTCACAAAGAAAAAGAATGTGAAATAAGGATAAAATGAAGGTGGTGTTGATAAGGAATTAAAGGAAAATAAAGGTGGAAATAAATTAAAATAATAATAATAATAATAGAAAAGGTAAACTAAGAAGAGAAAAGAAGATGATTTCATGGAATTAGAATCAGATTCGGATGATATGAGTGAAGAATCATTAGTAATTAAGAAATAAACAAGCACAAGGAGAAAAAGATCTATAAAAAAAGATGAAGATGAATGATCTTTACCAATATTTTATAATAGTTTATTTTACCCATTAATAATAATTTAAACAATGGAATAAGCTTCTAATTATTTTTTTAATTCTCCTTAAAAATAACAAAAAGCCTTTTGGGATAGAAATTTTGATTTATTACTTAGTAGGCATGAAAATTTCTAAACCTCAAGTGATAACTGCACTACTTTATATAAAAGGGGAAAGTTATTAAAAAAATGGATACCAAGACTATATTCTGTATCAGGAGATTATTTATTGTATGGAGATGAGGTAAAATATGTTATAATTCAGAAAATGAAAGGGTTCAGGAAATTAGATTGCGTTTATTTGCATTGCAACATACTAGAAACTACATATAGATATCATTTACAACTGATATATTGTGGATTTATTCTTGACCTCTATACTGATAAAAAGACAGATTATGATAATCTTAAAGAAATACTCTAATAGCATTGTATTCTAACTGATTTTCATACTTAATATAGTATATTAAAACAAATTGGCTTTGGCTCAAATGCAAAAGTAAGTATTTTAAGTTATCACATTCAGGTTTATATAGCCAGAAGTAATTACAATAAGCAATACTATGCTATCAAGAGAGTTTAGAAGAATTATTCAATTAAATAGAAGAAATAAGAATAAGAGCAAGCACTAAAAAATGAAATTTAGATAATGAAAGATTTGAATCACCCCAATATAATATCTTTTCACTAAGTTTTCGAGACCAACAGTAAATAATTTATAAATTTAAAAGAACATATAAATCTTGTTTTGGAATTAATTTAAGGAGGGGAATTACTAAAATAAGGATAATGCAAAAGTATTAGAGATGCCAGAATTATTGCTCGCCAATTGGCTTTATGTGTAGATTATATGCACTAAAAAGGAATTATGCATAGAGATTTGAAGCCTCATAATATATTATGTAAAACTAATACTGCTGATGTTTTAATTGCTGATTTTGGTTTAGCAACCTATATAAAGGATTAAAAATAATTATATTACAGATGTGGAACTACTGGATATGTTGCTCCAGAAATATTGATGTATAAAGAAGGCGCTAAGATGTACAACGAAAAATGTGATATATTCAGTCTCGGAGTCATATATTATTAACTGTATATATATTATAAACCTTTAATTTAAGAATTTATAATACACATCCTTTTAAAGACCCTTAGAAATCTGGAATCTTAAAGAAGAACTTAGTAGTTGATTATAAATTCGATGATTCAATTAAAGTACCATAAAGCTGCAAAGATTTAATATCTTAAATGTTAAGATTAAATCCAAAATTAAGACCATCTGCTTCTCAAATTTTAAGGCATGATTTCTTTAATGAATATTTGAATGAACTTTCATACCCAAGTTTGATCAGTTCATACTAAGAGTATATAAGCAATCATAATAATTTAGTTTAAGCGAATAAAAAAAATCTGGCCACTCTTTTAATTCGTAAATTTGTGAATTGAAGTTCTCAACATTTTAGAAAAATGGCCTAAATGTTTTTGAAAAAATCCCCTTCTCAGGAATTAACGATATTCATAATAATCAGGGGAATGAATTGAAAGAGAGGTCACCTATTTGGAATAAGAGGATTGAATTATAAAGACCATCCAGCCAACCAAGATCAAAAGCCTAATCCCTCTATTCTTGTAAGAACTTAGAGATCAGAGGAAATAAAGTTTCGATATTTCGTTAATAATCAAAGAATTCAGAAAGTGATTTAGATTAATCTCACTAACAACCTTACAATACCATAATCAATAGATGTAAAATAAGAAATAAATGAATTTTAATACTATTAATAATATAATACAAGGCAATCACATAAATATTCTTATCTGTAAACCTCTCATTATCTGTTCTTAATCTTTGTGATGAAACATTATTACAAAAGTTAATATATATTTTCATTATTTAAAATATAATCTTACACAATAAATCAGTCTTACCATAACATGCCTAAAAGTACGAACTTTAACTTAACAGAAAATTGAGGTTAATTCGACAATTCAATATTGTAGGTTTCAGTAAAATTCGAATCTAAACTGTTATTCTGGATATTAGTCAACTACTCAAAAAAGTAAGCAACAGAATCTAAAAGTACTACAGTTATTGCAATCGATTCATAGTTATAGAAGCACCAAACTGTATGCTTTTAATATGATCACAATTTCTTCCATTACAACATCTAGAAATTATATACAGTGTTCAAATTCTTTTCCATTAAGATATTAGAGATACAGGAATATGTAAAAGATCCTCTAATTTCTTTCAATAATATAGCATTTCATAATGACTTCATATTCTTCTCATTGGTATGAAAATCTGTATACTACATATATATTGACTTTTGTTGTTTCTTTACATAGATAAAAAATAAATTATATGATATTAACAGTATAATAAATAGTAGATTATAACATCCTAAAACCTCAAAATATTTTTCTTAGATTGGACTAATCTTCTTATTTATTCATATTAATTCGATTTCATCTTTTATTGTGACGATATCAAAGAATTTTAAATTAATATATGAATCATTCAGATGGTGCTTAATCCCCTCCTTTATTTGGTATGTATCCCCTTCCATATTGGGCAACAAATTCGCAATTTCTTTTAATGATGAATTTTTAGAATCCATTGATGAGTCCAATTCATAATTTAGGTTCTCCAATTTTAACTTCCAACTTAAATTTTCCTCAACCACCTATCAATTTTGATATCAAATGTGATCAATGTAAGGCCTTTCAATATATATCTAGCTTAAATTATAAAGGAAACACCACAACCCAAACAACCCTAACAATACTTTAGTCAAATTTAAACTATACAGTAATAAATCGAAGAAATGAACTATGAGGATATAACTCTTGATAATCTAGAGCAAATGATACATTTGATATTTGCAGATTCATCCAAAGTCAAAAAAATTATGTAGAAGTTGAAAGAAAAAAAATGTGTGAAAGTCATCAAGATTTTAGAGACTTTGAACAAGAAAATTAGGTCATAATAAAAGAGTAGAGAAGAATTAATCAAATTTTGTCTTAGAAAAGCATTCCGAGAAATCTTCCATTAAATCCAAGAAAAAAATACAAAATCAAGTAATTCTATCTTTTACACTTTTTAGAATTGAATCTGAAAGCTGCTTCCAAGCTCTTTTAGTAATCTTACCAGGCAGAAAAACTAAAATAGATATCCTTACCTTTTAGAAAAAATAGCAAAATTAAAACCATGAATAACCATTTTTTGCATGAATTATTCTAATCTAAATAATTTTAAGATTAGTACAAGACCTTTTTAGGTATTATTCTAACCTACTTTTAGATAATCTTGATACGATCATTGAGAATGATAGGAATAAAAAAATTAAAGCCTTAGCCGAAAAATCTTGGGAATTTATCTCTTCAAACAGAAAAGTATCATGTTCCATTACAATTAATTTTAGGCATATAGTGTTAAAAGATTACCATGGTCTATTAAGAATATAGAAAAACTGAAAGAAACAGCTAACGAGTTGCTAAATTACTGCAAGGAATAATAAAAATAATGAATTTAATATAAGTATTTCAAAATTTATAAATTATTAATCTTATTAATGTCCCATTCCAAAGTGAAAAAAAATAATTTGACAAATTCAAGTTTACATTCTAATTATATCAACAATTTTCAAAGTTTATATACTGGATTTTTTATTTATCATAATTTTTATTTATATTTCACAAAAATACAGGTTAATTTAATAATTAATATAATAATAAATTAAAAAATATATTTTAATATATGTTAAATATTCATTTTACTTAATTATATTATTGTTACCCTTGGTACTATTACGATTAATTATACGATGATGTTTATTGTTATTCCCTCACAGAAACCAATTTATACCCCTTTCCACTTTTGATGGCTTCTATAATGGCTTAAGTCATGGCAATGTCTTCCATATTACTCTAATGTTTAAAGTTCAAAGTATTATATTTTTGTCTTAATTATTACAGTTCTTATTCTTTATATTTAGTGGCTTCGTCAGTGGGGTCTTATCTGTAGATCATCAAATTAAGTTTATTTCTTATATCTATACTTGATTTTTGTTTGATTTTGAGTTAGTTTTCTAATTACAAAATCTCTTATTTAGCTTATTCAACCTAATGCAATTTATATGACTTTTACTTTGAATGAATCTTCTGTGCTTTTCTTAACTTAAGACCCAGTTCGTTGATGTTAAAGGCTTCCTTATTTTTGAAGGCTTATCTAATTCATTAATTCATAGACTCTCTCTTGAAGTTCATACACTTTGTATCTCCAATAGTTTTCAACTTATTCTTATGGGCTTAATTACTATTCTTGAATAGTTGTTACAGACTCCTATACAATTTATTAAGGGCTTGTAATCACTTGGTAATTTTACACTTGGGGTATCTATTGGAAAACATAATTTTATTATGACACTTAAGGAATGATTTGTGGTTACTGAGCACTGATTTATAAATTTTGTACAGGAGACTATTATAATTGTTAAGTAGTGTTAGATATTATTTATTAGGCTTATGGCACACTTAATTGAATATTTTAAATTGGTGATTGTTGAATCTATTGAGAATATAAGTACTCATTTCTAGGAGGAGTATTAATGATTTAAGAAAAGTTTTGTACAGTTGTGGTATTTCTTGCAGTCAAGGGTTAGCCAACAGTTTAGGACATGACTACCTCTGGTGCTTAATAAACAACTAAGGAAATAAAGATGTAGCAATACCATTATTTTGTGTGGTCACTACTTCTTTGCCATGCAAACCATGTTAACAGAGATAGCATTACTCTTCATATTTTCCGGAATAAAAAGTCGAAATTTATTGTGATTTATTAATTGTTGCTTTATCAATGACTTTTTGCTCTATAGGTATTTATTATGTTATTCTGTTGTTATACTCAATGGGCTTAAGTTGGTTGTGTTAAATTTGTTGAGTTTAAATGAGTTGTGAATTATATTGCATTTGGTTTGGTTGTAAAATTTCAATCTATTGAGTAGTGTTTTAAATGTTGTTTTGGTTGTTTTAAGTGAATCCTCTTTTTACTGGTATTGGTTGTCCTACAGTTTGAGAAACTATAACCTCAGGGGTTGAGTAGACAACTACATTTATATAAATTATGAAATTGAATACCTTATGGTTCTCCTACAATGATTCCACTCGAATGAGCCTATTGTTCTGCGCCATGTAATCCATGTTGGCAAAGGTAACACTATTATTCAAATTTAGGTGAATAGAATGTCGCAATTGATTCTTATTTTGTTATTGACATATTTTTTTAATGAAATAAAAGGAAATAAATTTTATCAAATAATTTCTTAATATTTTTTCAAAGTATTTTTAATATTATCAAAGATGATAAGGCTAACAAATTTAATTTACAAAATTGAAATATAGATTGAAATTAGGGTAGTTCCTGTTAGTTCTTTTTTCTGAATAGGGATTATCTGAATTTAAATTTACAAAATTTGAAAAAGAGAAGCGTTACTTAAAAATTGCTTCGCTTTAAGAATTTTGAATTTAGAAACTTAGATTTTAAGGGTAAGAATCCAATACTAGGTTTCTTAGTCACTGAAAAAAATTAAAATGAATAATTTGTATAATAATTATTATATATTCGTTTTTTTAATGTCGGGTATCTACTTGGCTTTAGGAGTGTTATTGGTTATGTCCAATCTAAATCTTGGAGTAACTCAATGGTTACCTACATATGAGGCATTCAGAAGTGAAAATATCGACGATCTAAATGGTACAGTTTAATGTCAGCAAGCATAGGATGGGTAATCCAAAATCAATATGAAGCTACATTTGATGTTGTAACGAAATGCGGGCCAATATAAATTTTAGGAGGATTGAGGTCTTTCGGTTCCCAAACTACAATAACAAAGATGATAAAGATTCCTCCACATTATAGACTTAAATTTATAATACAATTATGGAAGTACTACCCAAAAGTTATGTAGAATAGGCGATTGGGAAAATGATAAAATTTAAGTGTTTGTGGATGGCGTGCCTTGGGAAATGAAATGGGGTTTCACAGAAGGAGGAAAACAAATATGTGGTGGTCCGAAAATTCCTAACAGTGATAAAGTTTATGACGTCGAATTTGAGGTAGCTCATAATTCCCCAACAGCTACTATCGTCGTAGCTAGTACCTAAGTTTAGAAAGCAGATAAATAGGCGTGGGGCATACGAAATATAAAAATCTCTTTTAAGGAATGTCCTTCCCAATGTGGAATATGCCATAATGATAAAGCCAATGAGTGCAAATATTGGAAGTAAGTTGATCTTAGTTGGTTTCATACTGACACTTCATTGGAAGGATGGAATTTACAAGATGGCAAATAAAAATCATTTTAATGCTCAGGAATTGTAATGTTTGGAGGTCCCAACAATATTGGAAGTAAGGCCGTTTTAATTAAATAAACAAAAAATCTACCTCCTCATTAAAAAGTAATGATCAAATTCACTTTATGGAAGGTATCGCAATATCATATAATTTTAAGTTTGGATTATGGGATAACGATCAATTCTAAGTGTATATTGACGATGAGTAAGTGTACAAGCAGACATTCTAAAAACTGGATGGATTAAGCATATGTGGAGAGTAATCCCTATTATTTATAGTATTTAGTTCCAAACCAGGGTGTGGGTAGAAATTGGTGAACATAGAAATAATCTAAAAGCATAAAAAGAATGAAATGACAGTGAAATTCACTTCATCTTTAAAGTAAGGTACTAATTTTTTAACAATATTTTAGATCCTGAAGATCAATCATGGGGTGTAAGAGATTTCTTTGCTTTTGCAGCCGAATGTCCAAAATTCTGTAAGAGTTGCTTTGGATCAGGAGATAGCGAATGTTTAAAATGTGAAGAAACGCATTAATTAATTGAAGGGAAATGTGTCAATAAAGATGATTGGTTTATTTTAACTAAAGAATTCAATGAACCTTAGAGTTTTAAAAAGATCAAGGAATGGTAGATCGAAAACATCGATCCTATTCAATCTGAAGTCGAAACTTCACCTATCACTTAATGTGGTAAGGATGTCAGCATTTTTGGAGGCTACAAAATATTGGCTAAAGTAAATTAGATTATAATATTCAGAAATCAATAGTTTCAAAAGTTTACTCCAATATTCCAGCACATAATTTCTTGAGATTACGAATCACTATGTACAAGATAGACAGATGGGATGGAGAAGAGTTGATTATTCTAGGGGATGATAAATTGATATGGAGTCAACTCTTGGGTTGGAATGACCCAGGTCAATCAAATATATGTGGGGATCCAAAAAGTCCATGGAAGGAAAGAATTATGTTTATAGATTAAGTCATATAACATAATAAAGATGAATTCAAATTGACCATCACATCCACCTTATAAGCAACTGCGGAGATTGCTTCATGGGGGTTTAGGGATGTTATGTTGCTTTATTCACCCATAAAAGAGTGTATTACTATATTTAGTGAATGCAACTATTAAGGTGAATAAGGATAGATTTGTGATAATATTGAAGAATTAAACAAAGTATAAATTCAGTATTTTATGGGTAGTTTGATTTTTAAATAAAGTCTATGCAAATACCTGAAGGATTGAAATTTGTTGGTTTCAAGAATGCCAAATTCAAGGGAGACAGAGTTGAGTACACAACAAATTAGAAATGTCTTGAAGATATTCAATTTTCATTCATCTAAAGAATATGAGCCACATAAATACAATTTCATTTTATGTTGATAATTCCACTAAGATATTATTAAATGTTCTCCTTATTTTTATAGTAAGTTATTCTTTAATCTTATTATAAGGATTGATAAATTAATATATAAATAATCTAATGACAAGCAATAATAATGGATTCAATGATCAAGAATTATTAAGACTAATTCAGCAAGAATTTCAATAGGATAAATCCCCTGTGTATGATGAAATTAGTAATTAATACTCATCGGTTAGTGATGATGAAGAGATAATTATAAGAGATCCATCATCTTAAATAAGTAAATCCATTTAAAATTATTTTAGCTGATGAATCTTCATTATCACAACAATAAGAAAAGAAAAAAAGTAGATGGAAATATGTAATATTAATTAATTTTACTTAGTGTTGTTAATAATGTACTAAATCTGACAAAGGTTCTATTAAACCTAAGACTTGTGTTTGTATTGTACCTGCTTCATAGAGGAGAATTTAAATTGGTGAACAAGGATGTTTGTCTTGTCATTGCACGGGATGCTCTATCGAGGATGAGAAGAAGAAATAAAAAAAAATAAAAAGGAAGAGGAAATCATCTTCGGATTCAAGTTCAGATGAATCTTCGGATTTTAAAACTGTGAATGGATGTTGCAAGAAATGCATGAAGGCATTCTCTAAAAAAGGGAAAGAAGCTAAAGTTTAGATATTATTCAATTTATATAGTCATGTTTATGCCAGGTTCCAAGGGCTGTCAGAAAGAAACCTCTTCCTCCACATGGGTGTCAGTATTGCGGATGTCATGGATGTAATCCAGAGGATAAGAAAAAGGAGAAGCCTAAAAAAAATAGTCGATAATTATCTCCTGTGTCTAGCGATTTGAATGAACAAAATCTTAATAACTTCTAAATTGCTCGTAATATTGGGTTATGATGTTAGCTTTAATTTAATTTCTAAATTCTCAGAATATCAATCCAGGCATTTTAGGAATAGGTATACCATAAAGGACATACTCATATATATATGGGAAGGAACAAGGACGTTGAGAATAAAAACTTATTAAATTATTTATAATCATAAACTCTTTTAATCAATCAATGAGCGTAGTAATTTTATTATTCAATAGCAAAAGAATTAATAAAGTTAAGAGGAACCGAAAACATACAAAACCAGCACATATTTATAAAATCAAAATAGGATCGATTGATTTTATATATAGAGACCATTACCATTTCAAACCAATTTAAAAAAGACTAATACTACAATTCATTTCTTCCAAATCTCATGGATAATCTATTAAATGTAGAAGTGAAAAAATAAAAAATTGAGAATCCTTCTTTTTTTATATGAATAACAAAATTTAATTATGATTTATAATTACCACTCTCATTCCATTTGATTGTTGGCAAACAATCTTAAAAAATCCTATCCTAATGAGGTTTGAAATGGAACTTTAATAGGTTCATCACTTCTTTAAATGGCAGAACTATTATTATATTTTATAACTATTTAAGCTTCATTTCTTAAATGAGCTGAAGTAATTTGAGAATTAAGTGGGGAACGTAACTAATTCTATTTAAGATTTGCTGATTTAGGATGTCTTTACTAATTCAACTTATTTGCATCATCAGTATGATATCCTTGGAAATCATGTTATTGAAACTTTTTGAAGTTCATCTTATTGTTCATTTTAAAAAAATCTAGATCAAATTCGCCATCATTTTCTTCTTAAATCTCTTAAAATAATAATCAATAAAGTTAATTACTTTCATCATTTATTTATGCATACATATTTTTGATGGGAATGTCAACACTATCTCTCTGGACATTATTTGCACAATTTTCCAATGGCAATTCCAGTCCAGTAGCTTTTGGAGGAGTTTTGTGTCTGGATGGAGGTCGTTCTTCATTATTGGTTTCCTATAATTCATTTAAATCATTTTATTTTCTTCTATATCCTGACCGAATGGAGATCAACTCCTATATTTATGGCTATGACTTACTTACCTTTGGAGATGCTTTGAGATTTGTATCAACGATTTCTTAATTGTCTTATTCTTCCTCTAAGATGATATTTGCTTCATATTCCAATAATTCACATTCAGTCTCTTTTTTCTTCTCATAATTCTAGTCTGCCTAATTTAAGGAATTCATAAATCTCTTTCTTCTTCCACCTTCAGAAGTCTAAGGCCTATTTATTTGATTATGGTTATTTCTCAGACTTGTTATTGGTTCTTCCTTAATCAAAGACTTATTTTAACTATGACTTAGATAATACTCTGATACATTTAGTCATCATTCTAAATTGGCAATTGAAAATTCTGGTGATCTTCACTATCTGCTTCATTTGATTCATTTGAGAAACAATCATTAATGAATTGGTTTGCTCCAATATTATCTAAATCAATATCCTCTTTTTCATCTCTTGGAGTCAATTGTTCTTATTATTCCTCATCACTCCCTAAATTATCACAACAGAGTTTGTTTTCGATTAGATTTTATTGGGTCAGAGGTCGGCCATCATTCAATCTAAGTGGTCTAATGCCCTATTAAGTAAAGGCTCGAGATTGTTAAGACTACGACTTCAAATCATAACGTTGTCGCTCATACTCTTGACTTTTCCTTTTAGATAATTGAGACTTTTGGGCATATATCTTAGAGATTTGCTGGATGTTGCTATTCGTTTTGGGTGCTTGCCTGCAATTCATAGAGAGATATCTTACATAATCCTATTGTAGGGATTGGGAGCCATATGAATTACAGTTGTCAATGGTTGCTAGTAGGGACTTTTTAATTATAATCGTTCTTTTCGAGACTATTAAGGAGCTGTTCCTCCTCTCTTTAGATTTTCCCTAAACTAATGTACATCCTTCATAATACCCTTAATTTGTGAACCAACTCAAGTAAAATGGCTATTATTGTTGTTATTGTTATCCCTTCTTTGGTTTAAACATTTAATATAATATAATGGTAAACACTCAAATAATATGTCATCTTTAACCGCTACCTAAATATTGGCTGAAATTAGTTAATGGAAACTGTTGTCCTTGTCTCTACTAACTCATTTATACTTATTGTATAAGCTAAAATGTATATGTGAATTACATGTTGGCTAACATTAGAGAAATACCCATCTTGTCCCTAAGGTTTTTTGATAGGAACTTGATTAGACTTAATCTCATCTTTAGGAATGATATCCATCAAAAAGTCAAAGATCTCTGTGTTGTAAATACATGTTGCGATGTCAGTCTTTTAGAGTGTTCTTCTTTTGCCATCTTCAGTGAATTGCCATGCTCTGTGTGTTAATTCAATTATAAAAATTTCGCATGCTTTTGCAAATAGAACTGGGGTTTCTTAGGCTATCATCTAACAAAATAAATAGAAAACAATACTCTGACATCTTCATCTGATTTCATAATCTTCTTAACCCTCGCTAATGGCAACTAGTGGTTTTTGAATAGCTCAGGATCTGTTTCTTAAACAAATAAATACCTTTGGGCATCTACATTATTTCCTCTTTCAATTCAACTAATTTCTCTTTCAATTTTTTCATATGTTCCTATTGATGGACATCCTATGAGTAAATTTTTAGAAAACAAATACTACATAATGGTTTTGTATATCAAATTATTCATTTGGTTATTACATTTTAAATATAATTTTATAAATATTTCATTCATTCTAAATATTATTTGTATTATCGATCTCATCCACCTTTAAGATTTGATTATTTTTTACTACTTTTGTATTACCCAAAACTTCAATTGTAAATGAATCAAAACTCTTTGTCATTTATTTAAGATTAGTTGATGAACTCAATGATAATTTTTACAGAGAATCGTGATCACTATTCAAAGATCGACTTATGATATCCCGTTGTCCTTATTAAAATTAATTATTTAATGAATTAGATAGGTTACGAATTCTCTTTCCTTATTACTATTATTAGTTCTCCTGAATCTATTAGTCATCCTCTTGATCTTTCAAATCCATTTTATGAAATACATTTTTCAATTTATTTAAAGTATCCATACCCGAGAAGGCTCCAATCAATTTATCATCTTCATCTGAGTCCTCATTATTGTTTAAACTATCAATTGGAGATTGTCGATTCAAGCAATCAATGAAAATATTATCCTTAGGCTCAATTATTTCATCAATACATTCATCATCAATAGCAGAGACGATAATAGGATAATCAATTGAAGGAGTCTCAGAATCCTCTCCCAGTCTATATTTATGTCTTTCCTCATATAATTCTATTTGTTCTTTTGATGCTTTCCAAAACTGGGATCTTTTAAGAATGTTCTCTATCTACATTAATTCATTATAATATGGTAAGAAATCGCTATCCCTTATCAGTTTAACCTACAATTATTATTAGAAGATTATTATCTGTCTATTAAAAAACATAATCTACTGCGCATGCAATTTATACTTAGTAAAAATCTATACGCACCAAAAAGGATGAAAATCACTTATTGCTCTATCTAATATGAAAATGATCATATTATTCACATATGAGATAAAAATATCTGAATTTTTAAACTTTTTTACTAAATTTAAGATAATCTCCATCACATTTGATTTATCTATCTTATTCCATAACTCTATGTCTGAAATTCTCACTAAATTATCTACAATCTAATGATAGTGCAATCACATACTTCAACTAGTTTCACTGCTAACAATCCTAATCTGCAATTATTTAATAAAGCATCATTCAAAATATTCTTAATGATTTAAATGTCAAATGTCTTATAAAAGTCAGTCTACCTAAAGGTCTCTATTATACTCTCACTACTGGGCTCGTCTAAATACAGATTTTGCAAATCCAAAGAATAAAAATTCGATATTAATGATAATATATGGGCTGCGTTCTTTCTTACTCTATTAATATTAGTCAACAAAATATTTATACATAAAACTCAATCTGCAATCGTCTAAAATCTCTAGCGATTTTGCTATTACCTTTCTTGACAATAGGAAATTTATTAATTCCTAAGTAGCTATTCTTGTGATAATCTCATGTATTAAAAAAGTAAAATTTATAGCAGTGCAGGGATCGAATTCATGAAATTATGTGAAACCCTATTAGAGAAACATGAGTTGTTGATCATGATATTAATTTTCAAAAAACAGCAAAATTATTAAGGCCACACTCTTATTATGTAAATGAGGTAAAAATTTGATGAGTAAAAATTCTTTCTCGAACAAGGCTTTGGGAATTAAAGACCAAGATTGTTACTTGATAAACTATAAGAACTTATGTGCCTAAGCCCATTATGCATCTGGGACATTTTAATAGTTTAGTAACTCATATACATATGTTGAATTATTCTAAATATTATTAAAGTAGTCGTACCTCTATTTATTATAAAATCTATTCAGTATTAAGATCTATTATTTCCCACACTTTCGAAATAAGATCTGAGTATAGAATATATTGAGATTTGTGAATATGATCGTAATTTGTAAATAGTATCCTCAATAATTAATGGGCATTTTTTATTAAGAATTCAATGGCTATTGCATCTAATGCTCTAACATATTTCATGAATGTTTCTAGTGACAATAAAATAGTTAAGTCTGAATTCGCATCTTGAATCAATTATTCAACGATATAAATTGTATTATCGTTGTACATTTATTATAATATTATATATAATTATCATAAAAACGTATTGAAGTTCTTCTCGTTGTTTAGTTCATAATTTAGGCTGATGATGTAATGTAATTCTAAAATATAATTTTGAATTAAATTACTACTGTTTAATTAGGCACTGCAATTTTTAGTCTCTTAATTTCATTTCATATTCATTTACCAATAAGTTTAGTTCCTAATATCCTTAAATCATGCACTCTTTATCATAGATGTATCAGAGATAAGAAAAACTATTTTAGATAATTAATAATAGCCCTCATTTATTAGAGGTTAAGTTAAATTTCATCTATTACCTGTCTATTCTATTAATTAATATATCAAATATATTTTATTTTCAATTATGATAGTTTTTTCATTTATTTTTATCTTATATTTTGTATTAATTTCTAGGCTTCTAATTATTGGTCAAAATTTTGGTTTCAATTTGTTAAATTTATTTTTATGTATATAATTGATACTAATCAACAATATGTTTAATTTTTGAGGGTTGTAAATTTAATGATTTCTATTTCAATCTCTAACTCTAAGTTTGAATCTGTACTAGTTTTAATTGTTTTTATCATAGTTTATAAATTTTGTTTTTTTTGTAAAATTAAGTAAAAATTTCTTAGTTTTGAATTTCAATTCTTATGTTATCAAATTCTTTCAACGCAAGAGTTACATTTCTCCTTTGTTTTTATCCATCTCTTATGGTTAAGCCTGCTTTTCGTTAAAAATAAAGTTGCTGTTTTTAATATTCAACATTAGGAATTATACACTATTTAATAAATTTTCCATTTATAATTCTAAAACCAAAGACTTTTACTTCAAATGAAGTAGTAACATGTAATTATTTTATGAGTTCAAGATATAGGGATTTGATTTTGATTTAAGCACATTTCTTTTTCTTTACTCATTATCTTTAATTCATAAATAAATATTTTAATGTAAATAAAGTCTAAGTTCAGATTCTTTGATATTGCTGCCAACCTTACAGATGATTAATTTTATGGAATGTATCATCATAAGAAATACCATTAACCTGATTATAAAGATGTAATGAAAAGAGCCACTGACATTGGTTGTGAGCATCTATTAATCGCGAGTGGATGCTTGGGTGATTTGAAAAAGGCAAGAGAATTATGTCAACTGAGTCCACATTATTATACTACAGCAGGTATACATCCCTGTCGTGCTGCTGAGCTTAATTAAAACTCTTAAGGATATATGGAAGAATTGAGAGACCAATTAGAATTGGCACTTAAAGAAAAAAAATTAGTGGCCATTGGTGAATGTGGATTAGATTATGATAGATTGGAATGGTCAACAAAGGAAGAATAGATGATTGCTTTTGAACCTCATTTTGAATTGGCTGAAAAATATAAATTACCAATGTACCTCCATAATAGGAATACAGGAGATGATTTTTACAATATTGTATAGAAGAATAGACATCGAATTGTTGGTGGAGTTGTGCATTCATTTACAGGACCTTTGGATGAGTTGTAGAAGATCTTACACTTGGATCTCTATGTAGGAGTCAATGGTTGTTCTTTAAAGTCTTAGGAAAATATTGATGTTGCAAAACAAATCCCTTTGGATAAATTACTGTTAGAGACTGACTCACCATATTGTGAAATTAGAAATACCCACGCTTCTAGCAAACTTGTTAAAACTTAATTCTAGGCTCAAAAAACTGAAAAGTGGAAAGAAGGACAATTAATTAAGAGTAGAAATGAACCTTGCAAAATAATCTAAGTACTAGAGGTGATGTCTGAATTATTGAAAATAGATTAGGATAAATTGTCAGAAATCTGCTTTTAAAATTCTTTAAAGTGTTTTGGGTTAGTATGATATTAATATCTATAAATTAATGTAATTTATATAAAAATAACATATTCCTAAGGCTCTCAGTTTTATTTAAGCTGTGGAATTCCTTGCTGAGTACTTAGGTAAATCATCAGAAAGTATTGATTTGTATCTAATAAAGAACGAATTTATAAATATTTCTTAGGCTTGGAAATATTGAAATTGATTGTAAAACTTAGAAAATGGTAATTGGTGGATAAGTGTGGTCTAATGATTTCAGAAAATAACAACTATTCCGAAACAGATTAGCAGGAAGATGAAGCTGCCTTGCAATTCCAGGAAAATTTGAGTGCCTTAGAATATAATCCCTAAGTTGTCAATGAAAAATCTGTCAAAGATGAACTCAAATCAATCAAAGACCCTATTCCTAAATTCAACCTTGGATATTACGATGTGATTCAAGACAAATAAGCTTCTCTTTTAACAATGCTCCCTATTCCAAACGATGTGAAGTAGAAAGATTATGATTCCAAACTAAATTAAATAAGAGTAATTTTGTAATTTGCCACAATTAGATTAAAATTGGAGAAGTCTTGCATCTCATCCGTCCATTAATCTATTGTACATTGATTCTCAAGCATGGAGGAGATAGCTATACTCCATACATTGTTTCATTCTTAATTGATGTCCTAAGATTTGTAATAGAATTCCAAATTAAAATATATCGAAAAAGTTAGAAAGAGGAACTCAAAATCAGAACAAAAGAAGCCATAGTATAACTATATAAATAATCAAGATCTGCTACATCTTAAGGAATCCATTTTACAGTACAATTGTGAAGCAGATGATCTTAAGCAATACTTTGGGTAAGATCTTAAATCCATAAGGATGGATCTATCGTCTTGTAATCGCATTAATTGAATTAAGATCATCAAAGTGTCTTTTATTGTGAAGTTGTTATTGTTTTATAATAAATTATATCCACAAACCCTTTCTATAAGAGAGTTAATTTTGAAAATAAATGAGTATCATTCTATAATGGGATGTTATTTTATGAGTTATTATTTTGTTTCATTTAGAATAAGTAAATTATAAATATGCATAAATTGAGATAATTGCAAGAGAAGGAATAGAAATTTTCTCCTGTTGAATAGGATTTCATTCCCTTTGTCAAAGAACGAAATAGCATGGGTAAACTGCCCAATACCTATCGAAGTTTAAGATCTAAAAACTTAATTGATACTAGGATTAGGGATACAATTAGTAGTAATAGAAGCCAAAAAAGCAAGACCAAGGTGAACTTCCTCAAAGATGTCTATACTATCAATCACAATACATATTGGGCTAATCTGACAAACATTTCGAAAGTTGAAAAGAAATTCAACTTAAATATTAGAACAGAATATGTGGAGTAGAAGCAATTAATTTCTCTTAATCAAAAATTGTAACTGAATGCTGGCATTGTCTAACATAAAACTTAGACACAGATTAACTATTCTCCTAAACTAGGTAAGAATCTTAGTATGAATACAATACCTCCCCTTGGGTATTACTAAACTTAAGATATCATCATCAAAAAATAGCCTATGTTTGTCAAGATGAAATTATAACAAGACTTTAAGTTGAGAGAAAGTAAAACTGTTAAAACAGAACCTTGCCAGCAAATTTTTGTGCCTAAATTAGAACTATCGAATTTAAGAATTTAAAATAAAATTCCTTAAGAATTATTAAACAAAGCATATTAAACAGAACGATTATCAACTGAATACAAATTTAGATACACTCCTCTGCATTTCGATAATGAAGTAATTGAGTAATAATAGAACAAAATTAAATAATTAAGAGAATAATATAAAGGTATGAAAAGCTGTTAAATTTGACTTTTGTTTATTGTAAATATAATTGATTTGTTCATTCTTTAAGCCATTTACCAATAAATTATTCTAATAATTTAAAAGTAAGGAATGAGGATTCCTTAAATTTCTCAAAGAACCCAATGCAATCGTACCAATCATCTAATGTTGAAGTTTCTGCTCCACAAATGAAAAAACTCTTAGTACTTTTTTTAAGGAATAAATTTTTGAGATTTCTATGATATAAATAATGAATTTACTTAAGATGTTTCTTATATAAGATATCACTTCCTGTAGAATAACTGTAGATATACTTCTTCAATAATTCATCATCATGTGCTAATCTATAGGGGAGAGACGAAACGTGAACTAAGGAAGCACTTTCTAACCCATAATAATCTAAAAAGTGATATGCTACTTCCCAATTCAAAATAGCATTTTGGCCATCTTTATTTGCCTTGGCTAGATCTAATCTGTATTAAACATAATCTTTAACTTGATCATTCTTGCCATCAAATTAAAAGACTCTAAATGATGGATTTTAGTATGAAAATGTAGTTCCAGAAGGAGCAATAAACAAAGTCTTTACATATCTGCCATCAATTTTAGATCTAATATGCTAAACATGATCTTAATGAGTATGTCCTAGATTTATAGCAAATAATAATACCATAAAAGATTCCAGTAACTACATGTTCAAATCTCTCAATGACGACACTGAATCTATCACCCCATTAGGAATTACAAAAAGTATCTCCAGGTGGGATATGAGCGAAGATCACAGCAAATTAATGTTTGGCTTCTGAATCTTTGAGTTCAGATATGAGCCATTTGAGCATTCCTCTTGGATCTGTGATGCCATCCATTAAATGGAAGTTGAGTAAATCACAAGCTTAAGAATTCAAGGCAATGAATTTGAGATTTCTTGATTCCTCTACTTAAGAATAGTAGCCATTTCTTCTTAATTAATAGTATGATTCTTGTGATAGGTATTCTTTCCACATATCAGCCACTTCATCTCTTAACCATTATGTCGCTTCTCCTATCATATCATATTGATCAGCTGGGTAACCTTCATGATTTCCATAAATCGCATACAATTATGAATTTGGTATTTGCTTCTTGATTTCTTCAGTAATCATTTTTGTAGGTAATGTTTGATTCCATTTCTATTAGTGCCAGATGTCATGTGACGTACTATCTCCTGTCCATATGATGAAATCAGGCTTTACTTTCTCCCCTGTAAATTTTATGAGATCTTAAACTGTTCTAAATGGTAAATCGCAATCTGCATATGTTCCCCAATATTAAGCTCCTTTGCTTGGATCCTTTGGTTTTCCATTCTCTTCTCTGCAACAAAATGGAGCTCCACAAAATGCATTAGCTCCAACCGAATATTCAACATCAATATGTAGATCTGCGAATTATGCGACTGTAAAATCTTCTTGATTTATTACGTTTTCTTCTGCCAACACTTACCATTACCTTTGTTCTTCTTTTGAGAGCTTGTCTTGCATAACTTCATTAATATAATCTTGAATTGTTTATCTTTCTTGCTGTAATTTGCAAGCTCCTAGATTCTAACATGCATTTGAAGGGGACAAGTAGTTGCTATGTATTGTTAATAAGCAAAATACTTGAAAAAATGCACAGAGAATTAATCAATAAATGTTTAATTTATTCCTTCACAAAAAGCTGGATCTTTGAATTTGGGACAAAGTAAAGTCCATTCTTTACGAATAATCGATAAGAGAATTGTTGATGAAAACTTTTGAACTTACTTCATCATTAATTTGCAAGGCAAACAAAGTAAATGTAATCTATGCATAACTCCTAAATTAATACTCATGAGGCATTTCTATGCCAGCATACTCAACTATTTTAGTTAATATTTCTCTTTTCATGAGTTCTTCTCCCATATCTATTGTATTGGCAACACAAAACATAAGTGCTAAGATCACAAATACATTTCTCATATTTATAAATGATTTGAAAAATTACGTAATATATTTAAGTAATTAATTTATTCATTATGGAATTTCAATCTTTTCTCTCAAATTATGAGATGCATATTGCAAATCCTTATAAAATAGATAATGGGTGACAAATATCAACTGAATAAGTCTTTTTTGCACATTTTCCAAATTGTAATACAAACTTATTTTTATCTGTGCAAATGATATCATAAATTATACAATTCTTTGCTGAGGGCATAGTTACTCTGTCATTAAATTACAATTAATATTTCATCTTCACCTTATTATATATTGGATTCTTATTCATAAAATGCTATATTTGATCCTTATATTGCAATGAATAGTAGGCTTTCAATAACCCATCTGTATCATTCAATGGTTTAAATTCGCAGGCCTATCCATCTTTAATCTTCGGGATGATCACACTCTATCTAAATGATCCAGTCTATTTTGAATTCTGAAAATTGATTAAACACAGTTCCTTCCTCACTTTGTCCAAGAACTTTGCATCTTTAGGATTGTCACCAGTATCAAATAATTTAAATATTCCACCCTATCCCTTTATCTTACCTAAACAAGAATTGTGTTTCCTATCAAATTTGTCTTAGAGGATTGATAAAACATAATGAATTTACTAACTGAAAGCCTATCGTTTTGCAGAACACAGAAATTCTCTCTATTAACCACTCAAATACAATAGGAATTTAGGATGAAATTTATTTGTGCCACTTTTATCCTTAACCAATGTCAACTAGATCAAATGTTCTAATAAAATATTCAAAATATGTATTTACATTGATCGATAGGCTTTTGTAGGAACTCCTTCATATCAATGATCATGCCAGGTTAATATATAATTTAAGCTTACTATTCTTATCTTTCAGTCATTGCATCAATCTAATTTGTTTATTGAACTTATTCATTTTAATCATTTTATTTATTCTCATCCTTCCAACTCTAAAAGTCTTCATCGCGATGCATACTACCAAAATTTGCTACATTGTCTTGTTCTTCATCCTGCATAAATTGCACTATATCTTCAATCACCTATTCTTCATCTTCTTTTTCCTTCTATACTTAAAATTAATCTCCAAAAGTTTATTGTATTTACTATTTACTCTTTTCAACAGGTGTAATGACATTCTATTCATCCTCATCGAATTATTCAAAATTTATTATTTCACCGTTACCATCGTCATCATTTTAACACAAGATCTCGTCATCATTCTATTCGTATTTGCTTTACATTAATAAATAATAATAAGTTGGATTATATTATTATACTGAATTGCAATTTCAATATTTATGAAATTTTTTCATAAATTTATGTATCAACGACATTTCTAGATTCCTCAAGGGCTAATGGTCAATTAATAAACTTTATATCGTAAATAGATTAAAATAAAAAGCAAACTAATTAGCTTAAATAATATATTGTATTTTCATTCATTCTAAAGATTCTCTTACTTATTATTTTATTTCAAATCACATTTCAAACATTATATTAATAAATATTTAGAGAGCAAAAATTCCCTGAAAAATGCATTTTAGAATTTTAATCTGCGATAAATTCATCTATCCATCCTTTATATAATTGGACTAATCTATAATTATGAATTTATCACATATTTCTTTGTTTTATTTCTTGTGAATTTTGGACATCAGCATTTCTAATCTTTATAGAATCATCTATTTACATTATTTTCTTCGTTTTGATCTCCATTAAAATAAAAATCTTATTATATCCTAAGATTTTTAGTCAAGTGTTTAAGATATTAATGTATAATTTATAGTATATTTTAGCCATATAGTGTTGATGAGAATAATAGAAATTTTTATAGAATGATTCATTAGTTTCATTTAAATTTCATCCTTTTATACAATTCATATGAGTAAAATTAACAATTTTATTTGTTATAAAGAGGAAATTATTAGATTACACAATATTAATTATCTTAGACAGTTAGTTATCTTCTTAATAATTAGAGTATATTTTAACTTCTTTTTTTATAATTTTTATTTTCCAAATTAATTTTATTAAGTTCCTTAAATTTTAATGAATTTTGTGAATCAATTAATTTTAGGTTTTTTAGAGTAATAAGAAGTACACTTGCTTATAGCGCATTAATATAAATGAATCGCTCATTTTATTATATTCTATTTCTACATATTAACATCATACAGATACCAACTTAATCTGAGTATTAGAAAACAAATAAAATTAATACAAATAGCCAATTATTTAAGTAACATAGATGAGAATCAGCATTTTTGTTAGAAACAAATGATATCCATTTTTGTCAAGTATTTTAAGAATAAATTTAAAAAAAGTATATAATAAGACCGTTAATAACTAAAAATTCTTTAAATATAGGTTAATTTCCTTTGTTATGAGTTCTAAAGTGGAATTAGATAAGAATGGCACTTCCATAAAGAATTTTAATTTGAAATTTATTTCTATATAGAATCTGTTGAATCCCATTTTAAGCACAATTATTAAATATTATTTATAAAATAGATTAGATTAATCATAAAATAAAAATTCTCATAATTCCTAACATAAATGGCTGAAATCACTATTGTAGAAGAATAACAAGATGCTTTTGAATTTGATGATGAATTTGATTTTGAAAATTTAGAAATGCCATAATTAGTTAGAAGAAATGGAATCATACATACGAATGAGGAAATTATGGGTTATTATATTTTGGATAAACCTGCTGAAAAAATATTTGAAGAGGAACAATGCCCAATTTGTTTAGAGTCATCAGAATAGCTATATCCTTTAAAATGTGGTCATACCTATTGTTAGTATGATATAGAAAAAATGATGGAAATCTCGAAATCTTCTTATGGTTTGCTGTAATGCCCTATATGTAGAGCATACTAAACTCTCGATTCATTTGATGAAGTTACGAATGTGAAATAAGGAAAACTTGAGAACTGTCAATAAGCATGTCATTGAAAAATATTTAAATGTTTTACCTCTAATTAAATTTAAAAAAAAACGATTATTAGTTTATCAAGTTTCATATTCATTTAAATTTCTACCCACTTAAGTGTTATTTGGTAATAAAGGACTCAAAAATAAAAATTCTTTTATAAATTAAGAATTGCATCAACAAAATCTATCAGTATACGTACTTAATTAAATGTTAGATATTTAGTCATATAAATCCCAAAACAAAATTTTCTTTATTTTTATTAATAATAAAAAACTAAAATGGATGGTGACTAAAAAACATATCAATGTGAATTATGTGCAACGTATGTACCGTATATATGCAAATCCGTACATGATTAGAAATGTTTGATAAAAAATTAACCAAAGTTTCTTACTTTACCATCTAATAATAATAAAGTGTAGAGTTAAGATGGATAATCAAATAATCATAATAATAATAATAATAATGTTGATAGCAAAATAAGTATTTAAAAGAATTAAGGTGATTTTGTAAATTAAAATAACAATAAACCTTAATAGAATTTGGATTAAAATATTATAAGCTCTTTCAATGTATTAATATAAAATTAGTGTTAACAACCAAATGGTACAATATAATAAGTTTCTAATTTTGTATAAGGAAGATTTACGAACCCAAATCAACCTAATAACAAAAATTAGGACAAAGATTAATAGAAAATATTTTTGAATAATTCTAAAAAACAGCAACCACCGGTACAGGATTCAAATACATAACAATAATTCCCATAATTTACCATTATGAATAAATAATAAAACCCTTAAAAAGCTCAATTGTTTATTAAAAATTCATAATCGCAGATTAATTTTAATGAACATTCTAATAATAGAGGTATAATGACTAATTAACAAATTTCAAAAAAAATGGATGCATAATGATTTTATATTTGAAGGAACTATTCATATAAAATAAATATTAAATTTATTAATATAAAAAACTTATATATATTCAAAATTATAAGTAGAAGTGAGGATATATTAAAGATCTTATTAGAGTAGTAATTTAAATCAAAATGATAACTAAAGTTTGTGATTTATTAACATAACAAACAGTACCATTAAGATTGCATGACTCTTTGGGTACATATAAGTTTTATTGGCCTTATATGCAAAGTAAAAGGCATACAATAAAATCTTAAGCATTTTTTATATTTTAGAGGGATTCTAGAAAGAAAATATTATAATAATTTATTTTTGAATTTTCATGCAACAAGTGGCTCCAGAAGTGCAAACTATTTTTGAAGAATTACTTAAACCAGTTTTAGAGAGAATTGAAGTTTTAAAAGAAAAAGATCAATCAAATGAGTTACAAATCAAAAATCTATTTGACCAAATGAGCGAATTGAAAACTATAATAGGAAACCTAAAACCCATTAAGGTGGAAGAAAAGAGTAAGAATAAGTAATATTTAATAGAAGTTGTCAAATAAGATCCTAAAAAGGATAATCAATAAAATAATGGTATTTTGAAATTAGTATATTCCCACCTTAGGATAAGAGGCAAAAAAGATCGACCGACCATCTACTGCTGCAGTTACAAAAAACTCTGTTCCTGTAAAAGGAAAGGATCCAAAAGCTACAACAGCTCCAAAACCTTTAAGTCAGAGCACAATTGTTGAAAAGACAACAGCACCTATTGATATTGAAAAAAGTATTAAAACTTAAACCATCTTTTAATAGACTAACCAAAATCTCCGAAAGAGGGAAATCAAAATAAAACAAAATAATAGTAGCAAACCTAATAATAGCCACCCTAACCTAAACCTAAATCAATTGTCCAACCATAATAAAAATAATTATAACATATTAAAGAAACCAAAGAAACTAAAGAAACTAAAGAACAACCAATCAAATAGGCACCTTAATAAAAAGATGAAAAAAAGGTTGAAAAATAACCACCTAAACCTAAAACTGCTTAGCCAACCACCTAACCAATTTAAGTCGAAAAAAAGGAGGATAAAAAAGACACTAAAAAGACAGATACAAAAAATACTTAAAAAAATAACACTAAATAACCTGAGCAGAAAGTAGCAGAAAAGAAATCTGATGATAAAAAGATTGTAAAGAAAGGGAAATTACTTGAAGAAACTTAACTAAAAAATGAACAATAAACTGATGAATAATTTTAACAATAATAACAAAATGTACCTAAGACTTAGGATAACAGTGAATAGAAATAATAAGACGATTAACTATAAAAGTAAACAGTTGAATAAGAAGAAATTTAAGAGACTTAAACAGTAGTTCCTGCAATTGAGAATTTCGAAGTCGAAGAATAAGCAGTAAAATAATTATCAGAAGATTAAGACTAATTGACGTAGAACCAATAAGCCTTAGAAGTCAATGAAAATTAACCAGAAAAACTTGAAAATCAATAATAAGAAGTAGTTTGATGTTAATTGAATATTTGCATTAATATTTTAGGCCAATATTCTAATTCTTATATATAAATTTCTTCTTGATTTCATTAAAATGTATTATAAATGAATCATCTTCTCTTAAGTCGTCCTAAAAATGTTAAACCATAATTTTTGAGAAATTCATAACTTTATGTGTTTTAAATATAATTTTGATCAATTTTAAAATAATATGATAGTGTATCGTATAAATTTCTAATTTGCTATGTTTATCTAGTGTAATTTTATTGATTAGTTTAACGATTTTATCTCCGTTACTATTATTAGAACTGCTATTATTCTTACACAATCTATTATTCTTACTCAAACTATTATTATTACTCAAACTATTATTATTACACAGGATATTAGTATTATACCGGTTGCCTATATATTTCTTATTGAGTTTAAAGTAATTCATTTTATTGAGTCTCTATGCATCTACATTCCATTCCCTTTATCCATTATTTACCACATGCATAACAAAATTCATGTCCACAAGGACAAGATATATGATTGCACCCATACATTTTCTCTATCCATCTGTTACACATTGAGCATTACTTATAACTTTATTCCCGAGCTAAGCCAACAAAACTTTATTCTCCACAAACTCCATCATGAAATTGCCTCTTGCATCTTGTACAAAATATTTATTGGCATATCATGCATACCTGTATTGGTCCTTCTATTTCATAAATTCCTTAACAGTTTTAAGTTGGACATTGAAAAATGTTTGGATGTGAAATCAAATATTAATTGAAAGCAAATTTGTCCAATTTATCCATAGTTTACTTTGTTGTTATTTATTCTAAATCATCTCTTAATATTTCTAATCTACATTCTACATTAGGACATCTTATTGGTAAATCAACTTACGCTTCGATTAAATTATTTAAACACTATTTATGATATATATGCTAGCAAGCAGTAAGAATATATTAGTTTGATTATATATTTTCTAAACAAATAGTACATTTTGCTTTTTACATAATTTAGCTTCTCTAACTTTTCGATTGAAAAAAAATTGATTTGGACTATTCTTATTTTCTAAACTCATTATATTACTGTTGCTAAATTTGTTTCGATTATTCTATTGACAATTTGCAGATTTCTTCCATTTTAAGAATAGGAGGAACTTTAACTAAATTTAAATTATTTAAAGTATGAGTATCAATCAGATTATGATTCAAAATATAATCTTGCTATTCAGCATTATTCTGCCTCTCATTTTATTGAAATTAGTTAAGATTTTCTATTTCAGTTATTATGATTTTTTATTTATTATTTTTTTTTTCATCTCCCTTCTTTTGCTATATAGTGTAGCTCTCATAATCTAATTTTTTATTTTTGGTTATTAGTGTTGCATAGTCATTTGAAGTTCCATTTTATATGTCAATCTATGAATTCTTGATTTCCTAAAGCCCAGAATTAAATTCTATAAACAAATCATCAATTAGGGCATCTATATTTTTGGTTCCATTAATATATTTATCATAATCTAATTATAATCCTTCTAATGTTTTCTTATTATTTTTGTATTCCTGATTATTGGAACAAATAAGGGAATATGATTTTCTAATAATTTTTGAATCATTGTTAGAAGCTCCTGCTTAGTAACATAAAAATGCCACATCGAGTAATTAGCATTTATGCTATTTATGTCTAAAATCTTACATCAATATCTAGTAAACTTTCTATGCGGGTAATATACTCTTAAAAATCAAAATGCTGTTTTTTCATATGATTTAATATATATTATAGATATATAATTTACTCAACAAGCCATATTGCTGGTTTACAATTTAAATAGAGATTTGCCAACTTATATTTCGAGTTCTTAATAAATTTACAAATCTTCTTTTATTTAGACAAGAGTGCCAAATTTTGAATTGTTATCATACAAAAATAGAGAACTTTATTATTGCACCTTCTCTACTTATAAAGTTGCATGGAACCTGCTAACACTGGCTTCACACAATTTAACCCAATTTTCTTTGGCTCTTCCTAAACTCATCTTTTCTCCTAAATTAATAACAATCACTCCATCAGATTTTGAAGTGAATCGATCTCCTAAATTACTCTGCTTAACTTGGGTTTCCTTCTTTTTTTAATAAAACTCTAACATCACATATGGAAATTTAGGTTTCAAAAGGTCCAGCATATGATATGTTACTCCATCACTCTAAAATATTACCTTATATGGCTCCTAACAGATTTCACATTTTAATAAATTCCAAAGATATGTTTCACTTTTCTCAGAAGATCTTGATGCTGATGTAAGTTCTTTGAGCCTAAGTCTTATTCAAGTATACCATCTTTTCATGCATTCTAAATGAATATACTTTAGAGATCCACTACATTTGCATGGATTCAATAAGGGATTCGAACTTTAAGTATTTCCTAGACATATTCGGCATTATTCATTAGAATCTGCCTTACTCCGACTAGAAAGTTCATTTTCATTTTGAGAATTAAAACTAAGACTTGAAATTCTAAAAGTCATTTTTCCAAGCCTAAAAATGTCATTTACGTTTAATGGATATTTGTTTACAGATCTTACTGTCAACCAATTTTTTTTTAGTTTGAATGGAAATTTAGTATTTGTCAAGGCTGTCGAATTTCCTTATTGTTACTATATTCCAGCAACAACCGAATTTTAAGCTGTTATATACAGTAAAACTTCACTATGTATAAATGATCTTTGTTACCTATTTTCCTTTGGTATTTCATGTATTAATTCTAGTGTCTCCTTTTTACTAATGATATATGAATCTTAATGTTGAATTGTAAATTATTGTTTCTAATTGTCAATACTCTCATAATCAAAGAGATCGCTAGTCTCATTATTCCAAGTATGACAATATATTGAAATCCTGAAATCAATCATATAAACTACAAATTACCTTTCATTTTGCATTTAACATTAACCCATTCCAATATATTATTATATTTTTTAATATAAATCAAAAATCAGAATCGATAATCTCAATCTTCTCGACTACCTATTCACAACTTTTTAACCAAAAATTCTTCTTTGTTTCCTTAAATCATTCATAATTATTTTAATATTTTTCTTAAAAATTCAAATTATTTCTCTTCTCTTTTATTCTCATTATTTTTAATAAATATTGAATATTCCTTTCTTCATTAATTATTCATTAAATTATAATGGAATTTTATTCATAAGAACATATATATACTAATTCTTTCTCTATCTCTTAATAAATAAAGGAATTTATTTTTTTTAAGTAATTATAACAGCATTCCTTTCTTAAAGTATTTCCTTTTTCATTCTCTTATATAATTAATCTCGAACCTTATTTCTCTATCAAGTAGATTTCAATCTTTGTAACTACACTTTACAATAAAATAACTATAAATTTCTCTGCCATATCCAAGAGCTTTTAATTCTTTTAGTTTAAACATTTTCCATTCCAATTCAACAATTATAATTTTCCGAAAATTCTCTTCTAAACATTAAATATTTTTTAATTTGTTAATTGTAAAATATAATAATATTCCCTAACACTCTACATAAAGATACTCTTTATTTTGTATAAATAATCAAAGGAATTTATGATTTGATTTCAATAATCTAAGCTATGCAAAACGAAGCTTGATCTATTATGTGTATATAAAGTTATTTATCCTGTAATTATGTAAAAGGGTTTCACTGAATAAATATACATATACTTAAACTTGATCATTGGATAAGTTTAATGATTAAAATTTATTTGCTATTTTCATAAATTCTAATCTCATCTTTAATTTTAATCAATAATTTTCTAATCATTAAAATCCTCTATTTGTTATTTTCTTTTTAAATATCTGTATTGAAAAAAATTAAAAATGAAAAATAAAATTTTACCCAATTCGTCGTTTACTCTCGCGAATTACAGTTAACCAGTAATTGCCAAAGTTGGGAAAATTATAAAGGAGATATTTTATTTGATGAGGCATCAAATTTATCTTCTTTGACATAATATTTAATTTAACTTATAAATGAATCCTAATGATGAACAGTAGAGATTATACTAAATGTTCTCATAAATGGCAGGACCTGATCCATATGGTAGGATGCTCCAAGTACCAAATTCTCCTTATTATCCTTGCTGGGGACCCCCTTTTCCTTAACCAATGATGGCACCACCTTAAAATCAAAAATATCAATTTCCTGAATAGTTCGTCCATGACTAGGCTCTTTAAATGAATCAAATTCCACCCAATTAAAGTGGATTAAATATGAATGGTATTCCATAAGGTATGCAAAATATGCCACCAATGCCTATGGGCTTACCTCCAGGTTTTGCTATGCCTCCTATGGGCCCTGGATAAATGCCACCAGGACCTATGGGAGCTGGGCCAATGGGACCTCCTCCAATGGGTGGAATGGGAGCGATGGGAGCTATGGGAGGTATGAGTGCAATGGGACCAGGCGGAATGTAATTACCTGGAATGGGACCTATGCCATAAGGACCTCTAGGTTAAATGCCTCCTCCATTTGATTTTTAATTTAAATAGCAGCCTCCAATGCAACCATAAATGAATCAAAATTAATTAATGCCTCCCCAACAACCATCAATTTAATAACAACATTAACCTTAATAATAACACTAACCATAATAGCAACAATAATAATAATAATAAACTCCATAATAATAACCTTTATAACAATCTTCTGCATAATCAGCCTAAAATAATAATAATGCACATTTGGAATAAGGTAAATTATTAAGCATAAAATAGGATTTTCACAAGTGGTCAATGAGTTTTAACTTAAAATTTTAAATATGTTTGTGTAGTAAAATCAGATGCTATTGGATTTCAAGAATAAGAATGCGAACTTGGAAAATACTATTACATCCATATTAGATGAAATAACAAATCTGCAAAAAATAGTGGAATAAAAATTTGATAACGGCCAAGCGGACGACTTTTTGAGTAGATGTAAAAATAAATATTTATTCTTTAGAGTCAATACCAAACTAAGAAATGACATAAAACAATATTTTATTGAAGTCTTTATAATATAATTAGAATGATTTCCAATATTAATTGGTGTTGACTAATGATTTAGAATAACCATTATTCAAAGACAAGAATTTTAATTTGGATATTGCTCTCAAAGATATGAAAGGGATCAACATTAAAAATCATAATAAAATAGAATTAGAAGTTCAATTATTTTCATCAGATGATAAACCTGTGCTTCTAATTTAAAATTCTTAAAACCAATAAATTTTAAGATAGCCAGAAGATAATATTTGGTTGGAAGAGGGAATCTCAAATATTGAAAAACTATAGATAAATGAAGTGACATCTCATTATTAGAACGGCTGGATATATTTAATTGTTTATCCAATAAAAAATGATGCCAAAATTGCATAAGGTGAGATTAATCCAGCTTAAATCAAACCATTGATTTATAAGGTCAGTGTAAAATCAAAGAAAACTTAGAAAAAGTATTTTTTATTTTTGATTAGGTCATCGCGTTCAAGATCGAGATCTCACGAAAGGTTACGTAGACTTGAAAAATTAGACAACAAGTCAAGTTCAGAATCTGAAAATCACATTTAATTAGAAATCAAGAACCTTGACGCTAATGTTGAAATGTAATAAGAAAAAGAGAATGAAAATAATGATAAATAACAAGGGCAATTAGAATAAGAATAAGAATAGTAATAAGAATAATAAGAATAATTATAATAGCAACAACAATATGAATAATAATAATAAAAATAAGAACATGAATAATAATAATTATTATTATAATAATAACAATAGTAACAGTAATATGAATAATAATAAAATGAATAGTAATAATAACAATAATAGCAATAATAATAATAATAACAATAACAATGTGAATAAGAAAAATTAGAATAATAATAAGAATAGGAATAAGAATAATAATAAGCATAGGAATTATAATAACAATAATAATAGTAATAATAACAATAATAATAATAATAATAACAAGAATAAGAATAATAATAGCAATAAGAATAACAAGTTTAATAAGAATAATCAAAAGAAAAAGATGAGGTACATTAGAATAATGAATCTGAACTGTGAGATTTGTAATGTATTTGTGATACTTATTTATAAATAAATCATTTTAGTCTCCATGTTTCTTTGATTAATGCTATAAAATTATCATCTAATTCAATATCAGCACTAACTGCAGCATAATATTCTTTCCATTCCTATGTTTGATATTTTATTAATACATTTAAAGTTATATGACCAGACTTATTTCCCTCCTTAAAATACTATAATAACTCAATAAAAGCTTAATCTTCAGTCAGTTCTCCTCTTGTAACTTTAGGATGATTTTTTGCATTGAATATTCCCTTGAAATCATCTGCCACAATATAACCCAAGTTATCTTTATCGAATTTTTTGAATGCCTAGACTATTACTTGTAGTCTGTTTTCATTTGGAGATCCCTATTTATCAATTTATTTTTACTCTTATTAAATAAAAAAATTCAGCAATATCTATTGACCCATCTCTGTTCCTATCAAGATAATTTAACAAAAACTAAAATGTAAATAAGAATTACGTCAGTTTAAAATTTTGTTAAGACTACTCCATTTTGCTTTAAACCAATTAGGAATTCATCTTTATCAATTTTATTATTTTAATCAAATGACTCAAAACCTCTGAATGTTTTTCCTAAAGTTCTAATGGTTGTTTAAGATTTTCCTAATAAGGATTTTGTTATCTTTTTAATAACTTATTATGGTAAACAGCTTACTTATATCAAGTTATTCTTGAGGAGTTATCATTTTATAATTTATTTGTTTTATTTATAATATTAATTATTCTTTCCTCCGCCATCATCTTATTTAGGATATTAAATGCTATCAAACTGAAAATGCTGAATTTGTATATATTGTAAAATTAGTTAAATTAAGTTTAACATTTCTTTAAAATAGAGATGAGATTATCTCATAAAAGTTCCCAAAAAGTGAGAAAATTAAATTCAATTATTTTGAAAGGATCTTTTGTGAGAACTTCAATTAACTCTATCATCACTGTGTATTTCGAAGTTATTGTGTTTATTATTATTTATGAAAGACATATTATAAGACTTTCTTATTTAATGAGTTAGGATTGATTTATGATTATTGATCTATCTTTCTAAATCAATAGTATATAATTTTTAAGGCATGTATACTTTTTTATTTTATTAAGAATACATAATGGAATAGAATCATATTAAAATATATGAAAACAAAAATGAAAAAATAATAATAAAATTAATTCAAATCAAAATTCAGTAGACTAAGTATACAATTAATCTAGGATGTTAGAATATCCAATTGATCTTTGGGAATTTGTGTGAGATCGAGTAGATTTTTATGATTTGTTCTTTGATCCTAGCACTCTACGTTTGGTCTCACCTCTATTCAGCAGTTCTTCAAATTCCTATAAAATTTATTTGTTTTCTTAATTTAATCCGCATTTCATTAACTAATCGTAAAATTTAAATATACCTTTTAGATTATAACTTAGAAATACTCTTTGATCTAAGGATTTTCTAATCTTTCTTGGTAATATGGATAACATTCATAAAATTTTCTTGCTAATGATTCTTTCATTTAAAGTTTGGACAAAGTAAAAACTATATTATAAACTTCAAAGTCGTTAATATTCTCTTTTAATCTTCTCAACAGCTTTTCAACTAATTATTCATTCTATTTATCTAAGTATTTCAAAGTATTAATAAGAAATGTTTTGTATTTTTCATGACTCTCCTAATTTGACATACTAAATATGATATCCGGTAAACTATTTAAGATTCTTCTTGAATCCTTCTTTTATAATTAGAAAAAGAATCTTTTTGCGGATTATTAAATATTTTCATCAGGATCTGTTAATAAGATGGCTATGTCAGTAATTTCTCGTTTGATTTTAATCATATCATTTAATATTAAATGAGATAGCATATTTAAAGATGTTTATTTGACAATAAAGTCTTAATTGCTTAATCCATCAAAGAGTTACCTACAATATGATGTGACTGTATTAGGCCATCTGTGTAATAGATCTCCTATTGCTACTATTAGATTATTCTTAAAGACACCATCTGAATTAGGGTTTTAGATTAATCTAAAGACTTTTTCTATATGTTCTTCACAAAATTATTCAGATAAGCACATAAATTTGCACAGACAAAGACCAGCAGATTTATGTAGTATTGTCAATTATACATTTTCCTCTTCTATTTCTGCTAATATGTCGAGGACTAATGGAGCATAATTTTAGTAAAATCCTTTTTAGATAACATCTTTAAATATTTATAAAAATATACTGTATTTGCATAAATTCTACAGATAAACACAATTGTATTCGTACTCTTCTTCACAACCTCCTTATATTTTATCCAATTCATTTTCTTTGGCTTCCTCTACATTTCTTAGATGTGTTAATTGATTCTCAATCTCATCAATATGAAGAATTATAGCAAGAGCAGACTGGCCAACAATAAATAATAGTTAACTGAGTTGTAAGCATTAATTATTAAAAACTAAAGTTGATTCCTCTTCTAGAAAGTCTTAAGCACTATTAAATTAAGAATCAGATTTACTTTTTATAAGGTGTCATTCCTATAGCAAAGGTTTTGAAGCTGAATTTTTTAATTATGTAATCATAGATACTTTCTGGGACAGGTAAAAATTGAACCAAATTTAAAATCTCTTAACAGGCTACAAACCATAAATTATTTGGTGTTCCAAAATAAAAATATAAAATTGATGAGAATTATTAAAAGTATTTTTTAACAATTATTTTATCTTCCAAAAAATAGATTAATTTTGCTAACTCAATTACAGTAACCCAATTAATTTCTTTTTTTTATCCATCAATTATTTTGCTAATTTAATCTAATTTCATCCTAGTTAAAAGATTGGATTGTTAACCAAAAGTAATTCTAACAAGTTTAGAATATTAATTTAATTGATCATGTTAATTTGTAGAATAAGTTCTCATAAAATGGGTCCATATCATTTCAATAGTAGATTCAGGTATCATTTTCTATTTGATCATGTATCTAATAAGTTCTTCAAGATAGATCTGCTCTTTGGGTGATGAAATTTTCAATAAATGAATTAAATTATTAATAGGAACTTATTCATTATCATTTTCTATGAAGAGTATAAAAAACTTTTTAGCTAATTTATTCACTATTTATTGATTGTTAGAATGAATTAACATCTTCATAATCCCTACATCCGTGTTTTCTATTTTCTGCTTAAATAAAAAACTAATGAGGGAAATAGCCTTATAGATGTCGGTGATGCATTTGCTATTTAATAATAATTCTATGTTGGGCAATAGCTTTTATAAAAGCTCCATGAATTCTTGATATTAAATGAAAACTGATTGTAATTTTTTCTTTTCTCTCAAATTAGAGACAACTAGGTTTTCTTCGTCTTCCAATTCCTTGAATTCTGCCTCGCTTTATGCATTGGCCTTATCTTCTAATATCTAATCGATAGCTATTAAGGTCTTATGAATTTCGTTTCCTAAATATTCATTTTACTCTTTGATGTCAGCAATTTTCATGAAATTTTACATTTGTAACCCATCAACAAACAGGTTTTTCATAAATCTAGTGAAATTCTATATATTTTGAAATTGTACTTTGTAATTTATTTAATAAATGCCAAAGCAGCCTTTCTGACCATTGAAGAAACATCTTAAACTCTTGCTATTACCAATGGAAACATCATAAGTTAAACATTAGGAGGAATTAGATTCTATGAGCATACAACTCTTAACATTTTTAAAGTGTGAACTCTGGCATAAGCATTTTTATCGATTATTCTAGATGTCAATTTTTATATAAGAAATAGTCTTTGATTTAATTAGCTCTCCTTTAATTCTACATCTTATTCTACTTTGGATGGATTTAGATGTTCAGTTAGAATATTTGTGATTATCGTATTAATAGCATTTCTAAGACAATAACTCTAATGATAAATTCATAAGTTACTTCACTATCATAAAATTATATAAAAACTGGTAGATTTTAATTAAATAAATTAGGCTTTTGAGCACTTACTCTTTCAAGTACCTTAGATACTTACTTCAATGAATTGCTTTCATTTTATAATATTTCTAAGCTATTTTAGGCTAGAATTGTAATGAATTAAGTAACAAAGGCAGTATTTTCACAAGTGACGAGTAAATCTGAAATTTATTGGTCACAATCTTCTGAATTGAACACAATTTAGATCAACCTATTTTTAATGTAATTATGAAGGTTCTCTTTTCGAATTATTTTCTTAACTTGATTTTATAAATATTGTTTAACATCATTCTCTTTGATTTTTGTTTTATAAAATTATAATATTGTTTCTATTCCCATTTAACCATGTTTATCATATAATCCAAATGTCAGTAATACTTCTTTTTACAATTAATACAAATAGTCCTTCCTATTCTTATTTTAATCATCTAAAGTTGCCTATAAAAATTTCATCTGCAAAATCTCAAATTCCAACACATCAAGTCTCTTTAGAATCTCCTTCTCTAAAAACTCCAAGATGTCGTCTTTTTGCAACTAAACTCATAATACTGATAAATACTTATTACACACCATAATATAGGATGGTAAAAGTTTCACTGTCAAATTGCTTATTATGATTAAATTCTTCAACAGCTGATTTCATTTATCTGAGGAGCAGTCTGCTATCCTTAGTTTTGAGTGAATTATAAAGAGTTATATCAAACTAAAATATTGGTTCATTATACTTAAATAGAGGGATATTCACTTAGCTCGTTCATAAAACTTTTTAAATTCAAATAATTTATGCGGCAATTTATTATAAATATATATATAATATATCAACTCACATTATTATTTTCCCAATAAAATCCTGAATTTCTCTGTTCTGTTTTCTATTATTAAACCCAGTAGAAATCAGCATTAGAATTTGCAAACTAGACCTTATCTGATTTTTACAAGAGTGGATCTTTCAAATCTATTTTTAAATCAAAATTCTCATCATTTTCATCTGCAGGATGTTGAATTGCCCATATCTCAATGACATTGATTTATAGTTTCTTAACATAAGAAAGAACCAAAGGGCCATTTTCATAAGATTCATCATTCTGAGTACAATATGAGTTTTGTAAATTTTTATCAATCCAAATTCTGAATCCCTCTCCATTTTTACCACCAAAACCAAGTCCCTTATTGGAATCAAGAAAACAATAATTTTATTCTCCTCTTCTTTTCGATCTATAAATCTTAAAATAAGGATAGAGACTAAAAATGCAATCCTTCTTGGTTCCAAAGTACTATTTGGTGTCATACCATCTTAGATTTGTAAGAGCACCAAATATCTATTATTTTGTCTTTTTTTCATAATTTTCTTCATGTTGAAAAAACATTATTGTAGGTAATTTACACTCTAATTTATAATAGCATAATTAGTACCTTTAAGGGATTAAACCATTTAATTAAAGCCACCTTAATGAGCTACACTTGAATACAACAAAGTTAACTAATTGCAATCAGTAAGCACAGATTATGAACTCAATAATAATTGGAAAAATAACTCATCAGTCACAAAATATGATGGAGTATTGACAATTGGGATGATACTCTAATTAAAATGAATTATTCAATTACATTAAATTGTTTTCCCATAAATTTAGCTTAAAAGTACTTTTTTATAAGTTATTTAGCTCCCGGCATCTATTTTGAAATGAAATCCATCAACTATACCCAAGACAATGAGCCTGATTCATTTTCTAAATCTAGAATTATATAAATACTGTATAGTTAATCTACTAATGATTTTATGTATTTCTCATTGGTGGGTGCATTCTTTTGGGTGTGTTGATACATTTTGATAATATCCTAATATGATGGAGTCATGTGGAAATACTTTGATAACACTTAGAGTGTCAAGATAAGTTAATTGCAATTAGGCCAACTCTTCTTTTGATTTTACATATCTATAATTCTGCAATGTAATCAATGACATCAATTCAAACCTTTCTAGATTCTTGAAAGCTGGAACTGAAGTTTAAACATCCTTCACTAATAACTCCACTATGATGTAAGTAATATTAATATTACAAAATTCAAACAATGGCTCTTTCTTCACAAATCCATCGCTTCCAGAATACAATTCAAGGAACTTAAATAACTTAATCCCAAATGCAGAATTTTCTGAAAATATATCTTCGAATGATCGTTAATTAAGTTATTTGATATCCCGAGTTCTAATAATATTATTGTTATTACTCACTACTTAATTCACAGTAATATTGAAATTATGAATTCAACTGTGTATATTCAGCTTAGTCAAATGCTAAAACTACTGTATTCTTCCTTGAATCGTAACAATTCCCCATGTATTCAATAAATAAATATAAATTATTAAAATAAAACGATAACAAACTTGAACTTTTCATTAATTTAATAATTTGCATTTAGCTACAAAAATTCTAATCATAGTTGAATTCTTAACTTGATTCTTGAGAGTAATTTCAATTAAATTTTCACAATTATTGTTATTCTCTATGAACTTGAAATTCACCTAAACTTTTACATTCTCTGAGATTCATATGTTCGAGTATATAGGGCAGATTTGCGGTTTATTCTAAAGAACTTTGTTGAACTCTAAAAATACAGTCATTATAAGAATGATTTGCAGTACAGTTTCTTCTATTTATTTAAAGAAATGGTTTAATTTAATTTCTTCAATGTTTTTCCAAAATAATTAAAATCTTAATCTTTATGATAAAACAAGTTAATTTAGTTGTTTATATAAATAAGATATATATATGACTATTTTATCCATTAATAATCTAAAGTAAAATGTAATTCTTATTTTGCTATTGATAAAGAAATTCGATTAATTCTTTACTAAAAGGATTAACCTGTTCTAATAATCACTGACTATTAAATTTAGTTTATGAAACTCATAAAATTTAATCTATTATGTTAATACCTACTTCATCTATAATACAATTAAAAATCTAAAATAATTTTGAATACTTCTAAAACTGTCAAAATTATGAATGATGATTATATAAATTTGTTATAAATGATACAATAAATATAAATAAAAATCAAAGTTAGTCGTTTTCCCATCTTCTGGCAAATAAAATAGGATCATTACGCTATTTTTGATTTTCTAATAAGATTTCTTATATTATTTGAAACTCTTTTTGTAATTTAACTATATTGATTTTTCGCAAATAATGTAATAATAATTAAGAGAAGCTGAGTGTAAATTCAGATAAATCTTTATTGAAAAACTATTCAAATTATTTATCAGGAGAAATATAGAATACAGATTCAACTTTAGAATAATAAGTTAAAAAGCTATCTATCCAGCCTTTAATGATTTCTTATTTAATAGTTGGAAATTAGTTCTATATGTAAGTAGCTTTAATTCCAATTAGTTTTCTAATTAAAAAGTAGCATTTTTATTTATCCTCGGTATTGATACAATCAAATTATTTAAGTACATTGTTTATGTACTCTAAAAATTTATAAGTTGGTCTGATTGAGGCAGATAGAAATTCCACTTTATCATCTTAATAATTGGAAGTAAAATCGCTTGTGAATTTTTCATTAATCACATTAGAGATCTACTTTTACTAATATGAATATTAATTCAATTATGAGGATATATTTGATTAGAAATAATAATTTTTTTTAGTATCTTACGAATTTTTTGATAAGCTAACAGCAGAAGATTTGAAAGGTGGAGTAATGATGGTTTATTATGATTGAGTAATCCTAACAGGTGATTTCTTTTATTAAATAGAATTGTTGTTTTGAATAGAAAATTACGGTTTTGGTTAATGTTATTGAATATCTAGTATTTAATGCTTTTCTGATAAGATTTATTGACAATTTGAAAATTAATTATGTTTTATGGTGTCATTGGTGCTATTCTAATTGCTATGTTAAATACATTCACTTTCATCTATAGAATTGCCTTTTTTTGTGTAATCACTTTTTAAATTATTTAATTCATGTTATTTTGCCATAGGCATCTTGATCGACGAGATCTTTTCTTTCTCTTGATTTGAGATTTCTAATAATTCAAGTGATTTTTTATGTTTTAAGTCTGGACTCATTATATTAATTATAAAATTTGATAGGTGATTATTGAAACTGTTTTGGTGTTGTATCTATTTTTTCTGTGTAAGAAACTTTGATTATTTATCCTTGAGATTAGTTTTAATTTTAAGAGTTCTAAATTGCTAAATCATAGAGTTTATCTTTTGCATCTAGATACTAAGCCACTTAATTTATTTTTATAACTTTTTTTTTATCCACATTCTAAAAATCATTCAATTCTGTTGATTTCAACAATTAAGGTTGTTTAAGATAATTTTCGATAGTGTCTTCTTGTTGAGTTTAGAATAGTTTACTATTTGATGTTTAATCATTTAATTATTGTCTTGATTATTATAAGTCTTGAGAAATAAAACTAGTTTTAATTGATCTACATGGAATGTTATGATGTTGAAGAGTTGATATTTTTTTAGTTTATATTTGCACATTAGAAATGACTTCATTTATTGATAATCGTTTTTCTGGATCAAAATTAAGCATATTGAGCATTAGTTCTTTAGTCTTATGAGACGTTTCTGCGTCATTTTTTATTTTATTGATCAAAAATTAGTGCTTCTTGTTTAAGTCATGTTCCTGTTTAGAAAGTTAAGGTAGCTGATGATATATCATCTAAAACAACACGATTCCTAAAGCCCATATATCTGATTTTTCTGAATATACGTTATTTTGCACAGTTTCAGGTGCCATATACATTGGAGTGCCTACGTTAAACTTCTTGATGATGCTCTCGTATTAGTTCTCTATCACTGCAAAACCAAAATCAGCTAATTTGTAGTAACCATTAGATTTTAATATATTTGGCTGGCTTGATATCTCTATGTATTATTTCTAATAAATTTACCATATAGTTGTTACTTTTATCATGTAATGCTTTAATTCCTTATGCAATCTATTGGAACACCTCTAAAGATTAGGTTTCTGTGAATTTTTTAGATTCTAAAATTTCAGCCAAATCTCCTTCGTTACAATATTCGCAAATCAAATATCTATTGTTTTTTGTTTCAAATGTTTCGTAAATTTTCATTAAATTAGGATGATCAATTAAGCTCAATACATGAATTTCATTTTTAAGTAAACTCTTAGAAATTGGAGTGATTAATTATTGAAAACTTATCACTTTAATTGCTACAACTTGATTATTTTTGGTGTTCATTCCCTTATAAACTTTAGATGAGTAGCCAGAACCAATTAAATCATTTTACTCATAACTATAATTTGAAATAGTTTTCCTAATATTAGAAGTATTATTATTCATTTATTTAAATAACAATTATTTTTAGGCTTTCTAATGCATTTTCAGATCAATAATAAGATTCGAAAGACCAAGGAAAATTCCATTTAGATAATTAATTTGTCATATATGGAATTATAATATTATTAGATATATTTATGTATCCATAAATACAGAATTCATATTTAATGTCCTTTCTAATTAAGCAGATTCCTTTTCACAGTTTTCTTTTCTTTGAATAATTAAAAATACTTTTTCTTTCAAACCTCAATATCTACCATTCGAATATGAGTTATGGATTGATAATCTTGTGAACAGATCCCCACTTCTTTTTCAAACCCTACTTTATTAATTCTACTTCTTCTTGAGACATCATATATAGTTATTCATCAATTTCTTTAACCTCGCTTATATGTATATTTCTAGTTATTTCATATTCATCTTAGATGATGGATTCTGTTTTGGTTAATAATCAGGAACTTTTCCAACTACTTTTTCTACAATCATATCATCTATTAATTATTTTTGGGCTGATAAAATATTTCAATTTTGCATTATTCATGATAATAAAATGTTTATTTGATTTTAAACCAGGCATATGTTTTTTCAAAATTTTTGAAACAGGGGGCTTCAAAGATTAAGGACATTTATACTTTATTACTAATTACATTTCTAAGTGCTATCTTTAGGCAATTGTCTACATCCAATTGTTCCTGCATTCTTAAATCTTAACATTGGACTGCATGCTTAATTTGAACTAAAAGATTAATAAGGCATTTTGAACTTTTATTTTCCAGATTGCTTGACCATTCTCATATGAATGGCTCCTTTGACTAAATCAAACATCCAATAATAAATATTATTCATATAATCTGATTTATCATCTACTCTGTTTGTGGATGGTTTATGAATGTACTAGTAGTTAAAGTAAGATTAGATGGATATTTAGATTTTGACAAAAAATCTGAATGAAGAAGAATGTATTCCTGATTTTTATATGCTTAATTGCTAAAATAATATGTTATAATAAAAATATTAGAATTATAATTAAATTAAAATAAATTCTATTCAAAATACAACAGAAATCCTATGGAGAGAGGTGCAACTATCTATGAACGATTATGCTTTGTAAAAATCATATCATTATTGCTATTTATGTCCTGTAAATTTAAGGATTAATTAATATCATTGATGTCTTATTCATAGTCAAATCTAATATTAGACCTGAGGTCACATTTACAAGTGTAGTAAATCTTGACAAATAGAATATTCAAGAGTCTCAGCAATCCTTTTTCTTAATCAAATAATTATTGGTCTAGTAGATGAAAATGCAGGATTTAATGTTTTTGTATGCTTTCTGATTTCTTTGTATTAATGTAACAAGATTCCCTATAAATATAGCATAAAATTCTATTTCCAAGTTTATCTACGCTATTCTTTTAGTATATTATCCAGTACCATTTTAATAATTTAATTTAGAATGTATTGCATTCTTAAAACTAACAATAAATTAGAAATTAGTATAAAGAATTTATATAATATTGAAGGAATCAAAATACTACATTCGAAATTATTTCAATATACCCATTAATAATACAGTCAATATTAAATATGCTCACATAATTTGTATGAATCTTCAGATGCCTTGTATTCAATTTCTCTTTCAACAACTTTAATTAACATCATAATATCTATTAATATGAAGATATTAAAATTTTAATAGGGATCATCGAAAATTATATCACATATGTGTGATGACATAAAGATTCAAGAATTTTATTATATGAATTCATATTAAATTATAAATTAAATTTTTTGTGATATGCTTTTGGTGGATCTTCTAAACAATAAACAATAATTAATTAATAGATTTATATAATAGTATGACTTCATTTAAATATAGCTTGAATGTATGCTGAATTGCTTTTTCGAATATTAAATTCATTTAATTATTGTTTTATTTATTATAATTATTTTGCTTAAATCTGTTACTTTTTATAGATTTAGGTTTGGCAGTTTGTAGAATTCTTATTACCACTTCTGCATTTAAGTAATTACACTAAATCTGAAGTTTAGTAAGAAGTGAGTGTTTTTTATCTTAAATTAGACTAATAGGAATCATTATTTTTTTTCAGAATTTTCAATGCATTGATAAATGACTCTAATCTTAGATATATATTACTTGATTTATCTAATTATTTTGGATTTAATTTAGGTTGATGGATGATGTTTTAGAGGAAAAAATTAGATGTATGAAATGATTCTTATCTTTTGAGAGATGAAATATTTTGTTGTACTTTCTAGACGCAAGATTGAAATTGTGAATCTAAACATCTCCGAACGCATTATGCATTTGAATTTTGTGTATTTACTATTGGATTCACAATTTCGATATGATCAAAAAAGCTATCCTCCATTTTGAAAAAAAAATTAATTATTTAACAAAATTTATAATTTATTTAAGAAATGGATAATTATTCCTTTCATGAACTTTTGTATTCATACAAAGAATTAAAATAAACGTTATATTGTTTAATAAATTCTTTTTTGATATCTTAGAGTATTAAAATAATTAATATTTATGATCTTAAACTTTTAATTAGATTTTCAAAGAAACATAAAAAGATGTATATCAATATTTTGATAAAAATAATAAAATTTAAAGAGCAATTTCGATTCTCATTAACTTATTGAGAGATAAGCATCCTTTTTGTTAGAAAAAATTTATATTTCTTAACAATAATATTATTTAATCAGTAATACCATCCTCCTTATCTAAATTGAGATGGTCCTTATTGCATTTAAGAGTAAGGATATCTTGGATCTACTTAAAAATCATCAAATCTGCGATCTTAATGTTAAGGTGGAAACTATCTGAAAATGTAAATGAGGCATTTTACGTATTGTATTAAGGCATAGTCTAGCCACTTGGTTATGGTTTAAATTAGGCAGGTTGCTGGGTTTGGTTGAATGAATAAATCAAGACATGCCAACCATTTAACTTATAATTTCAACGGTTATTACTTTGAATTCAAAAACTTTGTCATCATTATTATAATAACTGTATTAAGCATTCATCCCATTTTTATGTTCCCACATAAATACAAACCAATAAGGTCCATACTTGCCATCCAATCTATGCTTAACAAAATCAGCTGGATTCTTATATTCTTATTAAGTTCTACAACCTTTATAAAATTCAAGAATATCAATTCTCAAAGCCTCATGAATACCATACCCTTGTTTAATTATCTACTTTAATGTATTCGATACTTCTAAATTATCATCCTCATCAAAACTTTTAGCCTTTTTTATTCTAGGTTGTTAAACCTAATATTGTTCTTAATAATATTGTTACTGTTGATTCATAAATTAATTTATTATTAATAAATAAGAATCATTTATATGAATTAATTAAGCACGCACCCTATGCAATTAGATAATAAATCTATCTGTTGCAATATATAAAAGATCAATATGATTTTATTGATTGATAATTAGTATGTTATATTAATAATAATTTAACAAATTTATTATTATCAAAAACCTCACTTTTTATTGTATTCAATAGGCAATTTTTCAAATTATAAAACGATCTATTATAGAAATTAATAATTATTACATCCATTTAATCTTAATTAAGGAATTTATCTAAGGCCTTTTGATAATTAGAATCATTTGGTACTTTGGATAATATATTAACCATGATTGTGTCTACTATTTTAATGGCATTCAACAAATGTGGATTAGCATCCTTTGAATATGTACCTAAATAATGTTACCAATCTTGATAGGGATGGAACAAAGCCACAATGATGGCAATGGAAATATACTCAAATGAAGTTTATTAAGTTGACATAAGGTGTGAGTATTGAGACACATTACAATATATGATGGCTGTCATCATGATGGGTATGAGTTTAAGATTATGTTCATATGTACTTGCACCAGCATCAACTGATAAGTCATCTTATTGAGCCATTCTGAAGATTAATCCTTTGAGATCATTCAAAAGTAACCAACATTTCGAAGTGATCTTATTTTTTAATATCTTTTCACACCTCTTGAAATAGATTTCCAAAGTTTATTCATAATTATTTCCATTTTTCAATGGTAAAAAGTTATTGCATTTGCAACCATTATTCTTTATGGCACAATCCCAAAATATTTCATCATGTGATTTTGGTTATTCATCTTTTTAAGACTTTATGGCACAGTCAACACTTGCTTTCTGACAGGACGAGTGAATCACAGTGAAATAAGTCACACTTTGTAAACCATATGTTTCTTATTTTTACATAGACAAGAAGGCTTTTTCTTCTGGAATTTGATATGGGAGAGAAAATACATAAATTCCCAATTGATTTGAACTCAATGAATAACCTTCTTTGCAAGCTACACATTATAATCCTTTCTCTATTTATAGAGATTATATTTTTTGATTGTAAGTTGACTTTTGAAATTTCTTCATTATTTATTGTTTTTTATTTTTATAGCTTTATTCAAATTTCTATTCTTTTTCCATAGTTAGTTTTTCTATTGTAGTTTTTAATTCTTAAATAATGTATTGCCCATCATCATTCTTAATGAAATTGATACAATCATTACAAACTTTTGATAATTCTTTCACTACTTGGTTATGATTATTAGAGTGTTAAAAGATTTATTGTATAAATCCAATTTCATTTAATAATAATTGACACTCTCTAGATCCAATAGCAACAGAAAATACTATTTTCAAGCAATTTGCATTAGTTTCACTCCAGACTTCAAGAGATTAGTTTTGTAAATAAGATTCGATAGCCATCTAATAGATACCACTTTCTAGGGTTGCTTCTCTTAATTTCTGATAATGGGTTGGAGTAGCATGTAATATTGATCCAAAGAAAGCCAATTATTGATTGTTCCATTCAAATTTAATGTTCCTCTTAAAGTGTTCAATCAATGCTGATATTGGTTCATGCAAATCTCTAATTATTAATGGAATTATTTGAATTAATGTCTTTGATATTCTCTAAGTTGGATTTGATTCTAAATGATTGATAACCTAATAAAGGAGTGTAACACTTTCTTTATCATGGAATTTCAATTCAAATGGATCAATATTTTCACTGAATCTTCTTCTAGTTTAAGTGGTTTATGTTAATAGATCATCAATAAAATCTAATAGTTTTTCATTTTCATTGGGTTCTTGCAAGTAGATCTTTACCAACACGACTATCCCTTAACAATTGATAATTTGTTGTTTGATTTGGTTCGATGAATTGCACAGGAATCTCATTATTCCCACTATCTTTTACACAGTACTCATAAATCTCTTTCCTTCTTGTATTAGATTGTTAATAAGGATAAATAAGATTTTTAGATGCTAAGGTTCAATAACACTTGATATTTATTTCTCTAAATATGATTTCTTATCATCCACTAGACTTGGTACATAAGGTAGGTCATCATGATTTCCGACTCCTTAGATTGAGTAATTGATTTCCATTTATATTTTCTATTAGATAAGCTCCTTAATCTTTTACTTTTCCTTATGATTTTAAGGATCCTACGATATGGCATTCATTGACAGTATCTTCTACCCATTCTTAAATTGCTTTGCCTTTTCAGGGATGTAGAACTATTTGTATACTAACTCTAAATCAAGACTGGTGTCATTTACGATCCTTTCTTAAATAATTAAATCAAATTGGGGCTCCAATCCTAAATCTTTTTAAGCCATTTCTTTCAATTGTTCTAATCTATTAAATAATACAATGGAATAATATACGTTTCAAAATTGAGTGATGAGTACTCTACCTCCTTTTAATAAAATTATTGATTGGTTTTATATGGCCAGATTCTAATCCTGAATTCCAACTTCTTAAACAAAAGATTATGAATCATTTATGATAGTCTTTGGATTTACTGATTCTATTGATTTTCATTCAATAATTAGAGAATGAAGTATTTAAGAATTTCAAAATTATCATTAATCTGCATATTCTAATACAAATGATTGTATATCTATGAATGATAAGATAAAATTACTTGATTTATTCTAGCATTGTTCTAACCAATATGATTAAATAGCTTATCCAATTCAATATACCATTTCAATTGATCGTTGCTAAGAATATTCCAACATTTCTAAATCATCTCAAAGCATTTCAATATTTTCTATGATTCCAATTTCCTATAATTTTCTTTAATAAATCCCACCAAATATTCAACGACTGCATCTCCTGCTGTCTTTATCTTGATCTCATCAAACAGCTAATAGAAAGATGTATCATTAGTGTATTCTAACCCATTTAAGAATAGGTTCAATCCTAAGATCTCATCTACTTTGCAAACACTAATAACCAACTCCCTTAACTAATCCTAAACTTCTACATTCTTTATTAAAAATAACTAACTAATAATATTATCCTTTAAGCAAATACTCTCTACTTTTATATCACATAACAATTGTTGAATCTAAGTGATCTATACCTGATTTAAAGTCTTCAATATTGCTATAATGATGTCATCTAATTTCAATTCCTTACATCTATTCAAAAAGTGGGTAATAAACTCCATCTTATTCTCTCCCTTCAAATACAATTGGGCCTACAAACAGAACTCCTTGTAAACATCCTCATTATTTGCAATCTAATCTAAATCATTTACACTATATTTTATTGTTGGCTTGAGTAATTTAATAGCTGTTTCCCTCTCTTTATGAGTGACATTATTCGAAAAGTACAGTTTTCTTAACAATGATTCACTCACATTCTCAGCTGAACATAGCACTCTTCTACTGCATTCAACACATTTTGAAAACTAACACAATTCCCTCTCATCTTCCATCCCATTATAAAATTGTCTCACTCTTCTGCTATACCTTTTTGATAGAATTGCTGCTTAATTAAATTCCTTATACGCATCCTTCATCATTTGGATCATTTAAACCTTAAACTTATACTAGGATATAGCATTATAATATTCCATCAACTTTTCATAGTTCTACTACTTCACCTATTCTAAATCGGATATTATGTTATTTATTTATTGTACTTCTGATTCATTTGTAATTGGCTCAATATCTATCACTGGTTTACAAGAAAACGATATTTAAAATGATTTCCCTTAACATCTTGGACATTCTTCTACCTCTCTTCTAAAAGTGCTGCAAATACAAATATTTGAGTGTCTCTCTATTTCTTGTAGAGGGTACTCCAACGTTATTGATTGCGCTATTATTGGAGGTTTGAGCTCTTATGAAAAAGGAATGATTTCCTCTCCAGGTAAATGAATTCTAATGCGTCCCTAAATCTCTTCTCTCATGTCTAATTGAATCTCAGATATTTCATAGATCTTTGAAAATTGATATGTGATGATTTTAGACTTTGCCCCATTTGAAATTGGTTTCTTTATCTATTCAATCACATCTGTATGTTTGTAGCATGAAAAGCAAGGTTCCATCTAAAGACAATTGTAAGTGAATTCTTTATCGAAATATTAGTAGATGAATTGAAATAACTCATTATTTTCATATTCTAACACATGATTAAGGCATTGCTCAAAAATTGTATAATCTTTTAAACAAATCGCCAATTATTGTTAATTAAAATCTGAGTAGATAATATCACTCAACTTGATATTTTTCGATTACAAAATACGCCATCCAGCCTCTTGATCAATATCTACCAATTGTAATAATTCTTAGTTATTCATTTGAGTTGAAATAAATAATATAAATTTTAATTAATGTTTCTGAATAACACTAAAAACTAGTTCAGAACAAAAATTCGAACCCTAAAATAAGGAAATTATGATAACCCAAAAATAAATAATAAATAAAATATCTAATGCTATCTCTGATAAAATATGATATATTTATTATATTTATTTTATGTTTCTATGCTTTAATAATTAAATTATACTTAAAAAATTTATAGAGAGAATCAAAAAAATATTAATTAAGGCTTAGTTTGTTGAATTCGATCAAATTATTATTTAATGCAACTTAATAATATACTTTGCCATTCAAAAATGCAGTGTAAACATTATTCATACAAAAATTCAATTTGAAAAATACCTATGATAAATTTTAAGCAATTGTTAAACGATCCTGATCTTGCATATTACCAAATCTATGATAGAGTCTTATTTAAAAGTTTGCCAATTTTCGATTAATTTATCTTAGAGTTTTAAAGGTTGGATCCTTTTTACAATTAAGTCGATTTAGAAATAGTATTATATCAATTATGAGAACAATAAACTCAATAATATTTTTGAATATCAGCTTAAATTCAAATTAAACAAAAACCATTTATTATATTAATGTATCAATATCAAACGTCCCTTAATACTAATCTTGAAAATGAGTAGAGTTGATTTAGTCAGACATGAGAAGGAATAATAATTTACATTTTAGAGTTGAATCTAATTTTCGGAATCCATAGTATTTTTTATATTCATTAAAACTTATATTATAAGATATATATAATTTAATTAAGATGAATCGGAAAAAATAGTTTAATCAATTAATTTTTGGGCTCACAACTTCTGACTTTCTTTATTTTTTTGCTCTTTTAAGCAAATCTTTTTTGGAATAAACTCTTCTTTAGCTTGAGAAGTTGAGTTTAAAATATATCTATCCTTTGTTGGGTATTGCAAGAGATATAGTTTGATTTTCCTATAATTCGATGGACAATTCAGATTGGTTAGATTTTGAATTTTAGAGATAACTTTGATTAGGTTATAGAAACTGTTTCGATTGAATTCTTTTTTTATTATATTCTGTCGTATTTTCAACGTTCTTTTATTTAATATGGTCAAGTGAAATTCCTGAATAGTTTGGGTAAACAGGACTCGAGTTGGATTGCAGAGAATTAATACTAGAATAGGAAGAAACGGAGCTAATAGAATCTAAAACCTTTTTCGGATGAACCAAATAAACACCTTGCTGAAATCCATTGTTGAAATCGCATTAATTTGAAAGCAGAGATGAAGTATCATTATTTGAAGTTCTTATGCAAGAGGATCCCATGTGAATGAAAATTAAGTTTTAATTTATAAATTATATGAAGTAAAGAGTATCACATATGCAAAAATGAAGGTAATTTAAATCCCTATAATTTGGCAAATTATCTGAAACTAAGTAATGGACCAGCAGGATTAATAGTATCGATATCATTTTATTTATTTAGGTGTATTTTTTTAAGATTGGTTCTTTCACTTATTTGACTTAACAAATTATTTGTTGAATGCATTAAGTTATTAAATTTTTAATCACTATCATTTTATTTATTCATTTTGAGTTAAAAAAAAGAGGTGATTCTATCGTTACGGAGTTATTTGTTGTTATCAAATTTTTTTAAATGAATTCTTTATTTTTGAATAGAATCTGAGTTGTTTGAGCCATATGTGTATTTTTTATTGCCTGTATTCTTTGAATCCACTTAAGAAAGTATTGTTTCACTTCCTTTTGATCTCTATAATCGATTTGTCATTGATTGAGATCTTAATTTCGTATCCGATCTTTCAGTTTATGGATGATTATCATAGTTCAAACTAATACAATTGAATGAATACTGATTTGATGAAATCTTATGAGCAGGTTTAAGATTAGCGAGGTTTTGGGGATTAAATTCAATTTATAGACAATTTGATTAAACTTTATCAAAGATTTGTTGTAGAGATATGGCTCTTATTTATTTTCTATTCTAAATGAATGGGAGCTCAGAGTTCATTTAGGATATCTTATACTTCTGGATTCCCCCAACTAAATTATTCATTGTTTATTATCAATAAATATTGAAATAAAATAAATATAATAAAAGTATCTACGTCATAAAGATAGTTATATAAGCAGATGCAAAGATTTCAATTTAATATCATTAAATTCATATTATATAATGAAGAGTATCTTATTGATAACACTATTGGCCATCACTTTTGCAGCAGATCCTGAGTAATGCTTAAAAGAAAGATGTCCAAATGAATATGCAGCCTGTCAAAAAGAAGTGTTTGGTTGTGCATCTGCTGCCATGAAATGTAAGAACTAATGTGGTGGTGATGATGCTGAATGTATGTTAAATTGTGCCTTGGCTTCCAAGAATGCCAAACTTATAGCATTGTATGAAATTCTTCTATTTTTAGAGCAGAATGTGGACATGAAAATTGCTAAGATGTTGCTTTCACTTATTGTGATATTTAAATTTGTGTGGAATCATTCAAATCTGAATGCATGACATCATAAGGACTCAAAGCATACTAATGTGCTGCTACTTTCCTTTAAAGACATTCAGAATGCCATTGCATAACCGAACTTTGAACAGAAGATTAATACAACAAGATATTAGTATGAATACTATGATTTATATCAATATCTTTAAATTGAAATGATTGTTCCAAAATTAGTCTATTTTGATTCATTCATAACGTCATCAAGGTCTTATAAATATAATCTTTATTTTACAAATAGATTATTTATAATTATGAAGTCATTCATCTTTTGTTGTTCTTTTGACATTTGTAGTTGCATAAGATGATCTATTAGATTTACAAGTGAAAGTAAAATACCAAAATGAAGTTGCTGATTGTGACTTACTATGCTATTGCATTTACCAAAATTGTTCAAATTAGAACTCTTCTAATTATGACTGTTTTATTGATTGTGCAATAAATTAGGGAACTAATTAGTATTGCCTTTGTAATTTTATTATCTTTCTTGATACCTTAATCATAAAAATATTTTTTAAATTATTATACTATTCCATATTATTTAACTATTTGTTTGATTATGAATCGTTACCTTTACTTAAAAATAATTCTAAGAACCAACCCTTTAATAAAGAATATTTTAAAAGAACAAGAAATATATTCTTCGTATAGTTCTTATTTTCTTCTAAATTAATTGAATTAATTGCAAATAAATTTAAAAATCTTTTTTAGTACAGCATTATATAATATATATGTATAACAATATTACATAATCTATAGATACATAAGAAAGTTCTTTAACTGAAGTAATTATTATAAATTAACTGCTTTGTTGGATGATGAATTAGAATTTGAAAAGTGTAAATGGAATACATAGATAGCCATAAATTTTCAAAGAATATTTATTAAAAGGATTAATGAAAGAGTTAAATAATTATTCTATATTAAAAGACATTTCATGAATAGACTAAGATAAATAAGAATGATTATTGAATAAAATATGACTAATAGATAGACTTGACAGAGAGAATAATGTTTAAAGATTCACTTCAATGGTTTTAATTTATTAGAGTAATTCAATTTATTGCTTTTTGCATATCTTGACATTTGTCTCCTCTTTTCCCATTCATAGTTGCTGTGGAAGACGACCTTGAGATGGCTTTCAACATCCATATCAAATACTATGTCTTTATTGCCAAATGGTTTATTGTAAACACCTGCTATTGTTTATGTGGAGGAGAGATGATGTAGGTTCTTGGCAAGAGATTCAAATTCAGTTCTTGCCAATTGTTCTTGTCTCACTTTCAATTATTAATTTTCATCAACTTCCACTTTCTTTAATTCTTCTAAGAAGTCTTGATTTTTGGTTTTTAAGAATTCCAAATAGGCTTTCCTGGTAGACCAATTGATATAATATTTTCTGTAATGATAACCTCTGAAATGTCTTTGGATCTGAGTTGCATGATAACTGAAATATTTAATATTCCTCTCATTGTATCTAGAGTCGTTGTTTCGTTTCATTAGCATTCTAGCTATATATCCACGAGCAAATTTCTATATAATAACAGTTGACTATATAATCAATTTAATACATATCTGATTTTTATATAATGAACTCTTAATTTATGCATTTTATGCCAGGCCTAAATTCTGGTGGAAGCCTTGATCTCAGTCACTCTATTCTCACCACTCAACTTGGCCTAATGGTAATACAATTCCACAATTGACTGGAAATTATTCTAGATAAGCTATTGGTATTGCATTTATAATTATTATAATTAATAATAAATGTTCATAAGTCTTACATTAAGGACTTTAGTTTTCTTTATTGAAAATCCACAAACAAAATAATTTAAGGACTTTAATAGTTAAATCTAAGTCTTAACCAAGACACAACTTAATAATATTTAATATGAAACACCAATCAAACTCAGAAGAAGAATACATAGCAAATGTGTTATCTGCTTTCCTTAAGATTCGATAATAAGAAGAGAAAAATATCGCAATACAACTGACTCAACTATTGCAATCATACAAGTAGGAGGACATAAAACAATTAAAAAACCTTAAAGTGGAGCAACGAGAACTAGTAGGTCAGATGAACTTAAACATAAAATAGGAACAGCATAAATCTAATTCTAATGAAAATACCTAATAACAACTTAAAGCTCTTAAGCCCTCCTACACTAATAGTGAGAAAAAAGGAGACAAATATACAGAATATGGAATCTTGGAGGATGGGGCTTATACTTGTTTAAAGTGTTAAAGCAAAATCAAAAGAACTTAGGATCTGCTCAAACACTGGACTGTATAGCATGGGAGGTAAGCTATACCTAGGAGAAAACGAAACATGATAAATGAGGATACTTAATGCATCAAAAAGGTATCGTAAGAGAATCCTAAATTAGAAGCCTGAATTTGAATTATGAGTTCTCTATAAATAATTTAAAAATATATTATTAATTTAATTTAAATAACTAACAGATGTCCGCAGCTTAAACTCTTTACAATGCTTAGTGCTCCAATAATGATCATAAGGCACAAATAACTAACTATTGTGCCTGTATTGACTGTTTGAGACCTCTCTGTCCAGAGTGCATCTAAGAACATTACCAATTTCATGTGTAGGCCAAGACACCGGCTGCTATCTAAAGTATTCTCAATACAAGAACTAATTGCGAAAGGAAAATTGGAAAAGCAGTTGAATAATTGAAAAAAGTAATTAGAATAGATCTATATCATCTAAGGAATATGAGTAATATGATATTCAATATTTTTTTAATCCTGATGAGATACTAAATTAGGAAATCTCAAGGATGAATGAGGCCAAATAGTAGATGATTGAAATCATACATCTCTTTTTTAAATAGATAGAAAACCTTCTTGAAACTAAAGTCAAGGAAAATTTATTAAAAGTAAAATCACATATTGAATTTCAAGGTTAAAAATATCGGTGGTATTTTCCAAAGAATTTAAACCGTGATAGAATAACTAGAAATCTTAAGAAACAATCTTCTTACTAGCCCCGACCCTTTCTCACATTTTCATAAAGCCTGTCGATTAGATGTTAAATCTTTGCTTGATCGTTATAAATCTGATTTGAAGAAATCAATTAAATCCAAAGAATTAGGTATCACTATATATTGAATAATAAGATCCAATAAATGTTCACATTGACGAACATAAACTCTTCAATCTTAAAAATGAGTTAAGTAAAATTATTATAATTCAAACGACTGATCATGAAGAAGCCGGAGATAATGTTTCAGTCTTATCTAAAAACAAGGATTAGAGCATCAATTACAGTGTACAAGGAGTGTATGCACAGTAGACAAATAATCCTTAAGGTGGACCTCCCCATTTTTAATAGAAGCCAAGCAAACAATAAATGAGTAGTCTTGGAGATAATGATGAACCATAATATGGAGCAATTTCAAATTAAGACTTTTAGATTTCTAGACCTAATTATTTTGTGGGTCAACATAAATTCTTACATTTTATTATCAATAAGGCTAATGTGATGAAGATCTGCAATTTAGAAACTAAGTAATGGATGACTTTTGAAATTGATTATGAAGTCCCTGAATTTCATAGATCTATTGTTGCTCCAAATGGTGATATCTATATAACCGGAGGATTGATTGACTATAAAGATAATAGAAAGGAACCTATTGTGAGAAGATATACATTGGATGGCAAGATGTAATAAATTGGGTAACTGTCAAATCCGAGATCATCCCATTCAATGGTCTATTGCAACTAAGCCATTTATATACTATGCGGTTATTAAGAGCATAGGAAGATGTCTTACAGTTTGGAGAAATACAATTTTCATACACAAAAAATGGAATTATGTGCTCCTTGTAAGACACCAGCTAATTCACCTGCTTGCTGCGTTTTCAATGATAGATACATTTATAAGTTTGGTGGATATGATTAAAATGGATGGAACCTATTAATTATAGAGAGATATGATACTCACGAAAACAAGTGGTAGCATATTGACCCTGAAATCAGCTAATAGGAATCTTCAAAATTCCAAACCATGTATCAATGTTCATCTTGCGTTTAAATTAATAAAAATAACATCTATGTTTTTGGTGGTTATGATAATGATGATAAAGGAGTCTCGTTCTCATTCCTTTTAAAAATAGATGACAAACACACAATTCATCAAGTCAATAATAAGCCCTTATTGTATCCTGAAGGATTTTGGAACAATTAAGTAATTATCATAGCTATTCAATATTAGGTTATTATTCACGACCATAAGTTGTTTGTTTTGTAGAACATAGAGGTTGATGGTAATTAAATTGATGAATTTAATAGATCCCTATTATGTTTTGATGGGTAGGGATGGAATGAATTATAATATTAAATTTCTAATTGAATTATTTAAATTTATCATATAAAATCATATCAAAAATAATAACTCATTCTCATCATAACTGAAATCTATCATATTCATAAGAAAATAAGAGAATTTACTCCAAATTTAGATCACTTCTATTGTCTTGTTGAAATAAGTTACAAATTTTTATAATCAATTAGATATTCATGAAAAATGATTAAATGGATTTATATTTGAAAAGATTTATTCTCATGAACTTTCTTGATGCTGCTAACCTTTTGCTGATCCGTTTACGAATTTAGCTTCAAATTCTTTAGGTGGAAGGCTTTAAGCTAAATTGACTTTTTCTTTTGTTTAATTTTATCTCTGTATTGTATATTGCAAATTTGATAGTTCAAGCTATTCAAGCTATTCCAACTCTCTTATTTTTTAATCATAATCGACCTTCTCTTTGATAACTTTATCCTTCTCTAATTCTACATCATATCTAATCTTATCTCTTCTGTCCTTCAACTTATGTAATGTATTTAAGTTAGCTTGCTTTTCCTCAAGTTTCCCTTATATAACCTTACTTCGAAAGGTCTCGTGATCCATGCTTCTCTATAATTTTGTTTCCTTTAGATCATGTTTATGCCAATCCCTGAATTCCTTAACTTCGGTTTTTTTTCTCAATAGCATTTCCGACTTGATTAATTTCAAAGTCTCTCTTTGAGCTCTTGAAACACCCAAGGAGAAGGGTGGAGGAGCCTCTACCTTCTACCTTATTTTCTCTTCTTTCTAAATAATTGTCATGATGAATTTGTACTTTTAATTGTAATTCTAATCTATGCTTGTAGATTTGTTCAGCTTTCTAATCTTCAGACTGTATTTTTTTTAGTATTTTTTCACGCTCTTATCTAATTTGATCGATTCTATTTTTAATTTTCAAAGTCTCTTCTTCTGCATTCTTTTTCTCAACATAAGTAGTAAACAAACTTTTATTCACTATTTTTGGTAGCTCTCCTGACATTTGTTGATTATTATTAATATTTCTATAAAATTTGGTGATGCAAGTGAGTTTTGCATTACAAATAAAACATACAAATAAATATCATATAAGCTTTTATATCTATAGTGGCAATTCTAAAGATGTTTCTAAGCTACATATTTCTGACTTTGTTGAATGTTTACGAAAGTTTCTGTCATCAAATTATTTATCAACAAGCAATTGTTAACTAATTTTCTAATGTGATGATTTTCTACTCTGAACTGCTGTTTAACTACTTGATAAACTATTGAATTTCTTTCCCAAATTTAAAAATAGTGGGCAATCAGATCGAATTTTGTCTTCTGATCCTTTCAATGCCATCATTAATGATCTTAGTTGTCTATTCTTTATTCCTTCCTAAGCTATCTGTAATGCTTCTTTTCTTTCTCTCTACCTTTGAATCTTTTTCAATTTGTAATCCCTTTCCAAATTAACTTGTTCTAAATCAAAATCTTTTATCAAGGTCTATTGTGTTTATTTGATCATTCTTATCATTTGAGATGCATACTTTTTATATTCTTTATTTTATTGATTTATTTTTAAGATAATCTTAAATATACACAATCATTTACATTGCTTTTATTTGGAGACTGGGATTTAGATAAAACATTTTCTGAAATTTCTTTATAATTAGTTTATAAATTTGCAGAAATTTTTAATTAATCCTGAACTCTTAAAGAATTCTTTTGATCTCCCTCTTCTTGTTCTTGATCCAACTCAAGAATACATTAATTATGGATGGAACTTTACGATTAGTATTTCATACTACTATCTGGTTACGTATGATTAACATCTAAGAGTCCTGTATATTGAATATAATATATATACTTATTATGTTTAAAGTGTCTTCGATTTTGGATACGTGCTTCAAAGGAGATATGGAGTATTATGATTCTAAACTCGTATCTTTCTATTCAGTTATTGAAATATTCTTAGAAATTTTGGATTGGGACATCTAAGAATCACTGTGGGCCAAAGAACTAACTTGAAGGTACTTTCTAATCGTATATGCCTTATCTAACTATAATTCTTTGGTCCTTTTCACCTTTCTGTTATTGACTTTATTCTATAAGTGTTGTGAAAACAGGTAATTAGAATGTTCAATTTATCCTTTCTAAGGGGATCCTGTGGTTTTTATGGAAATAGCTGGAAAATAATGATGCTATTTTTTCTGGGGAGATAAAGATATTTGTGAATTTTAGGATTAACTCATTTTTAATTCTTAATTGAATTAAATAATTAAATAATTTCAAGAGAATATAAAGTTATCATTAACATTTAATTATAGAGTTTAAATCTTGATAAGACTATTACGAGAAATTTCTTGGTTTCTTAAGTAAATTCCGATTTAGTAAATTACTGCTCTCCTATATCTTCTTAAGAATCAGAATCTTCTCTTATTATTTTACAGAATTTATTTCCACTTCTTATGGCTTATCAATCGATGGCAGACAACTATTCAAACTCAATGATCTTTTCTTTTTATTTTTTTTAAAAGAACTTAATTGATCCTCTAATTCCTCGCTTTTTTTAAATGCTAATTACACATGTCTGTTAGATGGTTTTGATTAGAGTAATTTTACTAATCTCTCTTGCTCCTTAAACCTCAAAGACTTTATTATTTCTTGCTTTCCATTTTCTCTTTCTTTCGATCTTTAATATTACTGCTCCTTTTAAATCCTTTAAGCTTGTTGAATCTATTCGGTTACTTCGCCCACAAGATGAAGTGACTTTTATTTCATTTTTTTCAATATAGAATCAGAACGTTATCTAAAAAACCAATCTTCTTGCTCTCTTATTTTAGTGAAAATCTAAATTTATATCTAAATTTACTGATACTTGGCTTTTCAATGGTTTTGGTCTGCGTCTCTTTTTATCCCTCGGTTAATGAATTGTATCACAGACTATCAATTGATTTTCTTATATCTCTTTATTAATTTCTTTGATTGTTTCATCCCAACATTTCTCGTATAACTCTTCAGATTTGTCAGTTGATTTTCGATCTTTGCTAGATTGGTCTCTAAGTTTTGCTTTCATTTCGTAATTCTCTAAAATTAAATTAAATTTACATCTAATTTTACTGATTTATTTTAGATAATATTTATTTTATCTGGCAATCTCTTTCTTCTTTTATTTGATTAATTAATTTATATTGACAATCTCTAAAGCATTTAATTCACTTTAATCTGAGGTTTTATTAAGTTAACTCTATGCACTTATAGAGCAATTATCTTTCGACTGATTAGCTTAAGCAACCTGATAGTTCATAGTAATGTTATCCTAAGATTAATTAGTCTGCATTTGATTTTATTTTGAGATTATCTGTTAAGACTTACATCTATTGGCTCTATTCAATAAAACTGTCTTATTGATTTCCCCATTATCAATAACGATAGGTTAAACAGATGGTAGATATAATTTATTTATTTTCTCTGAATATTTTTTCATTGGTTTTGCAATTTAATCACTCATATAAAAATTAATATTTCAATTTAATTATTAAGTAACACTATCAAAAAGATTAATCACAATTAGTAGTTAAATATTATACCTAAAAATATAAATAGAATGGTCTCGTTTCTCTTAAACTGATTTTTAATTAAAATGTTAAAATGCAATCATCAATTTAATTTTTTGTATATAACTATAAATTATCAAAATTATAGACAATATTCCATCTACTTTAAAATTTTAAATGGAACTAAAATTAGCATTTACAACAGAAACCATATATTGATAGATTAAAAATATTATTTTAGAAACAACAACTAGCTTATTCTTCTCTTGCACTAATGCAAAAGGATTACTAAAACATTAGAATAGTGTTAAAAGACATAATTATTTCAATAGTCAATTTTATCTATAAAAATGTATTTGATAATAATGATAAAATTAGAAAAGTTAGAGAATTTTATCAGAAACAAATATTTAAAGATATAAATTATACTCTACTTGATATATTAACATTTCAATCTTGATTCTGATTATTTGAAACAAAAATAAATATGGAGAATTGAGTATTAAGTTATTTCTGATTTTCGAAGAGAACATATAAAGGGTATCTATTTTATTAATATATAGCCAAAATGGATTAGATTTAGTCGAAATACAAATTTATATTATGAATGAGATGCCTATTAAAATTCTTATTAAAATATTATTATACCTTAGTATAAGTAATTTTATACTGATAAGGCATATCTACTGTTGAGATGTTTATTATGCAAAGAATATATATATATAATAGTGTATAATTAGATCTTGTAATAAATATTTTAATGAATTGCTTAACACATAGTGGTGTTTTTAAATCATTATGGACTCGTCCATTGTATAAAGCAGGCAATTTGTATACTTGGGGTGTTCACAGTTTAGGATGTGGAATCAATCATGATTCATAGAGTGATCAATTAAAACCAAGGAGAATTGATGCTTTCAATGGCAATGTCTAAAAAGTATATCCAAGTGAATACTTTACAGCTGTGATTACAGGTATTGATATTTAAATAGATGATAAGATAATGGTGATTTGTATACATTTGGTAACAACAATTATGGATAATTGGGATTGGGAAACACTGAAGAACAATAAACACCATAACTTGTGAAATACTTTAGAGATAAGGGATTAAAGGTTGTAGATGTAGCATTGGGATCAAATCACGGAGTAGCCTTGGCTTGTAATAAATATAAATAATATGACAGCTGATGGGAATGTTTATACTTGGGGAAGTGCAAATAATTCATTTTTAGATTAATTATTATGCAGACCTAATGGATTAGGTGATAATTACACCAATAATCTCCTTTAACCATAAGTTGTCGAGAAATTGGCTGGATCAGCTAAGGGTAAATTTGTGAGTGCTGGCATTAACTACTCAATTGTAGTAAATGAAAACAACCAAGTCTATGTATGGGGAGCTGGCAAAAGAGGAGAACTCGGTAATGGATGCAGTTTGAACTTCAAATATCCTGAATTGAATCCCATTTTTGAATAATTAGCTAAATCTGGCTACACAATCTAAAAGATTAAGTCATGCTTTGCTGGAACATTGGCATTATTAAGTAATTGCTTATTATTAAAATCTATTTTCAGATGAAGGAATTGTAGTAGGATGGGGAAGAAGTTATTATGGTTCTTTGGGAGTCAGATAATAAGAATATGTTGTCACAGATTTAGTAATAATAATCTTTAATCATAAGGAAAATTACTCTCCCACACCAGTGAATTTGAAGTATTTCCAACCAAACGAAAAGGTTGTGGATTTCGATTTAGGATATAATCTTTCTCTCTTCCTAACTGATTAGAATAGAATTTATCTATCAGGCTATGATGAGACCTATGTACCAAGACCTATCGACCTTCCAAAGGATGAGAAGATTCTTAAATTCTCTGCTTCTAATAACAGCTTTGCCATTTTAACTGGTATGTGAAGGGATATATTAATGTTAGATAAAAACTTCTACACTTCCAATGAGTACGTAATTCCTCAATAGAAAAGGAATTTGGGATTCTTGTTCAAAAGTCAACCAAGAGAATTGTTTGAGTCTACTAATATTGAACAATTTGGAGGAGGATATAGGGTCAGATATGCAGTAGTAAATAATTGATATAATGCCTACATCTAAATCAATATAAAATAAAACATTATTTTTTTTGTCATGGTATTATTACGAATAAATTTGAAAAAAAAATCAAATAAATTAAAAAGGATATAATTTAATGGGTAAATAATATGCAAGAGAGCCAGCTGTTGCAAAAAATTCAGCCAAAGCCAAAGCAAGTGATTTGAGAACTCATTTCAAGAATACTTATGAAGTAGCTAGAGCAATCAAAGGATAAACACTTGCTTAAGCTCTTAAATATATGCAAGACGTTCTTTAACACAAGAGATGTGTTCCTTTCACAAGATTTAATGGTGGAGTAGGAAGAACAGGTTAAGCTAAAGAATTCGGCAGATCTCAAGGTATTTGATTTGATTAATTGATTCTTAGGTAGATGGCCAGAAAAGAGTGTTAGAATTGTGTTATCTCTCTTATAAAACTTGGCAGCCAATGCTCAAGTCAAAAATTTGAGTAACGAAAAATTGATCATCAATCATGTCTAAGTCAACAGAGCTTAAAAGGGAAGACGTCGAACATACAGAGCTCACGGAAGAATCAATCGTAATTTAATTATTTATATATTTTCAAAGCTTTCCTATCATCAAATGCTCACATTGAAATTTGGGCTGCTTAAAAAAGATGAAAATGTTAAAAAAGAAGCCAATAATAAGGTTGTCGCTCGTTAATCAAGAAAACAAGCTGCAAGATCTAAATTAGCTATTGGAGCATGAGAATATATTAATATAAGTATATTAAAATAAACAAATTGAACAATTAATGAATCTCTTCATTTATTCATATTACTCAATTCTATTATGTTCCCAAAGTTGGGAAGTCATCTGAATTGATTGGTTTCTATTTAACCAACTACTTGGGTGTTTTTTGATTAACACTTTTTTGAACCAATTAATACTATTATTGCGATTCCCCTTTTTAAAAGTCTTACTATTATTACTGATAAATCATTACGTTATTTTATCTGTTTCCATTATTTCTATCGAATCTTCCCTTCCCTTTTTAATTCTTGTAATCTTCATTTTGTTATATCTCCTACTATCCATAATTTTATCGGCCTTTCCCTTTTGAAAAACCAGAATGTTTATTGTCCCTATCATGCCTCTCTTCATCCCTTTCATAATCATCAAATTAATGCGACTTTTTATTTGATATCATTGCACATTTCTTCAAATTTAATTATTTATGAAATTCATCTAAGTAGTTAATGCTTTGCATCATAACAGAGTCAATTTATAATTTAGATTTATTGTTCATCAAATAAGTGAATATCTCATCTGCACATTATTCGCTCTGACATGTCAATGTTAATTTAATTAAACTTTTATCTGCCTAATAAATTTCTTCTTCAAACTATAATTATTCACTATTCTATCCCACATTTTTAAGTGATTCCTTAATGCTACTAATGTTGGATGCTCCAGATTTTATTTGGATTCTCTTCCTCAAACTACGAAAATATGGTCTTATTAATAATTGACTGTGATCAAAGCTCCATAATTAATTATCATACTTTTTCAGTATCTATATTTATGAATTATATCATAATAATACAGCTGTTAAGATCAAATGATATTGCTTTCTGTCATTCTATTCATTTTGCACATACTTATTCTTTATTGAATTTTCTCTCTAAACTACTACATATTATAACAAATAATGATCTGGTTTTGCAAGATCCGTTTCGAATTTTCTTACTAAATACTCATTGTTTAGCAAATTGTCATATTTGAATAGCTCAATCATCTATAAAATTTAGTATCAATCATTACAGCATTTTCCAGTCTTGAGAATTGATCTTCATACTAAAAATAATCTAATTATCATACCTTATCTGATATACTTTCGAGGGAAATCATACAAATAGATATTACTTTTATTTAATTTCACTTAAAACATATTCAAATATACATTATTTAACAGAGTCTTATTGTTGATAAGCAACATAATGAAAGAACAAAGAAATATAAATAATTAACTAAAACATAAAGCTTCACTTCTTCTTTTTTTTTGCTTTAAGTTTAGCAGCCTTAGCTTTGGCTACTTGTAAATCTTCATACTTTTTCTTAACATAATCCACATATTTGCACATTCCACTATCATCTGGGTCCATTTCCTTGAGAATATCCTTGACATCCTGAGCAGTCATCTTTTCTCCCATTTCCATTAAAATATATCTCATCTCAGCAGTTGGGACTGTGCCAGTGCTATCAACATCAAAAACGCGAAACGACTAAAATAGTTCATATAAACGGATGTGCATACTGCCATTAATTCATCTATGGTATCATCGTCTTTGACTGCTACAGTTAATTTTTTCATCATTTGCAAGAAATCTATTGTGCCTGCTGATTCAGGATCCAATTCTTTCATGTAATTGTCTAACTCTTCATCTGTAGGGTCTTGGCCCAAATATTTCAAGATATTCCCTAGAAAAGGTAACTTGTGATGAATAGTACCTAATTCCTTTGTTGACACAGTGCCTTTGTTATCAGTATCAAACTAATCGAAAGCTTCCTTGATGTCTTTCATTCTCTTTTCAGCAGGATCCATAGAGTAATGAATGTTTGAAGAATAAATTAAAATTATTATAACAAAATATACATATAAAGAATAAGTATAATTTCATATAAAAAATAGTCTTCTTATTATAAATTCTAGAATATTTCGAACACATCACTATTATTAAATTTAAAATCTGTATGAAAGGCATCTGCTGTTTACTTATTTTTTCTTTGGTAGCCACTTAAAGCTTTGCTCTGTATGAGGCAGATTCAAAGGTCGTCAAATTGACAAAAGACAATTTCAAGACATTAGTACTTGAATCGAATGAACCATGGTTGGTTGAATTCTATGCACCTTGGTGTGGACATTGCAAAGCTCTAGCTCCAGAATACAATAAGGCAGCCAAAGCTTTGGATGGAATAGTACATATCGGAGCCTTGGATATGACTACAGATGGTGAAGCTGGATAACCATATGGTGTTAATGGATATCCAACAATCAAATATTTCGGAGTAAACAAGGGTGACCCAATTGCCTACGAAGGGGAAAGAAAGAAGAATGCAATAATTGATTACCTTTTGGATAAAGCAAGAGAATTTGCATTAAATAGATTGGGTGTGGAGATCAAACCAGAACCCTCAAATGATGATTCAAAAGTAGTTGTTTTGACAGATGCCGACTTCGATGAATAAGTGCTCTCTAGTTAGGAGGCCTGGTTCGTTGAATTCTATGCTCCTTGGTGTGGTCATTGTAAATAACTATAACCTGAATGGAATAAGTTATCTCATTAAGCAGATATCCCCATTGCCAAAGTCGATGCAACTGCCCAAAAAGAATTGGCATCGAAATTTAACATTGAATCTTATCCAACCATTTATTTCTTCCCAGCTGGAAACAAACAAAACACACATAAAAAGTATGAAGGAGAAAGAAATGCTGCTGCCCTATTGAAATACATCAAAGAATAGAAACCAATCGATGGATAATCACAAAAGGCTGGCTCTGATGTCGTTAACATCAAATCAGATGACAGCTTAAATGAAGTTTGCAAATGTATCCCTATTCTCTAATATAAAAGAACTTTGTGTCTTGGGATTCTTACCAACTGATAAAGTCGAACAGGAAGATGGCGTCCAAGTCTTAAAGAAGGTACTATCATCCCTTTATAATTTTAGACTGCCTTATCCCTCACAGGAAGAGCTAATGTTGGTTGGTTCGTTGGTGAACAATTCGATGATTTCGAAGCTGAACTTAATGTAATTGGTGAAGGGTAAAATTCCTCATTAATTTTTTAGATATCCCTAAGTTGTTGTCTTGGATTTGAGTGCTAAAAAACATTATAGATTTAGAAGACAATTGACTGTTGACAATTTGAATGAATTTGTTAAGGGAGTCATCAAGAAAACTGAAACTGGACAATCATTCTCTAATTTACCTAAATTGAATGCTCAAAAAACAGATCTGTGATGTATATTATTAAGTCAAGATATATTGTCATTCTTAAATCATTTCAATTTTATTATGTTACTTATTATTTTCTGACTCATTCCCCATTAAGTTAAATTCTAATTTTGTGACTTGTCCACAATTATACTCTAACAGTTAAACATATTAATCTCAAAAAAGATGATTGAAACTATTTGACTAATTCTTCAATCTTTCTTTCTGCCCTTATTTTGATTTTCCATCCTATCCCCAATACAAATTTATTCTACTATTTAATTACAACTGAACTGAATTGATCAAAGATATTAATATAAGCTTGTCTGAATTATTTTGAATAAGGCTAACTAATTCATTTTGACCTAAATATGTTGGAATACACTTATATACAATTTTTTACTGGAATAAATATTGATAAAAAAATTTAGCTTTTTAGTACGCAGCATATTCTAAAAAAAATAGAGCTTGTTGTGGGAGCAAATTGGAATTGAATATATTGATAAAGCAAGTGCTCTTTTAGTACTCTTTAAGCCTTGATGCCTGAGTCAATTCAGATTTCTCAAATAATGCTCAAGTATTTATGATTCTATTGATAAAATATTAGCCTAATTGCAAATCACACTTAATGAGTATAATTTTATAACAATTTTTCTATTTCTCTAATGAAAAATAAAAATAATGCAAAATATTGATATAATCAGAGCAAAGAATAGAAAATCAGATGTCACCAACGTTAGTGGTTTTCAGTCTTCAACGCAAAAGACTATGCTAAATGAATACTCACTTCCATAAATTAATATCATTGTACATTCATTTGAACCTAAATTGCAGAATCTAGTTAAAGCAGATGGGGATTAAACAGATATCAACCCTGAAACAGACAGAGTAACAAAAAGATAAAATCCAAGAATTGATATGTTCAAAAATGAAATTGTTAAAGGCTAGAAAATTCACAAGATTGCATTTCGAGATCAAATTGTTGGAGAATCTCTAATTTAAATCAAGTACTTCAATAAAGAACCCTAAGAAGATCTTGATGAATGTTGTCCTTGCAATATTTTTTGATTTAATAGATTGCTCTTTTATGTGTTTAGGTCTTGAATAATTAATTTACTTTTTATCGATTTTTTTGATATCTTATTAAATATTAAAATCATTAATGTATATATATATATTCAAGATTGTAAAAATTTGTGACACATCAACAATCCTAAGAAATCACCTTTTTCCTTTACAAAATTCTTGTTATTAGTATCATTATAATAATCTCCAAAACTTCTATTGCCTTCACTTGATTAAATTCCACTTATAAATAATAAAATTTATTAAGATGTGTATTCTGGATGAGATTACATGCCAAATATTCTCAAATCTTCAGAAATAAATATTTCATTTTCAGCTGTTTTAGATGATCCATAATTAATAAATTTCTCAGGTAATTTAGTAACTATGTCACCATGAGCTTTATTAATTATTACGCTATCGATCTAAGTTAATTCTTTGAAACATTCAATCTAGAAAAAGTCATTCTTAATTGCAACTTTCTCATTTCCATAATAATAAAATCCTTTGTGCTTGATTCTATTTTTGCACGGTACAACAGTTCCTCCAAATGCTTAAGCAAGCAATTAAAATCCAAAGCAAATTCCCATAATTTTTATTTGAGTATGATTTTCATACACATTCAAAATAAAATTTTACAAACTACGAATCCAAGGCTTTTCATCATAAGCAGAACTTGTGCTGCCTGGTATTATTATAACATTTGCTTACTTAAGAGTACCCTCATCTGGATAACTTCCTTAAGTAACATTATACCATAGCCATCTCTCTTATTTCCTTCTATATATCCCATTAAATAAACCAACAGTGTCGATGTACATCTTAGGAGCATGATATCTTCCTTAATCAAAGTCTTTCACACAGAGAAAAATGATAGTTCGATAATATTTTAGGTGCAATCCCTCGAGGATAACTTATTCGATCGTGTGTTTTTTATTCAATTCTCTTCGGCTATTGAAACTAAAGAAATTCAAATCTTAGTCCGTTAATTCAATTATGTAGTATGTATGATCTTCGATCTCCCACATAGGGGCAGTTGTAAAGTACCTGGTCCAAAGGTAAAAATAGGGATTCCTATATATTTCGAGTTCCTAAGAAATTAATGAAAGAATTATACCCTAATATAGTTGTAACTGTCCTTAGCTTAAAAGTAAGCTTCCCAATTGATTATTTTCTCAAAGTCATGAGTATTTAAACTAGTTTTTGTTATATCTACTGATCCAAATTTGTTAATTAAAAGCTTTGCAGCAGCTATTGCACAAGAATTTCCATCTGATTCTAATACTGCACAGTTTAAATTTTATTGAGAATTTATCAGCAATTGCTGGCCTATATGGAAGATGAGGCTGACTTTTATTTACATTTTAAAGTATTATTAATGAATTTTGGTAATGTCAAATGAGTTTAGAATTCAATATTTCATGCTAATTGCTTACGAAATACATTTTGACAATTATCAATTATATAAATATTATTTACGTATTTCGTTACGAATTAAAATAACAATTATTTATATCATTTTATTAAATAATTATATTTACAATTTATATCATTTCTAACAAGGTACAAGTTTCTTTATTGTATTTTCAGATGTCTTAATATAAATTTGTGCTCCAATAATTATAAATTAATTGAATTAGTTATTATAAGGTCTTGAATTAACTAAGATATTTTTGTTTCACTAAAAATAGTTATACTTATCGATGTTTAGAATTATTATTAATTAATTACTAATAGATATCTTTATACATTTTATAATATAAGATTAACTAAGAAGAATATATTATTTGGAAGCATAATTGTATTGACTCTTTCATGAAATTATTTCTAATTTTTTCATAACTAAGAATCTTAATTTATACTTAGTGCTTATCTCTTCAATTCAAATTATCATACAAATTTATAGATTAATCCTGATAATGGTTTAATTCTCAAAATCAGGAGTGAATATAGATAGAATAACGAAATGAAGTTTAAAATACAATAATTTAATATAGATTTCTGATGCTCTTCTCTTTATATAGGTTATCAATCATCCATCAAACATCTATTAAATTATTTTGTAACATATTCATTAGGTTTATTTTATAAGTTTCATTGTATTTTTCAAAATATCTTATATATTATTATTTGATATATTTTTCTAAGTGTAAATAAATAATGAACCTATTTGATAGAATTTATATTAAAGTCACCATTAGAAGTATATTTTAATTACAACATTTAGAAATCAAAATTTTTCTGACGTATTTGAATTGATAGCACAAAAACAAGAAATATCAATATAATATATTAATATCATTTATGATTGCATCATTAATAGACTCAATGATTAATTAAATTATATATATATATATATAAACCCAAAATGATTAAATTTCAATGTTTATGTTTTTTTTTGTTCTTTTTCTTATTAGTTTACTCTTTATTCTAATCTGATTGTTATTATTGATCATGTTATAATTCCTATTCCTATTGTTATTGTTATTTTTAGATTCTATATTACTTTTGCTCTTACGACAGTATATTTTGTTCTATTGATGAAATGTTTGATTATGTAATAATGTGATTATATTACTATGATTATTCAATTTTCTTGATTTTACTACCTTATTTGCCTGCTATTTTGAATCCAAACAATGTCGGTTCAAAATCTACTTAGATTTATGTATCTGGCAATAATTAAAACTTTGGATGAAGATCGGGATAGGTCTAGATAGAAATTATGAAATTATTACCATTAATAAATATTGAGGAAATGATTTTCCAAAATATGCTCCATCTATATCAGCACATTTCTTTTTTGGCATGTAAACTTCTTCACATCTTGGACAAAATACCTAATTAGATTATGATGAAGAACTTTGATTCTTGCAGTTTTGAGATCTTCACATAATCCAATAGGTATCACATTGTGCTTTTCACAATATATTCGAGGGCAATGACCAAATTTTCCTTATAAAAATCGTTCGCGCATGATTGCAGATCCTTTGGATGTAAATATGAATCGAGCATGAAGTAAACCATAAATGTCAGATGCCTCCTAATAAACTTCTAAAAATCTTTTGTGATGTAAAATAAGAAAACCTTTCATCTTCCAAGTCTTAATCTTCAGGAGAAGTAGGCTATAAAATCATGCTAATGGCTTCACTAGAATTATTAGTAGTCATTCATACTTAAAGAAGTTGAATTTTCCTTTGATTCCAATTAAATTGAAAGGATCGCGAATAAAATCCTCATCCACTTCACACAAAAATTGATGATCCTCATGTGCACAAAACCATTCTATCCAACCTCCTGGATGTTCTGAATATTATGATTCCTCTTCCTATAAACTTTGATGATTTACCAGACATCTTCCAAATATTTAGTTAAAATAAAAGATTTTTATAAATGTTAATAAATGGATAAAATATTTATTAAATCATCAGAATCTCAAAAATAAATGAATAGTGAAATGATTTTAAAATTGCTAATTTGCTTAATTAACATATATAAATTATGATTCCATCAAATTTATTTCATCTGTCTGAATTTTTCTGAAAGTGCCAATGTCTTTTGATACTTTCTCCTACTCTAAAAGTATTGGTTAGCCTCTAATCGATAACAGAATTGAATTACAATCTTCGTAGTCTCCATTTGTTTCAGATTCCAATAGTTTATCAGATATTTCATCATATTTTTCACAAATTTGCTAGAATAAAGTATTCACTTTTGAGTCTTGAAATCTTTCACTCAATGCCCTACTTCTATTTTATAATTATATATAGTTGTCTTTCTCGTCCTCAAGTAATCTATTTCTATTTTGCAATCTTTCAATTTTTGTTTTGATTTCTTTATCATTTGCCTCAATCAAATCTAGTTTTATATATTGTATAGTCTTACCAGCAACAATCTCATTTTATTAAGCATACTAAAGCATTTATTCTTTCAAGTTCTTTAATTCTTGGGTTTGAGACAGTTATGCCTTTAAAGTCTATAGTTTTTCATCTGAACTAATCCATTGTTGGTATTCCGAGGGTTAAATAAGAGGCAAAATCTAAGGCAATGGCATATTTTTAATTCTATTTACACTTTCATCTATATGGAAAAGATTAATAAATTCTGAATAATTTTTAATAATTGGACTATGCTTATATTAATAAGGTGTACTTGCTTAAAATTTTAGAGTGAAGTTCCAATTAATCTTAGATCGCACGAACTAAACTTAGATGACTTGAATTATTATTCCACTAATAAAATTTTGTGTAATCATATGGAGCGTTATTGAGTGAACAAGTAGGAGGTATACCAATATTATAATTCTAATCACTAAAATAGAGCATTACTATACATTCTTATTTAGAAATTCCTTAGCATTACAATCGCTGATTGCGTATACTCATTAGGTGCTTTGACAATTTAATATTAGAATTCTTTTGCCAACGTTTGAAATAAGTCTTTTGATTGCAAATTCCCCTATTGCTATTATTATCCGTAAATATTTCCTACATATGGGGCACCCATATATCCCTTTGGTTAGCTCTAATTGTTCATTTAATTATTTATGTTCAAAATTATAAAGAATTTGAGTTTTCTATAAAAACATTTGAAAAAATCAATTTATAATTCTTAAAATAACAACATTGTAAGTATGTAGGGCATACTTTTATCTGAATCGCTTTTTTAAGAAAATTAATATATCGAATAATACATTAATGCACCTTTTTTAACTTAATTATGAATCAAAGCAAATTTTTAGTCTAAAATATACATCCAAAACAAACTTTTTTAAACAATTTAAAATTTAAAATATTAACTCGCTAGTTACTAGATGAGTAAATATATATACTGCTTGATTTGAGAATTGATTAATAATAGAGAATTTAGATTACAAAAATTTCGTCTTATTAATTTGTCTATATTAGCTATTTTGTATCCTAATTGATACTACAATAGGGCTATTATAAATGCTCCTAATGTGTATAGTTAGATGATCGAATTAAAAATACAAATTAAATCAAGATATCGCTTTAATTAATCGCTGTAGTCTAAAAAATAAATCATTTAAATAAATTTTTAAGTCCAAATTTAAGTAGGAATCTCTTAAACCAGGTATCATGTCATAAAATCGAAAGATTTACTTAATTTATGATGGAAATTTCTTAATTAATTTTCCTTCATTTATTTCTCCTTAATTAACTATTCCAAAAACGAATGAAAATTTGTAGAATTGCTAAAATATCAATATAATTATTTTAAAAAGTACATTTAATTGAAAATGTTTCCAAAAGGATTTAAACAATAATAAATTAATGAAATAATTCATAATTCTTTAATATTTGTACTTCAAATGATAGATCAAAAGGAATAAAATATACATACTCTAAAGCAATATTTTTGTTCCTAAATCATTGTTAAATAATTAAAAAATAATTTCTTGAAATTTGATTATCAATAAATTAATATATATATGTTTAAGAAAATTATTTAAGGCTTTTCAAAATATTCCCACAGGTCAACCATTCCAAGTTTACTTAAAGATCCTAGATATACCAGACGTGGTATATCAAAACCAAAAGGAGAAACCAGAATGCTAAGAAAACCTTCAATACCTGATAATATTCCAAATGCTCATCTTTATTATGATCATACCAAATTTATTGAGAATTAAAAAAACAACCCTCCTACATTAGTACTTATTTCAATATTTATAAGAAATATGAATCTACAGATTTAGAATTCAATTTGAGTATACTTAATAATGACACATATGTTCACACTTAAGATTTTAAACTTTGGAAGGCTATGAAGTAATTGAATATTCATCATCCAACTGAAGTCAAGAAGAATTGGGAATTATTTGATAGAGCTTATAGAGTAATATTAGACAACGCAAGATATTTGGATATTTACAATTTCAGATCATTCACCCAAGTTTCATAGCAATATTATTTTGATGATGAAAAAGTATGGACAACATTATACAGAATTTCAATTCAATTTTTTGTTGGTTGGGAACACTAGCAAACTCCATTATTGAGTAAATTAATTGAAAAGTAAAAAATTAAATAAATGATTTAGAACTCATTAACAATCATTTTTATTCAGCTTCAATATAATAATGTAATAGGCCAGACGATTCAAAGTTGATGTATCTAATGTTATAATTCATTTTGATTATTTGATGAGAAACCATTTAAGATTTTCTAAAATTGTATTAATCTAAGGATTTATAATAGCATAGTCAAGAAGCTTATAATAAAGTGGAGAATGTTGAGGACAAGAATCAATTAGGTAATTTCTTGTCTCATTTTGCTTTCTGCATTCAACAAAGAAAGGACATATTTAATGATGTGGATAAAGAAGTCAAGGAGAAATAGGTGGAGGAATTCTTGCATAAAGGATAGAAGCTTTGTTTAGAGTCATTTGACAAGCTCACTGCAGGGACAAAGAAAAACCTATTAAATTCTATCACTCATGCCAGATATTAATATAAACCCTTGTTTGAGAAGTTAAAATGAGATTATCAAAAAATATAATTTATAATTGTTTTATCAATATAGGTCTTATTAATAAAAATGATTTCAAAATTAGAAAGGAATCTCATTAATTAATTTAAAATAATAAAATCTTATAATAAATATCTGGAAAATGATCTATATTCTTATTGAGTATTTTATAATTAATCATTGTTAGTAATTTATAAATTATTTTTCTATCATTTAAATAAATGGTTTCATCATGTCATCTATTTATAAGGTAGTTAGAACCTTCATTTTAATAAGATCCAATTCCTTCAAATACTTTTATATGTAGGGTCCATCTGCTATGGCATAGCTAAAGTGTTTTAAATTAATATTAATAACTCCAGATTGTAGAGTTCTTAAGAACAGTTCAAGTAAAATTAAAGTAACAGAATTAATTAACTCATTATCAGCATCTATTTTTAATTAACCAAATAATTCTTTAGCTTTAAAGATCAGTCCATAAAAGATTATATTTTTAATTAGAACAAATTCAAAAAAAACAATCTTTTTACACTCCTTCAACAAATATGAAAAATATTTTGATATCTAAAATCTTGACTTGATGATATCACTGTGATAATTTTATAATGGATAAAATCCTTCTTCTGATATAGAATTTATAAAGATGTAAAATTAATTTGAAAACTTTTGATTTGTCAATTTCTACAAAATTTCTCTAACAATCTCTTCTGCTATTAATGGAATCATTATTTTATGCTATTTTTTCTCAGCTTTCTAAAGCTATTATAATCGACTAAATTTGAATAAAATCTATTTTGCTATCACGTTGTTAACAAAAAATAACACCTCCTAATTTGCTTTTTAATAATTATTCTAATGATAAGAGTAACTGATTAACTAATACCTTTGTTGAGAAATTTTAGTTTATTTAATTAGACAAAAACAAAAAAACACAGTGGCAAATCCATACTTTATATTTTTAATCCTCTTGTTTGTTAAAGATCTTTTTAAATCATAGATAGTATTCATTTAGATATTGGGTATCTTGATTAGATATTTCTCATACTAAGCTAATCTAAATTATCTTAATGCTTCTTTATGAGGTTATAGCTTATCATTCTTTACAACAAACTAATCTAACTAGCTAATTATTTATTCTAAAGTTGGTGATTATTTTTGTTTAATTTTATTGACTCTTGTTCTTGGTCGTAAATCTTAATCCTCATCACTTTCTAATAAATCAATTAAATTAGAATCATTTGTATTATTTATCATTTTAACATCTGAATGAAATGCTTTAGGTTATGTGTACATAGGACTCTCCTAATTAAATATTTTAGGCAGTTTGGAAGGAGTGGGTATCTTTTTTTCAATTGTGACTAATTCACTTAATAAAACAGATTAATTGGTAACTATTTTTTTTGAAGTATATGTATCTGATTAATTTTCTAAGAAAAATAGTTCCTTTTTAATTTGTTTAATTTAGTCAGAGAGTTTAGATTTTTACTCTTCCCAAATATGAATCTATTATTCAATCTAAAAGAAATGTTATTCAAAACTTGTTTTCGGATTTGTAATTTATGTTCTGAAGGATTAGTGTTTATTTAATTCAACATTAATTTTATCATACTCCTACTTCAATTGAGCCAATTTTTTGGAAAGATTATTGATATGGATCTGTTTTGGAATCGGTTTCTCAGGAATAGATTATGCACGTATTCTTTATTTCAATTGAGGTATTAATTCTTCTATAACTCTTCTTTCCTTCTCTTCGAAACCAAGGGATTTCTTTATTTTTTGAATGTGATCAGGAAGTTTGTGAAGACCATCACTTTTCCCAACAAATTAATAAGCTAAGTATTTATTCATATTATATTTTTATAATATTTAATAAATAAATCATTAGAAGGTGTATTTTATTCTTCTTCTTTAATATTAATTTATAAATAGCACTTTATTCATGATGTTGATTGATTTCATATCTACATCTAGATTTCATAAAAATATATAAGTTAACCAGACAAATAAATAGTTAAAATTCACGAAACTAAATTTCTTTCCCATTTTTAGTTATCGATTTAATGGATTGAAGTCATTTGAAAATACAGTGTTTATTACATAAGTTGATGATAAAAACATTTTATATATAGAATATTATAAATTTAACTGTTAATGCAACTACGTTAAAGCAAGAGTAGGAAAAGCATTGATGATTAAGAAATTGGATAAAAGAAACAATAAAGCACAAGAAAATCAGTTGGGCAAAGCAAGGCTAATAGAAGTGTCTCCAAAGATAAAGAGAATCATAAAACCTAGACTCTATTAAAAAATAAAGCAAAAAATATAAGTGAAACATTCAAATTGAAGGATATTCTAAAACGTAAAGAATTGTATAAAGGAAATGAGGAATATGAAGATCTTACTGCAACTAGAGCAACACCTTAAAAAACAGAGGGTTAAACAAGTAATTCTCGATTTAGCAATTGCAATTACAAACAAGAAATAATTGAAGATAATTTGAAGTAAATTATTTAGAAAATTGATTTAGCTTAAAATAAGAAATATTAGAACATTTAGAGAAAATTCAATGCATAGTTCAAAAAAATGAAAGATATATGACTCATAGATCTTAACAAGAAATCAAACGCGAAAGTTTTATTAACTAAGAAAAATCTTCAAGGAAATGCATAAATAAAGTTTCTGAATAAGATTAAAAAGAAGATGTAACAAATACGAGCAATATTTGTAATTTAAATTATATCATTCAACAACAATAATTTTAAATATCAAATTTAAAGACTAAATTATTTTGTTAGGAATAACAATTCTTAGAAAAGTAATCAAAGTATGAGTAGGAAGTGTTGTAATTAAAAAACTAAATATTATCATTAACAAGTGGAATGGAAATGTTGAAAGAATAAATACATTAACATTAATTTTAAAGGCAAGTAAATGTTCAAACAAAAAAATGAAATTTAGTTACATATTAATCAATATTGTTCAGATATCAATTATGAATTTATATTCTTTTGTAATTCTATGAAAAGTTTGTTAAGGCAAAATTTTATATATGAATAATTGTTATAATCTATTATTAATAATTATAAAATAATTTTCTTTAATTTAAAGTGCCATGGAATAGACTGATATGAACATAGGAAACAGAAATAATGATAATTCATCTTCAGAAGAAATAGATTTGGAATTATAGGATGATGAAGTAAAATAAATGGTAATAAAGTTTAGACATAGGTCAATTAGGATTGCCCTTCGGAACAATAAGTATTGAGTCACTTATTGGAAATAGGAGAATTCATAGATTATTTAGATTCAAATACAAATAAATGGGCAACTATGAAAATTGTTGATATTTAAAACTCAAATATAAGACTATAATCTCCTTCGTCCTCTAATACTTTTTGGATTTAATTTTCTTATGAAATAATTCGAAAACAGTGGATCCCTGGAGTCCCATTATAGAATTCAAAAGTTGAAGTTTATAATTCTAATAAAGGATGGTTAGTTGGTATAGTTGTCCAGATAGAAAAGGACGAAGCACTTATACATCATTAAGGATATAAGAGGATTTACGATCAGAATTATTAGCATAAGGACATTCATCCCCTTGGTTTGAACTCCAGTGAACCTGGAATAGGAAAATTATTAAAATAACAACCATAATCTCTTATGAGATTGTAACATCGATTCAATCTATATTTACAATTGTAAAATTTCTTAACCATGCGAAAAAAATACAAGGAAATGGAAACTTCCTTGCAATCAATTTTGAGTGAGTAAGGAATGCTGATTAGAGATGTTTAAGGCGATGGCAATTGTATGTTTAGAGCTATAAGTGATCAACTATATGGCAATGAAATCTATCATAAAGAATTACGCAAATTTGCAATGCAATACATCCTACAAGAAAAGGATTATTTTTAAGATTATATAATAAATGGGAATGTTGAGGAATATGTAGAATACAAATCAAAAGACGGTGTTTGGGGAGACAACATTGAACTTTAAGCCTTTCGTGAACTTTATGATATCCCAATTGAAATTTATGTGTGCAGCAAAGAACCGTTAAAAACAGGATTAGAGGCTAATCCATATAATAAAGAGTAACAATTGTTCCAATTTTCATAGGCCAATTAGATTGTCTTATCATGGAAGATCTCATTATAACTCTATAAAATTAAAAGATAAATAGCATTCAGCCTTATTAGGAGTTTTAGAAATTAGTTAATATGAAAAGCAAATGTTCGAGAAATTATAAGAACAGAAAAACAAGTAAAGTGCAAACAATAATAATAGATGTGGGCAATAATTATCAAGAGCTTAATTTGAAAATTGCATTAGCAATGAATTGGATATTATTTTTAATGAATCTAAAAGGCTATTCTAGGATCAATAACTAAAAATGTAATTTGTTCAAATTAATCTAGTGAGTAAACTGCGATAAAGGAATCTTTGTAACAACTAGAATATGAAGAAGAGGAGGAATAACTTATGGATATGGTAATTAAGGAGAGTGTTCAAGATGCACAATTTAATCAATAATTTCCTATTCAATAATAGTAAAAACAAACTTAATAATAACAGCAATAATAATAGTAATAATAACAGTAATAGTAATAATAATAATAATAACAATAATAATAACAATAACAACAACCAAATTTGGAAAATGAAATATTGAGAAAAATAATGGAATAAAGTAAATAAGAATAGGAATAATAATTTATGTAATAATTTGAAGATACTCAATTTTAAAATGCTTTGAAAGAAATAGAAAAAACTATTTATGAAGATCCCATGAATAATCCAACAATAGCCTAAGTTATGGCCATGGGGTTCTTTACGCTTGAATAGGTAGTTGAAGCATATGCAATTCATAGAGATGACCCAGATATGATCATAAATTATCTTTATGAAAATTTCTAATGATATTATAAATATTTTATTTTGAATATAAATGGATGATTAAGATAAAATTCAAGAAGATGAATGTATGAATTAATATTGTACAATTGAATCATAAAATGTTTATCCTGCTAAATTTAGTGATTAAATTCTATTTTTTTGTAAAGAATGTCTTGAATTATACACTGAGAAAAAGTGCTGTTATTTCTGTGCTTAAGTATTTATGTTTATATTCTAGGTTTATAGTGATCAAAATGAAAATTTTTTAGATGGTCAAAAATGGATTGCATGCGATTAGGAAAAGTGTGACAAATGGGTATTAAATTATAATAATAATTTCAAGACCCATTTATCTTGTGAAGCCAAAAATGGAATCCATAGTATTGAATGCTTAGTAGAAGATATGAAATTTAAATACATTTGCCCGTGGTGTAGGATTGAAGATTAAAAACAAAGAAATATGAAACCTCTTCCGAGATAAATCAACAGAAAGGGATTTAAATTCTTGGAGAAAATTCATAAAAGAAAGAATAGTACCTATGAACCTCCTCTAAATAATAATAATAATGGTCCCTCGTATTTTGGTTCAACATATACAAGTAAATCAAGTTACTTGGATGAACTCTTGAAAAAGAATGGAGGGTTTAGTTAGTAAATAACATAAGAAGAAATGCAATTAGATTTATAGAAAATGATTTCATTGGTTAAATAATGATACTACAATCTAAATTTTAAAATTATAAATATGTTGATTATCACATAAATTTTAAGTCTAATAAAATACCAGAAATGAAAAATATAATTCTTATCAAATACTCTGATACAAATGTACAACAGAAATTACTGATGTCGGCCATCTAATTAAACGAAAGGAGATTTATTTGAATATCTAATAAGAATTGAAATGAAATATAAATTATAAAATATAATTTATTTCATTAGAGAGAATGAAATCTGCGTATGCTTCTCTTAAAGATTTAATACCTTTGATGAAAAGTAGCAAGTCAAAAATAAAGATAAAACTTTAAGCGAGTCAAAATTATGAAGAATCTTGTACATGCAATTAAATGAGTTGTTTAATATGTTCTCGAAAAAGATCCTCATCAATGATTTCTCTAAAACTATTAAAACCTTCAGTTATGGTTGAACAAGGAAAGATAGAAAAATAAGGTATTACTTAACTTTAAAGTCTGATATAACGAAAATTATAAAGATAAGCATCAAATTAATTGTTATAATAAACATATTATGGTGGAAAACAAAATTATGACCCTAAAGATTCGTCTATAAATTAATCTACATGGTTATTGTCAAAAACTCATTCCAGAAAAATATCAGTGGACAATTATTCTCAAAAAGAAGTTACTTAGCTTAAATCAGCATAATAATAATCAGTTACTACAATCAGTAGGTTAGCATTTCGATTTATATATGTGATTGGAAAAGGAGGATTTGGAAAGGTATGGAGAGTTGAGTTAAAATAAGCCAAGAAAGAATTTGCATTAAAAGAAATGATTAAGGCAAAGTATATTCTCTTATATCTTAGAATTATTTAGAAAAGATCGGTTAATTCAGTAATGAATGAAAAATTTCTATTGGAGCAACTTCGTCATCCATTTATTGTCAATATGCACTTCGCATTCTAAGATAGAGAGAATTTATATCTTGTATTAGATTTATTAAGAGGAGGAGATTTAAGATTCCATATTAGTAAATTGAAAAGATTTACTGAAGATCATGCGAGTATCTAAATTAATTAAAATTAGAATTTTTCGCTTGTTGCATGCTTTTAGCTTTGCAATATTTACATTCGAATGGTATTATCCATAGGGATCTAAAACCAGAAAATTTAGTTTTTGATAAGGATGGCTTTTTGCATTTGACAGATCTGGGAGTAGCTAGATTAAATAAGGAAAGTGTTGCAAATGACACTTCTGGAACACCAGGGTATATGGCACCAGAAGTTATGTGTAGAATGGAGCATTCCTTTCCTGCTGATTATTATGCCCTTGGAGTTATTCTTTATGAAATTTTAATTGGTAAAAGGCCCTATAATGGAAAAAATAGATAAGAAATCAGAGAGCAAATCTTAGCTAAGTAGGCAACTATCAAAGAAGGAACACCTAATGTTAGTAGCTAAGCCATAGATTTTATCAATAGAGTACTCATATTACCGAATATTAGTTACTCATTCGTAAACCTTAGTAAAGATTAGGCTTTGCAGGAATTGAAGAAGTAATTCATCATTCATGGTTAAAAGGAGTTTAATGGACAAAATTGCTAAATAAAGAAATGAAATCTTTATTTATACCAGGAGTAACTTATATTTCTTAATAATAAGTGTATTGATGGTAATAGTGATTTTTAAAACCAGATATCAGCTGATAGTGAGTTAGAAGATGAATGCCAGAGCTTAGTAAGAAGAAAAAGTGTATAAAGTTTATTCGATGGGTATAAGTTTTAATGATATGTGAATATTGGTTTATTATTTAAATGGTCTAAGAAGTAACTAAATTATCTGATTAAGTTACTTCTTATGGTAATTTTAATTTAAACTTCTAAGCAAAGTAGTCATTGTATTTATGATATGTTGATGAATATAAACTTATAAAAGAGTATTAATTATTAATTACCTTAAAATTGCTATCATTATAATGAATAGAAAACCAATTTTTTTATAAGATAAGCAAGGACAATAGAGTTATCCATATAATTAACCTACTCAAATTTAAACTGGTCGATAGGCTGATACTAGGATTGCTAATATGAAAAATACTGAACATCTTTTGATGGGTAAAATTGTTATATCATTCAGCTCCTTAACATAATACACCTTTTTCAGCCTTTAGCACTGCCATGTAATCATAAGATGCCTCTTTCTTGAGTAACAAACAGGAAGACGCCAATATTGGATTTCAATAAATTTTGAAACATACCAATCAAATAGTATAAGAAAAATCATAGGCATAAGAATTAAAGTTTAAAGAATTGTAAAATCAGATCGATTCAAACAGAACTATAATTTTTGATATAAGAGGATAAAATCCGATAAATGCAGAATAGTTAAGCATAAAATTTAAATAGTTTGAAGAATCTGTAATTTCAATTTTCAATAATTTAGATCAAAACATATATAAAAAAGGCTCAGGAAGAATTAATGAATTAATAGGTTAATTTTTAAAGCGATTATTAAATAAAGTTTAAAGAATTACAGGATTAGACTGATAATAAATTAACATTTATATAAAAAGAAAACTAGTCAAATTTAGTTAAAATAAAAGAAGACACACAATCAAGAACTCCTACTCAAATTAATCTTAGTGAAGATACACTCATAAAGGATATTCAATAAAAAATTAAGGCTCTTCAATTATTATTTGATTCTCAACATAATGAATCTGTCATAAATGATTAAAAAACTAAGTAAATTTTCTATCAATTAAAATAGATAACAATTAACTAAATTAGAAAAAAATCTACTTGAACAATCTTAAAAAATTAGTGTTTAAGAAGAATAGACAATTGCTTAATTAAAGACCTTCTAAAATAATCAATAAAATAATATTTCTTAAGCAAATAAAAAACTGTACGATGATATTGAAATTAAGTTACAATAAGTTTATAATATTATCCAATAAAAAACATTTTCATAATCTGACAAGTATTTGATAACTTATTATTTAGATTAACAGAATTAACTCTTTAATAAGGAGATTTAAATAAAATTACAAAAGGGGTATTTGATCTACAGAATTCATAAAAATTACTTTCTTAGTAATACTAAGAATTAACTCTAAGAATAGATTAGCATCTATCTTAAACCTCTAAACAAGAACTTAATCTTAAAGAATTAGAATAGAAAGTGGATTAAGTATACTGAATTAAATATATTAGAATAATGATGAAAATTATAATGGTATTACTTAATTGAGATTAGAACTTTCAAGTCTAACCAAATAATTCGAGAGAGTGAAATTAGAATATAAAAATTAGTTTGACTATCTCATAAATTAATAAAATAAATCAAATGAAGAAATCAGAAAATCCCATTAAGAAATATTGTTCTCTTTTAAATAGACTGAGTAGACTCATTGGATTGATGAATATAACAAAAAAAAACCTGAAATTTAATAAGCTTAAGTCTAAGTGTTCAGTTATGAAGAGGATTCTGAAAGTAAGAGTGACCAATAAATCAATGAGATATCAGAATAGAATAATAATGTATTAAACTTCTTTATTTATTAGGATTAAATAGAGCCTGAGTTTGAAAAGGAAGCATTTATGGAAAGGTTGAAAGCGTTGAGTCCCTTTAAAAATAGCTAAGTTTAGGAAGAGAAGATAGTGTAAGTGAAGGAAGAGAATCAGGATAAGGAGATAAAAAATGATTAAAAAGAAGAAGAGGATGATAATGATAATGATGCTACTTATTAATTAGATGAAAATGGTTTCTTATTAGATGAGGAAGGAAATTATTTATTAGATGAAAATGGTTAAATGATTCAATTAAATGAAACCTAAATAGAGTATTTAAGAAAGTAAGATATGGTGTAAGAAGAAGATAATTGATAATCATAATTACTTTATCATTTAAATTAAATGAGAAAGTATATATATAAGATTATTAATTCCTTAAAATTCTTAAAACCTGAACTTTAAATTCACAACCAATAATCTATTAATTTGGTTTTGTTATTTGTACATGATGATACCACTTGTTTAATATTATAGGTCGAGATTGTAACCCATACAATTTATTAAGAATGAGGCTGGAAATTTTATTGCATTACAAGATTGGTTATGAATTTTGTTGAACAAAATTAAAAATAAAATTGAGAATTTCACTTCAATCCAATTTAAAACCATTTTTTTTTTCGTAAATTAAATAGCTTAACATCTATTCCATCTCAAGGTTCTTTTATGAGATGGATATCATCTCCAATTTAACTTTATTTTAAGATTCTGTTAAAATAGATTAGCTTTATTAATACTTGAATAATTTAATGTAATACAGAAGAGGCGAAAAAATTAAATTAGTCTAATTCTTAAGAGAATTAGTTCAGCTCTGATTTTAGCGCTAAAAATTGTGATATTATTTGTATTTTTTCTTGCTTCTTTTTCATCACCAAATGAATCGTATTTCTAAGTGGAATAATAAAAAAAGGAATACTTATTATTTTTCTAGAAGAATGGATTTTTAAATTCGTACTTCCCTTAATGATTCTTTACTCGTTTAAAACCGTAGTTATTCATTTATCGAGTAAATGAATCAATATGATTATGCTTAAAATAGTTTAAGAGAATCTAATTTTCAAAGAGTTCTTATTGATGGATTATAATACCATCGCCTTTTCCATCGAAACTAATTATTTCTGAATAAGATTAATTCTATTTAATTAATTTTATCATTGAATTACATCTAATATTTCAATCAATTTGCTCACAAATTTTTGGGGTTCTATAATTTTTAGTATTCATTAATTTTTATATCGAATTTTCTTTAAAAATTCTCAATACAATCGTGAGAATGTTGAAATTGACTTTCAATTTTATTTTCTCCTTATTTATTATATAATTCTCACAGGATATAACATAAATTTAGGAATGAATATCTTAAAATAAATTTGTGAAAATACTAATCAAATTAAAGTGAAAATCTTAATAGCTTGCCCTAAGTAATGTCTTTTATGTTACTAACTATAAATAAAGAAGGGTCAATAGGACTCCCTTGGACAGTTAAGATCAAATAAATCGTTAATAAATCAAAGTTTCACTTGATGAATAGTTATCAAGTTTTAATTATATATTTAATAACCTTAGTTATTATATTATTTCCAAAATTTCATAAAATTAAACCTAATGAAAATCTGTAATTTTGAAGAATGATTAGCGAGATTAAAGTTGGAGTGAGGATAGTCTAAGAGCTTGGTGAATTATTCGAGTTTATAAATTGAAAACCAATCAAATTTAAGTTTTGAGATTCTTAAACTAGATATAAAAAAATTATTATCTAGTATAATAAAATAACAAATATATGGTAATCTATTTATTTTATTCCTTAGTCTGGAATTGCCAAGAGTGCAAAGGGTGGAAAAGGCGGAAAAGGAGGAAAAGGAGGAAAGTTTGGATCCGGTAAGAATAAGAAGGCACCTCAATCTAGGTCCTTGAAGGCTGGACTTTAAGTACTTATTTTTTGAAAATTTAGTTCCCTGTTGGTCGTATTCATCGATATCTAAAGCAAAGAGTATCTGCCAAAAACAGAGTAGGAACTACATCAGCAGTTTACACTTCAGCAATTTTGGAATATTTAACAGCTGAAGTGCTTGAGTTAGCAGGAAATGCATCAAAAGACTTTAAAGGTTTGTAAATATCTAAATATTTTTTTAGTCAGAAGAATAACTCCAAGACATTTATAATTAGCCATCAGAGGTGACGAGGAACTCGATATTCTCATCAGAGCAACAATAGCTGGCGGTGGTGTCATTCCTCATATTCACAAAGCTTTATTCGGAAAATAAACACCAGAAGTTGGTTAACCTAAGGAATGAATTATATATATATAATAATATTAATTCATATGGGAATTTAAGTATGATTCAAATTTAATGGATGTAGAAAATAAATTCAAATTTTATAATATGATTTATTCGTTTCTTGATGAAATAAGAAACAATAATAGATATTATATTTGTCGTTAAAAACTATTAATTTAATAATTATATACGAAAATAATTTAATGAAATGTAAAATCGAAAGAAATTTTATAAACAATAAATATATAATTTAGCAATCTATCATATAGCAAATGGCTAAGAATTGGCATGTCGTAGAACAGGGGGTTATTAAATGGAGTTTGATGATTAATTTAAAGTTTCACTTCTAAAGTCAAGTCTCTCTTAATTTTGATCCTCCTCTGGTTCGGATTCTGTAGAAGAAGACGAAGACTATTTTTCGATTAACTAATCTTTATCATCGATATTCTCGAAATCTTGAGTTTGATTATTAGTTAATCTGTATTTATCTTGATATCCATTAAGATTTGTGGAAAACTCGATAAATTGTCCTATTCCCTATATGATCTGGAATTCATTGAGCAATTTAATTAATTTTGTCATTCCCATTTGGTTTCTGAGGTCTTTAAACATCAATTTATAATTGTACAACTTCTTAACTGATGAATCTATACAAGAATAGACAAAGTTCAGTTCATCATTCAGGGTAATCTAAAATAATTTGAATATGAAATACTTCAGTAACACCACCGAAATAAAGGATTTTAGCAACGCAATTATTATTTTCAAGAATATTCTACAATTCTATGCTGCAAGTTTATTTCGATTATTCTGAAAGCGAAATAGCTTATTCTGCTTAAGAATATATAAGAGAATTTTCTATGTTGGGCTGTAAAATGATAATAATATCATGAGCATATTAAAGGTATTCATGCATAATGTTTCTTAGATTGTGTTTGGAATCAATAAAATACAGATTAACAACTACAACATCAATCTTATTTTATAAATCCATCTTTAAGACCTTTAAAACATTTACATTCATTTTCTAGATTCCTCTATCTATTAAATCAATGTAGGTCTTATCAGATTCTAAATAATATATAGTTCTAGTATGACTAGCCAACTTTAGTAAAATTGAGCCAGTGGGATCATGAGCTAACAAAATTGAATTTGATTTGATCCTTTTATTAATTGTATCAACAATTGAGGGGTTGAGTAATAAGGCTTTAAATTTGGTTTCGAATTCTCTGTCTTAAACGATCAAATACACATCTTTAAAAATTTTGATAATTGATTGATGTGATTGCATTTCAATCTGGAGATTACTTTGCCTAGCTAACAGGCCACCACAACGATGAAGTAATTTCATTTCTATATTATTGGAGTTGAATTCCTTTAATATAAACAAATTTGATTACGTCTGAAAAATTAGTTTTCTGTAAAAGTGATTATTTCTCTAGATAAGAGAGTTGTCTATTATAAATTTTATGACCTTCGTCTGAGTCGTTATCATATTGTCCCTATTCGAAGTAGTCAATTTCTTGAGAAGTGGTCTAATTGAGCCAACCTTCCTATTGATTTTGCATGGATATAAGAGTAATGGGTTTGGACCTTGGGATTTCCATCTGGGTGGAGAGTTTCTGCAATTTTTGATTTGATTGGAGAGGTTCTTCTCTAACACAGCCACAAAATAATTATTGAATCCAACTTGGTTTCTTTTATTATTATTACATTATGATATTAATCACAACATTAATAACATTAATACATGCAGCATATGATGGGACAGATTATCTGAAAGGAGAGGGTGATTTTGTCATTGAATAAAATTGGATCATGAATTAGACAGAAGAATATTTAGAAACTGAATTTGTTACCGAAGGGAATGAGAAAGTAAAATTCAATTTATGAGTCTATGAAAGTTCTTAAAATTACACAAAAAGGCAGAATCAGAATTAAGTTTCAAGGACGGGTTTTATCATCTGTTTCAGGAATCCTAACCTTAGCACATCCGATTCTGGTTTGCATCAGGAAATAAAGAAATCGAAGACACAAACTTAAGATTAAAGGATACAGCCACTGATAAAACTGCAGTCTCATTTAGATGTGGATATGCAGGATTTGTTAGAGTCAATGATAATTAGATGATCACTTTCTACAATAGTTCAGTTTCAAGTGAGGCAAAAATCATTTGGACCCAAGCAGACATCTTATTGAATTGGGATACATAAGAAGTCCTGGTCTTTATGAATGAATCATATATGGGATCTGCCAGTTTCTACCATACAGAAGTATTGGAATATATTTAGATAGGTGACAAAAGTGAATGAAGTTATGCTTTATAATTTAAAACCAGACACTACAAGTTGGTGGAAGAATATTAAAGTTTGCAAAGAGAGATGTGATAATTTCGAATTTACTCAAATTGTTGTGATATGCTTTGCATTATTCATTTTATTATTGTGAATAAATGATGATACTTTGTTAATTTTAATAATCAGCATTTGCAATCATCGTCTTATTTCTTTTTATTTTATTATTAAGAGTAATTACCTAATTTAATACCACAATCCTATTAATATTCGAAATGTTATCATACTTCATTAGTAAACTCAATTTATTTCTTTTCGATTTTCTCAACTATGTCCATAGCTGTATTCTCGAACAATTAATCTATATTGTAATTGGTTTTTGCTGATGTCTCAATGTATTGCATTTTGTATTGATCTGCAAATGCCTTCGCTTGCACAGTTGATATTTTTCGACTTTGATTTATAAAATGTAATATATACTGGGATTCCAAATCAACTTTATTGCCCACCAGCACTATTTAGCAATTCTAGGCAGCTTAATCATTGACTTCATTATACCACTTTAATACATTGTGGAATGATTCCTCGCTTGTGATATCGAAAACAAGAAATACTCCTATGGATCTACTCTATAGTCTCAATTCTATACCCTTTATAATAAGATCTCGTTATTGACTTGAAAGAATCCTATCCTGCTGTATCCCAAATTTATATTTTTATTGTCTTCTCATTCTTTACAAAAATTTAAGATCCAAATTCAACACCTATTGTGGTGTCATGTTCATCTCGAAATTATTTCTCTGTGTATCTCAACAAAATGCAAGACTTTCCGACACTTCCATCCCCTACTATAATAAATTTGAATAAATAGTGGTATTAAGCCATCTAAATTATTATTATTTATTGTAAGCATTCTCAAATTATCACACTTCTATATTAAATTAATATGTAAATTATGAACAACGTTGCAGCTCTCCAAATCCCATGACACATTAAATTTATCAAAAGATTGAGTGTGAGGGCATGTAATTCAGCCTTCCTTGTGGAATTGAAAAGTAGGAAGAGAACTAATAAAGTTGAGATTGTCAACAAAAACTAAAGATTTAAATCTATATTTAATTTAATAACATCCCAATATAAATAATGAGATAGATAAATGATTGTATTCATAGAAGCAATGAGATATCCTCCTGAATTTAAAGAAATCATGAAAAATAGAGATTTCATTAATGTTTTTATGACTGATTAATGCTGTAAAAATCATTCGATTTGATATTATAATAAACAAGATAGCTTTATACGGAATTATTACTAGTTTTTGTGGACCTCCATTTTATTTGTATTTAAATCTATTCTATATTCAAAATTAGTTCAAATAATAGAGTTATTCTTATTTGACTTTACAATATAATATTAAATTAATATAATACTATTAAATACTGAAGTATTTATAAGAACCCCCTTCAAAAATGAGTTTAAATGCATAACTCAAACACACTTCAATTCTAAAATTAAAAATAGAATTTGAACTATAGAACACATAAGTGTCTCCTTATAAACAAAAAGAACTTTGAACAGCTGAAATGAAATCCTAGAGAAGCTTAAAAATACTAAAAAAAATAAAAAAAATAACTCAAATCATTATAATTAAAGATGATGAACTTGGTTCTCCTCATAACACAAACTAATATTTGCTGACAAAGCATGAACAATTAAATATTCACTTAGAAAAGGATTGTCAACCTCCAGGAAGCATGTTGCAATTCCTTTTGAACTGTGACAAGATCGTTTTCTCATCATCGGATGCTATCACTTTCGACAAAATCTCAGATGCTTTAAAAATTACTTGACATCTATATGAACAAAGTTATGAATATTTATACTTAAATATATATAAGATTATATGTACCATTCATTTAAAATATTATCTACACATTTGAATATATGAAAGAATAAATAAAATATTCTAAGACAATATACCACAAATTTTAAAGATGAAATTCCATAAAATTTAAGATCTAACTATTTTCTCCCTCATATGTTATTATACTTCAAGAACAAATAGTAAAATTATTAATATAAATCTTCAATTGATATCTTTACTTCAATATGTTAATTAGTTGACTATGTGCTAAAATTTCTATTCATTTTTTATTATTTTTATATAGAATTAAATATTAATCAATTAGTTAATAAAGATTATATCTCTATCTTTTTTTGGTGATAATTATTGATTAATATATGATACTTCATTTAATATAGTATCTATTCTGTTCTTGAATACTTGAATTATTTATTTTTAATATTTTCTTTTGGTTTATTTATTAAAGAATATATATAACTTCTAAATTATTGAAATTTTTAATCTATAGCTCAAATAGTATTCATTTTCTAATAAATTATTAAATAAAAGCAAGTTGAAGAGAACCTAGAACGAAATACTAGATTTCATAAGAATAATGAAAAGTAATAAGTTTTTGGTTTGGACTTATTTTATCAAACAAGTTTTAAAAATTATTATATTGTTGATTGTATTAAATAAATGTTATATTTAGAACCTTATGAGAGTCTAAGAGCATCGACAGAAATTTACTTAATAATAATGTAAAATTTATTCATTGATATGAATGAAATAAGTAATCCAAATCAGAAGATGAATATTGAAAGTCATATAATTATCATTATAAATATGAATATATATAAAAATTAAATCAAAAATCATACTGAAGTTAGTTTACTATGTTATTGAAGTTAATTTCTTCTTTGTTTGTTAAATCTTTGTTAGATTAATAGCGAAACAATTAAATTAGATTTGTATTTTATGGGTTTTTCATTATTCCTAATTATTTGGATACCTTTATTGCTCCATCACTTTAAGTTATTCTTTCTAATAAATAGATAATCTATTATTCAGAATATCATTTACTTTTTATTCATTATCATTAACATTGTTGTAGATTAAAATAGCTATTACACTAATTGCTTCAACAAATTAGCGCTTATCAATTGTCTCAGTACTATTTAGAGATGCAATAGCTTTGAAAACATGCATAAGCTATCCTTTAGATACCATAGCATTTGCTAATTCAAAATCTGAACAAAATTTCATGTATCCTGAAAGTGTCATTAAGTCTTTTGTATAGTGGTTATAATATGGTTCAAAATGTTCTTGCATAATTTCAAATAGTTTATTCTAAAGTATAATTATTATGTAATACTATTCTTGGATCATCTAATATCATCATCAAAATCTGCAAAATATACTCTTGTTTTTCTATTCTTATTTATGTTTCAAGTGGTATCAAGAATTGCTCAATTAATCCGCTTATATCATTGCCATTAAACTTTTCTGCTATCATTTACAATGAATTATAGAAATTTATAAAATCCATCTTGCCGTTTTAATTATCATTGTCATATAATTTATTGACTTTAAATTTCGGACTTTTGGTTGAATCCAATTTCTTTTTAGGTGTTGATTAAATATAAAACATATCAGCATCTACTTAAGTGATCAAACTTCCAATAATACCACAATTTTAGAGAAGTTTTTTATATTTTATACTTTTTAAGTTTACTAAATTGATGGGTTCTCCTATTTATGAGTAATATTCAAATATATTTCTTAATTCTTTTTCATAAGGTATTTAAGAATTAATTTTGTTTAATTTGTTATCTTCAACTAATTAGGATTGCTTTAAATTAGAATTAAATTATTATTATTAAGATTAATAAACAGTAGAAATTCTACTCTACTTTGCAGAATTCACTCTGGTCAATCCCATTACTAATTAAGTTTACTCATTCTTTGTTTAATAATTTTACTTTGAAAAGTATTGAAATCCCAGTGAATTTTCCATTCTTTCTAGTAATTAAATAAATAAATCAAATCCACTTTGATTGTCTTCTTATACTTAATGAAATGAAATAATAATTAAACTCTCTACAAACTTTGAGAAATTAAATAAAAACTTTCCATCATTCTTTAAATTTAATATGGAATCTCTGTGGAACAAATCAAAAAATATCATCTAAGCCTTTGTCTATGTAATAATTAGAGGAATTATTTCAAATTATTATAGAAAATGCATGTATTAGCTTTAAATTTGAGAGACTTTTTAACTCTAATCAGAAAATATATACCCATGTATTTTACACAATAATCCTTAAACCTGAGATATGATTTCTAAGAATTATTCGTCAATTTAACTTCGACAAGCCTCTATTCTCTTTAAATCATAGCCAAAATCTGTTTAATCATTTATTTTTTCATAGAGTTTTGATAAATGATTTTTATAAAGTAACACAAAAGACTTTGATTACTCTGGACTCTTATATAATTTAATAGCTATTTTCACAAGTAGATCTTTAAATTAGTCTAAGGTAAGAGTTTCTGTATTTTTTGTAGTTTAGAAATATAAGATATCGAGATCTTTGCTAGTTATTTCTAATCTGTAAAATAGTATAAATACCTTATGATAATATCTCAGCATCCGCCATAGATTTAATAAATTTACTTGATTTTAAATATTAAATACTTGTTTTATTGCCAAATTAGACATAAAACATGAATATTATTCGAATATGCTAAACGATTACAGATTCCTGTTGTGCTTTTTGCTTTGAAACTTGGGATTGACTTAGCTTTTTTTCTTGTTACTAAAAGTAAGGTTTCTCTTTGATTTATTAAGGATTGGGGCGAACTATTGGAGGACCTATTCGAATGTCCTCGTATTTAGGTAATGGGTTAATGCCTTTGTGATTAAAAGCAGCTAAAAGTGCCGATTATTTGAGTGAACTAGACATAGTAGTTAACTGCAATAAAAATAATATTTAAATATTAATATAAATAAATTTACTCCTATTTTTAAACATCATTAATGACTAAAGTTTCTTTATTTTCAAAAGTAGAATCTAATTTTGGCTTTACTTTTATACCTTTCTGAGTTCTTAATACATAATTACTAATTAAAGTGAAAATATTTTAAACTTATATTTCCAGTGTGATTACATTCTCTAATTAATTGGTTTCTCAAAAGGGATTATAAATTAGAAGTTTAATAGAAATTTAAATTTCTTGTTTAATTAATTATATAAACCAAACTACTTGAAGTGGATGAGTTGGCTTAAAAGAATTTAAATGATGTCCTTTTTTATAGAATTTCTATATTTCTTGAATATTTAGTGTTATAGAAAAAATAATATAATAAAAATTTTTATAAATATTGGATGTTTGAGTTAAATCCAAATGAATTAAAGTCATATCAAGAGAAATATGATAAGTTAATGAAGGCTAAGGTGACTCTGCATTTTAAACAAACCAAAAAAATTTTGATTGGGCAATTTTCAGTCACGGATGCTCAGGCAGATTCTATTTTAAAAAAAGTATTCTCTAGTTAAAGTTCTGATGAGCTGAATAAGGAAGGATTCTTTATGGCTCTGAGATATGTTTAATGCTTGCAAAATAAAGTGGACATAGAAACTTGTAATATCAATACAATTAAATTGCAATTTCCCCTTAGAGTCAATTGTAAATCAAGTTTGAAGAAGTCATTCTAAACTCCTTCCCATGAAGATATATTGGAGAAGTCAATGATTGCTCTGCAGAATCTTTAGAATTTAGTAAAAGTTCCATCAACTTAAGAGAGGTAAAAAAGTCAAATTCATACATAAACAAGGGATAATCAAAATTAATAAATACAAAAAGAATTAGAAAATATTGATTTGGAGAAAAATATGATTAATTTAGGAGGAATTCATTCTTTTCAATAGCAGATAAATTAGCCAAAAGCAGAAAACAGCATAATTCAGCCTTTTTTTGGTTATGAACAATAAATAATTAAGACCAATTTAGAAAGCTAAGCTTAAATGATGAAGAGTGAATAACACCTCATTACTGAGTTTGGAGTCATCGATGTAGGTTAAAATAAAAATAAAAGTTAATAACAACAGTCTTTGGAGGATCCTTTTAAGACCAATGGAATGCCTTACGACAATGATCAGACTTAGATGTAAGTAGCAAACGCAGTACCCAAAGAAATTAAGGAAAATATACCTGATGTGATTGAAATTGATGAAGATGAAGAAGAAGTAATTTTGAAGCATGAGGATTCAAAAGATATCTATGTATGGATTTCAGGTTATTAATAATTTAAAGATGCACCCTTCACTTAAACTTATTATTCATACAAGGTTTGTTCTGAAATACTTACTGACCCGCTTAATGGTTCATATACTAAGTTTTAAGTTTGGAGGAGATACACAGATTTTAAGATGCTACAATAGTATTTTACATAGACTAAATTGGGAGATATAATACCAAGCTTACCAGAAAAGGAAGGGGTGTTAGCTAGTCTAATGAATATGGTGGTAGAAAACCCTGAGTTTATTTCTTAAAGGTAGGAGCAATTACAATTGTTCTTGTAATATTCGACAAGGTATAAAGATGATTAGATATTACTGTAATTTTTAAGTAATGAGAAGAAATTTGATTTAATCTTGAAAGAACTCAGGGTCATGAAGGGAGACAATTATGATGAGGACACATTTTTACCGGATCCTGATGAATTCACAAGAAAATAAAAATGGAAGGAACTTATTGCTGGAAAATAAATAATTGAATTGTTTGATTATTTCAAGGGGAAAAAAGAAATTGAAGCAAAATTCTAGGAAGAATATCGTTAAGTGCAATAGCAATTTAAAATATTGGAGAATAAAAAGTTAGAATTAAGCAAATTCAAATAGTGTTTAAATTAATTTTATGATCCAATCGATAAGTTTTCTTCTAGTAGTTAGTTATAATAAACATAAATTATATCTGAAGATAATATTCGGTAGGTATTAGAGACTTAAAAGCTATTTTAAGCTAATTGTAAGTATTTTATTATCTATCTTTAGATTCTAAACATTAAAATCTTATTATGAATTAAGTTACACAGATTGAGTTTTAATTGAACAGTTTGACTTATAGTTATGAATAAATATAGAAACAAATCTACAAATGGTTTGACGAAAAGAAAAGATTAAGAGAGGAAAAAAAGTCAAGCAAGTACTCATTATTAATATCTATTTATAGATTAGAGATACAAAAGAATGAGCTTGAGGAACAGAGATTATAGTTTGTGATTTCTAAAACCAATGAGACTTTGATAAAATTGGTCAAATAAATTACTGAGGATTTGAAAGGACTCTTAAAAGATTTTGTGGAGGAATTGACCCAGATTTGAAAATTTGACAAATTAATTCTGTTTTTATTATTTTAACTAAAAATGATGAGAATAAAATCTATAGTCTTTATGATATGTTAAATCTTGACGGATGAGCAGATTTAATGAAATGACAAGTGGGATACAAATGGAATTTTCAAATAAACCGTTAATTCTATGTTGTTATGATTTGGATATATTGGATAATGATCTAAAATCAAAATTTATCGACATAAGAAACATCAATATAATCTACTTTTCATATTGTTGTAATTGCAACAAAAATTAAAAGGGATGTATTAAGAGAGCGGGTATGATGTATTTTGAATTTGTGTTCTTATTTCAGGAATTCGAGTAAAAAAAGAATTTGAATTTAAATTCGGAATTGATATTGAGTTGATCATAATTAAATAGTTACAGAAATGATTTAGTATTTTTAAACATAAAAAGAATGAATAAACAAATAAATTTTTAAATAATATTAATGTTACTTCTATTTACTATTACCATTATTTAGTTTGTGCCTACAGCGAGAAACCAGATCATCTCGTAAGTTAAATTGTATATTCAATAGACAACAGATAGAAATGGGATGCAAGACAGCTCAGAACGGGGCTTGTTAAGAATTGTGCCCATTAGGATAATTTGATTGTTAGAACTATAAGATCAAATGTGAGTATGGATACTTCCTATTATTTGGATCTTCTTGTGTACCATGGTAAGAACAGAAATCTATGTAGCCCTTATTAAAAGGTGATTGATAGCTTCACTTTATATTGCATGGATTGTGTAGAGCACCCTTATACTTGGTGGAGTAATAGAACTTGCTCGTATGAGTATTCGATCGAAAGCGGAGATTATATGAAGGGGACATATATTCGAAAAACAAAGGAATACACGGAATTGTATTTTATTGGTCCTTCAACTTCTAGTGGAGTGAACTTGGACTCAATTCCAAGAGACGTAATTGTTTGATATAAGTATATAGGTGTAATTCTAATACGAAACTTACATCTGTTCAGGTTGTAAGTAATTCTGCTATCCAGGGATGACAGAAAATTGTAATAGTATTAGTTCTCCTTATGCGGAGGACAGTGCAATGGGAATTGAGTGTTTATTGACTTATGAGTTCAAGAATCAGTTGTGCATTAGTTGTCCACCAGATTGTTTAAAGTGTTCGAACGGATAATGCACATAGTGTAATGATGGATATATGATAAAAAATGGTTTATGTTAAAAATGTCAAGATGGTTGTTTGAATTGTTTTGTAGTGCAGTTGTCAACTGTATGCACGAAATGTAAAGAAGGAATGGTGGCTTCATTAGATTAGAAACAATGCGAATATTGTGGGAATGAATGCAAGAGATGCGAGTATGTATCTTATTCTTCAAATGTTCAATATCATTATCCAACAAGGACAATGATTAAGATAGAAGAGATAAACAAATAAAAAGAATACATTAAAAGGTGTAGACAGTGTTCCACTTAGAGTTTTGTAAGTCATAATGGAATGGACTGTGTGACATGTCAAATACCAAGATGTGATTTGTGTTATTACAACATCAGAGCAGATGTAACTACAATGGATTACGATTTTGAACCAAGTAAGTCTAATGATCTTGTATCAAATTTATTATGTTTCAAATGTGTCAGCGGTTATACTGTCAGTGCTGATAAATAAAGTTGTACATTGTCAGTTCCTGCTTTAGATCAATGTGATAGGAAATACACAGATGTCACATTAAAATGCAGACAATGCAACAGTAATATAATACTCAACCAATTCAGTAATACTTGTGCTAGTGCTTGTACATCCTACATAAGTTATTGTTCAAATTGCTTTTCTTATAAGAGTTTGGATCAAACATAATACACTGATGGGTCAGGTTAAATATTCACAAAGGCTGCTCAAACACTGTACTAATGCATTCAATGTGGTGATGGATATTATCCAAACATCTTTACTGGTTTTTGTGATGCCTGTCCCAATAATTGTCAAAAATGTTGGCAATATTCTCAAACCTATAACTTTACAGATTACCTATTTAAAATGCAACCAATCAGCAATTCACTAAAGGAGACTTTCTTAAATGACATCCCCATTAATATATAATGTACATCATGTAATTTTGGCTATCAATTGTATGGAAACGAATGTTTAGGTTGCAGTAGCAATTGTTAAGTTGAGAATCAAGTAGTTAGTGTTGACTAGATTAATAGTTGTGTCTTTAAATCAACCTATGCTTTCTGCGGAGAATGTTATGATACATTTAATGATAGATCCTTGGTCTAAGATAAATCTGAATGCATCGAGTGTCCATTAAATTGTTTAGCCTGTAGAGAGAGATTACAATATGAAATCACTAACTATTATTTCAATCCTGATAATCCCAACTTACTCCAATACGGTAGATTGTGTTACAAAGTACAGACTATGACTATGTCCAATCTTCAAAGTGTTTCATATAATTCTTATTTGAATCTACCTATCTTGTGCATCTATTAGCAAGCAGCTACTTCTAATACCAACAGATGTCGTCATACTTCCGAAATCACTGTCCATGTATATTGCAACGATGATGAGTATTATTCTGTCTATCAAACCTTAACTGATGATGAAAAATTATATCATTACAGCTTAAACGATTACTATTATATAGACATTGAGGAAGTTGCATCAATAGAATTTACAGATTTGGAGACTTTTCAATTATACTAAATTATGAATTAGGCACCATTAGAAGAATTGACTCTCAACATATTATTTACTAATTCTATTGATTACTAATGCACATTTAAAAAGTCAACAAAGTTAGTAACAGAATTCCATAGAAATGTATATGCTTTGACAAAATTCTAAGTCAACATTCTAAGTGCTCATAATGTGCCGATCACATTTTAAATAACCAACAATTTCTATTTGTAGGATCTCCCTTTTGTGATGATCAAAAATATCAACATCTATTCCTATCTGAATAATGACTTTGGATTAGTGATAACTAATAGCGTTTTATCAACTTATTTGTAAATACAGTATTGCAAATTAGGATATCAAAATTCCAAATCTTAGGAGTCCCAAGTCTTTACTTTAAAATTACAAAGCATCAATTACTTAGAATTATTGGATGTTTACATCTAAAACCTATTGTATGTGGATTAAATAGATATTAATCAGGAAAAGCTTTAGAGCTACAACTTTTAGTTCACTAATCTCTATTTTTCTATGAATTAATTTATTAATAATACACTCTTTCCATTGACACCTTTTAGTACAGTAAATATATACAATTTAGTAATTTCAGATTGCATTTTCAACGGAACATCATTGTTTATTAATCAGCAAGAATATCAAATATTTGTTTCCATGTTTACAATTTCTTAATTGACTATAAAACAGACATAGTTTTATTAATCATCTAGTATAATTAAATCTAGCTACATCTCCTTCTTATCCATTAATTAATTAGACATAGTAGGAAATAGATTTAACGATAGTGAATTATTCATATGCAATACTTACTCTATATAAAATGTTTACATTTATATGAATGTCTTTACAAACGGTTCTCTCATATTTACAACTTCTGATCAAGTTCCAGATTAATAATAATTTTATGCAGTAATCAATAATTATGCATTCGAAATATCAAACCTAAAATTTGTGGAGAATACTTGTTACAACATCAATTGTTTGATGCTCATATAAACACCATACAATTAGTTAGAATTAAAATAAAATTTGGTGATGAAGAACTTCTACATTTATAATAACTATGTAGAAATCTCCTTAATTCAAAGATTATCAGTTTCATCTGCAATCATCAGAGTGAGTCAAATTAACAGAGCCAAATTAACTAATATTGTCATTGACACTTAATTGGCTATTACTGTAATTTCCTTTTAAGACATAGCATCTTTGGAAGTGTCCAAATTCTTATGTGATTATTCCAAGAATATTATTGGTGAGAAAGACACTAGTCCTCGTACTAAAATAGTTAATAATACTATTATTCAATATCCATTTAATAACAAATTACCTAGCACTACCTCTTGTTCATATGAGAAATAATCATTCGGCAGTTATAATGGATATTGTTTAGATGTCTAGGATTTCTTATTTGGAGTCAAAATATCGGATGCTTCACTCAAAGGACTATTAGGAATCGATAACGGATTCATTTATATCTAATCATATGAGTCTCTGATGAAATAAACTAGTAGCTTAATTGTTTAGACAGGCACTAACAACGCATCTGAATTTTTCTATGGTTACACTAATGAAATCATCATCTTAGAGAACATCAATATATTCAATACATCAATTTCAGTATCTAATCCAGTAACTGACATTGGGAGTATCATTATTGAGTCTGATTAGCTTTAAACAATACTTATCAATAATGTTTAAATGATTGGCAATCATTTACATCAATTAGTTGAGTCTGTCACCATGGAAATATCTACATGCTTTACAATACTTAGTCCAAATGGAGTTGTGAGCATTCAAAATATGGTTGCATAGAATAATAGAGCCACTTAATCACAATATGGTATCAACATCATAAAATGTCAATCATTAAAATTATTAACCTCATTGTTCAACTACACAAATATCATGGAACCTAATTGGCTAGACAGATTCGATGAATATCAAGTGAGTACGTATTCTTAGTTGTTGGGCAAATTGGCCATTGATTCCGAGGGTTCAAACATTTACATCCAATGTAAAAAACTAGAACTCGATTAAATCAAATTTATGAATGGCAAATCTCTTATGGGAACAGCCTTCTACTTTTTAGGTCAAGATCTAGCTTCTATTGTAATTAGCAATACTGAATTTACTAATCTATCTACATCATTGGAATATGTTGATTAGGCATATGGAGGTTCGTTGTATCTAAATCTATAGAAATCCAGTTATAATATTTAATTGAACAGAGTCACTATGAATCATAGTGTATCAAGAGTTGCTGGAGGATGTATTTATATCTAAACATCCATGTATGAACAAGCAATATCTATTAATGACAGTTAATTTATTGAATGTACATCCCTACAGAGTTCATTAATCGATATATCATTTTCAGTGTCTTCATTAGTATTGCCAATAGTTAGTATTTCTAATACAAATATAATAAATAATAATTTTGAAGAGTTTTTAAAACAATTAGTGGATATCAGTTATGAGGAAGAGCAATTAATAATATCTGGGATAAGTTTAATTAAATAGAATTATGGTATCTTAGAAATTCAATCCAGCTCATTTATTGATATATAGATTCAAGGTTTGATGGTGCTTATGAATATGTTTACAGTGATTCTACAAGATTTAACAATTAAGGATATTACAATATTTACGTAATCTTTAATAGAGATCACTCATTACACTAAGTAGTCGGCGGTAGAATTACAGAATATAGTTATTACCAATATTACTGAATAGAAAGTATTGACAGAAGAATAATTTACATACAAATTCAATAGCTAATGTTAATCAATTTCCTCATTGTAAGAGCTGGCCAAAATTTAGACTTGTGAAGAGCAAGAAGATTTAAGATCTTTTTATTAGGATATATATGATTACAGATAAATATCATAAACCAAATTGGATAATACAACATTATACAGTTATTATGACTCATTATCTTATTCAGATAAATACGTATTGAATGAAATTAAATTGAACACTTATAGAGAAATCAAATCTTTCTATTCATCAGCCAATGTACTTATGGTGGATAACACAATAAAATAATCAGAATATGGTTTATGTTACTTCACCAATTTATAATCTACTTACTCAATTGATACCAATCCTTAATTCATTAAATTAAGCAATGTTAAATCTAACAACTTCATCAATATGATTTCAGTTACCATCAAAAATACTTACTGCAATAGATGCAAATAAGGACTGATATTAATCAATAATTACGACTTGTCAGCCTACCATACAACAAATATATTTGGAATGACCTGTTAAAATAACACAATTGGTTACTTTGGTTGTTTAGTCCTAACCACTCAATAAATACCGGAATTCAATATTACTTATAGTAATAGGATCTTATAGAGTTCCACTTCCACTCAAAAGTATAACATAAAACTGCAGCAAAGTCGATTTTAAAGTAATTCTGCTTAAATAGGAGCAGCCATATCTGTTGTTGGATTGAGTGCATAAATAACTGATACTCAATTTATGGATAACAAAGCAACATTGATTGGTGGAGGTATGGCATTTGTTTACAATTCAGAAAATTAGAATATCTTAGACTAATTTAACAACAATTTCATTAATAATGATGCTCAATTAGGAAGTGCTGTTTACATGATGAATAATAATCTAAATAACCTTGAAAATTCATAGATTTTCATTCTCCATAACACCAATACATAAATAGAACAAATACCAGAAAAGTTAAGTTTGATGATGAACGAGGGTCAATTAATGGATATTTAAGTTTTTTAAGAAAATGATGGAGACTTGAATGATGATAATATAATTGATAACTCAAATGTCCAAATTATAGACATTGTGAGTGTTAAGTCAACCAAATTACCAAACATAGAGAGCAATTACTTATTACTTCCTTCTGGTTAATAAATATCATAATACAAATATTATTATGAGGATACCTAAGAACAAATACCTTATAATTGGATATTTAGAATTTACAATTTGGATAAGAATCTCAACATCATAAAGTCTATTTCAGCTACTGAGACCTGCACTGTTTCAGGTCGATTGATGGACGAATTGAATTTAGATTACACTAAGTAGTTTTTGTAGAATTTCACTTCACAATCTGTATTCTAATTTGATGTCTCTAGCAATTCATTTAATTTTGACAACTTACAAATATATTTCGATCCATACTTGCAAGATTAAATCTTCTTATAACTCAAATGTAATCAATTATAATCTCTATATTAGTCTCATGCACTTCCATAAAGATCCCAATATACAATTAGCAGTCTCCTTATAATGTGCTCTCCTATAATAAAAATTATGCACTCTATTTGAATTTGAGAACCATTCCTTGCTAAATCGGAGAAGCCTATCTGGATTAAAAATGTACCTCATGTAGTTCAGACAATACATATTCTGTTTAAGAGAACAGTGTATAATGTAAAGGCATAAATTCAATTCAAATGGAGAAGGTCACTCCTGTCAGAATCAAATTGAGAGAAGAATATTGGAGACCTTTTCCAAAAAACGATAATATTGAAGAATGTTATAACTTGCCTTCTAATTGTCTTGGAGGTTGGGTTCCTGGTGATACATCTTGCTATGATGGCCATATTGGAGCTTTGTGTGAATAATGTGACATCTATGGAATCAGAGGACCTGAATATTCAGTAAGCAAAAAATACACTTGTGGTGCTTGTTCGGACACTCTTGAATCAAATATTCTCATCATTATTGGTATTTCAATATTTACTCTTGTGACTATGATCATGTCGGTCAAGGGCAACTATTCATTTATCGAGAATTTAATCCATCAACAAGTTCTATAATCAATAGGTGCAAGAATAAACATACAATAAAGTAAATATAGTATATCATTTAGATAATGCATCTATTATTATGAAATAATTAACCAATTATTTATAAATCATTGCATCCTTAACTACATTCAGAATTTCAATACCTACTGCCTTTGTTTCATCTATGGAAGTATTGGGAAATCCAACTCAATCTATGGCATATTCTTTAGATTGTTTTTTAGTTACTTTTGCAACAATCGATTTATTGTACTTCAGAATGGCATGGGCTTTGTTAATGCCTTTATTTTATATGATTTTATTCTTTATTGGTTATTTTACAGGAGTGCTAATGAGGATTGCACCTTTTAAGATAGGAATCATATACACGACATTTATTTATATGTTCATCTATTTGCAGCCTACTTTAGTTGGAGGGTTCATCTCCTTATTGAGTTCAAGAACAGTCAGTGGAATAGAATGGGTTTAAAGCAATGTTAGCTATCAGTATTATACTGACATGCATCAATATTACATTTATATATTCATTGGTCCAAACCTATTACTTTGGAGTATCTTACTGCCTTTGACCTTTATGCATCTCATCAGAAGGAATAAGAACCAATTAGAAACTATGGAAATACGAAAGAGATGGGGATTCTTCTATCACGAATACACTAATTAAGCGTATCTTTGGGAATTCGTGAAAATCTTTGAAAAAGAGCTTGTGATCATTTCTTTGACTTACTATGAAAACAAAATAGTTATTAAGGGATTAATCATATTTCTAATTGTATTTCTATATGGAGCATTTTCATTTGCATTTATTCCTTACAAATAGAAGAAGTTAAACTTCATTGATTAAATGTCCACTGCTGTTTGTTCCTGCTCATTATGTTTAGGAGTTCTTATTTATGCTAGTCAAAATGAAAGTTTAGATTATCTATAGTACATAATGTTCTTAGTAATTGCAATAATCAATTCTCTTTTAATAGTTTTAATCCTCTATCATTTGTTTGAAGGGTATATCAATCAATTTAATGACAAACTGGATATTGTGAGAACCAAATTTAAATAGATATTCCCAAACATTGAATTCTAATACCCTTGTCTGAAAAAGTTTTTAATCAATAAGAAAGAGATGAAGGAAAAAGTCATCAATTATTGGGCAATACTCAGGTATGAAACCAGAGAGGGTATAAAAAGAAGAAGAACAGATAAGAGTGCTCCTCTCATCATATAGAAAAGAAAGAAATCGACTTCAGGTTCTTCAGACTTATCTGAAAAGGATCTAGAAATTAAGTAAGGTAATTCTATGGACCAACACAGAGATGTGAATAGTCCAGACAGAGATGGTAAGGATGACGGTGTAAAGTTACTCAAAAGACCAAGTTCTAATTATAAAGGATTGAATGTATAATAAAATTCTTTGGATTCCTCGGAAAATTTAAGCAAAGTGTTCCCTGAAGTTATTTCTGAAATCCCTTCGACTCGAAAAGAAGATAAAGATTAAAAGAAAATTATATTGAAGAGACCATTATGAGTATTATATATAAAATGTTTTAATATTTTTAGTTTCTTTTTATTTCTTTATCATGATACCATTGAACTATCATCCAAATTATATTGTAAACTTAATATTCAATCCCTTTGATTCGTTTTCTCACATCTAAATGGAATCAAAATAGATTGATAAATTACTGGTTCTTTATTTCTTTGAATTAATTTGTTAAATTTTTAGCAAGTACACACACCAAATTTTATTAAAAGAATTAACTTAAAAATTGTATATTTTTTCTTTAATTGTATCATACATTATACCTCATCATTTCTTTAACACAAATATAATTATTAAATCATTGATAATATTAATAATATTTAATAATATGGGTTGTTCAAACTAAAAATCGATGAAGATAAAACAATTCAGTACCAAAGATGACAATCTTATATCAAGCCAATCTAATGTACTACTAGCAAGTAATAGCTCGAAGAAGGAAGTCACCATTTCTTCAACTAATCAAAGAAGAAGGTATTGCTTCAATTCAGTACCCAAGCTAAACCTCTCTACAAATGATCTTTATAAAAGAAGGAAATTTAAATAACTTTCCCATATAATTTGATCATTCCTTATATATATTTTATGATACACTATTAATATTACTTCATCATTCCTTATTAAAAATTACCTAAAATGCTAACTCTATAATCACTTGTTCCCGATGTCCAATTATACTTATGGCTAATCAAACTGATTCTAAAGAAAACAAAGCAGAATAGGTGCTATTTATAATTTTCAACTGGTTTCATCTTAGAAAATGTGAAATTGAAAAAGATTACATCTCTGCTGCATTATTTCTTAATCTAAGGGTGTCTTATATTACAATAAGTATTTTTAAACTTGTATAACGAATATTATTTTTTGGAGTGCTTATATGTATTAAAAAAAAATCATATTATTACTATTTTGGGAATCACATTATTATTAAAATATTTGAAAAATATAAATACATTAAAAAAATAATAACTTTATGAAATTAAATGAGAATCAGCTACCCAATCTCCTTTTAAGAAATCCGTATTTATTAAGTAGATTTGTTCCTCTTTTCATAGTTTACAATATGAGTTTGATTTATCATCCTTTACTATTTCTTTCACGTGAATAATTATTGTTAATTAAATTTTCCTCATCTAAAGTTTATCAAAACAAATTCAATTAATAATTCGCTTCATTGTATATATTTTAAAATTATTTTAAATTATTTCTTCAAAAATACATATTACATTCTAGAATGCATTTACTTCTTTATTTCAAGTTGAAAATTCGGGTAAATGAATAAAATATACAATTCAATTATTATTAAAATTATTATGAAATCACTTAATCTATAATTTGGAGATAATCGATAGAATTAGAGAGAAGACATGTTTCTCGCAAACATAGTAGAAAAAGTATAATTAGGAAAAATTGGTTTGATATCTTTTGTTGATCAAGCCTAATTCATTGATTTGATGAGTTAGAAATACAAAAAAAAAATAAAAGTATAACCTGTGTTCAATAAAATATATTAAACTATTTAAGTAAACTTGGCTAAGCATTAACAATCACAATCAAAGATTTAGGAAGTAAGTTATGAGATAAAAACAATATCATCAACTCGCCAATTAGGTTATAGAGGATCAATTAATATTTCTAATAAAAGTGGGGCTCTGTTGTTACACAAGGATAGCAATTTAAAAGAACACCAAACAAACGAATTTAGCGATAAGGAAATTTTGGATTAATAACTTGTAGAAGAAACAACTAAGACAGAAAAAAATAAAAGAAATTTCAGATTGTCATAAATTACTTCGGATAAAAAAGAAATTAAAGACTTCAAGACAATTCACACGAGTCGTGATTATACCCAAGATTAATTATTGAAATAAGATAATTTATCAACAGCAAGGAATGAAAAATTCAATCACAATTTGTTGACCTAAGAAGAATCAGATCACTCTTAATCATAATTCAGAATCGAATCACAATAATCCTGTTTGATCCCAAGTGAAAACCTAAGGTATAGATTAAACACAAACTTCACTTCTGAAATATCAAATGGGTAAGTATAAAATTATTCTGCAACTTTTAATAATTAATTAGAGTCCCTATAATAATAACCTTTAACGTCTAGAAAACAATCAGATGTCATATTGAAGTCGATTAGAGGCAGTTATCATTAAGAGGCATACTTAATACGCTAGCCAGAAAACAATTCAAAGAAAACTTTGACTCCAGTTTCACAATCTAAAATCCCAAAACCATAAGGTTAAAAAACAACTGAAAACCATTAATAGGCAAATAATGGAAATAGGAATGAGAAGTAATAATAATTTTAACCTAAATCTTAAAAAGCAACTCACAGACAGTAAAAATCATAAAAAGAAGTTAAACAAAAGAAATAAATGTAACATTAACCTCAAAATTCATTAATTGAAACTTAACAATCTAAAAGAGATCTAGCTAAACATTAAGAAGAATAAAAAATACCTTAAGAAACTAGTTTTTGTGGTAACATGAATAATTCATAAAGAGCGACACGAAGGGAATTGGATGAAAGACAGTTAGAAAGTCCGTAATTTGTAAAAACAGATATGATGGATGATATGGTTATAACACATTCTCCATAATATTCTCTGACAAAGGAAATCAAATAACCTATACATAATAGACCAGATTCAAATTTAAAAAATAAAAGTGAGCATTCATTTTAGTCTAAGAGACAGACTATAGATTAATAAGAGATTAATTCATTAATGCCTCCCTTATCTTCAAGAACTTTAACTTCAATTCAGAAAGATAAGATGGAGTAAAGAAACTCAGTGAGCAATAATTCAGAAACTGATTAGAAATAGCACAAGAATTAATTGACAGTTACAATTAAAAGAGGTTCTAAAAGGATGAAATCCCATAACGTTTAAGGAAATGAAAATGAATATGATTAAGAAGAAGAAGAGAAAAAACGAAGATATTCATAAGAAAGAATATTCAAAAATGATAATAAATTTGAAAAGATGGAAGAGGATAGATATTAATATACAATTAACAATTTAGAGTAGACTGGAAGTTCATCTTCATTAATTAATTATGAAAATGAAAATAATTAGATAAATATCTAAGTTAGCAAATGTGACAATAGGGAAAAAATAATAGAGGAAGAATCATTAGATGGTTCTATGAGATAACATTAGACAATTTTATTTTCAACTTAGGATCATCTTAAGATTGGTGATAATTCATTTCATCCTTAGTCCTCCTCTAGAAGTGTTGCCAAATCTGTAACTCCGAATACTCCAATGGGATCTGTATATACTGCTTAACCTAGCAATACTAGCAGTGTCTAAAATAACCAAGTGTAAAGGAGGAAGAAGTAATCTAATTAGCATAAACGACCTTAATTATCGAGCGAATATTCTCAAACTAAGATTTCCATACAAAAATAGAAATCAGAAGATAGCAATTATGAAAAGGAATATACAAATGAATCTTCCCTAGAACCAGAACGACCAAGCAGATTGAAACCCAAGAAATCACAATAGAAACTATAACCCCCTTCTTCCATCTAAATTTAATAATAGAGAAGAAAATCATCATCCTAAGTTTCTCCAATAGATGTATAATTCTTTATTTATTTTAATTAGCCAAGAAAAGCAGAACAAATTGACAAGGAAAAGCAAAAGTAAACCGAATATTAAAAACAAATTGAGAGAATGAAAATGGAAAGAGACTTGATGGGATAGTATAAGATTCCTGAAGACATGCCTCTTCCACAAAAAAAATAAATGATAGAATCACTAATTGGTGAATTGAGTCATCAACATGACTAAGATGTTAAATATTAAGTTTCATTATGTAAATTAATTGTTATTTTTAGATAATGAAAGATAAGATTAAATCTAAAACATATAAAAAAATTACGAAGAAAAGATAGATTTCAGATATAATATTGTTAACAGTTGCTATTCTGAAATGGACTATCTATGTGAAAATAAGCTAAAATTAAAATAAAAAGACTAGGAAGTTCAAAAAATCATACATTTGAAATTTCAAGAATAACATAATAATAATCAAAATTAACAAAATCAAAATGGAGATAAAGAGGAGGACTTAGGGTCTCCTTAAAGAAAATAAAGTAAGTTGGTCTGCAATTTTGATCCAGTGGAAATAGAGAATCAATTAAAGCGAAGATGTGAATTTATTAATGAAGCTGAATTACTCAAATTTCTAAAATCCTTTTAATCTGAATTTGATAAAAAGGTATATCAATGCAATCTCGATTATCCCATCTAGGAGATTAGGTAAGAAGATAGACAATTTACAAAAGGGCTTATTGCTCGCAATTTCAAAAGGAAGCAGACCAAAAATATAACATCAAAAATTGAAATTAATAATTACTAAATGGATATGAATAAAATTTAATATGTTAAAGAAAAAGCACCTAAAATCTAAAAACTAGGGTTATATCTTTTAATGAACTCTTGATATATTTATAAGAAATTAATTTTTATAAATTAAATAACAAATACTATTTTAATCAGATATCATCATTCCATATAATTTGAATAAGATTAATTATTGATTCATTTAAAATAAGAAATTTATAACATAATTCCTTTATTACAATGCTATATGATAACAAATTAACATATTTTATCACATTTACTAAAACCATTTAATAAATAAAATAATCATAAATTTCATTACGATTTTTTATGTTTGCAAGATAATCCTTAATTTGTTTCAGCATTTTCAAAAAAGAAATAACCAATTTTTAATTATATAAATCTGTTATGTATTAAGAAAAATCAGTTCAAATTCAATTACATAATGATAAGCTAATATTTTTATTCTCGAATTAGATTTTGCTCTAACACATAATTTTTTGACTTTAAAATGGTATTTTCCCTTGAAAAATGGTACTAAGTTTAAAGAACAAAAATTGATAAGAATCTGTGCCTATACATTATATGTTTGAATTCTTCTTGGTTAACTTGTTATTAACTTATATTTATTAATTTTTCATTATCATTTTTGATTATTTTAAGGTTTTACTTGGATATTTTAACTTTTTTGATATATTTAATTCTCGTGAAATGAAAAGAAAGAAAATGATTAATAAAATTCAAATATGTAAATTATACAAATAGAGGAAACTATGTAATATATACTTTCTCATGTTTAGTGAAGAATAATCTCCTGAGAAACCTATTTAACTTTCAAACAAATACCAACTGACACCTACTCTTTTGCCAATTACTCCAACAAGAAAACTCTAAGATGTTCATTCTTATTACTCAAAATAAAACATTAGTCCACTTTTAAATGAAGATGAAGAGTAATTTGAAGATTTAGAAGATCTTTAAGACATGTATAGTAAGTCTAGTGATTGTCAATTACTTACTGGCTTAAATACATGTCCAGCTTTGACCGATAATAGAAGAAAAAGTGAGGAATAGATTCAATTGTCTTAAGTAAAGGTTCTTATTATCATAGTATATGTTTTATTATAAATCAAGTCAAAAAATATCTATTCCTCGAGCATCTATTTTCAAAATTTAACATTTAACACAAAACAAGCTGAAACAATCAAATATTAACTTACCTTAAATTAAACAAATTTAAGAATGAGTAGAAAAGAATTAAAATAATTAATTAATTTTTGTCATAATCTACACTTTATTTACAATAATATTCAATCTGTATAAAAAAAATATATTTTATAATAAAGAATAAAAAAAGTCTTAGTTAAATTTTAATTATAATTAATAGTTTAGGTTATTTAGGGGGGAAGAAGTTATCCCAAAATTTCTTAATATTCCTAAAAAACTCAATTCTGTTAATACTAAAATAAATACATACCAGCAAAAAAAAGGACAAGTAAAGTAAGTAATTAGATATGAAGCTAAAGATGACAAGGATCTAAGTATTATTAGAAGAATTGTATGAAATCAATCTCATTGATTAAGATCTACAAAATTATAGAATAAGGATTTTATTCAAAAGAAGACAAATAATCATAAATACAATTTTACAATTAAAAATATATATATAAATTATATTCGCGAAAAACTAAATTAGAGAAATAAAGAGAGATAAAAATAGGTTGGTTGAATAAACTTTTGAATAGTCATTAAAAAGAAAAAAGTGATTCGATGATCATTTCAGAACTGAAAAATGGTAATCCTTTCTAATTCACATTTTTTGAAATATTATTTAAAATATCTTGTACATTACTTCATCAATTTAATCATTGGATTTTTGCTAAACAGCATTTTTATTTTTTATTAAATATTATCATATTATTCTTTATCAAGAGTCAGATGGAATCTGATTTAAAGAATATTTAGTTATTAAATTAGTCACTAATTTTCATCCTAAACATTAAATTAATTTCTTAAATAAAAATAACTATTATATCTAACATAATTAAATTTAATTGAGAACATCTAATAACAAATTCAAATTCATCCTTAGACTGCTACTTTAAATAAAATAATAAATCTCTAAATTAATAAAAGAAATTTTATACATTATAACTTTTAGAAAAAGGAAAATTTTAAACTATTATTTAGGTTATTTAACATAGTACTAATTTCTTAAGTGCTCGAATTTTAAAGAATTTTAGTAAGCAATTTTATTATGAAAATGTATTGGTTAATTGTTGACTTTAAAACATAAGTTTATTTTAGAATTATTTGTCCTTGTATAATATTGAGAGGAAAGTAGAATGATTAACAAGTGGTAATTTATATTAAATAATTAAAAGATTTATTTAGTGTTTTGAAATGGGAAAATTGTAAGAATTAGACTTATTTTAAGCTTAAAACCAGGAAGATTAGTTGTAATGTTGGCAGGCAGATAAGCAGGAAAAAAAGCCATTTTAATTAAGGCAAATGAGGAGACAACAAAAGTATATAAAATTAAAAATTAGTTAGGACTGCAAATTCCCTAATGGTTTGGTTGTTGGAATTTAAAGATATCCCAGAAAAGTAACAAAGAGAATGGGTTAAAAATAAATTAGAAAGAGAACAACATTAAAGGTTTTCATTAAGCAATTAAATCTGAATCACATTATGCCAACAAGGTTTAGAATGGCATTATAATTATGATAGATATAGATTAGAAGAATCAACTTTGAAAGAAGTTAGAGATAGAATCGAGAGAGTGAAGGAATCAGAATTGAAGAATGTTGAAAAGAGAAAAGATTTGAGAAAGAATTTGAGAAAATATTTGGCAGAGAAATACAGAACATTACCAGCAGGAAGTTTGGCTGATAAGAAGGCATAATCAAGATTCCTATTTTCAAAATTGAGGTTCTGATTTATTACATAAGTATAATTGCATTAAGAAATGTATTTAGTATAAATTGTCTTGTTTATAATGTTCTTAAATGAGGGTAATTATACATCATTATTGTTACTATTACTTTAATTTTCTTTGAGTTCTAGTGAAATAGAACTTGGCCTTCTCCTCTTGAGTTTAGAAACGTCCTAATAAAATAGAATTAAGATAGTACCATGTCCAATTTTGGATGATGTATCAACAAATTTGAGAGTGATTTCTTCCAAAGCCTTTCTGCTAGTTTATGGAACAAGAGACTTTCTCAACAAGACGACTCTCTTCTTGGGTCCAACAATACCTCCCTTGAGCATGAGGAAATCGTTTCTGATTTCACCATAGTGTGGGAAACCACCCAATGGGGTGATTGCCTTTGAAGTCAAATCGGCTTCGGTAGATGCAGTGTTCTTGTCTCCAGCAGCACCAATTCTGTAGATCTTTTTGTTCATTTCAGTTCTGTGATGGTAACCCAATTGACCAGTTCTGGCAACACTGTATCTGACATTGGCTGGATGCCATCCTCCGATACAACCAACTCTTCTCCAACCTCTATGGGTCTTCTTTTGTAAATGCTTAACACCAAATCTCTTGATGACACCAGCAACTCCCTTACCCTTGGTAACACCGAGAACGTCAATTTATTCGTTTTAATTGAAGACTTAATCTACTTTGACTTCCTTTTCTAATAATCCCTTGGCAAAGTTCACCTTTTATTCGGTATTACCTCCATTGACTTAGACTTCAAAGACGTGATTCTTCTTTTATCTCAAGTTCAATTTGCTCATTTGAGTGTGAACAATGACTCTGACAACTTAGCAATATCTAAATAGTTTAATTAATATTTTTACTTAACGATTCTCTTTAATTAGGTTTCCAAATTCTTTGGCTCAGCATTAGCTTTGTTGTAATTGGTGAAGGCCTTCTTCTTTGAGTTGATCCAATTCTTGTAGAATCTTCTCAATGTGTCCTTGGCAATCTTAGTACTCCAAACAGTGGTCAAAGCTCTTAATCCTCTTGGTGTTTCGATATATCCAACAATACCAACGACAACCAAAGGTGGGGTTTCAACGATGGTGACGGCTTCAACGACTACGTTACCATTCAATTTTGATCCTGGTCTTTCAACAGTTCTCAAGATGTGGGTCATACCAGCCTTGAATCCTGCAAAGGCTGTCAAATGAGGTTGAGCCTTAGTATTATCCTTTGGGAAAGCTCGGATTCTTCCTCTGTGATGCTTTGTTCTCTTTCTTGGAGTAAATCCTAGATTTCCGTGTCTTGGTGCCTCAAACTTTCTGTGGGACATTTAATATATAAAAAATCTTTAAAAAATTTTTAAATCACTTTTCAAATTTAATGCTCATTTTTTATTTTATATTATTATTACTCCGTATATTCTAATATGAATTCCCACTATTCTAAAATCCTGATGACTCTTCTTGTATTGAGGAATCACCCCAAACATTGGATTCAATTTTTTATTATTTCGAAAGTCATAATAAATCTATTCATTTTCAGAAAAAAAGGAGACTAATAATAATATTCCATTATTCATTCATTTTATTTACACTTAATGATTATATTTATTGAATAATAATATAATAATGTAAATTAACCAAGTTCAATATCCAAACTAAAAGTACAAAACATAGCTCTGCAGACATTTCAGTAAATCATGGTTTAAGTTTAGTAACAAATGGGAATTGTGCTTTAGGTGCAAGATGTTAATTTGCTCATGGAAGAGAGGAGCTTAGAGGTAATGCTAATGGATTTTAACCTAATTCTGATTTCATGATGCCTTAACATTAATAAGGAGTTCTTCCTGTTAAGGTTTAACCAATTAATCCCATGATTGCGAATTATAAGAGTATTATTAAGATTAAACATTTCATAGCATAATTATGTAAGCACTTCAATCCACAAACTGGATTATGTAAAAATGGATTTACATGCACATTTGCTCATGGTGAATAGGAACTAAATTAAATTAATCCTTATTTTCAGAATCAATATATGCAACAGCAGCAGTATTAAATAATAAATATCACAGGATTGTGCAGCAACAAATCAAATAGTAAAATTAAGCTTAAATATAAGCTGAACTCACCTAATAAATTTTAATTATGATTCTTACTAACATGGAACATATTTTTCCTGACTCACAAGTAAATTGTCTCCATAATTTAGGACATAATAAACATTTTAAGACAGGGCTAAGAAAAAGCAAAATAAGGTGATAATTAAGGAGCGAGTGAAATTATTAAATTAATCATTCATGACGAGTAGAGGACTAAAGAAGAAAAATAATAATATCAATAGATTTACAACAATGCTTAAAGACATTATGATTCTAAATTAAAAGAGTACTTAAATCAATGATTTTATATTATTATATGTGAAAGCAGATATAGATTTCATTTTATCATAGATGAAAGTTTAAATTGTAAATTATTGAATGTAATTAATATTTTCTATCCATTTAATCAAAATGTATAATAGAAACTGTCCTTTCATATTTATTTTCTTGATTCACTTAATATATTACTAATTATGCTCTTTATTCCATTTATCTCCTTCAGTAATTATTAAATGACTTTTTATTAATTTAATTAGTTTATTTAAGATTCTTCGGTAATTAGAACTGTTTAAATTTCCGTTGATATTAACTTTTATTCTGAATTATTCTTTTAATATTTTACACATTTTATGATTTAAATAAAAACAAAATTTCTATTTCTTTCAATTTCTCTGCTTGGCATAATTAAAAACTTAACGAATAATGAACATTATTATTTTTATATGAATTTATTAATGATCCTATATTATCCTAATTTTTCAATAGAATCTTTTATCAGTAATGGCAATCCCTTATATTAAATATTTAGAAAATTATTAGATTTAATAATAGTTGGTATCTTATTGTTTCTTAATTACATAGTTTGGACTTTATTTATTAATTTTGCAGTGTAACTTCCATTTCATTATTTTAAGATTAATGTGGAATGTTTGTAGTTCTGTATTGAGAAAGTTGAGGATCAGGATTGTCATTATTATTACAAGAAAATTTTTCAAAGATTAGTTAGATCCTTTTTATTAGATACATTAGTTTCTAAAATTTCATAAGCTATCAGGTTGATAAATGAGAGATTTAATTTTGAATGTCCAACAACATTAACTCAAATTTGTTGAGTATTTCTGAATTATTTTAGTTTTTATTATCTTTTGTTTAATTTTAATTTTAGCATTATTATATTGGAAATCATATGATAGTTCAGGTTTTTAGAATGCATTCTCTATTAATCTTTAGCATATGAGTTGTTTTTACTTAATGATTCTTATTATATGAATTGTTTCCATTGTTCTTAAAAAATCAATTATTTTTAAGATGTAATTTTTTTAATAATATTAATCTTCTCCTATCTAATGTTGTTTGATTTTACCTTAAATCCTAAGATTAAAGGCATCAATGATTTCTTTCTACTTGCTTATATTTTAATCTGATTAAATTAAATCAAATAGTATTTTTCATTCGTTTAGTTTCTGACTATATTTTAATTATAGATTGGTTAAACTTTGCTCTAATTCCCAATTTTATGGGGTTTATCATTAAATAAGGTACTATTAGATTTTGATTAAAATATTTTTTTTACATTAATAATAATTACCTGTGTTATTAATGATATAAGTATTCTCATGATTTTTGGGAATACAAGTATGCTTATGTCAGATTTCTGGGAGATAGAACATCAAGCTTATATTTAGATTGAGAATGAATCCAGGTTAACTAATTGAGTAGAAGAGGATTTGTATATGGAGTAATATAATTTGATTGTTTTACATTCAAAATCGAAAGGGCATTTTTTAATTTTTTCATTCTGAAAATGTATCTTATTTTATTATGCATGATCTTATCTACCAAATAAGATTTGTGTTCAGTAAGATGAGAACCCTGAAGATACTCTTGAATTTTGGAAAATATAGCATATTTTTATTCATCTTTATTGGTATTAAAGTTCTTCTTGAATTATTTATTTTAAGATTCAAATTACTAGTATTAAATGAAATCAGAGAATTCAGGCCCTTTAAACTAAGAGTATCTTGAGCTGACGATAAATCATCCAAAATAATAAGATATCAGCAATAGTACAAATGCGAAATAGGGTCATTGGAGTCAGGAGGAGCATCAATAATATGTCTAATTCTTACTTCGAGCAAAAGGATCAGGAGATTCGCAAAGAAAAGGACAACCATTATTTAAAAGGATGAGTTAGATAATTGGCACTCGAACGCCAAGTTAATGCAGGTACTATTTTTATGCAATTAGATCCCATCACTAAAAATTCAATCCATTTAATCCTCGTTTGAGAAGAAATCATAAGAGAAGATAATTGGCAAAAATAGAAAAGCCTTTTAATAGAACAAAACAACTCATCAGATAATATTTTAATAAACACAAAATTCATTCTGATGATGAAAATGAGAATGAATGAAAAGGTTGATTTTATATGATTAAAATATATAGAGATTATAAAATCACTGAAACATTTATTATTATTTAATTTTCTATATATAATTTGCATCCTTTATTTTTAGTTTGACAATCATTTTTATGATGACTATCATGATCTAGATTTCAGTGTAATTTTAAGATCAAAAATATACTTTGACTCGAGCATCTTAATGCAATTATTAAAAGCATTAAGTTAATAAATTATATTTCTAAATACAATTAAATTAATAAATTAATGCATAACCTCATTTTAATCAAAAATAAACTGACATTAAATTAAATTCTTTCAACAAGAAGTTGATTTGATGTCTAATGGAATCACTTAATACATGTGTAAATGATATAAGTTTCATTTTCTATAAGGAATTAAGTAGATACGGATATGAAGATGAGAAAATAAATTTTATTATAAAATAATTATAGATGATTTATAATAAAATATTGAACACAAATTAAATTAAATTTAATTTACGATCATCAAATGAGGCGTGTTGCTAGAATTGCTTAATCTGTAATCAAAAATCGAATGTTCTAATCTCTTCAGCAAAAGATTGTATATCATTTTGATGATAATTACAATAAATTTTATAAAGAGAAGGATGAGAATTTGGTATTTTTTCAGATCAACTTAGATTCACCCTACTTATACTTCCAAACACTTTAAAGTGTCTTCAAATTCAATTGTTTAGTACTTGGAAGACAAGAAGATGGAACACAAGATATAGGGAAAGTACGTGCAATTAAGATATTGTCCATTCTGTCCAAAACATAATATAGAAAATCCATCAAACTAATTCGTTATGGGAATTAACTTAGAGAAGTACATTTTAAGTCGATGATTATAGTGGATCATATAATTGTTTCAGAGCTACCTGTTCGGCTAAAGGTTCTTGGTTTGATTTTAAGAACTTTTTGAATGGGACTCTCAACACTCAGCAATAGTAAAATCCATAGACTCAATAACAGACCCCTTAGAAACTGAATATATTCGAATATCATTAATACTTTGAGAGATTAAAGTTATAAGAACCTAAGATAGTGTATGACTATTTGACAGGTGATGATTGGGAAAATGTACAATTTGCCTATTATTCACTAGTCAGAATTAAAGGGGAATTAAGGATGAAGTCTTGAAATTGTATTTGATTGGCATTGATGTTACTGAAATCTACGATCCTTAATAAGGCGCATATGTGTAGGCTCCCCTCATATACTTTCCCATGTTTAGATACAGAAATCAACATGAGAAGAACAAAATAATGTAGAAAGCATTGAAATAGAAAAAGGATGATGTTTTGGCTGAAAAAGTTTTGAGTGAGGAAACCAAATAGAATATCAGATCGCAATTAGATAATTAATTTGATAATTTTCAATATGAATTGGTCAGTTGCAAAATCAGAGCGGCAGGAAAAGATTTGAAGCATATTCAAAAGATTGAACCCATGAATGCAGCCAAAGGAATTTTTGGGATGCATTTACTTAAATAGGATTCTACTCAAGTGATACTAACAGAAGGGGAATTTGATGCCATGGCAGCTTATCAAATGACAAACATTCCTGCTATTTCATTACCATATGGTATTAATCATATTCCAGCTTATCTTATTGAATGGTATTCTATGATAATAATCAAATAAGGTTAGATTAGTTTGAGAAATTGAATGATATCATAATATGGGTAGATGATGATAATCCTGGGAGAATTAACTCATAAAAGATTGCTCGTAAACTTGGTAATGCCAGAACAAGAGTGGTCTAACCATCTTTGATTAATCCTCATGATTACCCTAAAGATGCAAATGATTGCTTAAGATTCTATGCAGATAAAGTCATGACTTACATTGATCAATCAAAATGTCTACTAAAAAAGAACATTACTTAATTTACTGATTTTAAATAATTGACAAAGAATAGAATTTTAAACTTTGAATTGTCAAAGGGAACCCAATCTTAGACATTCACAACATATAACAATACCACTAAAGGATTGAGAACTGGAGGTGAGTTATTTATATATTTAAAATAGAATTTACTATTTTAACAGGACCCACTGGTAGCGGTAAGACCACCTTTTTGAGTTAGCTATCTTTAGATTTCTGTAAAGAAGGAATAACAACACTTTGGGGAAGTTTTGAAATAAAGACTGACAGATTGGCTGAACATTAGTTATTGTAGGCATACAAAACAGATTTAATTAAACAAAAAGATTTAGTTGATATAGCAATTCAAAAATTTGAGAATGAAATCCCAATTGTAAAAGAATCTATATATTATTTAGTATTATATGAATTTTTATGGGTCAACCGACCTAGACTAAATTATTGATACAATTGAATATGCAATATATGAATATAATGTAACTCATGTTTGTTTGGATAACTTATAATTTATGATGGGAACTTAAGTAGGAGGAAATAGGAAATTTGATTTTCAAGATGAAATCATTGAAAAATTTAGAAGATTAACTAGTAATAATGACATCCATTTGACTTTGGTTATTCATCCTCGAAAAGTCGATGAAAATGAAGACTTAACTATCGCATCAATCTTTGGGTCAGCGAAAGCGACTCAAGAGGCTGATAATGTTTTTATTATCCAAAACAGACCTAGATACAGAGTTTTTGAGATTAAGAAAAATCGATATGATGGAGAAGTAGGCAGAGTGGGATTAGGTTTCGACGCTAATGTGAAGTCATTCTTTGAACTTTCATCTACAGAAGTCAAAGAATTGAATGAAGAAAAGACTACTATTATAGATATTATTAATAAAAGGAAATAAGAGGGTAGACATTTTAAATAAGAGATTACTATTAACGATAAAAATGGAAATAACGATGGAGGTAATAATGAGGGCGGATCTTCAAATAAAGGAGGTAATCACAGTAATAATAATAATTCAAATAATTCCAAAATTACTAAAAAGGATATCTCTAATGTAAAAAATATACTAGAAAATATACAAATTTCAGATCACAATAGTTATAAAGATTAAAATGATGACGATGAAGATTAAATGGCTTAATTAGAAAAAATGGCTGAATAATATGCAAATTAAGAAATAACAGAAATCATTTTAAATCAAAAACCTGTGCAATTGGCTTTAGATGATATTGGAGATCTTGAAAAGAAACATAAATTGGATAATCTAGATTCAAGTGTTGAAAATAATGAAAAATAAAAATCTAAATAAAATAGTGCTACTATTTAAAATAGTTATCTAAACTAAAATAAACTCATTAGGGAATGTGAAAAATGCATAAATCCTTCAAATGATTATCTAGAAATATGGAAATTTGATTAAGATAGTGATTATGGATTAAAACCTAAAATTGGATAATACGAATTTTCACAAGAACAAACTCCTAAAGATAATACTTATACTCAACATAACCCTAATGAATTTACTTTATTCCATTCAGACCCATTAAACAAATATGCTGCTCAAAAGATTAATAAAGAATTAGATTAGAGTCTATAAAGCGATGAATTTTAACCTGTTGATGATCAAATACAACTTGCTAATTAATATAAAAGCTAAAAGAAATAATCTAAAAGGGCTTCTTTCATTCATGTTGGATCCAAAAAACCTTCTAAATCTTAATTAGATTTATGAAGATTATCTAATAATATATAAATAATTAAACTTTTACATATTAAATAAATATTAATTTAATGTCAAAGAAAACTTTTAAGAAATCTGAAGGTACATCCCTAGTATCAATTATTGGCGACGAAGTATTAAAATCATCTAAACATCAAGGACACTGTTACAGGATTTCTACTAACAGGAATTGGAGAAAAGAATATCAAAGGAGAAACTAATTTTCTGGTTGTAGATTCAAGTATGTAAATTCATTATTTCTCGAAACCGACCCAAAATTGATAGAGGCTACATTTCAAAATTTCTTGAAGCATCCTAATATAGCAGTCATCCTTGTGACATAATTTGTTGCTGAAAACTATCTAAGACATATTATCAATTAATATGATGCCATTTTGCCTACAATTCTTGAAATCCCAAGCAAAGAATACCCATATGAAGCAAAGAAAGTATTAAATCATATTAGACTATCAGGATACAATTATTCAAAGAGCTCATAGATTATTGTATGGTACAGATATTTAGTGAAATATATTAAGTAATATAGAAAGCATAATCAATTTATTTTTCCATTTAAATTTATATTAAATAATATTTGTTTTTTCGAATCAACTTTTCTCCTATTTCAAATTATTATTTGAGTTGATAATCCATATAGAGAAGTGGAATTCCAAATTATTTAGTTTATATTCTTTAAATAATTAAATCTTCTACTTTATCAAATATACTATGACCTCTTTTAAGAGTTATTATAAGATAAGGAGAAGAAGTGTTATAATTTTGATTCTAAATATATTAAAATCAATTATTAATTTTTTATCTTATAACCCATTAAGATATTTTAAAATTAATGTATACTCCTTTAATTTTGGATGAAATTTCTATTCTTCTTTTCTTAAATTTAATTGTGTTCATAATTTTAAGTTTAAATGAAATTCTAATTTTTCTTGTTTTAAAATAATTTTTTAAGAAATTCTTAATTTTGATGAATAATATATGTATTACTTAAGTTAAAACCAGTCAAGGGGATATTGCTATTGTAAACTCAACTGAAAGAAATGAGAAACATAGATAAGCTTATTCCAAAGTTCTATAGCTAAAGAGCTTTAATTTGATTCAATCGGAAACAAGAGTGGAAACTCCAGCGAAAGAAATAGATGAGGCTGAACTTCCATTAAGAGAACATGTTTATAGAGACGCTATAAAGCGTTCAGCAACATTCCTGAAAGTAGCCTCAGAGGAAATGGGTAGATATTAAACAGAATGGCACTGGAAGTTTTTTTTCGAATTCCTTTTTTATCATATTGTAATAACTTATGTTTATTATCTAGATGTTTTATAATCTATTTGGACCCTTAATGGTGATATTTTTTTGGAAATGGCCTGGTATGCCTCTGATGATAAATATGAGATTTTTAAAGCATCACCCTCAATTTTATTTTTAATTGCTTTTATGGTTAGGTTCATTGACAGGGGGTTATTGGTATTTATTCGATGATAAAAATATTATAACTTTAACTGAAGTTGTATTCACTTAATTTGCCCTTTTAATTAGGGCAGTTGTAATTGCTGCAAAATATGCAACTCTAAGTGAGGAAAGAATTAAGTTATATAAAATAAGAAGTTTTAAGTGAAGAAATGTTTACGTTTGATTTAATGATGTGGGATTGGAGACTTTAAACACCTAAAGTTTTGTTTCTAGAACAATTGAGATTTTTAAAAAGAAGAGAGTTAGATCCTGATTTTTATAAGATAGATTTCCTATGTTAACCTCATATAAAGACAGTAAAATAATTGATCTAAGTCGATGTTGGATTTTATAGGGAATGGTTAGAATAACAAGAAGAATCTTAAATTTCACCTGTCATAGACAACACATACAATTGTTTTTTTGTCTTTGGGTATTTGGTCAATTCCTTTTAAAAAAAGCACACTCCTGGGGGCTTTTCGAAATATGTTGTAATTTAATCTTTAATATTATCATTAACTCCATGTTTATTAAGAGTATAATACTTTTATGAGATTGATGTAGGGGTCATTGATATATTGAGAATAATAATCAATATTTTGACAACCTTCTAAGGATTCTTTGGATCCTTTGTATTCTTGTAAATTGGTCTATATGATTTATAAAGAAAGTTTTATCTTTTGGATTAATGTTGTTATATGCTGAATATAAAGGAACAAAAATTTTCAACAGGCAAAAAGCTATTACCATCAATCAACTTTAATAATCCTATCACCTTATAAGCCTGGTCAATGTTAAGAGGGATGGCTTTCGATTATGGGAGAACTTATGATTTCAGAATTCAAGGGTTTTATTCATTGATTTTTCTTGGATGGATATTTTTATTTTTGTTTGGAATAGGAGTATTATTGGATTTCATTCGTATAAATTTTTTCTAAACTACATTATTATCAGAAATGCTGGTGATTCTAACTGGATTTATTGGATATTATCTGTGGCATGGAGCAAAATTAAATGAATATTATGAGACATTTGATATTCTACTTGAAGATGTTAGAAATATGTATGTGGATATGCTTAGAAAAAAGGAACAGTATTTTATTTTAAATTTGGAGGTAACAAACGCAATCCATAAAAAATTTGTATTTTTGTTAAAGAGTCAGACCAATTCTATTGAAACAATTACATAATATATCAACTTTATTATAGAAGAGATAGATGATACCATAAGACAATTGAATTATGATGAAAAGCATAACCCTTTTAAAATCTATGGCATTCGAATAACCTTAAACTTTTTATAGAGCATGGTGGTTGCTATATTTACTTTGGTAGGATTCGCTGTATAGTAAAGAATGTAAAATATAGATGTGGAATGTCTTTCAAAATGACAATATAATTTACTCCTTATTTTATCATTATTTATAATATTTTATAATAATTTTGAACATGTAAGGCGGAACAAGTTAGTCAGCAAAGTAAATCGAAGCTGATACTCCAGTTCAAAACACATCAGATGATGGAAAGCTACTTAAATCAGTTAGGAAGGTCTAATAAATAAGATAATTGCTTACAGCTAATACACCTGCAAAATCCTTGCCTACCTACTAATTAGATGCAGCTCCCTTAAAGGAGTATAACCCACAAAAACAATTGTCTAAATAAATTACATTTGATGAGGTGAATGATGAGGAACTACAAAGATATAAAGCGGAATGGCATTGGGATGTATTCTTCGAATTTCTTTTTTATCATATGCTATTTTATATATTGTTAGGTCCTTTTGTTATCCTAGTCCTATTTAAATACCCTGGAATTATTTTATTAAAAAACATGAGGTTTTTTAAACACTCCTCCTCTTTTTATATGTAAACTCTCTTATGGTCAGGATCTGCATTAGGTGGTCTAATGTATTTTATCCAAGACTCAAGTGTTATTACAATGACAGAAATTATTTTTATGTGGTTTGCTATTACCACTCGCTCAGTTGTTATTGCTGCTAAATATGCAACTTTAAGTACAGCTAGAATTAGATTATATAAAACTGAAGAGCTTCCTGAAGAGATGTTTAATTTTGATCTGATGTTTTAAGACTGGTTTGAACAATCCTCCAAAGTTCTATTTTTAGAGTAATACAGAGCTTTAAGAAGACATGAATAGGAGCACTCTTTATATAAATTTGATTTTCTATTGGATCCAAATAAAAAAACAGCTGAGACAATTAAAACAACTAATATATGTTTTTATTTAGAATGGGCCATGAAGCAATAGATGAAATAAACTGATCCTATTATTGAATAAGTATATTATAATGGATTTCATGTCTTTGGTTATTTAGTCAACTACTATTAGAAGAATAACCCTACTTCTACATTTAATAAATATATGATTGGAATGTCTATATTTAATGGCATATCTCCCACTTTTATACGATTGTAACACTTTATGGAAAACATACCAGATTGGCTAGACATAATAAGATTAATAGTTAATTTTTTGACATCAATGTAGGCATTTTTCGGTTCAATTATTTTCTTAGGCATAGGAATTTATGATTTTAGAAGAAAGTTCTTTTTACTTGATTAATGTCTTTATATGCTTTCAGCTAAAAAGGTTTCATATCCAACAGCAAAAAAACTCATCCCTACCATAAATTTTAACAATCCTTAAACTTTACAAGCATGGTCGATTTTTAGATCCTTATGTTTTGATTATGGATAAACGTATAATCTAAGAGTTCAGGGGTTTTACTCTCTAATTTTTGTAGCCAATATAATTTTTATATTTCTCTCTTTAGGCTTGATCTTAGATTTTATTCATATTGATATGTTCTAATTAATATTGCTGGGGGAGATGGCCATTATCCTCATTGGATTTACGTTATATTATCTTTACTTAGGAGCATCACTTAACGAATACTTTGATAGTTTCGAAACATTATTGGATGATGTAAAATCAATTTATTAAGATATCTTAAGGATGAGAGAATAATACTTTCAGAATAATATCTAACCAATAAATGATGTTCATAAAATATTTGTAAATATTATACGAGATTAAGTTGGGATAGATGTGGATACCGTAAAGGAATACATTGAATTGATAGTTGAAGAATTGGAGAACAATTAGAGATAACTAGGTTATGATAGAAGAAACAACCCATTTAAATTATATGGAGTCGTAATAACTTTTAACTTGCTAAAAAGTGCTGGTGTTGGACTATCAACTGTATTTAGTTATGCTATTCAACAAAGACTATCAACTAAAGAGAAATGATTAAGATTATAGTTTATTATTATGTTCTAACTGTGAATTATATTAGACTTTATTTACATAAAATGTTATGTTTAATTAATAAATTTAAATTCAACCTATGTAATCATCTCTTTCATTATTATATTGTTATATTGTTTATTTGATTTTTGATGTATCAGACCATGTTATGTGATCTTCTTGGGATCGACTCACAAGCGTGGCAGGGTCTGTGATAATTTTAGTTCCAATTCTGATGTGACCTTATTCTATATAAGTACACGCTTCTTTGGGAGTCTGAGCAAATTTAAGTTTGCATAACACTATGGGGAGTCTTCTTCTGCAAAAAGCTGAGACTGCTAATTTCTCACAATTTTATATATTATCCTTTGTTGTTATGATTCCCATATTATATAATCTCTCCAATAACTACTCTGTTAATTTTACCCTAAATGGATCCTGAGATGACAATAATTTTATTTTAGAAATCATAGAAGTAATGTGACCACACATCCTGTTATATTTATCATAATCTTCTCTATTAGACAAATTATATCTTTTGATTATCTCAGCTTCTCTATGGTCTTTCTCTTTCTTCCAATTATACAAATCCACTCTTTTTAGTAGCTTTTTCTCATGGAATTTAAGCTTTCTCATAAATTAAATTTTAATATTTTATGAATAATATATAAAAATTTTTTGAAGACATTGACACTATGGAAACCAAAAAATCATTTGAAGCATTTACTAAATGCAAGGGGACTATCATTTTCGGAGCAAAGGTTGAATTAATTTATTTAGAATATTTAGAAGGACTTATAAAACATTATAGGAACTCTAACTTTAATAATAACTCTTATTGTTTTGTACTTAATTTTTATATTCCCTGCAGCACGAGACTATTAATATGATGCTCTTGCAATTATAATTGCTATCTTCTCTATTCTTCCAATTATAACCCTTTTGAATGTTACCATGACAGGTTGGCTTAATCAATATTAATATTATTAGAACCTGGTGTCTTACTTAGGGGAGATTTACCAGATCCAAAATTATAATAATAATAAATCAAACCAGAATAGATATCTGAATAAAATTAATTCACTTCTGAATAATATGCTTAAAAAAATGAACCGCATTAAATTGTATAAATAGCAGAATCTTAAAATTAACTTGAGTAGAATCCTGAATTGCCAAACATTTATACTTCCAGATATTGTACAACTTGCAAAATTATGAGGCCCTCGAAAGCTTCCCATTGTAAGTTTCAAAGTAGTAATTAGGTAAACACTGTAATCACTGTGTTGATGGATTTGATCATCATTGCTTTTGGGTTGGTACTTGTATAGGAATTAGAAATTGGAGAGCTTTTTTAATATTTTTACAATCATCCTTGATTGTTATTACGCTAACTTTATGCTAATGCTTATTAAATTGTAAAAATTATAACTATAATAACAAGTATCTAAATAATATTTAGATATTTATGAACTTTGGATATTAATGTTTAAATAAGCTAGCATTCCTCTTATATCATTATATGGATTATATTTTATTTGTGGTTGTTGGAGTCATCAAACATATTTGAATGTTATAATTTTAATGGTGATGTTCTTACTTCCAATAATCTATTCAGCTGTACTCATGGATATTGAAAATGCTTATAAAGACTACAGATATTATCAGAATCCATTTGTAACCATTCTAATTACAATTGCAATGTTGCTATTCTTTCTTTTCCTTCTCCCTGTTAATGGTGTGAATTGCTATTATATTTCGATAGTAAAATTACAAAATATATTAATATTGTAGGGAAAAACAGCAAAATAAACACATTCAGAAGACCAATTTTATAATAGGATAAGGCAATTTGACAAACCTAAATATACTGTCTCTGGAGTCTTTCGAAATTTACTGTATTTTTATACATATCCAATACCATAAAGCCGCAATTAATAATGATTATTTATTATAAATGTTAACATTGGTTTAAAATTTTAAAGTAGGAGCAAATCAATATTCAGTTATATTTTTTCGGAATATAATTATATCCTATGAATTCTTAAATATATTGATCTTTTTTTACATGATTATATTGTATTTAAAATATCTAAATTTAGTAATTTGCCCTTGCTCAATTTTCCTTTTTGAAAATCGCTGTATCCAATACGTTTATTGGGAGAAAAAGGAGGAATCATTTCTTTAGATATGAGCATATCCCAATTAAAATTATTGAACCAAGGATGTTTCATTATCTATTTAGGATCGCTTGTTCCTAATCTGTCTTCAGGTTTTAATTAAATTAACTAGACTCATGATTACAATAATACTTTATTAATAAAGTCGGCTCCTGCCTTAGACCAGTCAACAGGTAGGTCATGTCTCTTAATTTAAACTTACTTTAAGTTTACTGTATCTTTCCATTCTTTTATATCTTCTGATTCATATGGCCTTCTTCCAAGCATACATTCGTAAGCAACAACTCCCAAAGCAAAATAGTCAACTCCTATTCCGTCTTATTTGTAAAGAAACATTTCAGGAGCTATGTAACCAACAGTTCCACAAATATTTTCTAATTTGTTTGGTCTCCAAATTCCAGCCATACCAAAATCAGTCAATCTGATATATCCAAATTTGTCAAAAACAAGGTTTTCGGGTTTCAAATCTCTATGAATTATGCCTTATTAGTGAAGATAATCTAAAGCGGTAAAAATACAAGCAACAATAAATTCTATGTAGAATAGGTACATACTTGTTTAACTTTCAGAAAATCTCTTTTTCTTATTTAGGTGATATCTGAGGTCTCCTCCTGACATTAAATCCAAGCATAAGTATAGATTATAATTGTCTTAGAAGGCCCCTCTCAAATTTACTAAAAATGGATTTTCTATTTGAGATAATATATTTTTTTCATTGATAACTTGTGATACAGTACACTACTATAAGATCCTACGCATGAAGGTATAAAATTACAATAGTTTTGATACAACTTTTACAGCAACAAATTATTTATTTTTCCTATTTAACGCTTTCCATACTTTACCGAAGGACCCAGACCCTAAAATTGTTTAAAGTTCAAAATCGTTAATCGATAGATCTCAAATTTAGCAATAAATTTACTTGTTTCTACAACCTCACATGAACTAGAGAGAGAACAATTTCCCATTTAATAATATTTTACGAAAATTAATAGATATAGAAAACTACATAAGAGTTCTTCTACATTATTGCTAGGATTAAAATATTTCATCTCTAAATAAGCTCATAATAAGTCAAATGTACAAAGAATAGTAACTAGGCGATTGTTTCTACATGATTTAAGGTCATATAGATTGAAAAAAATTCTATAGAATAAAATTAAAAATTTAAAATTTAATTCTTATTAAATGAATTATTAAACCTATTGTAATTCTATAAAACTAAGCATTTGGAATTTAAATATTAATTGAAATTTTAAATAACGAATATATATTAGTAGTCAAAGTATTATTCATAGCTTTCTAAAATCAAGCAATAATCGATTTTTTAAGGGAATAATACTTATCTTTGTTGAGAATAACAGTTCTAAAAAATTGTATTCTTATTTAAAAATCCTTAGAGTATTCTAATTCAGATTTGATTATTTCTTCTAAGAATTGTTGATTGACTCTTAAATGCTTTAAACCCATAATTATTAACTCAATTTTCAGTATTTAAACCCTCAAAATGAGTCTTACTATCCAAAAATTCTATAATAAATTTTATTTATATTAATCATTGTGTTATTAATTTAATAATAATTTTTATAATCAGACATTATAACTATAAACTACAATGAGAACAATGTTAATTTTTACGCAAAATCTATTATTTGTTAAGAATATCAAGCCTAAATTAATTAAGAAATCATTTTAATTTAATTAAGATAAAATTAAATTAAATAAACAATTTAGAATAACCAAAAGTTCATTGTTTTTAATGAATTACACTTAAATGTATGTTAAAAAGGAAAATAAGATTTTAAAATTCATTCGTTGTTAAACTAAATATTTTAAAACTTAAATGCGAGCATCATTTATTATACTAACCTCTAATATCTTGATGATTCAACTTATTCTCTGTAAATAATACCTAAAATTTAAAATCCTAAGCGTTTACCAATATCATTAATCTTTTTTCTGTTTAATAATTAATATCCAGCAATATTTAGGAATTAGAATCTAATACTTTTAATTATAATTATTATTGACTACATAATTACTTATCCTATTTTCAAAGATCAACTATTTCCAATCTTTCTCAAATCTAAAATTACATTAATTTCCTTCTGAATTCACAAATTTTCTTTTTCATCTTATTTTTTTATCATAATTTTAACAAAATAATTATTCCTTAGAGTTTTTACTCATAAGTGGTAATTTTAAATCATATCAGATGATTTTGGAAAACTTTTAAATATTAAGATTATTGATAACAATTAATATATTAATAAATTCAATATTGTTTAGTTGATTATTATTTATGTTTTTTAATTAATTCTTTAACGTTTTCTTACTTTTTTTTTTTAATTGTTTCTAACCTTGCATTTCTAGATTCACTTCTACTTTGACTAGATTTACTCTTATTTCTTTTATTTTCTCTGTTTTTGACATTTTCTTTAAAATCTCTGATCGGTCTCATGTCAGTCTCAGTTTGCTGAGATTCCTTTGTTACAGAGGATCGTATTTAACTTTATTTTTCCTTTTATTTAGATGTGATTAAATCACGTTCAATTTATTTTATATAAATTTTTGTTTATTCCTAATCTTCTATGACACTATCTAAAACAATTTTCAGATCGTTTAATTAATTTTGATATACCAAACTATTACTTAAAATTCTATCAGAATCATTACTCTTTTAACTTTATTCCTATTTAAAATTCTATTCTAATCTCTATAATCTATAATCAATTTTTTAATAATCTGTTTTTAAAGCACTTTATCGAACCTCCTCCATAATTACATCAATTTTTTTATTAATAATGGTTTCAAATTCTTAAATTTAAGGTTAATCTTTGCTCAAAGAATTCTGAATTTGAGAAAGTGATTATTCAATATTAAGATACTAATCCTTTAACTAATTAAGTTCTTCATCGTATAACTATTCCATTGATACATTAATATGATTTCTTATATTTTTATTTTCTTGTTCTTGTGTTGTAGCAAAGTGTTAAAGTAACTTAATTAATTTGATGAAATTTTCAAATTTCTCCTCATGCTCTTAGATAGTTTCTTCAACAAATCTCATTCTATCTTCATATTTATTATTTAATTACTGTTAAACCTAATCATATAAAGGATTTCATACTTTTCCTATTTGCTACTCCAGACATAGAATATTGCTCTCCTTTGATGAATTTTATTTAATTCTATCCTCACTTGTAGCTCGTATGATTGGAGAAGTGTTTCTTTTATGCTTTTCTGAATAGCTCATATGTTTGTTAAATAATTTGCTGTTAAAAAAATATAATTAATTTTCCCCTTTTTAATCAATCTTAATTTTCTCTTTTTTGATAAATATTCAAATCTAAATAGAAATAGACATGCATAAATTATTAAAAGAAGTTGTAAAAGTCTACACCTAGTTCTAAAGATTGGGTCCAACCTATTTAGACACATTTGATAATCGAGCTATTACTGAAGCCACCTTCGAAGCTGTTAAAACGAAATAATTATAAGAATATATCAAGAAGGAATTTAAACCTATTGGAGACATTTCCATGTTACCTATACATCTAGAACCAGAACACCGTTTCACTATAGCAATGTTTGCATTGAGACCAGGAGTTAGAATGCCTTTACATGATCATCCCAACATGTTCGTTTTGAGTCATGTTATGAATGGATTGGGGGAAAGAGAATCATGGGACATAGATCCTATTGACCACCATTAACAAATTGAGTTCAGAAAAACCAAAGGAGATTCTAGAATTTTGAAGGCACTTCAACATCCAAAATTATAACTAAAAGAAGGTGATAATTGCTACACAACTCCAAATAAGTGCAACTTACACAAGTTTTCTAATGTATCTTATTGTTTTATGCTTTATAGATTCACAAATCTGAACTATTCATGTTCCTTGATGTTATCTTGCCTCATTATAATGGAGTTGATAGAGTCATCAACTTCTACGAACCATTTAGTCAAGACTAATTGGAATTGATGGGAAATCCTAAAACCTATTAGAGACATCCCATTGATGTTGATGATATCAGAGAGTTTATTGTTTAATGAAATTTAGACTTTATTCCTATGATTTATCATTACGTAATAAATTAGCTATAAATTAAATCTTGCCATATTAATAATTATTTATTATATAATTGATTATATTTAATAAATTATGCTTTAACCACTAAAAGAAGAAGAATTAAATGAAATATATACTTGGGTTGATTAAATACCTCTCAGCAGACCAAAAAAGAATATAGCCAGAGATTTCGCTGATGGCATATTGATGGCTGAAATAATGCATTACTTTCTACCTAAATTGGTTGATGTATTAATGATTTGAATTTGATCAGATGCATAATTACAGTCAAGCCAATTCGGTTAAGTAGAAAAAGTATAATTGGGATACATTAAATACCAAAGTATTCAAAAGGATTGGCTTTACTCTCTCAAAGTACAAATTTGAATATTTAATATAGAGAATAAGTTGATAGTGTGATTTCATGCTAATCTGAAGCAGTTGAGAGAGTATTAAAATTTGTTTAAGCCAGATTGGAATACTATTTAGAAAACAATGCTAATTCTGCTGAAAAACAACCTTAATAAGCAGATAGTCAAATGGCACCACCCTTATTAGCCAATGAATGGCAAAAAGATCAACAACTTTTTGAATTGCGTGAAACCATTGAGGTTATATTATCATTATTATTTTGCAATTTTTAGGTATTAGAATAAAAATTGCATCGCATGGACGAACTCATGAAATAAAAAGATGCCAAAATATTGAGGTATTAATAATTGTTATAATAAAATGGTTTATTATGAAACAACCCATAAAATTAATATCATTATTATTTATATCATAATATAAGTATTTTACTATATTATTTAACATGATGAATCGTACAATGGATCAACCATCTGAAACAGCATTGATGTCAGTTTCAACGTCGCTATCTGATCAATATCATTATTATTACTTTTATAATATCTCCTATCATTTTAATTCAACTTATTCAAGTTTAGATATTAATAATATCGATATATCCTTAAATTGAGTGTGCATGCTAAATTCAAATATACCTGTATCTCTCCAATTAAAAGTTCAAACTCTCAAATAAAAACGTAAATAATTTATTACTTCAAATTCTGATTTTTCCAATTAAATACTCTTTTATAAATTCTAGTAAAATAAATAGTTTATTAGTATTTTGATAACTTTTAAACTGATACTAAATAATTTTATTTCAAAATTCAATTATCTACTAATAGTTCTAAGAAAATGATATCATAAAGGATTTATAAAAAAAGTAATTAGTTTGGCCACATCAAAAGAACTATAATTTATAGAATCTAAACAGTAAATGATCTAACAAAGGCATGAATTTCAGATATAGAAATTAAATTGCAATTGAAGGACTTAATTCAATTTAATTAAATATATTATTATTTTTATAACAAGAAAATAAATTAGAGATTATATGTATCAACCTCAATTTTAGGTTTAATAATCATAGTTTGAAAGTCCACCAGTACTATACTCATAATCTTAACCAATGATGATTTCAAATTAGAACAACATGTCATATTAGATGGTAAATTTAGGAGCAGGAGCAATTATGCAAAGATTAAAATAAAGATAAGAAGAGGAAATGTTAGTAGACCTATTGGCAAAATAAAATGAATTAATAGCTTAATTGACTGAAGATTTTAATTGGAGAATGGATAAAAGAAAATAACAAATGGAAGATGAACTAGAAGAATTAGAAAAAAAAACAGTAATTGCAAGATAAAAAAAGGCTGAATAAGACTACTTATATAAGCTTAATCGATAATTGAACTTTGGATTATAAAGAATAAAAGAGTAAGAAATAAAGAAATTGATATTTCCAAAGGCAATTTAATTAGGAATGAAAGTTCCAAGTATTTAAAGTCATGAAGCCATTGAATAAGTGTATCCCAACATGAGATTATAAAAGAAAGAATAACTAGGTATTAATTGCTGTGATATCTAGATGAGGAAGTTTAAGCTAATGTCGATCTTGAGTTTAGTAATCCTTACAGATAATTTGTGAATCCAAATTTTCCTTAATATGCAACTCCAATGATGCCATTTTCTCCCCCTTAACCACCTCAATAATATCAACCTCAATTTAATCAGCCACAAAGTTATTAAGATAATGGTACCTCTCCTTAAATGAAAAGAAATAGCTAAATTTCTAAAAGGATCAGCTAAGGTTCATAAAGATCTAGTTAAAAGTCTTTTGCTTCGCAAGTATCAAAAAAATCTCAATAGAATTGATAAAATTAACATTGTTTACTTAAAATAAACCTATAGCTTTATGATAGTATTTCAATTAGAATTTAAGGCTCTTATATATATAAATATATAGTAGACTATGATGAAGATTATTCAATTTACAATACTGATATGATATAAATCATTTTGGTCATTATTGATCTGGTTATTCTTGATCTGGTAATTCTTATTACTGTTATTATTGCTATTATTGTTATTATGGTTATTATTGTTATTATTGTTATTGTTGTTATTGTTATTATTGTTGTTGTTGTTATTATTGTTATTGTTATTATTGTTGTTATTATTATTATTATTGTTGTTGTTAGAGTCTTTGTTCTTATTAGACCTGCTATTGTTATTTTTCTTCTGATTTTGATGAAGATAATTGATTTTAAGAATCTTGAATGACTTTTTCCAAAAATTCATTTTCAATTTAATACAATTTGGTTTCAGATTGTTAGATAGTTCTCAAGAATTTATGATAATGATTAACTCTAGCTTTTCTATATTTTTCAATTTCTTTAGTTGCAATTATTGCTGTAATTATGTTATATAATTAAGATAGCCTGTCTATTTCTTATTATCCCTAAATATTATTTATGATTTACTTCTGAAATTCTTTATTCAACTTTAACTTATGAGGCATCTTTTGATTTGTTGAATGCAGAATTAGTGATAGTGGTTAAAGTTTATTGTTTTGCAGCCATTTTAGCTAATTCAGCTTAGTCTTCTCTCATTTTTTATTCTTGTTTTGCTCTGATGATTACGATTTGATCTCTGTAAATTAAGGTTTGTTGCATGCATTCAGCATCTTTCAACTCATATCTAAACAAATCTGCTAAATAATTAATGCTATTGGTTTTTTTATTGTTATCTTTCTAGCAAAATCATAATTAATAAATTTACAATATCTTCTAGCAATTTTTTATACTCTTCTTAATTTGAAGGATTGGAGAGTACTAATTACTGCTCTTTCCCATAAACATATTCATTTAGGATAATCTTTTCATAAAATGGCAGAGTTGCATTAAATAAATTCACTATATTTAAAGACTTCAATACATTTTTCATCCTATAGTATTCTTCTGGTTTGTGCAACAAAATTAGCTTATTCAATATATGTTTTTAGGATAGCCAATGTTTTTTTCAATTAACCTGAAAAGGTAGTAATGGCCAACATATATTCACTGTTAGATTAGTCTCTTACATCAAGCTTTGGGAAGGCTATCTTTAATCTATCAATAATTTCATTTGTAGTTGTTGCCCTCTATTATTAATACACCTGTTTATAATGAAATTGATATGTACTTTTGCAATATCTGGAGAATTGGATCTTAAGAACTACTATTAAAAATCCTCTGAATAATAGATGTATGGTAATTATGTAATGGAGTTCAAAAAGACCTCCATAAGTCTTTTTCTGATTTAGACTGTTTCATTGTCATTGCCACTTGCTAGTGCTTTTTCTGGAATTGGTGGAATATAGCAGCCTGGCCATTTCTTCACCAATAATTCTCTTAGTTCAAAGAAGTCATTATATCTTCTGTAGATCTCGAAGGACCCTTGATTATCTATGCCCTTAATTAAGTAGGCGGTGAATTTTTAACCAAATCCCCCATCTTTGATAATCACATCTTCAATCTGTATTGTAATTTCGAAATCAGGATATTCGATTTCTTTAATGGGCTCTTGGGAGAGGACTGTTTGAGGTGATATTTATTAGGATTCCTCCTTCTGACTTAAAGCCTGTTCTTGTGTACTTGCCTCAGATTATTGATCCATATAGAAAATTAATGTGATATTTTTTAATTGGATTGATGAACGTAATTGATGATGATATCATAGATATTTACAGATTATATAATGAAGACTATAATTATTTATTGAAAATTGCAAAGCCTTTGGAAACTTTGGATAGTGAAGAATTAGCAGTACATTTTAATAATAATTTAAATTATAATAATGGAAAAGAAAGTAGTTTTTATTAGACATGCAGAATCAGAATATAATTTAGCCTAGAGAATAGCAAAGAATTCGGTGGCTGAAGTTAAATTAGAGGAAGAAGATTAAGATGTGAAATACTCATCTAAATATTGTGATGCTCCATTAACTAAATTTGGAAGAGAATAAGTACTTACCAACATAGATTATTAAACTTACTTAGTGTGATCCAACTAAATTCGAAGACCTCAGAATTGAGACTGTGGTTGTTAGTCCACTAAAAAGAGCAGTAGAAACAGCTGTATTACTCTTTTAAAATCATCCTAATAAACCTAAGTTTGTAGTAGAACCATACCTACGCGAAATGTTTCTATCAGGATGCGATTTTGGGATAAGACTATAAGAAACCATTAATGAATTCCCATTCATTAACTATGATAGATTATTATCTAACCCCATAATAAAATAGCATCCAAACATGTGGTCTCTTGAATTTATATATAATTAAAATAGTGCAAACATTTTGAAACAATACATTAAAGACACTGAATATGGAAGTTAGGACTGTATCGAAAAGGTTTTGGAGTACATGAAACAGCATCCAATTTAAGTAGAAACTTTTGAAGAAAACACTAAAAGGGTTGAAGAGTGCAAGAAGCACCTCTAATTTGAGGAACCCTTTGTTTGTGTTTCTCATTCTAGAACGATCCATACTTTGACAGGCAAATTTATTCATAATTGTACTGGAATTGAAGTAAATATATGAACAGTATCAATAATATTATTAATAATAAATCAATATGTCTCAACTAGTAATTATAATTAAATATAAACTATATATTTCGTAATTAATATGGACTAGCTTGACATCGATTCAAATAAGTTTGATTGCCAAAAATATGTTGGTGAATTCTTAAAGAATCATAGTGTTTAAGATTTAATACAAAGACATAATTAATTGTAATAAGAGATTAAAGAATATGATTAAGATATATAATCCTTAGTTTTTGAAAATTATAGGTACTAGCTCAAATTAGTTGTAGTAAATTCATATCTTCAATTGATACAGTTAAGAAAATGAAAACTGATATTACCTAAATAGATTAAAAAGTTGAGACTTTGACATAATCCATGACTAAAATAGCCTAATTGTCAAGGAGAATAGATTCTTAATTATCAATAAAAAGAGAAGAAATCATCAAACTAGATACTGTCAATAAGGATTTGAGTCGGCTTAATTCAGTTTGCAATTTCCCCCATATTATCTAAAAGGAATTAGATCAATATAAAATAAGCAAAGGAAAGAATTATGATGAATATTTTAATGAGACTGCTTAGTATTATAAACAATGTTATTCAACTTTGGATCAATACAAAAATGAACCACTAATTTAACCAATTTACAAAGAGACCAACTAAAAATTGGATAACACAAGACAAATTCTTTGGAGTTCCTTAATTGAATTCAAATAATAGAATCCCCTTTTATAGTTGTACTCTGAATCCAAAGTGTCAATTTCAACTTAAGAAGCCAGATCAGCAGTTAAGAAGTTGATACAAATAATGGATGATGAAGAAGCTGTACTAAGACATTATTAGAAGATAATAAAAGAAAGATATTTGACTGTAGCAAAGGAGTTGATAGATAAAGCAGCAATCACAAAATCCTCTGAAGTAGTAAACTTGATGGATTATTTAGAAGATAAAAGATATGAGTATACTGTTGAAGAATTGGAAGAATATAAATAAATGAAAGAAAAAGAAATAGTAAATTCTGATTCAGCCATCTAAGGATCCATTTTGTGGTTAATCAATCAATTATGTTAAATTATATTTAAGGAATTGAAAGTGGAAGTTTCCTTTTTGCTAATTGAAATTAGAGGAACTTTAAGAGATAAGTCATTAGAGCAATTGTCAACTCAATGCATCAAAGAGATAATTCATGGAGTTTTTCAAGGTGTTACTGATAAGATGAGTTAAAAGAAAATTAATAATGTGTAAGTTAATGAAGTTTTCGTTAAGTTGTAAACAGAACTCCAATCATTATTTGAGAATAATTCAATTAGATAGTAATTAAGAACTGAAATAATAGATAAGTTTACAGAAAATGTGGAGAACATATGTAGAGGATAGGTTTTTACATCATTTAGTCATTTAAGGGTTTAATTTCTCGAGTTGCTTGTGTTTGCTAAAAATGATTTATAACGTTTGTAACCTACTGATGAAATTAAAAGAGAAATAATGACTCTCATTACTGTAATCAAATAAAAATTGATAGCCTTCACAACTATCCGGTTATTAGATCTTAAAGCTTTTGTATTTTCTTAATAATAGAGTTATCTCAGAGAGTAGGAGACTTATTTAAATTTAATTTAAGCCTCTTTAATTGAATTTGTTAAATTTATTGGTAAAATATTTGCCTTTAGATCCGTAAGCATCTCTCAAGATTAATTAAACTAACTGTTTAATGATAATTATATTATTTAGTAAGTACTGCCATTATTAAACACAAACGATTCTACATTTTACTATTTGTTTTCAAATTAATTCTTATAATTGTATTCAAAGACTTTGAGCAATAAATTATTTGAACTTGTAAGTTAAGTTTTTTAAGGATACAAAAGTAAATTATATATTTAAATTCAAGTTCGATAACCATCTGATTAAGAATTAAATAAACTTAAAAACTATATTAATGGATCCACATAAAAGAATTTAATGTTATTTGCATAAGCTCAAAGTGAACATTGGATTAACATCATGTTCTAATACTTAAACGAAGAAAACGTTGTTTACCAGCAATAAATTACATAAAAGATGTTATTAAATGAAGTGAAAAATTTCATTGAAGCACTAGGTCTTCTATTTCCTGATACTAAAAGAGGACTTGTTAAGAAAGTATCAATTATACAATAAAGCACTTTCAACATTTAAATGGAGATTGTTATGGTTCGATAGTGCAAGATTCTAGAAACCAATATTAATGATAGATACAGTTTGCTAATAACTGTTGTAAAGTACGTTTTGAGAGTATTGTTACAAAAAGCAAGAAGAACTTATTTTTCAGAAGACTTATTTGAGTGATTTTGGGTTGACTTATATTTTGTAGTGCAATTATTTTATGATATGGTTTCTGTAGATGAAGAGGGATTAATTGCTGGATTCTATATGGGAATTTTAGATTGTGCAGTCAGAAATAGTAGAAATGATTCTAAGATTGACCCAAAGGTATTAGAAAACTTGTCATTGTAGGCTAGAATGTGATATCTATGAATGTCAGCTTGATTGCATGAGTAAGAATACGATTTAAAAGCCAACCTCTCCAACCAAATAATCCATATTTCAAACAGGAGCTCTAAAAAATAGAAATTAATCACCAATGCTTGGATTTTAGAAGTAACCCATGAAATCCCCAGAAAAATCTCTCATTCTTGATGAATCCATCACAAATAATAATTCATGGAAGTAAACAACTGAAATTCAAATTAAGAATGTAATTAAATCTTCCTTATAAAGAGCTTTTAAGCAGAATCCAACTGGAAAGAAGCAATTGAATCAATAGTCTAAAATATAACCTTAAAATTAAAATAGCAAGAAACTGATCAATTCATTAAAGAGTTAAACAGTCCTATGTTGACATAAGATCCAAGCGTAGCCTTATATTAAGCACCTATTGAAAAGAGTAGTTCAACTTAAGACTTATTCTCTAAAATTGTGTCATAAGAAACAAAAAAAGCTAGAGCTGTTAAATAGTTCCTTTTTAATTAGTTTACATCTAATGATTAATCTCTCAACATATCTATCAATTCTTCATCTAGTGCTTAATAACAATAAAAAACTTAAATAAATAATGCTAACAATAAAAATAGATAAAATAATGGAGGGAGCCCTTAAAAATTCTAAAACAAATAATTCTAATAAGAACCATAGTTAGATCAGAAATCAAATTTGGTTATGAATCAATAAATCAAATAATTAGAATAAATGATACAAAGTACAAACCAACAATACCTCTTACTCTAAGAATAATTCAAGAAATAAAATTCTGACTTATCTAATTAAGTAAGTTCTTAAGCATCAAAAATTCTATTATTGGAATCATTTTTTAATAAAATTGATTAAGAATAAAGCAGAGAAAAATATATTATACATTAACAATAAATAAAAAATGAAAAATAAGAACTAAGTGAAAATACAACCAATCAAGAAGTACAGAAATAATTACAATTGGTTATGAAAAACTTAAATTCACTTGCTGAGCACTAACAATAATAAATGATGATTATTAAGACTGCTTTAACAACAGAATTGAGAAAGGAATTTTTATGTTCTTCAGAATACAAATAAAATTAATAAGAATTACAAACACAATTGACAATCTTAAAGGATTCGGTTAAATAAACTTAATAGTAAAGTTAGGACACACTGATAAGAAAATAATAGATGATAGAAAACTTAAATCTAGAAATAAAAAATTTAATGAATATAAATAAATAGAAAAATGAGGAAATTGAATAAATCAAATTGTAAAACGATGCAATTATAGGCTAGATAAATGAAAATAAGGAGGAGATAATTAAATAAAACCAATTCATATCTGAAATATATAATTTATATTAGAAAATAAATTAGAAGCTGCCAGGGGTATGAATTTATATTGTTGTTACAAATATTATTATAAAAAGTGATATGGGTATTTAATTGCATTAATAAAATTTTTAATTATAAAATGTATAAGTGCGCTTAGTATAGATTCATTCAAATTGAAGTTAATCATTTAAGCGATTTTCAATGACTTTTATTAGTTCAGCTTCCCTTGTTTCATTTATTAAGCCATCTCTTAATGTATGCCATAGTAATTTTGAGGTTCTTTAAGATCTAATTGCAAATAAACTAACTGCTTCTATGTTTGTATTCCAATCTTCGATTTAAATAGTATTTATAATGAACTCTTTATTTCTTGATTAAAGAATTCTTTTTAACAATATAGCTTATTCAGAAAATTCATTTTTGAAATTATAATCATTAATTTAGAACTCATTTATTTATTGATCAACCTAGTCAGTGTGTGTCATAACCATAAATCTAAATTTCTCAGAGTCTTCCAATGCCATCCATTTCTTTTTTGCTAGTTTTTCTATTTACTATCGAGTAAGCGAGTAATTGTGCCTCTTGATATTAAATTTAAACTCTTCTAAAAATATTTCAAAAGAATTTATATTCATAATTAATTATTAAAAGTAATAATCACTTCATAAACACATTTAATCCAGAGATTCTTTTTTTCTTTTTCAAAATGGTTTATTCTTTTCGTTTTAGATTAAATTCCCTTTATGGAAGTTCCACAGAGAACATCTTAATTTAATTTAATATTTTATTTTTGCTCAAAATAGGACTATGCTAAAGTTCTGTATCCAGTCTTCTATTTTAACTGCTCCTGCGATGAGGAATAATTGGTTTTTCATATTTATTTGAATTTAATTATGATTGGTCAATAGAAGTATAGAAATAGTCATTAATTTACAATTCCGGTTGCAAACGCCTTCTTTAAAGAGAATAAGGTTTGTAATTTGAATCAAAAAAATACCCATTGCTTCTCTCAGTAACTGCATCCTTACTTTTGTTCGTATTCAAAATTTTATAGTATTAATTTCTTGAAGATTGGCTTCTAAAGCTAGGAGTTATGGATTGAAATTTATAAATGCAAAGGCTTTTATCTTAAAATTGAGATTTATTCATTTTAATTTAAAATAAGGAAAATAAAGGAAAAACAAAAATAATGCTATCACTTTGTCTTTTTCCATAAACTTGTTGATCTCATTCTGATATGACTAAGTAAATAATTTGTCTTATCAAATTTTCCAGTAGCATGAATTCGAGTATGTTCGTGCATACTATTAGACTTCTGTAGTACAGTAGATGTATTGGATTGTCTAAAATCCTTCTTCATTAATTCATTTATCTTCTGAAACGAAATAGATTAATAGGTCTTATTCTTTTCCTTATTCCTTGTCAGAATTCTTTGCATGACTTTAGCAGGGGAATTAATATTCTTTAATGATTCTGACCTATAAATTCGAAATTAGTCTTCATTCTAATAAATACTGAGTTTATGATGAGAATCCTTTTTGAAATATTTACTAGAGTAATCCTAAGGAATATGGTCCAAGTATTTATTTTTTAATATTCTATACAGTTTAACTCCTATTATGGATTTAGCTGAATGAGATCTAAATTGAGTGAGTATTTCATCTTCTCCAAAGCATTCCTTAGCTCCCATAATAGATAAAGGCAATGAATTTTTATTGTATGTCCTATATAATTAGATTTATCCATCAATTATAATATAAACAGAATCTACGGGATCTCCTTATTGATAAATTATCTAATTAGGAGTAAAATTAAGCTCTTAAATTTCAGAAACTAAACTTTTTATTGTTTTAGCACTCCACTTCTAAAAGAGAGGAATCTAACATAAGTTTGCAAATCTTTCAGATTCTTACTTTTTAGTTTCTTATTCTAATTGTTATAGTTAAGCATAACATACCTATAATTCTTCGATATGTCTCTCTTTTTAAGACTATGAGATGTGATTTCTCTAAAGGCAACACTGTTTGAGTGTGCGATTAATCAAAGATCATAACTTATTCTCCAAAATATTATCCTGGATATAAATAACCTGAAGGAATGAGATGAGAGTATTGCGAATCTACTTTCTTTTAACTTGATATACTAAATTAGGTTACATTTCAGAAGGCAATTAAATATTTGATTAGTGATTGCGAGTAAGAAGTAGAAATTTGCCAGCAAGTATAAAATACAACTTAGTACTCTATTCCCCTATTTATACCTAAGGTTCATAAGGTAAATGACATTCATATTGGAGTTCTTTAAGGATTTTATAATATTAAGTGTCTCCTATTTGTCTATGCATATTTCTGAAAAATGGTTAGTCTTATAATTTAGAGTGAATAAACTCTATATCGTATTGAGTTTTAAACATGGATCTCTTGTTAACTGCTAGTATTAACGAATACATATCATTTTCAGAAATATTCATAATAAAATAAAAAATGGATTCTTAAAACGATTCCTCTGTAAGCTCTGAGGATACAAATGATGGAATTATTGAAAGAGAAGAAAGTAGATATTAAAGAAAAGGTATAAATCATTTATAAGATTTTAAGGCTATGGTTTGATTTTTGCTATTCTTTTTACCCTCTTTGGGTTTACTGTGTTCCCCTAAATAATATAATATCAATACTTATCCTGCCTTCAAGGCCTTTAGCGTAATGGCTTTATCTATTTAATGTAGCTCAATATATTTAAATGATAATGTTGATTTCCACTCATCTTTTAGGTTTCTCCTTGGGCAACTTAGGGATGTATTTTATTTATAAAGCCAAGTCCCCCTTTTTTGAAAGATATAGAACAAGATAGGTATTGTTTATGAAAGAATATAGAATCCATGGCCATGGGATGAAAATCCAGAGCAATGGAGAAAGAAACGCAGGGAAGTTTGGAAGAGTACTTCTATAAATATGTGTTTGGGAGTGCTGATGTGCATCTTAGACACTTTGTTAAATCCTTTAATAAGGAATGACATAGATTCTTTTCCAACCATATTTGAAATGATTTGGTAAATTGTGTTTTCAATGCTAATTGAAGATACATGTTTTTATTGGACTCATAGAACTTTACATTCTCCAAAACTCTATTCAATTATTCATAAAAAACATCATGAATTTTACACTAGTGTGTCTTATGCTGCCATCTATACACATCCTATTGAATACGTATTTGGTAATGTTATCCCAGTTTTTATTGGATAAAAGATATTGGGTAATAAAATGCATATAGCCACATTACAATTATGGCTATTGTTTAGAATTGGAGAAACTATAGATGGTCATAGTGGCTATGAATTCTCTTGGAGTCCATATAGATTGTTGCCTTTTTCAAGCAGTGCTGAATCACACAATTACCACCATTCTCATAATGTTGGCAATTATGGCAGTTTCTTCGTTTTCTGGGATACGATCATGGGAAGCAATAAATCTTACAATTCATTCATAGCTGACAAGTATGGAAAAATCAAAAAGTTAAAATCAAAAAAAAAAGAATGAAATAATTTCATATTATTAAAATACAATTGTTTTATATTAATTAAGTTTAATACCCTTTAAATTACAGTGCATAATTAATTAATTAGAATTTGAGAAATTTAAATATAATCAAAAGAAAAAGGATTCTTCCTTTTAAATTAAGTAAACACTCGTTATGGATTTATACACTCTTTCCACTTCAGTATAATTTGCCTTCTTCGCTGTTAAGCAAATAGATCTTATTTTATCTTTGAGAAGAAATAGTGGTTCTTCATTTTGAATCAGCAATTATTAATTTATTCCTGGTGCCTAGAGAAATAGAATTTAGCATGTTTGTAAAATTGGTACTGCTTCTTTCAGAATGGAATTCACCTTTTCTTGATGCTTTTTCTCTTACGCCCTTCTTATTTGAGATCCTATTGATTTAATATTAGATCCTGAGTGGGAATCTTTATTTAATTATCGACCTCCTGCCTTGCCTCTTACAACATAGCGATGATCGCTTTTATGATAAATGCATCCTGTATTGTCAAAGACTCCTAAACAAAAATATCCTCCATGGCAAAGGATAATTGCAAATTTCTAAACATCATCTAGTTATTATAAATTTGGTTCCTATTATTGTTTCTGCTTAATAACCTTCTATTTATTTTAGTTAACTCTCTCAAGGATTTCTTTTTACCTTCTTAAGATACTCTGCATATCATTTAGTTAATAATTAGCAAATTCATTTGATTAAGCAATCTTTTCTAATATTTCTTTTGAACAATCTTCATTTACTTCCAAAAATTCATAGTTTAATCCTTAATCAATCAAAGATCTGTTTATTATAATATAATTCTCATTATATTTAAATGCTTTATTTTCTTAAGTGCTTAATTTACTATCTTCTGGCAGGATGGCATTAATATTGACTGGTTGCCAATTCAAATTAAGAAATTGTTTTGGAAGATCTTTGAGTTAAATCTTGATAACTTAAGCACCTAAATCCTTAATTTTTATTTCCATGTTTTTGGGTACTTTATATAAGACTTTAGGCAACATGGGGATAGTTTTTTTTCTAAAATTATAAATCTCTCTTAGACTCTAGAAGGAATATAAGAATTTCAAATACATTTAAAAAGTGCATCAATCTTTATTCTAAATACTTTTTCAAAATAAAATTCAATTAGTTCTTGAAATATTTATTACATCTGCTAAAATTGGCTAAATCCTTAGAATTAAGACAAGAGATTATTGTTTTGCTTATTTCAGGTTGGTTGAAAAGGTTTGTGATCATTTTAATTAAGTTAAAATATTAAATTCTTTATTAAAGTTTTAATTGTATATAATTGTATTTATAATTTATTTAACAACAGATTTCATCAGAGTTTTGAAGAAGAATTATGAGCATCCATAAACTGAAATATTTAGTTAATAATTTATATTTATTATTTTATATCAACTTTTAATGTAAAAGAATAGTCATTATAGATGATAGAATATCGCAGCACTTACAAAGCCAAATAAAGCAAATCTATAATGTTTATTTAAGGATTAAATCCACTTTTTCTATTTAAATAATATTCCAAAATAAATAAATATCAAACCATATGAAAGTGTTCTTATTGTCTTTTAATCCTAGTATTGCTTTCGTATTTATTCAACGTATTATGCATCTCTCTTTTCTTATAAAAATGTATGATTAATTTCAATAGATAATAATTAATTAATCTATTTTTAAAGTAATCTTTACGAATAGTTAAATCTAGGAATCCTAAATTTAAATATTTCATATTGCACTAATTATCTGAGTTTGTATGCAATTACAGTGTATAATTTATCATTAATAGCCTCTAAACATTAATAATATTTGCTCGCATCCTTATTCAAACTTTCAAGACAATTAATTAACTCAATTAAAACTATTTATAATAAATTCTCTAATTGCATTTTTAACTCTTGTGATCTAACTTTTAAAGGATGACCAATTTCTAATGCTAATTATAATAGTAATTCTTTTTAATCTAAAGGTTTATTGTTTATTTCATTTAGTACTATTTTCTCTACTTCCTTCACTCTCTCAAGACTTGTATACTTCCTATTAGACCTAAATTTTTCTGAAACATCTTTAATTTCTAACTTTAGTCTTTTAAGCATAATAATATTTAATCAATTATTATATATAAAATTCATTCACATCAACACTTTTATTTCTTAAAATATCTTCTATGATTTCAATACTTAATTTGAACTATCTTTTGTAAAAAACTCTAAATAACGTTTTATTAATATTGAATAATAAATTATCAAATACTCATAATTTTTCCAACAAGCATTTTGCAGCCCTTAATTTTTAGGTAAAATAACATTCTTTCAAATTGAGCTAAAATAATTATTTCTTTTTTGTTTATTTTAACTAATGTAATTGTTTTGACAATTCAAGTAGTTTTTCTTTACCAGTTACCTATTTTTCTTTAATTTCTACAAATTAATCCAATCTCATGGTTTAATAACATTTAAAGAAATATTAGCATAAATTCTGTTCAAATAACTCTATTTTTCTCTTGAATTTCTGCATATTTTCTTCTTCATAAGTCAATTATGCCTCTTCTTTGGTGATAAATTCACAAATAGTTTATTTAAATTTTCCCTCATCTGACTTAACCTACAATTTACTATTCATAATATTAATTTTTTGTTAGAGTTCAATTTATTACCTAATAGTCTTTATGTCTTTGTCTATTTCTTGAGTCTGTTTCTATTGTTACAGAATATTTCTTAACTTCTCTGAGTAATATTCTCTCCTCAAATGATATTTTTAAATTATACTTAGATTAAATTATTCTTCTATTTTTATTTCAGCTATTTGACTTTCTTAGCTATTCTTTTAATCAATCTCTAATTTCTTTTGAATTCCTTTATGGCCCATTCTTCGTCGAATTTCCCTTATGCTTAAACAGTAAAATTTGAATTTGTTGACAAACAACTAAAATCATTCTCATTGGCTAATGTAATGATATCATCTTCCTCATCTTAATAAGTTAGTGACTCTAGAATAAATGATGGTTCAGTTTAGTGAAGTCTTAATTTCAACTCTTCGAATGAATAAACTTCTTCAAAATTGAATTCTTGCCCTTGACATGCTATTTTAAGATTCATTAATGATATTAATAAAAATTCTAAATAATTTCTTTTATAATTCAAAAATATAGAATTTTGTCCATTTATACCATAACTATTAAATAAATAATTATTTTTGATAGAATGGATTTTATGTGTTATTATCATAATTAAAATTAATTCTACAACGTATTAAATTGAAATATATTCTAAATGGTTTTAACTAGGTGTTAAACAGCTTGTTCAATTAGATAATATTATTACTAAAATATATTAATAAATAACATATTTGTATAATTGAATTAAATTTAAGATGATTTACTAATTTAGTATAAAACTAGATTACTCAATATTATAGTAGTTTAAGGATAAGTTATTCCTTATATAATAATAATGAAATAAGGAAATTCTTCAAAACACCAATGAACAACTGAAGTTCGGATGTATTTAATTTAATTCTGTCACCAAAAACTTAAATTTCATATATATATAACTATCAATTGTGGCATTTAGAATGCTTTAAATATTAACTCTCAGCTACTTAGCAATTTTTTCTCAGCAAATCTCCTACTACTATTGAATCCTTTTTAGGATTTTTGAAGACTTCGCACTGAGAATTCGAGCTTTTATTTCGTTTCCTTAATTCTATGTAATCATCAACCACATATTTTAGCCATTTCCAAGCATATTTGAGAGTTATTTGTTTATCAGATGGATGACAGACTCTTACCATATCGAGAACACAATTAAGAAACTTTATTTCATCAGGGCCTTATGTGTGTTGGCTACTTAGGATTTCGTTCTCCTACTAAGCCTCACTATATTTATAGTGCAAGTGCTCTAGTTCTTCACTCGGATACTGATGTACAAAATACCTCAATTATTATTAATACTGCATAAGTGAATTAACTTTTTCATTTGCAATTTGTAACTACTACTCTAAAGATGTGGATTCAGTTTCATTTTTAAAAAACATTTCCTCCTTCATTGACAACGGTGAGAACTCTTATGAGTAGCTCATTTAATTTTAACTGTTATATAATTTAATTAATTCAAAATAGAACTTAATGTTAAATAAATATTTTCAAATTATTTTATCTAATTAACTTCTTAAACAATAAAATTAATAGTGAAGACTTTAAGTAGAAATAAATGACTCAATATTAATTATTATTAAATTTAGTTTTTTCAAATTAATTTAATTTACTTCATAATGATAAATCATTCTTGATTAATTTGAATAGACTTGAAGTTTAACCAAAATTTCAAAATTAAATCAAAAATGCTTACAATTAATTTGATAACTCTATTAATCGATTAGTCGTATTACTAATTTAGAGGTATTATATATTGATCCAATTATTCAAAATGTTCAGATACATAATCATTCTAACTTGTTAACCTTTATCCTATAAATCAAAATAATATAAACTTTGTGTTCTGAAAATATTATATGCAGCAGTTAATATAATATGTTTAAATATTCCTGGTATATGAAATTATTAAACAATCATGCACATTATTTCTAAGCCATTTGGTGTTATATTCAAGCAAAATATATTTTAATCAACTAAAATTTATCATATTTTTAAAGCCGCATCTATATTTTAATGGCAACATCTAAATTTCAATAAAATCAAATACGATTTGAGGGTCTATATTAAATTTTTTCTCAAAATTATTTTAAGTAAAGATATAAATATCTTATAAAAACGATCTCAATTCTGAATTATATGGTAAATTAATATTTAACAATCGTTATCCTTTTGAGAATATCTAGATTTGAACAAATTCTTAAATGATCACATAATCTCGAATAAAAATAAGGATATGGATTTGGCTCCGATTCAAAGTTTCTTGACAAATAATTTCTGAATATTTTCCAGAGTTTCAGTTATTTCAAGAAGAAAATTGAATGATTGATTCTATTTCTGATTAAGAAAACATCAAATCAGATCAAGTCTTAATAAAATAATGAATTTAATTCATAAAACAAATCAACAACAATAGTAGTATATATTAATGTCATAATTTAATAAAGATAGATACCTATAAAGCATTCATATACTCATGCTTATTTCTGATGTTAATGTAATTATAATCATTTATCAAACTATGCATATTTTTTAGCCAAATCGTCCATTTACTTTTCTAACCCATGATATCTATGGAGGAGTTCATTTCTTCTGATAGTAAAGGTTTCTTCCTTTTCCATAAGTACACTATTATAAGAGAATCAATCTTACTTTATTTCACACTATAATCCATCAAGCATTTTTTCTTAGGATTCTATTGTATCTTAGTTTTATTAAATTTTCTAATCTAATTCATTCATAATTCCTTCATCTGATTATTAAGCCAATTAATCAATTCCACTTATGGAGCATATACGCTAAAATTCATCAAGAAGCAACTTTCTTTCCATTTATAAGGATTCCTATGCCTTCACTTCAGACTTGATTAATTTATCATAGCTTTTGGTCTTATTCAACTCGTCTTCAAACTCTTTTAATTATGTTCTTGATTATTGTAACTCATTATTCTTCTGTGACAATTCCAAGTCTAATTTTATTTTTGAGTTATTCTAATTCCTCTAATTTCTATTGTTTTTACAATAACTTAGGATCAAGTCTTTATTATTCCTTGCATAATTTCTCAAATTCTTATTCATAATGAACACTTGCAGCTTATAATTAGTTTTGCTTTTTATTAGCTAGCTTTAATTTCCTATTATAAATTCAAATATATATTTCTTATTTGATTGCTTTAATTAACTAATTTTTAGTATGATTATGATAACTCCTAAACTGTGGCTGTTGCTCTTTATAATTCTTCTCTACATTCATCTTAACAAAAATTTGAATAAATTTTATACTTGCTTCTTCTTTTATCTCCATTATCTTATTACCAAGCAATTCAACTTCCTCTTATGTAGACTACTTCTAATGTTATCTTTCCTTCAATTATTGATCAATCTATTCAATTTGTGCTTCACATGTCTTAATTTCATATTTTTTTTATTTTATTTTGTTGGCATTCTTTTTTCTGGGTTTCCCACTTGAATGCACTTTTCTAATTAACTCAGCTAATTATTATTTTAACTAAATCTACTCTTGTAGAACCTCTTCTAAATTAATCTAATTAATTCAATTTCAATATTTTACTTATTC